CAGTAGCTAGGATTAAATTCTTGCAGTAGCTAGGATTAAATTCTTGCAGTAGCTAGGATTAAATTCTTGCAGTAGCTAGGATTAAATTTTTGCAGTAGCCCTACTGCAAGGCAAAACGATGTCTGGAATTATAGGTAGGAAGCGATCGATACCGATCCATTAGGCAGGCTATAATTCTTTTGGCGAAAACCGTCATAACTTGGTTGAACATATTGATATATGGGAACACTTGAGGCGTACATGGATCGGAAGAATTAACCATCAAGGTGATATCGAGATTACCAATGAAGACAGTGAAGTTTGTTATCGATCATGCACCCAGGATGAGAGCCAAAAGAAGTGAATATTCTCAATTTTGGTGCCATGCTAGCTAGCCTATTACTGCCAATGAAAAAGACCTCGCAAGCAATTCACTCAACCCAACTTCCTATAAGCCATGCAAATGTACTACCAATTGCTCATCCATGCTGCCAAAAGAAGTGTTCACCAACCATCTACAATTCCACGACTAGCTTTGTAGCACTAACACCAGCTTTCGACATCTCAAGAGCCTTGTTAACGTGCTCCAAGCCCTTTCCGACGACATTTGGCTTTGGAAGGCACTTGAGCTTTCCAGACTCCAAAGCAGATGTAACATAGTCCTTCCAGACCGGTGTTGCGATGTCATTGACAGCAAAGATCATACCGGCCTTGACGTTCTCTGGGACCTCTGGTGGTGGGGGATGAACACAGGCGAGATGACCTCCGCCCAACTTGGAGAGGATGGCAAGGTCGCGATTGTAGGTATCAGGACTGGCGATGGCGTCGAAGATGCCGACGAATTCGAGACCGGATTTGGTGACCGCTTCGACGACCTTGTCGACAACAGATGCATCTTTGTGGTCGAATATTTCTGCTGCACCGCAGCTCTTGCTGAACTCGAAGTTGTGGGCGCCGACGATGGAGATGACTTGAATTCCGGCGGCAGTGGCGAGTTGAGTTGTCATAGAGCCGACGGCAGATGAACCGCCATATACGACGAGTACTTTGCCTGTGGAGGCTGCTGGTTGAAGTGAAGGATATGGCAGAGCTAGGGCTGGGGTGAATACACCTGGCATTGCAGGGCCGGGTACTTTCAGTGAAAGTGCACAGACAGCTGCCTCCAGGGCGAATGGGACGACAACACCATCAGTGAAGGAAACATTACCAGGGAGAATGGCGGCTTTGTCCGCAGGAATAACGGTGTAGAGGGCATAGGCACCATCTTGAGGACGACCCGTGACCAAGTTGATAGCATGCCTATGCAGATATCAGTTACATTGCTGTATTGAAGATAACAAACACAACATAAACTTACCCAATGACACGGTCGCCTTTCTTGAAGCGTCCCTCGGCGCCGGATCCTACTTCGTGTACTTCCCCGGCAACGTCGCAGCCGAAGATTGCGGGCCATTGCTGGACAAAAACGCCGACGTCTTGCATGTGGCAGTCGAGTGGGTTGATGGCTACGGCCGCATTCTTAACGACGAGCTCACCAGGACCGGCGGTGGGCATTGGGGCTTCGTCAACTTTGAGAGGCGTGCCAGCAGTGGTGAGCCATGCGGCTTGGTTTGTTGGGGCTGCCATTGTTTTGGTGTTTTGGTGTGTATTGAGTATATTATCAGAGGTATAGGTGAGAAAGTCTGAAATGTCCAAGTTGTATGTTTAATGAGAAGTTGAAAGTAAGCAAGACGGATTCGAAGGGGGAATTTTAAAGAAAGATAAAGTGGGGAGCTGTTGTGGTAAACATCTGAATTGAAAATGAAGGTGAGCGTGGGAGCCGAGGGGGTGCCGACGGGGTGAATCAACTACCAATTCTCGCCTGGAGGCACAACAGAAGGCACGATGGAGAAAGACCAACCGCCCTGCTTAGAAATTCAAATTGATAATAGAACAATCTCGAACAACATCGAGATTTAGGCGATATGCCATGCAACCGAGAGTATACAAGGCTGAAGTTAGTAGTACTTGACACTTGTACTTTCTTACATTGTCAGCCAGACACAAGCGTACCCAATACAGCTTGTATAACTGTAGTAGAGTTCCTACTGCAGAGCACACACGCGTCTTAGCGTTATACGACAGCGCTTACGGACGTACGATGTACTATATACTCTAAATAGAACTACGCGTAGGCTGACTTTACCCCGCTTACGATTATAGATAATTTCGCGTATTCTAAAGGATTAAGTAAGTAAGAAAAAAGTTCTAAGTTCTAGCGTTTCGTTTATTTGTTATATTCTAAGAAATATCTAAAACGAATTCTACGTCTAGTAGGTTCTTTATCTTTATCTTTAGAACTACTAATAGAAATTCTAATAGAACTAGAACTAGAACTAGAAGTAGACTCTCTAGTAGTAACTTTATTACTTATAGAGCTATTTAGACCTATAATAGGTAGTTTAGGTATAAATAAGCCCTTATTAAGACTAGAGTATAGTACTTGTAAAGGCGTTATAGTAGAATCTATATTGTCTCTCTTCTTAGTACTAGTACCTTTAATACCTTCTATATTAACTAAGTAATTTCTTAGTTTTTTATAAGAAGTAGTAATAAAATTACACTTATAATACTTATATTCTTTAAGAATAAGAGGTAAACTCTTAAAGTAATAAGTATTATTAGGTATATTAGTATTAAAATCTAAATAACTAGTAATAGTATAAGATTCTAGGTTACTAAGAATAGTCTTATTAAGTTTTAGACTATTATATTTCTCTTTAAAGTATTTTCTAATAGCTTTATTATTAATAAGAGCTATAGAATAAAGAGAATAAATAAGAATCTCTAGTTCTTTATTATATTCTAAGAAACTAGGTTCTAATTTATTAGTCTTAGTAGGTTCTAAGACTTTAAAATCTTCTTCTTTATAGATAATAGAAGATATTTTATAAGTAGTATATAACTAAGCCGAGTATAGGTATATAACTAGTCAAAACAAGCTATAATAATAGAGATATATAGCTTTAAGTAAAGGTAAATAGATAGTATATATCTAAAATAAGTATAGATATATACTAGAGTAAAGAAAGCTATAGTAGTAGATAAATAGCTTTTATAAAGATATAGAGAAGTAGTATATAACTAAGATAAGTATAGATATATAGCTTAAGTTAAGACTTAATAGTAGTTAATAAAAATAAAACTAGAAGGTAGAAAAGAAGGTTTATATAGACTTTCTCGAAGATAGATTATATAACTCTTAGTAAGTAAAGGTATTAATCTAGAAAGTACTAGAAATACCTAGAGTTAATCTAGAATTTACTAGAACCTATCTAAATACTTACGTAAGCCTAGAACTTTATATTATTTTCTTAAAACTTTAAATATTAATAACTTAAGAACTACTAGCCCGATTAGACTATAAATCTAGATATAGTATATTTAGATATAATAGAATATATTAAGCTATAAAAACTTACTAAAGAAAGCTTTTAATTAAAGAGTTATTACTTATCTTTATCTTTATAGATTTTCTAGTTTAATATAAGGAAATATATATATATATTATTTTATAGTCTTATAGTTTAAGTTTTAAGCTTTAAAATAAGTCTCTATACTTCTCTCTAGCTCTATTATTATATTAGTTATTAAGAGTTCTTTATAACTCTAACTTCTAATTACTCGAGAATTTACTAAAAGTACTTTATATATTAAAATAAGTATATTTTCTCTAATAACGTAAGTATACTAGTAGTCTACCTACTAGTATACTTATATAGTTTTTAAAGTATTTTAGACTAGCGGCTCGCTTAATCTCGCTTATTTTTTTTCGAACTAGAAGACTCTACCTAAGTACCTAGACTCTTAGCTATTAAGTTAGAAAAGAGTAAGTCTACTAAAGTTTACTCGAAATTACGTATTAAGTCTAGCTTAGAGTAGAGTATTCGAGTTTCTTTTAATTTATTATATTAATAACTTAATAACTACTAGTCTAACTAGACTATAATTTTTTTTATAGTATATCTCTATATAGTAGACTAATATAAGCTATAAAAATCGACTTAGAAAGCTTTTAGTTAAAGAGTTATTAGTTATCTTTAATTTTATAGACTTATTACTTTACTATATATAGATATTTATATAACCTTAAATATTATTTATAATCTTATAGTTCTATTTTTTAGCTTTAAAATAAGCCTCTATACGTCTCTCTAGCTCTACTATAGAGTTTGTTATTAAGTATTCTTTATAACTCTAAGGTCTAACTCTAGAGTTATAGACTTCGGCTAAGCTCTAACTTAAAACCCTTATAACTTAAGCTATACTTAACTAAATTAGGTAATTTTTAGTTCTATAGATAGCCCTTTAGCTATAGTATCTTATATAAAATTATTAGTATAAAGTCCTATAGTAGAAATTTAGAGTACTAAGTAGTTTAAGATAACTTAGTATCTTTCTAATAAAAAAACTTAGTACTTTAAGAGAGTACTAAGTTTACTAGATATAGGTAGAGTTTATATATAGGCAATAGACGTATTAATAAAGCTAGAATAGTAGAGAGTTAAGAGCTTTTTAATATTAATTAAATATAATATTAAGATTAGATTAATAGTTAGTTAGTTAAGTTTAAATAGAGCTCTAAATTATTATTTTAACTTACTTAACTACTTAACTATATAACTTAAGTAGTTATTTAAAGTTAAGTCGATAGTTCTATTAATATAAGAATATCTTAAATCTAAGTAGTAGTAAAAGAGTAAATTAGAGAGTTACTTTAAAATCTAATATTTAGAAAACCTAATCTTTAATATCTTTCTTAAGTAGTAGTAGTCTTTCTATACCTTCTTTCTATACTATTAAGTCTTAGTCGACTAACTAGTTTCTTTTTAGATACTATAATAAAGTTTAAGAGTAGTTAAAAGCTAAGAATATATAATTATTATAATATAAACTATAATTATATTATCTAAAAAGAGAGTAAAAGAGAAGAGAGATAGTAGTAAATTATATATATAGGCCTAAATTAATTAGAGGTAAAATTTATATAATATAAATCTTAATAAGAAAGGCTCGCGTATAATAATAGAGCGATCTAAAGTTAATTCTATAGTATATTAATATTTATATTATAAAATAATAAATTATAATTAATAGAGTTATAAGTTATTATTAAATATAATAGTATAGTTTTTATACTATAGTAGTATACTACTTATATTATCTATATAGACCTAAATTATTTAGTAGTAGTTAGTAGCTATATTAAGAAGGTATTCTATTTTAAGTATCTCTACTTATATATAATAATAGAGTAATATAATATTAATCTAATACTAAATAGATATCTATATTAAAAGATAATAAACTTTAATCTATAGAGTTATAAGTTATTATTAAAGGTAATAGTATAGTTTTTATACTATAGTAGTATATAGATTACGTATATAGGCCTAAACTATTTATAAGTAATATTATAAATATATAATAACTTAATATAAATAAGTTATATATAACTATAAGTTAGTTTCTAGATAGGTATAGTATATATTTATTATAATACTAAGTTACATCTATTTATTTTTAGTATTAATTAAGACTTTAGTCGATAGAGTTTTAGTAGAGTTATAATATCGACCCGAAGCCGCCTAGCCGTAAAGCCGCCGCTAAACGTATAGACTATAGTAGAAACACCGCAAAATGACGCTGTCCGGAAGTTATTAAGAACACTAGAATGTCCCTAAATCACAGAAGCTTCATCTAACTATATCGGATTAGTCAGATCTTTGTACATAAATCTAACTAGAAGTCCTCGTGGGCTTGCTGAACGCCTTTGCCCGTTCAAGCGTTCTTGTTGTTCAACATAATAGTGACTTGAACAAAACTGGTTAACCAATGTAATGTCAATACGAGCCAAACGTAGAATTAGCCCTTCCTCTTCTTTTGCTGCAAATGAGCCCCTGCGAAGCTTGAACAATCCAGCCTTCATTCCGGAAATGCGTGAATGAAGACAAAGATGTTCAAAAAATGTGCTACTAAATCCATCCTTCTCTTTGACATCATCAGGAAATGCAGCGATACCACACAGGCAATCTCGTTTGGTTTTGTTTAACGTCGTAGAAAAGACGTGAACTACCCCAAGAATTGAATGAGGAGTAAGTAATAGACTCCAGTGTTCTCTCTACGGCCCAGGATACTGTCCGAGCTGTGCTATATCACTTGCCACTATAGAATATAAAGATTCATGGAAGATCGAGGACTTGAGTAAAGAATCTTCAACCTCTTGTGAGTTATTGAATATCTCCACGACCTCATCTGGTTGGCATTCCCAAAGATCGCACTTGCGAAACAAAAGAGCTGTATCACAAGGGCTCCGATGACTTGGATGTAACATTGCATTATGCAGATACTGCAGCGACGTACCATCATCTCAGACCATGGCGAAGCAATCATTGTGACCCAGATGCTTTTGGAGATTTTCCTCAACGGCTTTGTACACCACTTGATGCAGACTCTCAACCTACTGCTGAGAACAAGGAACTGGCAACGATATGAAAGGACTGAAAACCCACAGACATATGCTAACTATTCTTGTCGTATTGTATTTTGAACGTAGGAGCATACCGCCGACTAAATAGAAATATTACCGCCGGCAACTACGCTCAGTCGATAAAGGTCAGGTGCAATCAATACAACTCTTTCAATAAAAACGACCTGCTGACACAACAGAGCATTTCGATTGACACAATGATTCCCAAAAGCATTTGCATTGAGGTTGGCCCGTAACGCAGCTGAAAAGTGTAAACTTTGGATAAGTCACACCTCATGAGTTCATGCCATATGCCTTTTCAAATTAGGTTCGCGTCAAAATCTGGACCATATTGAAGCGCGACTGACTGTGTATGAAAACCGTACATTGGAGAGGTGTTGTCGTTAAGCGCATCGAGATGAAGCTTCAGTTGTGTCGGCAAGGAATGGTTCTCGGTGATTCTAGCACCCTAGTCTTCAAACAACCTCTCTATGTGAGATTCCAGTGACCTAGATACAGAGTCCATGGAGTTCCAGCCAGGAATTCCGAGATTGGAAGAAAACCGACCGTGTTAGCGACCTAACTCAGACAACTCCAACTCTTGAATGTCTTGAGTAGCTTCACTGCGTCGAGGCAGCTTTGGTAGGGGTAAAGCCATAGATTCGGCTGATGGAGGAGAGTTGATGTAATTGTACTTAATTAAAACCCCCACGTCTCTGCAGAGTTGAGGAGGGGTCGGAATCCTATAAGGTTTGTATCTTGCGTTAAATTATTGGAGGCAGGAACCATCTTGGTTGACAGAGTTTCTCGCCATCTAGAGGCTCGAATTGTAGAACCAGCACTCGGTCATTGCAGGCATTTGGTGATAGGGCCATGGCAGTTGCATTAGATGATGCAAAGCCTGTTGAATTAACAGTCTCCTTGTCTTAGACCAGCTAAATTATTTCCTTAGGAACAAATCTACATAAGACCTGGTTAGTGGAACACTGATATGAGAATTCTTCTCCGTCAATGAAAATAGATCTTGCTCGACAGTCATTTAATTGGTATTGCGTCAACTTACCACCGCTTACATCGCAGTCTACACTATGACTCCATAAAGTACAAGGCAACAGAGAAATTGTATTTTCTTAGACGCACTGACTGAATAAGCGACTCTGTCATCGTGCGCGACTGGCCTAAGCAGAGGGTTGACGTGAAAACGATGATCAAAAAGGGATAAGAAACAGACCGAGGTCAAACAGAGAAGGAAAGCCTCATCATGTGCCGAGTGCTGGGAAATCGATCGTGGACAGCAATTAAATTAGAATGATGATCCAAGTGTTAAGTATCATATGCCCATCCATTCATTCATATTATTCACAAAAGCTAGCTGAACTCATTGGTAATTTGTTTAAATCCACATTCACACCTGGAATGCAAAAAAGACGCGAGCAAAATGAGAAGCGCGATTCTGGACTTGTAACAATCAAATCTTTTATGTTGAGGGATTGACACCGACGGCAGAATAGAAGTTTAAAACTACGCAGAAAAGAATTTCCACAGGTGTATGCTGTTTTGTTGTGTCCTTCGTGGGCTTTCCTTATATTAGTTAACACTTGGATAACCACCAATTGTCCGATTGGAAGAAGGAAGAATCACGTAGTTGAAATATCATCACTGATGTATTTGAACGTAAATGACGTGACGATCTTGAACTTAAATTAGCACTGTAGTAGGAAATGCTATGTAATCAGAATGCCATTCAAAATGAGAATGATAGATTTAACACGCGTAGACAGAAATATATTCTAACGGAAGTCTAAAAACCAACTTTAGAGGCCGGATTGCGATCTGTGTAAGATCTTGGGCTTAAGATACCGCTGAATGTACTAAAGAGGAATCATTGAAAGAGTCTCTCTCATGTAACAAAGTAGGGATGGAAGACTTCCAAAATAGAAACCATAATATAAATGACTCTACAAAAAGAAACATACTTGTCAATGTATCCCGGGGTCTAAGGTGCCCAGACTTTTAAAGCTTCGGCGGTATAACTTGTTTCCTGCACTAGTTTGTTACAAATCTGACGGCAAACCTTCTTGGAAAATGATAATCTAAAGCCGAGAACGCTTTGATTACTCGATCTTCTCAAGTAACCCGAATGTCGAGTAATGCTACTTCCGCAACTTTCACAGCTTTGAAAAGTTGGTGCGTCTAGGAGCGGTGTCATTTGTCAACTTTCAAGCCTTTTACCACATTCTTGTTGTCTCGAGCACTGCAAACTTTGCTACAAAGGTCAAAAACGCGGGAACACTCAGAGAAGTATAAAGTGAATAGTGTTCTGGTGACAGCAGCTTTCCATATCGACAAGTGGCAGCAACGGAAAATATTTCCAAGACAGTCACTACTACTTAACAGATTGCAGTCTCAATAGAGATCAAATTGCAGACACTAATGAAGACCTAGCAATATCGCTAGATTAGTAATCTGCATACCTGGTAAGCTATCATCGAGACCTGGTGGCATCGGCTAAACCGATGACTGCAACCGATACCACGGAACACAAATGGCTACAAGAAAAGTCTCCTTCACACCCACTGCGTGGGTCATACCACTCGATATTTCTAAATCTCATTCGTATACTTTCAGATTATGTTGTTTGACAATGACGATACTCTGCGAAGGCCGCACGAATGAAGTAAGCGCAGCTCTCGTGTCAATAATGCTTTTTTTCAGGGTGCCTGCCACATAACATTAATAGTGTGCATTTTCAGTGACCCTGACTAATAATTGGTAGTTGCGTTTCGAAAACCACCATCATAGCTCCCTCATTCGAATGTAGCCTCGAATCGATCGACCCAAACGACATGTAAACCCGCAAACCATACAAGAGCATGTTAAAATGGACGTACAGGTCTCTTTTGAACTCGTAAAATGGATGGTGTTGGCTAAAGAACATGTTTCAATTGATATTTATGCATTCATATATTCTTAATTGACGAGCCTCGGTATCGCAGAGATGAAGGAGCTCTTGTGGAGTTCAATGTGATAGCATTCTATACTCTGCTGATAATTCTTGTCAAACGTTTAAAAGCTCAGAGCTAGGACTATTAGCCTCGGTAATAGTGTTGTAAAGGTGATTCGTAAAATTGGCGATTTCATCAAGCAATTGTGAGAATCAGTCCCGCTCGTTTAAACTGAAGTGTCACTACTCAGCAGTTCCACGCCGTGCTCTGTCCGAATCTAGAGTCAATCATTTACTTTAAATGCTACTACCGAGCCTATATTGAGTACCGGCTTGTCACGCAAAAGAGATTTCCTTAATCTTTTTCTATCTACTCCCGTTATGAATAGTGTAACTCCCTTTGATTCTATTAAATCTCAACGGATCCTAATTCGGATTTATCTTTATTACAACTTATACCTATAAAGATCGTGAAACCTCGAGGACCCCGCCACCCGTAACTATCACTATCATCACCGTCGCAACAAGTGGGAGATGATCGAGTACAAAGGTTTCAATTGATACAAGGTTTTTCCGACAAGGCTTGTTATTGGAACTTCGAGTGCTATTCTTCGAACGAATCTCGCTTATCGACATGCGTACATTAGAGTAACTCTTTTGTGTTTAACAGTTTTCCTTCATTTTACTTAAACTAGTTTAATACGTTACAACCCAAGGTTTCTTCTTCATAGGCTGTTTTCGTCTTTGATAAACAGAATATCCTCTTGAGGCATAAAAGTTGGCCTTACGGCTGTTGACCACCCATTAGAGTGGAAAAACTCGTTGCTTTAGTTCCTAGCCTAAGTAAGTCGTAGTACTGTATCGATGCTTTGACCTCCTATGTAATTGTAGAATTGGTCGCAAATTCAAGATCGCATGTTACTTTGGGGGCTATGCTACCGTGAAAGCAAACAGGACTTTAGTAGCGTATACGTTTGCATTATTGGTAAAATTATGACGACAATGAGACTTGCAAATCTTCCCGAGGATGAAAGAGCATGGTCCGATCTCAAATGATCCTCCTGCTCTTATTCGAAAAAAGCTTTTGCCTTAAAAGACGCATTTGCAGAGCGGAAGCAACCTGAAGCTCGCCACAAATGCCTCGCAAAACGCGATCCGCGAAGAGTTTGACCTCGGAAAGTTGTGCTAGCTCTTGACGAGAAACACAGTTGTAAATCCATATCATAAAAATATCACTCGCAACCATCACTAATCCAGAAACAATCTCTCTCCTTTCGCATCTGTTGTTGTTACAATCAAAAATTGCAGGTGCGTGATTGGACGGCCACTCATACATGGGTTCGACATGCAGATCTTGCTATGCGCACGTATCAAATGCGCGGTAACCTGGTCCATGTCGCTGTCAACACCATCTGAATGGAGAAATACTCCGCATGAGTACGAAGATCCAATCACCTGCCTAAATTCGAAAGCTTCATTCTAGATCGTTGCAGGGGCTGCCAGAACCGAGGCGATGTATTTTCAGGGGAAGTGGGGATTAAATCACCTCGAGTAATGCTCGCTTATTTTTCGTGATAAAACTAGTACTTAGTTGGAAGTACGAGTGCTTTAGCTTGAGAATTATTGGAATAAGATTATTTGCCCCACCATCACGAAGGATCGAATTGCATTGACCGCTGTCAGAATTCTTATATGTAGTAGATACGCTCCATCAACGAAAAGACCATCCGTCAACCACATTCGTTTCCACCCCCAAACGGTCATTTCTGCTTTTTCAAAGCCCCACGCTCTTTTTGTAACCCAATACAAATAATACCATAATGTTTTTCGCCTCCGCAGTTCTTCTTGCGGCGCCTCTTGCGCTCGCTGCCAACGTCGACCGTCTCGAGACGCGTCAATCCGCTTGTTCAGCAACGCACATCTTCCTTGCAAAGGGAAACAACGAGCCATATCCAGGACGTCAAGGAAAGCTCGTCAATGCCATCTGTTCCGGCCTCGCCAGCTGTGATTATGAGGATATTCAATACTACAACCCAGTCGAAGCTCCATACTGTGGCTCTGTAAACGAAGGTGTCGCCAATGGTGTCGCGCAAATCACCGCATACAACCAAAGATGCCCTGATACCAAGCTTGTCGTTAGTGGCTATTCGCAAGGTGCTCAGATTGTGACCGACATTCTTGGTGGAGGTGGGGGTGTTTTCTTCCAGGACTGCGTGCAGACCACTTCAGCAGGTATCGATGTCGACTCTGCTGCTGGAAAGAAGAGTAAGTCATACCAAATTCGTAACCATTCGAATAAGCTAACGCACCATAGTTGCCGCTGCGTTGGTTTTTGGAAACACTCGCCACACCGCAAACCAGCCATACAACGTCCTCTCCGGCTCTGGTTCCAACGGGCTCTTCCCTCGCTCTGGAAGCCAAGCTGCTGGTCTTCTTACCTACACCTCCGTCTTCCACGATTACTGTGTTGCAGAGGACCCAATCTGTGCCGGTGGTAATGTTGTGGCCGATCACTTGAACTACTTCGACATCTACACCGACTCCGCCGCTGCTTGGGTGAAGAGCAAGCTCCTTGAGGCTCCATCTGCAGGAACATCTTCTTCAGTAGCACCACCACCAGCTACCTCTGCTGTTGCCACTCCTGTTCCAACATCATCCGCCGCGCCATACCCAACCACCGCCGCGTACACCAATGGCACTTCCACCACCTGCACCGCCATCATCCCAATTCCAACTGTCACCACCACCTTCACAGTGACTGTTCCCTGCGTCACCCTCGCATCTTCGGTATTGTCGTCGTACACTTCCAAGTATCCCGTCACAACTCCCACCGTAATTGCTGGTGCCCCTACCACGATTGCCGGCCCACCTACCACTATTGCCAGCGGTGCCGCCTTCCCAACCAAGACAGGTGCTGCTACAAATGGAACAGTGATTTTCACTGGTGGTGCCCAAGGAATGGTTTCTGCTCCTATTGTAGGCACAATGGGTCTCGCTATCGCAGGAGCTTTGTTGTTCATGGTGTAAAAGGGTAAATGACACTCAGAATTGATGATCCTAGATAGTAAATAATGTAATATGATATCTCAATTCTGCTTTAAACAATGAACTTGACTGACTGTGTGAATTAATTATTCTATGAAAAGCATCGCTTCAAGGCTGTCAAACTTAGCCAGTGCATCCACAAACTTGGTGACGTAGGGTCAGCTTCGATTCTAACGCATTGCGTGTCTGTATTACGTACCTCAATTTGGACAATTCCCTTAACTTACAAAGCTACTTAATTCTTATCAAGTTGTTGCATACAAGATCATTATTCAACAACATTCCATGTGTAGTGATTCCTCATCGCAAGGAGTTCTGTCAACACTTCCAGCAGTGACTCTCTTTGGAAGAGCTTCATTTCCTCCCTCTTGTAATCTTCGCGAGGGCGTGGTTGTAATGACAGTCCATATCTCGGCACGTTAAGTCGAGACTGTCGGGATTCCACTGCACTGATGAATCATGAGTTGCGAACCTGTACTGACCTACAACCCTATCAAATCGTGTAATCAATGTTAAAGAATCAGAACCTCAAAGAGTCGTGAAAACCTCGACCTACTTATCAATGAAGAATCATTGCAGATACCGACAAGACAGAGTGAAAAGTTACGGAGATCTTGTTCGATCAGTCAGGTAGTTCATGAAACTCAGGCAAACATCAGAATTAATCGCTCAGCTCTAAGATTTCTCTATCTATCATTATGACAACAGAATTTTACTCTTCTTTCTAAGTCGTGGCCCATAGATTCTAAGTGCAAAAGGTATTGGTATCATGATCGCAGCTAGACATCCTAAGAGGGTTGAAGCCCATTGTATGCCCATCGCATCGAACATCTGACGCGTAAAAAGAGGAAAGGCTGCTGCAACTGATGAACGCAAGATAATATTAGCAGCAACTGTACTTGCCGCGCTAAAATATCCAAATCAGTATTTCCTCAAACCTTTGGATTATTTTGAAACTTACAGCGGTAGATAGGAGTCGACAAGATAGTTGAAGCATGGCAGAAAGACACACAAAACCCCAAACCCGATAAAAACTCCTCCCACGGTTGGAACTGCCCAGTGTATGTTTGAGTCAAATCCAGTCCATCCAAACCTAAAATTGTTAACACAACAACATAGACAGTCTGGTTGACAAACCACTTACCAAAAGATGCCAATACTAAACACCGGTGCCCCAAAAAGAGCTGGATATAGACGTTGTTCAATGACAAGATTCTTGTTGTTCTTGAAATCTTTTGTATACCTATTGTGGACCCAAATTACGAATGTGCAAGCAAAAAGCTGGCCAATCGCAAGTCCAAGAAATGGTAGGCCACCAACTCCCTGACCCATATTATACGTCCCTTGGAAGACTAATGGATATGCCCCAAGCAGACAATAAACCAATCCATAAACAAAAGACATGTAAATGGATACGACAAGAATCACAGGCTCGGTGAAGAGCATGTATAGAGGTCGACTGAAATATTTCTGTAACGGCTCTTTTGTGTTCGTCTCAAGCGTCTCAAGAGGTGCTCGAGCTTGACTGTTCTTGGTCTGAAGACGTATGCTGACGGCCTTTTTAACAAGAAGACGAGGCGCATGCGTTTCTCGCAAAAAAACCAGGGAGATCAAGCCATTGACGAGGCTCAGTATTGCCGGGAAGTAAAGGGTCCATCTCCATCCCAGATTGCCAGTAACAATAAAACCCCCAATGAATGGGGCGATAAAAGGTCCAGCAAAGACAGTTAGAGCGTACAAGGAGATTGCTACGCCACGAGTGGTATCGTCGTACACATCTGCAAGAACGCTCGGTACTAAACCAAGCTGCCCTGCTCCGCAAACTCCAGCAAAGAATCGGCAGACTAGTAAAGGAGATATACTCTTGGGAACAGCAGCTCCAATCGTAAATATGCCACCCAGGAGCATAGAGATCGTCAACGGCCACTTGCGACCTCGTAACTCCGACGCAGGGGCCCAGATGATAGGACCGAAAGCAAAACCAAGCACGAATAATGTAGTTCCCAGAGTCACGACTTCTTTATCAACGTTGAATTCGCGACTAACGGCGTTGACTGCTGTCGCAAAGACCGCACTGCTGTATGAGACGATAAGTGTCCCGCTACAGATTGTGACGGAGATAAAGAGCCTGTGATGAAGACTTAGTACTTTCTTTACGGATAAGTTGATAGAGAGCAGTACTTACTTGCTCGATCGATTCAAGTTGTAGGGATGCAGACGATCATGCTTTTCTTCAAATTTGACTATATATATCTCAGAATCAGTCGTAGCATCGTCCATTGTGGGAAAGGTTTGTCTTTCTACCCGGTTATGCTATTGTAAGTGCATGCTTGAAGAATTGTACCGCCACAGATTCCTTTCTGGCATGTGAATATATATCTTGGAACAGTAGTTAAACCTTTTGTCTGAGTAAAGCCCTAGTCTAAGTTGGCGTCACGCTAATTGAAAATTATTTGTGATGGTTAGCTACAAAGCCGCTGTTGCCGCAATTGGCGGAAGATCATTTCAAAACACCTGGACGTGCACTCTATGAATTATAAGCACCTCGTAAACATTAAGTGTTCTGCGTGCTAAATCTTCAAACTGTTGTCAAACCTAAATTGGAAAGAATTCAGTATCCACAGACTGATCAAGGTCAATGCTTGTTAAGCCAGGCAAATCAGCAAAAAGCGCTCCAAGCCACGAGTTTTCCTCAGGACCAAAGTTGATCGGTGACACATCAGTAGTAATTCGTTCTTGTTGAGGAATCGCGAGCGCTTCTCCAAAGATTGCTATGTCATCCATTCTTCGTCGTTGATAAAGCAGAAGCAGTAATTGAACTGTTTTACTAGCATCCTTCATCATTTCCGTGGGGTACAGAGACGCAGTCAAATTCAACACCTCCAAAGCTTGTGGTAATACTGCAAGTGAGGATCGCGTATCCATGGCAAGAAGTATGCAGATCGTCTGGAAAGGTACATTCGCAACTTGATGCCATGGGCAACATTCAATGGCCATCTTTCGAGCGCATTCTAGTCCGCTGTTCAACAAAGAAACAGCTTGCTCTGCTAGCTCGTAAGAAAGATCGGATTTGTAGCTGTATATGTGACGCAGGATACAAAGAACGAGGTTACACTGCGCAAGAACGGATGGGGGTTGGACGTGGTTGCCAGCCATAATCTGTTGAAGTTTGCTGGAAAGCATACTTTTCTCTACCGGCTTGCCAGGATCCAGACTTATGGAAATCGGGAGAAGCCTCAAGATCTCAATCGTGTAATCGCCTGGTGTGGTGGGGGATACATCAGGCAAGTTGTCATCGTGAAACGAGACTCTCGATAGGCCTAGATCAAAAGATGTCCACGCGTTCAGGTGAGTGGCCACACCAATTAATCTACTAGCAAGTGGTGGACAGTATTGTACGTCGTGCAAAATCGTTGAAGCAGATTCAGGATAAATCCCCGAAGCTTCGATCAGATGCATCAGGGTGCAACTGGCAACCCACGTCGAATGAGGTAGATCTGTCAGTCTCAGATATATAGTCCGTAGTAACCACCCAGTAAGAAGATCCACATGAGGGGGCCCAACCAAGCGATAGTTACTCAAAATTGATTGGGCTGTGTTTGCAAGCTGCAATTCCGTGATTGTGGCATTTCGTTGAGAGAATAGGCATCCAATGGCCGCAATGCTGCATATCACACTATCGTAAACATCCATTGACGCAGGAGCGTTCCAATGAATCTCTAAACGTTCCTCGAAATCTAAACGATCGATGAAACCATAGCATGGATCCAACTTTTCGAGATAGACTTGAGTGAGAACCTTGATCTGTTTAAGTGAGGTAATTTCTCTTATATGTTGAGTGGCGATTGGGTTGAAACCAAATGAAAGCTCTCTGACACCCACATTCCATGCAAAGAGACTCAGTTTTGGAGCTCTTGTAGGATCAATCTTGAGGCCGATTTTCCTGACAAACGCTGCTCCAGAGTTGGCTTCTAAATGTTGCGCCATCACTGAAGCACCCGACGCAGCAGGGCCTGGCTCAGCTACTTCTGGCAGTACAGAGTTCTGCTTTCCTGAATAGTGCGTCGAGTCTTGTTCGGGGGCTGGAAGTGTGCCTGGTTTGGAGTCGTTTTTGTAAGAGCAATCGTAACCCCATTCGACACAAGTAGTGCACGGCTCACCACCATCACATTTCCTTTTTCGGTGTCGACATGGCATACAGGCTTTTCGAGAGCGCTTCCGCTTTAGCGAATTCGTAGCATTCATTCTATCGGATAGAGTGGGATTCTGTCGGATGTAGTGGGAAGCACAAAAATCTGTTATGTGTCCAGGTGTGCTTCAATGACGCTGCTCGAGGGGCGAAGCGGGATCGGCTTACGCAAGGATATTGCGGAGACGAAGAATAGCTATTTCCGCAACATCCGCCGCTCTGTAGAACTTCGGTTCAAAGATTTTCCATGGGGCTTCAATTCGGAGGAACAGAACTCTAATGGTCTTCAGCGTTTTCTTAAAGTTTATTTTCCTTTGGCCTCAGGATGCTGTATAAAGAATAAGAAATCTCATTCCGAAGAGAATTTTGTGATCCTACATTGTTGTGGCCATCCAGCATTTCAATCAAGATGTCCACTTTGACGAAAAGCCAAATACAGACGATCAAAGCGACTGTTCCGGTCCTTGCGCAACATGGAGAAACAATAACCACCAAATTCTATGCGGACCTACTCGTTGCGCATCCCGAGCTCAAAAACGTGTTCAACAGCACACATCAAGCGACTGGCCGTCAAGCACGCGCGCTCGGTGCTTCTCTACATGCATACGCCTCAAATATCGATGACCTTGGGAGATTAAGTCCAGCTCTGGAATTAATCTGTCACAAACATGCAAGTCTCTACATCCAACCAGAAAGTTATGATGTGGTCGGCTACCATTTGCTGAAAGCAATGAAAGAAGTACTTGGAGATGCTGCAACGCCCGAAATTCTTGATGCCTGGGAAACGGCGTATTGGCAGTTGGCAAACATAATGATGAGCAAGGAAAAGGACTTGTACCAGCGTGGTGACGGATGGACAAACTGGAAAAGTTTTAGGATTGCGAAGAAGATCAAGGAAGCCGAGGAAATTACGTCGTTTTATCTTAAACCCGTGGATGAGACTTTTTCGCTACCGATGTATAAACTAGGTCAATACATATCGGTGAATGTTCACATTCTAGATTCGGAAGGAGGTCATTGGCAGGCTCGACAATACAGTATGAGTGATTCCCCTGGAAACGAATATCTCAGAATCAGTGTCAAAAGAGATTCTGAGGCTCATTCACCGGACTCCAGTCACGTACATCAACGTGGGCAGATTTCCAATCTACTGCATGACCAGAAAGATGTTGGGGACGAGATTCAAGTCTCTCACCCCAGAGGCGATTTCTACTTCGAGTCGCAACGGAAGGACCAGTCTCCAGTGATTTTGATTTCGGCGGGTGTAGGCTCAACATGTTTATTGAGCATCCTGAAAACAATTTCACAAAACACCACACGACCCATCACCTGGATTCATGGCGCAAGAAATCACGAGATGCGTCCCTTCAAAGAAACAGTTGACCAGATCTGCTCTCGCAATGATGCGATGCACACGGTTTACTTCTCTTCTAGACCACTTCAAACAGAGGTTGAAGGTCGCGAATATGATAAACAAGGGCGAATCAACCTGGAGAATGTGAACAAATGGTTACTTTTTACAGATGATGACAGCGCCCAATATTTTGTCTGTGGTCCTTCAGAATTTATGGTAAATACGTCCAAGCAATTGAAACGTTATGGGGTCAATGACAAAAACATCAAGATGGAGCTTTTTGGAACCGGTGCAATACCAGACTCATAGGGTTTGGCAATGGCCAGAGGGGGCTCGTGAATTGATTCAATGTCGAAGGAACGTTCAAGTGCATTAGACTCTATCTTCACTCTGATAGGTGTGAATGTCCAACATGATTTGGCAATTTCATCCTACGTGTTTTGAATGTGCTTTTCAATGAATCCATCATCGCGCCTAAAATACAGCTTGTTGTGATTTTCTTGTCTAAACAAATCGACTTATCAAGAAAATGAGAATTTTTGTTTACAAATAGTATCCGAACCTTCAGCCAAAGAGGACTGGATTGGCTAGCAGAGTACACAAGCACTGTCAAAAAGTTGCTCTATGGGCATACAAGGTTCCCAGATTGTCAACGGGAATGTTATACAACCGTGGTTATTCCTAAGTGATCGCTAGAAGTGAGGTAAATTCAACTATGATCATGTTTGTCTCTTGCGCTGCAATCTTGGGTCGAAGTTAAAATTTCGGGAAGTTGTAGATGTGTGGTGTTACCCGCAATTGCCGATCCTCGACCGGCACTTGCTAAAGCGGAGGTGGACACTAATTTTCATCTATATTACACAATTTCCCACCTTCGAACATCACCTCAAGTCAATCAGACAAAGACTAAGCCTCTGGAATAAATTAATCCCACTTTTACAAGATCAAATAGGTAGAGCGCTGGCAATTCGCAAGCTAAAATGGCCAAAAGACTATTGAGCAACTTCTCTTGGATGACGAGTCCATACATCGTGGCTGCACCAATGAGGATTATGTCAGGTCCAGAGCTTGCAGTCGCAGTATCGAAAGCAGGTGGATTAGGATTCATCGGACCGGGTGCAAAGCCAGAGGATACTGTGAAGGATCTGGCCGTGGCACGAAAATTGTTAGAAGCGATGTCAGTCACAACACGGCCGGCTTCTTCGACACTTAAATCTATCATACCCGTCGGGATTGGGTTTCAACTTTGGAACGGTGATATAAATGCCGCTGTCATCGCTGTCCAGAAGTATACACCATGTGCAGCATGGCTTTTTGCACCTCGCGACGGACAGAAAGATCTTGATCATTGGATAAAAACGCTACGAGATGCCTCTCCTGCAACTCAGATATGGATCCAGGTCGGAACACTCCAAGAAGCTGTTGAAGCGGCAAGAAGCAAATTTCGCCCAGAGGTACTTGTTGTTCAAGGCGATGAGGCCGGTGGTCATGGTATGGCAAAGAATTGCCTTGGATTGATGGCTCTCTTGCCCGAAATTGCAGATGCTTTAAAAGATTCTGGAATTTCTTTGTTTGCTGCAGGAGGAATCGCAGATGGAAGAGGAGTCGCTGCTGCTCTTGCGCTTGGTGCGTCGGGTGTAGCACTCGGTACACGCTTTCTAGCTTCGTCCGAAGCACGCATCAGCAAAGGTTATCAAAATGAGATTGTCCGAGCCAATAATGGGGGAACATCTACAGTCCGAACAACTCTTTACAATCAGCTCAGAGGCACGCACGGATGGCCAGAAAAGTACAGCCCACGTGGTATAGTCAATCGTAGTTGGCATGAGCATCAAGCCAATGTAGACTTTGATATTCTTAAAGAACGTCACGATGATGCAGCTAAGAAGGGCGACAGTGGTTGGGGTCCTGAAGGAAGATTGGCGACATATGCCGGGGCTTCTGTAGGGCTGATTCATGATGTGAGAAAGGCGGGTGAGATTGTAAAGAGTTTACAAGAAGAATCGCGAGACATCTGGAAAGTTAAATCCAAGATATGATATACTCTCAAAATAAGTCCAAGTTTTGAATAGATTTGTAATAATACCTACCTATTTAAGTTCGGCATGCTGGGGAAATACTTGGGGATAAGGTGACCATCAAATCATCTGTTAAACAAGCATCGCAACATTGTTCCGACTTCCAACACCAGCAGCTTGAATTGCAATCCTGAGTGCTTCGATAAATTCACAGCACAGTGTATCACGTCTGAGTGCATACGGCTCACTGCTGCTCCTAGCTAAGCGGGTCACCACTAAGCACCCAAACAGCCTGCTCCGAGTTTGCATTGAGAAGTGCCAACACATCGCAACCCAAGGGAGCAAAGCTAGTATTTCGTGGTAGGAATTGAAATAGGCTGTATTTGATACCAACTTCCGGATTCCATCACTTCACGAAGCAGCAAGAAATCAAACTGAGAACCCTATGTGTGGAAGCCTCATAAGCTACGATGACATAGGCAGTATTTTTGGAGTCTAAATTACTCAATCATTCAGATATAAGCAAGTGTAGTATCAAAAGCTCCTCTTGGCGTATGCCGTGTGAAAAGTACTCGTCAAAATTGAGAACCCCTTAGTTCTCTACGATATTTCTGAGCAAGCTCAGGCGGTCAACAAAATTCATATTCTTCTACCGTCTAGGTTCGAGGGCGGCCATAAGTCTTTTTCGGTAGACAAGATACATAAGGTTTAGATACTGGGTTAAGGGAAAATATGCTCAGAGTCTAATTTTCGAGTGAAAGCTCACAGCATGGAGAAGATAACAAAAAGGCGTGTAATTAATGTAGAGCACTAAAAAGAGGTACGACCCCAATGCCGCACACGATTGCATGTGGTTCATCTACTATGCTGCGAAGCAGAGCTATTCCGTTGAAAGCAAATAAAAAACTCGAGATTCGAAAAGAAATTTGCCTTTGCTTTCAGCTATCATGGTATCTATGTTAATCAAAATAATTTTTCATGCCTATCATACCCGTCCGAAGAATCCCTAATGTAATCTCACTGCTATTCGCATCTAATAACTTGTTTTTGAAAAACGAATGACTCAATGCCATTCTCCAAACCCTCGCATCTTGCTAAAGCAGTATTGCCATCTGCTTTCAAGTGGTTGTGGCACGGATAAGGGGTGTCTCTACTTTCACACCATAAGGCGCCAGGATTGCCTGTCTCATCATTCTTGTACTAACACATCACTCGCCAGGACAGTAAAACAGCATTCTCCAGGAGGTCGGTCATCGTTGGGATCGTGGTCTTTGTCAATGAGCGCTTCGGTAATTGGATGGCATTTGTACGTAGAGACGAGCAACGATTTGACATCTCCACTGACGGAGCGTGCGGGAAGAACATGAAGACGTGCAAAGGATCAACGTTCGGAGATTGCTGTGGTAGTTCTGGCTTTTTTTGCAAAACAGATGCTTTTATATAGATCTTCTATAACTAGTAAGTTAAGACTCTCTACCAAAGTAGAAGTCTAATGATAGATAGCTGAACTCTATACCATTTAAGATTTTTGTGGTTCCGGTTGCAATGCTTCGTTTGGGACATGTTCTGCGACCAACAATATCTCGCCTGACGGAGCTTGTGGCAAAAATGGGAAGACCATGTCGGGTCTACATTTGGCAACGTATGACAGCTTTTCCTTGGTCTCCATTTGGAAGCACGCTAATTTGATTTGTTGTAGTGTTGTAGCAGTACCGGCTTTTGCGGATCAACAGCAGCTGGGTATTGTAGTGTTGGGTGGTAAGACTTTCTTCTCCGATCACGGAAAACCATATGCTTACCAGAATCTTTTGAACAGTCAAAAAACATTCTCAACCGCGTGCCTGACTTTGAATATTCCCAAGGTTGACGGAACTTGTGGGTCAAAAGTTGTTCTGACATGTGCTGGCGGAGCGTTTGACGGGAATTGCTGTAGTAGTAGCGGTTTCTGCGGGACTACCAGCGCGTTCTGCGCGACTGCAAATGAATGGTACGTGATTCCGATTACTAATGAGAATCAAAAGCTAATCATTGATAATCAAAAATCATACGGAAAGTGCACATAGGAGGAGCTGCCTAGCTGCAGTTTGAGATATTATTCAACTAAAATCACCGCCACAGCAACAATTAGTATCAACGTCAGTCTGGAACAATAGCGCCTCTCAGCACGCATACCACGTTTGCGGGTTGCAGACGCGAAGAGTAATTATGAAGCACGGTGGCATCTATATTAGATTAGCGTTGGTCAACTTCTGGCCACTTCACCTGGCCACTTCATAATAAATACATACATTCTGTTTGACACATTCTGTTTGAGACATTCTGTTTTGACGCATAACTTTGCGGTGGGGGTGACATCAGAACGACTCCATCTCGAGAATGGAAGCAAAATGTGGTTCCGCAGATGAGGAGCTTCCAGGTCGAGTTGTTCGCACATTTTTGATTTATTTCGCCGGCTGAGGTAGCAAGATCAGGTGTGAAATTGGACAGAGGAGTGCCAGATACTGTGCCTCGGAAAATGACAGATCTCTGTCCGATGACACGGATTTTGTTACCTCCAGGCATTCGTGGCTAAGAAGGCAGTTGAGGGCCTGGCTTAGGTAGGTAATAGACTTTGTCATGTCAAACTTCCTCAGATGCCCTTGGAAATCTGTCCATCTCCAGGATAAAGCTCGTCTGGCGTTTGGGCATTCAAAGTGTGCCATAGTCCTGAAATCAAAACAGTTGTCGAGATCTTGAAGTATCCCGGATATTCGTCGCCTCCATTTCTATCATCATCTGCATCGTAGTTACCGTCCACTCCCCACACGAAAACACCGTCATCATCTGGAGAACGCAAAGCACTGGACCCTTCCTCGCAATCTAGCAAAGTTTCGGCGGATTCTTTATCAACGAACAATGCGAGATCCAGATCCAGTCCAAGGGGTATATGCTCCTCTGCCTCCTTAACCAACTCTGTAAAGCAATCGCGTACCTCCTGAAATGGCTTCCCATCCATACTCTCATCCTCCACTAACCACCACACCAACTCGCCTGCTATTCCCTCCTCCAAGTCACCCACTGCCCCCATGTCCCTCAACCTATAGTCCATGACATCCTTCCAGCGTCTCCAAAATATGTCCCACCTCTCGCGCTCTCCCTCTTTGCATCCCCAGGTCTTAAAGACTACGAATTCCCACGCCTCCACACCCGTCGTATACATTGCGCTCGCGACATCAAACATATCCTTTTGTGTGCTCATATCGTAATCCCCAAGCTCCATCTCTACCGCGAATGCTCGTTCGGATTCTGCGACGGTGGATAGTCCCTCTGCCACGCGCGACGCGTCTAGGGCGTCATTGCGTGCGGCAACGCTTGCGCGAAATCGAGCTTCGGATTGTGCGAGATCAGCTTTGATCCAGGCGGAAATGAGGTCTTGGTCTATAGGTGGGAGGGAAGCTCGGTCGATTTCGTTGGTAGAGTAGACGCGGGCGGAATCCCAGCACTGCTGAAAGAGGAGGCAAAGACATCTCGAGTGTTGGACAGAAGGGAATTGATCGATCTCAGAATAGGAGAGGCCAGAAAAACAGGCCTCTAGGTCATTGCGAATCATAAAGCGGAGTGATCATCTTGACGATGAGGTTATGCGAGAAGGCGCGTGAACTCGATATTATGCCTGTCGCGATTGCCTTTGCGCTCAGTGAATTGCACGCATCACGTGATGCTAGTCATTAGGAGAATCGTCCTTCGTTTAACGAACAACGGGAAGGGGTGAAATTGGTTGCAGAAATATGTGGTAACTAGAAAAGAGATGCTGTTGGACTAAATCTTGAGGTGATCGATCTTCCAGAGGCGCGTTGGTCAGATCTCCGATGGAAATGGAGGGGCGAACGCGCCTGATTCTTCTCGCTAAATTCTCAGCCCATCTGTGCATTCTGGCGAATTATTCGATCGTGTCAGATGTTTTTATATCGTACCAAAGGCTCCGTATTGTTGCTCTAATGCAAAATTAGGGTACTGATGAGTATCGAGATTACCAGGAAGGTATGGTCAAGTCGGTTTGGACAGACCTCTACTTCTCTTCTCTTCCGCCGCACAGTGTTGCACCGTACCCCTCTCCTTGAGTCTCACAACAGGTGATTAATTCACTGCCAGCTTTGATGGTTCAACATCATGTTGATGATGGCAGGCTCATTCTTATCATTGTTGTTAAAGCCCATTGCCCAAGGGTACAATACCCAGAGGCTTCTCTTTCTTTCTCTTGACGATGTCGGAACCCAGCGCTGCGAATTCAGGAATCGCCACTTCAATCATTGATGGCGTCTGTAAAGGCTGCTTAGACTTACAGCTCAATCTCTTGACGTCCTTTGCTGATCGCTATTCCACTACGTATCAATTAATTTTAGACGCAGCTAAAGAGGGATGTGAAGGTTGCCGCATTCTCCAACACGCGATCACGGAGTTATCAGACAGAAATCAAGCACCAACAACAGCAATTAGTATTTTTGTACGGAATATAGCGAATTTTAAACCATGCCTTTCCATTCATGTTGTGCAAGGGCCATCAAGCACAGAAATCTCCTTCTACACGCTTCCCGGTATCTTGCTCTGACTCATCTTGTATCATGTGCCAACACTTTCTAACGGATACGCAGACTCCCCAAGTAAATGGGAAGTATTCACATGGGATCAGTTTCGCAGCGTTTCCAGTAACACCTCTTCGCCCGAGAGTATAGACCTGGTTTGCTCGTGGATACAGGAATGTGTAGCGTCGCATCGCGCTTGTCAAGTCCACTCCTCTCAGCTGCCAACAAGAGTAATACATGTGGGTTCACAAACAATCGAGCCTAGATTATATAGCAGCGATAGGGAACATGCGAAGTATGTAGCACTCAGCTACTGCTGGGGCAATTTCCATTCTGTTACCACAACAAAAGCGACGCTGGCGCAGAACCAAATACAAATCCCGTTCTCAATGCTGCCCATCCTCTTCCAGGACGCTGTTCTTCTCACTCGAGCCTTTGGGGTCGAATACCTGTGGATTGACGCATTATGCATTATCCAGGATGATAGTAGCGATTGGACCATGGAATCGACTAGAATGGCAGATGTATATTCTCAAGCTCACCTCACAATCTCAGCAGATGCTGCCAAGGATGCGAGTGAAAGTATTTTCTCTGCAACATACGATTCGGCCAATAAAGCTGTCAGTATACCATGCTCGGGACTGTCAGATGGAGTGAGTAGTCATGTACATGCACGAGAAACGGTCTTAGATGTATCCCACAACTTTTCCGTCTTCTATCTCGAAGTCCAAAAGGATATTGGACATGGTAATTTCAAAGCAAACGTTTTAGATAAGAGAGCATGGGCATTTCAGGAGCGACTTCTCTCCCCTAGGACACTTCACCATACTGCAAATGAGAAGGTGTTTGAGTGTAGAGAAAATTGGCGTTGTGAGTGCACTCTAGAAAAGTATGAATCAAAGGGCCGATTGTTCAAGATACAGCAGCCGATCGGAAATAAAGATATCTTTACTCGGAAAGAACCGAGATTCGACTGGCAAAGTATCATTGAACAGTTCACATCAAGGAAGGTCACGTATGATACTGACCGCCTTCCCGCAATAGCAGGAGTAGCTAGTTCGATGAAGCCTTACACCCCTGACGACTACTTATTTGGCTTGTGGAAATCAGAACTTTTTACAAACTTGCTCTGGTCCACATTCATACTAGGCAACGGACACTCTCGCCGGAACAACTCACAGTATGCTCCTACGTGGAGTTGGGCGTCTGTGACCTCTCTTGTTTCCCTAGGTCGACAGAATGCAAAGCGACGATATTGTGAAGTTTTAGATACAACTGTATTGCGGACGACCAACAGTCCTTAGGGACCCGGAACTGGAACTATTACACTTAGTGGACCGTTGACTCGGGGCTCTGGCATGAACAGAGTGCATCATTATACTTTTTTGATTGACGTGGGGCGTGACGTTGTCGAAAAATGCGAGTTTTGGCCAGATATAACATCCATGGATCAGATGGAAATCACTCCTGTCGACGAGGTGTATGTTTTTGCGATTACATGGGATGATGAGAATTACAGGTTCGCTGACTGCCTCGTTCTCCAGCATGTTAATTTTGCTTCGTCTACTTTTCGGAGAACAGGGCGTACATTCGTGAAGACTGGACATCCATCTGAGTGGGCGCTAGAGACTGTTAAAATTGTCTAAATACTGTTGCCTGTAGCTGTCCTCTCTTCATGAGCTATGAAGACATGCTGAGGGTTATGTACCTGGTAGTTCAACCAACCTAGAATACCATAGATCTATGCAGATGTAAAGAGCTAAACTTCTGAAACCGTGTTCATTGGCTCTGCCCAAAATCATTGATTACTTGCAGATATTCAAAACCTCCAGTCTGTAGAAGAGGTGCCACACCAGAAGTATCAAAAACCACATTAGCAAACGCTTGATCTAGAATTGCATCATCCATCTCCTCGACCGAGATAGTCAACGGCGGCCATCCGGAATAAGCCGCACGCACCAGAAAGCGCCGAGAACTGACATGAAACTCCAAGTTCAAGCGCTTTTTGAAAAGTTTGCCAGCCCATTTCGACACCTGGATATTTGGTGATTGGACCGGAAATCGTCTCCATGCCTTGCAACAAGACGCGAATGTCGCCAATACACCAGTACTTCTTTTGCAGACCAACTAGATCATCGCAAAGTTGCTTCCCACGATCCCTCGCCATTCGGCAAATATTGTCTCGTAGACTCGTACTGCAATCTCAATCATTTTACTTCCCACTGCAGCAGCTAAGAGATTGTTGTAGTGTGTCGTCACCCAGAGATAGCCACCCACGAGAGCGAGTCTCTAAATCTCAGCAGTTTTGCTAATAAAAGCCACAGGTAGACTGCATTCCATGGTCAATAGCATGAATGATACCGACTCGTTGAAATTCAAACTTACCACCGGTTCGTCCTAGTTTAGTTTGCGACTTATGCGCGATCATCAGCATTTGAAGTTTCTTGCATTCTTGGCTAAACGTTTCAGATAATCCTCAGGTCGTTCGAGAATTTCTCCGACGAAGAGGATGGGTGCCAAGGCAAACGTTGCGAGAGATCCAACATATTGCTGGTCAATCATAGACCAGCCAAAATCCGTTCCCGTTTCCCAATCATAGCTAATATCAGGCTTACTGAACACTGATAGGTACCCCTTAGGGTTTGTAAACGCAAAGTGACCCAACACGACACGAGCCTTGTGATCATTCTGATGACTCTATCAGGATATAGATTAGCGACCACCTATCTTCAACCAGTGTTGTCAAAAAACCAAAATCCCTATTTGGTTAGCAAAAATGGGTGGCGTGTTAATAAATTAAGCCTAAAAGATATAGCTATCATATTCCAGCCTTTTTACGAAATACGAGTTCAGATATTGGCCAGTTCACATAGATCTGCCCACTCACTACACTGTGCGTGTCAATCATCGACGCCCTTTCTGCTGCTCTGTCCTCAAACCCCGCTATCGTAGCCTTACCTCTTTCAATTGGTCCAGGTGGACAGCTGAGCAAGAGGGCTCGAACAGCTGCATCGGACCTCGAGTCTGACGAAGCTTGTGTGGATTGGCTTCCACGTGTGCAGGGAGGCGCAGAAAAGTGCACTTCTGAAAAAGGCGGTAGGTTAACGTGTCACTAGGAGGGCGGGGCAGTTGAATTTTAAATCATCGCTTCTTTCCTCATTCATACTTTCTAAATCAAATATTAATATCAACAACATACCGAATTCACCACTTTAGAACAAAAGCGCATTACACGCCATAGTATCAGTGTTTTCGTTGTCCGCCTATTTAATTCTTTCACAAACATCAAGTTTTGACGTCCTCAATATTCGAACTACGACTCGGAACACTCCTCGCACCCCTTCTCTCGCACCAACTCTCATCACAGCTTTGGCTCTTTAATACGATCAATTATATTTAGTCTCTCGAGTCTGAAATTGTTTAAAGTTGACGAGTAAATAGTTCCGAAGCTCTGGCGTGCGAAATCCTCAAAGGCACGTTTGGAACGTGTCTTTGCCGGTAGCGAATTTGGTAGGACAACTTGAAATATGACACTGACCTACATCATCTACATTCTCTTGAAGAAAGAAGAAATAAGATAAAAAGAGAGGAAAGAAAAAAAAAAGAAGGGGGAAGGAAAAGAAATATCAGGGAAAAGGGCTCGTTATCCATACTGGCTGATTGTTGATTTTGTATTCGTATTGTTTCTTGGTTATTGATCTAATAACGATGTCTGATTCCTGGGAATATAATAGGCCTAAAATGCTACGCGACCGAGTATGTTTCAAGACGATGACCTTTTGAGCAAGGTCCCCCTAAGTAAACGGCGCTATCCACTCGAGCAATCCTAGACGCCCTTCCAGCCACTGTTTCGCAGAGTGCGCATCAAACATCGCAGTTGTGAGGTCGCCCTTTTCATCTTCTACTCCAATCCTTAGCTAACAAAGTTCTCAAGCATGACTTACAACACAAGCACTATCACGAGCGCGCAAAATCCACCTGCTGCGCCAGCTTCTCAACAGTAAGCCTCTTCCAAATGCAATTCTCGGGTTTTCCACTAATTTACACGAATCAGACTCAATCAGCGATATCATTGCCCAATTTTCGGATGCACCAAGCACTACAAGCGAAAGCACGAGCTACATCGTCATCAGAAATATCATACCGGTGTCAAGCCTCATCGATGTACTATCTCAGGGTGTAAGAGATCCGGCGAGAATCTTTACGCGAAAAGACCATTTGACACAGCACGTGAGAAAGGTGCATCAGACGACGATTCCTTCCATGACAACGAACAGCGCATGAGACTGGGCGTGCTACTATCACGATTTTCTTTATGTGCCAAACTGTTTTCTCCGATACACAAAGAGATACATTCGGCAAAAGCTTTCTTTTTTGGTCGTAAGATGGGTACGTGTAGCAAGTTATATGCTGTAGCTAAAATAGTTGCAGCTATCTTAATACAGATCTTATACAGTTTTGGAGCAGACATAGCGATGTATAAGTTCATCTCAATGGGCAGTAGTTTTAGTGCAGTTTGTTATTCATGTTTAAAAGAGATATATCCCTTTCTCTAGAAAATATTGCAGAAGATAGACGCAACCCTAACTCACTAGGACTTTAATTCTTCGCGACTATAAGACTATACTCTCCAAAACTTTCCTGACTTATTCTCAAGATAAGAAGATGTTCGGATAGGAATTGAAAACGGTATTTTGGGCGACTACTGCGGCATGCTTTTCCAGGCTCGATAACACACTGACAATATCCGGCAAAGATATAACGATAAGTGCAGCGGAACTCTGAAGATCCCGTCATAAAAACAACATTCGTCCGACGTGTCGCTGTTTTGAAGATGGCGCATTTCAAATTGAACATCGTGACAGTACTCCCACACGCGAAGACCGCATCACCTCAGAATACATATTTCATGATCTACAATCGCTCAGAATAAGAAACAAAAATGTTTGTTCAACGCATGACCTGACAGGAAATACCCAAATCAGGATGGAGTTGCGATTAGGGTTGCAATCACAGGAAATAGCTTCGTAGGACGTGGGACATGGGATTGTCACCCATTGGTAAAGCAAGGATGTTCTATTTTCACATAACATTTGCCGGTGCACGATTGAACTTGAGTTGAGCTGAATGGGTAGATCCAAAACACATAAATCATGGGTCTATTATCGTGGATTCCGACGTTTCTGGGCAAATGGACTGTATATGAACCGCTGCCACCGGATGTGTCAATTCCTCAACCACTTTAAAGCGTTGACAAACTCAACAACCATCGCTTTCCTCTCCCATTTCTGCTCTCCATATAATATCACATCGCAGCGATGAAATTGATTACATCAACAATCCTTTTTAGTCTCGTTCCTCTCATTATCGGAAGGACTATCCCTCGGCAGCTAGCTGCTGATACTGTGGATTCCGTGTCCAGCAATCTGGACGACCTATCAGCTACGATCCAGGTGCTCGTTCCTTCCCCGTATGTTCGAGACACTTTGGAGAATAGATTCGAACACAGCTACGAAACTACCGAGAATGGACAAGACTTCCAAAGGTACGTTCAAGACCTCCTGTCAAGCTTGAATAGTTTCAGCCACGACTTAAAATAAGTTGAAAGATCATCGATTAACGAGACATCTAGCCAAGAAATCGTGTCACAAGAGATTATGAAGCTACAGCTCCTAGGAAGACTCTTGAGTGGTATTGCGAGCACAATTACCGATACCAATGACTCTACACCTGCACGTTCGACTTCTGCTCAAACCACTCAAGAACCTTCCGATTCATTCCATAGGAGATCCCTGGACGAGGATTCAGGAGACACAGGCCTACCGCAAGCGATTTCAAAAAGACAACAACTCCTAGGGCAACTTTTGGACGGCGTCATAAGCATCCTAGATGGCTCTATCTTGGCCCGTTTGGATTTGGCTGGGACTACTGGCGATCTCTCGAGTCCATTCGACGTAAACCTCTTAGACGGCACGCCATATCCAGATAGCGTACCGCAAGCGGTCGCAAAAAGACAACTCTTAGGGCAACTCTTGGAAGGCGTCATCAGCATTCTAGATGGCTCTATCTTAGGCCGTTCGGAGTTGACTGAGACTGCTCGAGTCTGTCTTCGCCGGAAACAAAAGACCAAACAACACAGAGCTCTAAAAGTGATCAGAAGGATCATGATTTTGAACCTTCCGATGAGTGATCTTAAACAAGCTTGGATGATCTTGGTTCCGGCATAGAGCTAAGCGAACGAGAGATGAACAGTGTATTTGATCATGTAATCTCATCACTTGCATTATTTACGAAAAGACAATTGCTCAACGAACACTCAACCCCTAAAGTCTGGGTCAACCATCAGTAAAAGCACATGTTCTGGGCGCTACATTCAGCTCAACACTGTAAATTCAACATTTTCTGGTTTGAGTGCGGATTCTCATTCAAAGTTGGGAAGTTTCCATCGTGACTGGTCGCTAAAAATGTCAGGTGCAAGATTCTGCGAAAGGATGGGCTGGCCATGGCGGTCAAATCATCCAACTTTTGAAAGTTCCTCTTCTGGTATGTTTTATTGACGGACTCCTCTGAGGATCTCGTTTTCTTCTGTTGACCCTTTTCTTTTTCGTTTGCTTTATTGTACGTAAAAGATCAGGAAAACACTTCATCCATTCAACCTCAGGAAATTTGACATACAAATGTTCGAATTGTGACTTACATGATAGAGTCATTTATTTCCATGAGATTTGTTTGTAGATTTGACTTTGGACAGGTCGCTGGGCAGTGTCATGTTCTGCCGTACTGAACAGCGGCTCGTCTGCTCGGAGTGTTTTCCCGATTTAATTGATTGATTTATGAACCGCCCTGTAAAAGAGTGATATTACTTGGCGTCGACATTCATTGGCATGTTCGACAAAAATAACTCGTGGGGGCTGCTCGCACACAACCCTGCATGACTTCCCTATCGGCACGTTGATAGGCAGCTCTGCGTTCTGCATGTGCCGCTATGCTACTTCGAAATCAATCTGCATGACCCAGGCACAATCGCATCTTTCTCCCAGCGATCGCAGTTGTCCTGGTCGGATTGAAATCCTTTGAGCCCAAATGATCGCAACCGACTCGCCTGGGACGCCAACATGCATTGGCGGGTGGGAGAGAACGATTTCAAGCAATTGTTTATCGATCCTATTCGCAATGACTCTCGTAAATGCCGTTTGGGCTGACGGATGGCTAATTCAGAGTATCGTGGCCCTAGGTGATGGCGTTTCTGTGGATGGTAAACCTCGTGGCCTCGATTGTAAGCTGTCATCAGAAGATATGACATTCAACCTCAATCTCAATTCTTACCTATGCAAGTAGAACAGTCACACAGCACTGAACTAATAAAGCAGGTGCCCAAACTTCCTCTGGGTAACCATGCCCGATGATTCCAAGGAGAGCTTGATCGCCGTTCCAATTGGTAGAATCGAAGGAGGCTGAGCTGTGCTGCCTTTCATTCGGGAGTTTGGTAGTTTGGGGAACCTTAAGAACATGCTGCACCCTCAAAGTGGGTGTTCTGCTCTCCAATTCTTGGTAACGAGTTATCCCGTCTTACGACCCGTCAAAGTTCATCGAATCAGAAGTCGTCTTGCATCGAAAATGAGCTCTTTGCATTGGTCGGCGACTATTAACTGCAACGCAATCTAAACTCACGATATTTTGCGCCACTAGCAGAGCTGTTGACGCGTTGCATGCACTGCACACCACCTTCTTCGAGCTGAATTCTAGCGCACTTTGGATTTCTTGGAACTCTAGTCAACGTAATATCAGTGGATTAAATCACCTCTCCCTCACGGATCAATCAATCTTCCATTCTTTATCTCACCTACGTACACATCTGTCTCAGTCAAAATGTTGTCCATTCAGGAGGACTAAAAAGTCACTTGCACTGCTAGTTTTGACAGCCTGTCAAGCTCTATGTCAATCACCCCAGTCAAGTTTCATCCACAAGCAAGATGGTGGACCTCAGCCTTATTCCCCCAGAGTTCCTGAACACCATTCCGGCGGCTCAACCGCCACCTGGCGTAATCTCAAACTTCCTCAACCCAGCCGAGAATAGGATTGGATGTAGGCTGGCGGTATATATCACATTGCCTATGGCAATCATATCCTTGATCATGCGTATTTATACACGACTGAGAATTTCTGGAGGCATCGGAGCTGATGATTGTGAGTGTTCTGGTGGCATGTTACTGGATAATATTAATGCTGGGTAGTATTTGCAGTTGCTTCTGGTGTCAGTAATTGCCTTCGTAACTTGTGGCGTGAACGGAGAATTAACCATCATCTAGGTCTCGGTATGCGCTTACTGCGGGTTACTGTTATGGAGTGCGTTTTTCAAGTGTCCATTCCAAAATGAATGTTGCTGATCATCAATTAGTGATGGACGATTTGCTTGGACTTCATATGTATGATATCAACATAGGACGTCTGAACGAACCATTTCTCAAGGTTGGTCGAAATTTCAGTTGATTCAAACTATGCTCATTTATCCAGGCAATCATTCCTACCATGGGTTTATATTCCCTCGGCGCAATTCTGGTAAAATTGTGCCTTTTACTACTTTATATCCGAATGTTCAGACCACGCAACGTTGCACGAGTATTGATATGGGCTGCTTTTGCATTCATTCCGTTATTCTACATTGCAACTGTCATAGCCTTCACCATATTCTACATGCCGAAAAAAGGAGAGGATTGGATCTCCCCACGCTCGCCTTCGACAACTCACAAGATGAATAATGTTACTTCTGTACAGGGTATTGTGGGGATTGTGACAGACTTTTACATTCTTCTTATTCCGTTATGGTTTGTCAGTGGACTTCGTCTTCCTCTTGGCCGGAAAATTGGTGTATCCGCTATTTTCTTGTCTGGTCTGATGTAAGTTATTTTCTCAAATAATTTTTGACGCAACTGACCTTTGCAGAGCATGTGTTTGCGCCGTCGTCGGATGTGTATATCGATTCAAAGCACGGAAATCTCTCGATTCATTCTGGGATACGATGATCCCATACACTCTAACGTGAGGCACCCCTAGTAGAGCCAAAGAATTGAATGCTCGCTAACTTTACCAGGGTCGTGGAGCTAAACGTTGGCATCGTGTGCAGTTGCATGCCAATCATCTTCGTGGTATTCAAAAAAGCAGTTGTCGGAAACACTTTCGTAGCTCGTCTATTGTACTACCGAAGCCGTCGTTCGGGACCCACCACGAAAGAAGAAGTTCCGCCATCTTCGGACCCATCTGAAAGGGTGAATCCTGGTCTTCCACCAAATGTACTTCCTGAAGTTCCTAGACCGGTGATGACGGGCATGCGATCATTCATTTGGAAAGGTGCAAGATCGAAGCCTGTTGATACAGGGGTCGTCAGTTATCACGAACTGCAGTCTATCAATGATGACTATCATCAACAATTGAGAAAATAGACATAGTAGTTATCTCATACAGTGGATGAAATGTTCTCTTGATTTTGAACCATGTCAAAGCGGTGATATATGTCGGCACTAGTGGGCGACACATTTCTCTACGAACACAGGAACTTCGAAAATAGATAAGTTAACATCGTGATCGCTTTAGTGTAAACTCACTCTTCAAGACGTAGGCTATAAACTTGTTGCCAGAAGAGTAGCTTCGAAATAGGGTCAAAAAGTCAGAGAACCCTATCCTCAAAAAGGAGGGTTTAGATACTATATGTAAGGGCTGCTTAGCTAAGCGAACTCCTGACGCAACTACGAAACAGGCTGTTTTCTTGATTACAAAACTGTTATAATCCATTCTACTTGGGTATCCCTCTACTCTTGCAATTCTCCTTATTGTTCCTGACTGCGTCAAGAATCATGTCACCACCTAATACGCCGCTATCAATATCCAATCCTATCAACAGATATCAAGTTTACAACCTCGACCATTGTACTGGTGGAAGTCAGCAGTGGTTTAGGTCAAGCTCAACACCTTCGTCCTTAGGAAAATTAAATTAGAATCCCAGAAGTTGTATGCGCAAATAGTACCTGATTTTCAGACAACCGACTATAAATTAGCGCAGCCGCAGAGACTCCTTGTGTAGACTATCTTAAATTTAGTTAAGCTCTCTGTGGGACTCTGTAGTCGTAAATATACCTTTAATATTTAGAAATAAACATTAGCGTTTAATATTACTAGCGCTTTTTAGTATTAAGGTCTTTTTAAAATAGTATATTAATTAACTAGAGAATATTATACTTAACGGAATACGTTACACTCTGTTAAATCTCCAATCTATTAAACAAAATTCATTTCAAGCTACCGATTCTTTCAATAAGTTCACTACTAACAGTATAATGAATGTGCTATAACTCTTTTAAGCACCCAATCACTTGTGCCAGTCGAGAGATAGCAATTTTATCAGAGAGTTGTCATAAGCGCAGACAGAAAACCGCAATTGTGGGCAACCTGGGTTGAGATACCAGTTTTTGAAGCCACAAGAAGTAAATGATGAGCTGAACCACTAATTCTTAGTGCAAGAAGTGGAAATTTCGTGGTATATTAGCCAAGTCTCTAGTTATTGGCTCAACAAGCGCTAGAAGCCAATTAAACTAATCTATAACATCATTTGAAGACTTGATAAACTATAGAGACTGTAGTTTCTGGGTTGAGAACTCATTTATAGAAGTAGCTAAGCTGTTGACTTGAGTAGCGATAGTTTCTACTGTACACAAATCGCAGCTGATTCAATCTCCCTTTTTCGCGTGCTCATAGTAGAACCCAAGCTCCCAGCCTCTGCGATACTATTCTACAGTCGATTCATCGGGTTTGCTATATTGTCAAATATTTCATATTCAATCAGCACCCTGATACAAAACAGGTGAAGGGGACATGACTTACCTGAGAGATTATTTGAGATGCTCAAAGCTTTTTCCTTGTCACGTTGAGACTCCTCCAATGCTTAAAACCTCTCTCTAATTGCTGTTATAGTAGCAGCTCCACCTACCGACTACTCCTTTGTGTCTCTTCCCCAATGTCCACCATATGTAAATGCAATCATTCTAGACCCGTCAAAAGAAATAATAGAAGGAAAAAAAAGTAGCTATAAACATTGACCCTGACTTCCACTGAGGATGTGAAGTAAGAAAGCTGTCTATACATTAGGCCCTCGTGCTTTATGCTCACTTGACCTCGTGTCATTCGAATTTTGACTCTTGGTTAAAAACATCTCCAGGTCTCCTTCTATGACAATCCAAGCGTGTTTTTGCTGTATAATGAACTGCGAAAAATCAGAGTCTACAGTGTTTAATATAGTACTCTGTATAATTTTCCAAAGCTTCTCCAACACACCAACGACGCTCCATGGATGCGGTTTAGACAATCTGTAACTATTTAATGTATTAAATCCAAACAATGTAAACAGTATATTTGGTCCCTGCGCAAAATTGGGTAGTAGCACTTCTCTTGATCCCATGTTTCCATGTAGTCTTCCCGAATCACTACATAGCTGAATTGAGCCCAGCGTCTAAATCTTTTGCATCATGAACCCTTTTTGTATTTCATGCATCCAAAACTTCAAAAATGGTGCATTAAACGTCATGTACGCCCTTTCCAACCGCCAAATCACAAAACATATCCCCTACCCTCTCAAACTTCTCCACCACCCTCCCCCCTTCCCCACCGTCCCCACCAAAAATACAACCGCCACCACAATCCCCACCCCACTCAACCCCATCCCCAAATACCACGCCCCCCTAAACCCCCTCAAAACCCCCGTACCATCCCCATCCACCCCCCGTTCCACCGTCCCCGCCAGCCCCAACCCCACGCTAATCGAGTAATTCACAACCGTATTCACCAGACTCATCGCCACGCCCTGGTGTTCCGGCGCCACTTTGCCGCTGAGCAAGATCGTCGCCGAGGGGAATGACATGTCCATTCCCCAGGGCATGACGAGGATGGAGAGGAGGGTTTGCGCCCAGTATGTCTGATTCACAGGGGCGGTGGCGATGAGCGTGGTGCCGGTGAAGAAGGCGCACATGGATAGGAGCATGAGGATTTGGGGTGTGGTTTTGGAGAGCAGGAAGCCGGTTGTGAGGGCGGCGAGGAGGCCGGAGGGGGCTGCGGGGGAGAATTGCAGGCTCGTCTGTAAAGGGGGGAGGGTGCGGAGCGTGGAGAGGTAGGACCACAGGTAGAAGATCCAGATGCCGAAGGTGGCCCAGCCGAAGGCGATGCAGATGAGGATGAAGCTTGTGTCGAGGGTGAGGAGGGGGGGTGGGATGAGCGGGTGCGGTGTTAGGGAGGGGGTGAATTCGAGGAAGAGGAAGAGGGTGAGGAGGATGAGGCCGATGATGAGGATGAAGTAGGTGTAGGGTGTGGACCAGGAGACTAGTGTTGCTTGGTTGAGCGCGATGTTGATGAGGATGAGAGCTGTGACACCCGTGATGGCGCCTGGGACGTCGAGTCGTTTCCATATTGATTCCACTTCGGAACTTCCTTCTGCGGTGGTAGCATTTTCTTGGCTGCTCGCTGGAATAGACGGTATGACCATAAGCGAGACGACAGCCATAACCAGACACACAATAGCCTGCGCCCAGTACGCCCAAACCCAATGTATCTTTTCCGCCAAAAGACTAGACATGACAGCACCAACCACAAATCCCACCGGCGCACTGGCGCCAAAAAACGCAAACGCCATATTCTTCCTCTTCCCTTCATATCTGCGACCGAGAATTCCGAGACCGTTCGGCATCAACAGCGCAGGCCCAATTCCCTGCAACGCTCTGCAGACGCAGAAAAACGCTTCTCCCCGTGAGCTAGATTGCTGGTCGATGGTTTCTAGGATTCGAGGATTGAAACCCGCGCTGAGAGATGAGAGGGCGAACCATAGCCAGCCGATGATGAAGAGTCGTTTTAGGCCGTAGATGTCGCCGAGGCGGCCGGATGGGAGGATGAATGTCCCGACTGTTAGAGAGTACGCGGCGCTGTACCAGGATGGTGATGGGGTGTGGGTTGGAGTGGTGAAACTCTGAGAGATGTTGGGGATGGGTGCGATTGATTGGGCGAGACCTGCTTGCGTGAGGAAGTGAGCTGCGCAGATTGTTGCGATGAGGGCTATGTCTTGGAGGCCGGACTTTGGGGTTGGCTGTGTGGTACTTGAAGCGGGTTTTAGAGTGAGAGGTGGGGGGATTTTGACTCTTTGGGTGTCAATGGTGGTCGAGGAGAAGTCGTTCATATCGTGGATATTGCCATGTCCGATATCCCCGCTATAGTTGTAGTTTGGATAAAGATTTTCCACTTGTTGCCAATCTCCCGACACCCTTGAATTGGGATCATTGTCTATGTCATTTGAATGAGGAATACCGCCAAATTGCGAGTGCGGCTCTTGAATGTCCATCTCATCCGAGACGCCCGGTTCTGCCGTCGGAGTGTCAACAGCTACCGGTCTTGAATTTCTCCATAATGGCTCCTCCATCTCACGTTCCCACGAGTTCAAACGCGTTCGAATACTGGGGCGGGAGCGTCTTGAGCCTGAAAGTCTTGAAGCTACAGGTTTTCGTCTGACTCGCTCAGGCACTGGTGGGTCAATGGTTTTCTCTCTATGCAAAGATTTTGTTGCTTGAATCGTCTCTCTGGTCGGTATCATAATGAAATTTGAATTCATATCTATCCCAGACAATGGCTGAGAGCAAGAATTCATCACTTGATACTCTGACGACATGCTGGAATGATTTCTGAATGAACACTTCGAGGAATAAACAACTAAAAACATAAACACCACCATAATCAATGAAAAAGAAGAGAACAACGAATTCCCAGAATTACCCCCCGAAACCATGTCAGTATAGCCATCCTTGGCGACGCACGCAAATCTAAATCCGTATGCTCGCAAGGCAGTATTGAACAAAAAGGAACATACCGAATCTTTCTCACGTCATGACTCTACCCAAAAGCCAGACATCCAGCTACATCTCAGCCGCTGCTTCTCCTGCCAAATCCAGGCTGAGAGTCCAGCCTACGCGCTCAATCAACTTACAGATCTGACGGCCTCTTCTACGCCTCGCCCAAGACTTTCGGAGCAGCAAGAGGTAGGACAAACTAATCTGTCTCGGTGGTGAGTGCAAGCTCTTGGGATTTAGGGCTGAGCCGCTGCTCGTATTGTTATGCCAAGAAAGCTTGATAGTCAGCTTTCCAGCTACTGTAAGAAGTAGGATTTGAACCCCTGCGCGGGTGGGAAGTTAAAGTAAGATAAGCGAGAGATGCGCGAGGGGAAAGTTCCGAGGAGAGTTGCGGAGGAGGAAAGGGTTGTAAGGTAGATGCAATTCGTCGCTTGCGCTTTAATTGTGAGGTTTGGGACACCGCAAGGTTAAGAATCTGCTATGTGAGAACATGTGATTGAATGTACAAAACGGTAGGTGATTAACGACGATAAGCTATCAACTTTTCATTTCAGTTTTCACAGAAACAAGTATTTAGAATTAAGTCAAATTTTTGAATTTTATTTTGGTACATTCATATCACCGGCGTCGAAGTTGAATTGCTCGCAAAACATTTGCTAGCCTGAATCTACAAACGATGTTGATAATATTTGAATGATTCAATACGCACTAACAATGCCCTATGCAAGAAAATACGCAAATGCACACTAACTAGAAAAACATGTGTCATCGAAGAATATACCACTGAAACCCCTCCTCTTTCTAACCCCCCTCAGATATTCCCTAGTGATACAACTACCCCCCTTAAATATCCCCTAGTAATACAAGCAGCAAATACTTTTTAGTCATACATATAACAATATTGCCCGTCAATTGTAGAGTGGGTATCTCGATGTTTTACTGGCTGCGCAATAGCACCAAAGGCTAATATATCGTCTGGAGTGACGGGAGCGCTTGGGGGTTCTACATATACGTCAACACTCAGCTTCACCATTCTAAGCAAAGCAGTCGAGGTCGGGAGTTCAGGAGGGAAAATGACTGGATGGGGGTACATACCATTGAAGGGGGTCTTAGTTCCTCCTACTTGATTGACCCTGTTTTTCAGATCTTGTCCTTGCCAAATGGACCATAAACGATCAAATTGACCATGGTGAAGAAAGAAGACTGGGTCTCCAGGACTGGCAAAGGGATCGTTTTGGAGCCCGCCAACAGCAAAGTGACCCGCAGCATGAATCAGCGGCTGTGGCACATCGGGGCCAAATTCCCAACCGTCGGCACGCTTCTCAAGACAATCAACCGTGGGGCAGCCGAGTACAAACTCAACATCGGAAACGCGCGTTTGTTTGCTCCAGAAGAGATTGATGTCTCGTGTCAGGCAGCGTGGGTTGTATTGTAGAGCTGGGTTGATTCCTGTCGTATTGACCTTGATTCTTGCATCAACCGTGGTGATATTTGGCGGAGCGATACCCGTACCAACTGCAGCAGTAGCAGCGGCGGCAACAGCGGCGGCGGTGGCAGCAGCCGGGAGGATGACCGGGTTGACGCCTAAGTTGACCTAGAGAGTAGAGCGTTAGATGTGTTTTTGTATTTGATGATGCAGCTACAGATTTTGGGGGAAGATGAGAAGAGAAAGACAAGACCATTAGCGAGGTGCGATTCGAAAGCTAAGCGAGAATGCAATAACAGCCTCCATACCTTTAGATCAGAAAATGGCCCCTTTTCAATGCACCCACCACCAGTTCCTGGCGGCAAGGTGAAATCCTTTCCAAATGCCGTGAGCAGCGTTGCGCCGTGTGGAATCACCTTGCCGTTGCTCCCCATGGAGTGCTTGCTCCCGTCAAAGACAGGAGACAAGCGAGGATCGTCGGCGTTGATAGTCCAGTCCCAGTATGGCTGCGCACCCTGGTAACCGCACTCTTGACGGAGAGCCTGCTCGTAGGTCCAAACGAAGTGGCGATGCCATGCGTACAAGTTGCCGTTGAAGTGGATGTTGTTTGTCTCCTGGATGTGTGCGGCCGCAAAATCGTCGAGGCGATTGCGAGCACCCGGGACCACATTGGGATTGCTGATGCTCGCCTTCTTCGTGAAGCACTGCACCGCTTTGATGTAGTCCAGACGATCTCCCCTGGACATTGAGCCCCTGTCCGTATCTCGCGTTAGTGAGTTCTCTTGAAGTGTGGGAGACGGATTCTCCTACCATTCTCGTCGGATTGACACCGTACGAGCGTTGCACTTGTGATTGCGGTCGCGCTTATCTAGGATTTCCCTGATGCTCCGTTTGTATTTTCGCTCCATGGATTTTAGTGACTTGCTGTTTTTGTCGCTGCTTTCACGGTCGTCGTCTCCACGAATGTCGTTTGCTGGGGCGGCGATGGCGAAAAGAGCAGAGGACAGAAAGGTCCAGAGCACGAAAGTGGAGGAGAGCTTCATGGTGATTGATTGATGATACTACCGGCTAGCTAAACGATTGTGTTGAAGATGATGCATCGCTCTAGTTCTCGCGGTGAGAGTCTATATGTATGTTTGTCGTGTCTCCTGGCTGTCAAATCTGCCTCGAGGATGTGAAATTCATGTCTCAATCATCTCAGGCCCGAAGGGAAAAGCCAAAATTAGGACTGCGGTCGTCCGCCAAGTATGAGCTGAGCGATCGATACATGGCAACATTCGATATCGTGAGCAGATGGCTTGAAGGAAGGCAGCCATCTCCAAAGCAGAATCGGCCAAACCACTGGTGCTGAGACCGGGACTACCTAGGTAGATATACGAGCCGTAGATGTCCTGAGGTGGAACAGCACGATGTATCTTGCCATGTGGCTTGCTGTGGTTGCCCACGATTCCTTCCAGATATGTCTTCTATGCAGGCCAAACGCCGCGATGCAGCCCTTCGGAAAGTTTGCTCGTATCAACTGTGTCGTTCACGCAAGGCATCAGCGTGTGGCTTGCATCTCCCCGAGAAGCCATTCGGGGCGGTATTGTGGTCTGTAAATAAGGGCCAAACTGGTCTTCCCAAAAGATGAAAACGAGTACAAATTAAGTCTGTGGATGACAACTTCAATCTGGACGACGTAAAGGAGGTGGAAGTCAGGTGAGAGGCTAGAGCCTATCTGGAACTGGACCCATTTGGCCCAGATGGACGGTTCGATACGAGCTTACCCATCTGACGTGCATAGAAAATCATGCGCCACCGGTAAATTCCCACCCAAGCCGTGGAAGGTGCCGCTCATTCAGGTACAGGACAGCTGAACACGGAAACGAGATTGCAGGATTCTACCGTTCGGAGGTAAAGGCACGCAATGCGGCTTGCGTCTGTTTTCCCATAGCCTTGTGTAACGGAGAACAGTCGATTATGGTATTCTCGTAATACCAACTTCAGACGAGGCGCACAGTACAGTACACTTCTAGAGGAGTAGTGATAAAACAATTAGATGTTGATGAATTTATATTATGCAATAAGATAGATTACAGTTCTCCAGGAGGTAAAGAGATTTTGTAGTGTAAAGTAGTTACTATGTAGTTACTATGTAGTTACTATGTAGTTACTATGTAGTTGGAGGTTTTATTAGATCCAATGGGTAAGGTGTAAATTGCGGCAACGGCGAATCTATTGCCCGCGCCTAGTGCCGATCACGACGCCCATCTAATTTCGCGTAGCCTTACACCAGCTTACTTCCACATTCTTCAACACCACCAGCATCCAGCCAGCCCATCCTCCTGCGCGAGAAGCAGCCAGCCAGCCAGCCAGCTCCTCCTTCTGTCACACAAGCTCAAGCACAAGCACGCGACCAACGAATGCAAAGAAATTCGATTTGGTCGTACAGCTCCCGTCTATCGACTTCCCCGAATGAACACGAGCACCCGCGACACGAGATCCTCGAGAACCTGCTTCCACACAGCAGCCCAACCCCATACCAACCCACGCCCAGTCCCGACTGCAACCTGCCTCTCGCCGCGTAACATGGTCGTCGCCTGCGCAAGCTGACTCTCCATGTCCTCCTCCCAGATCCACTGGAAACGCTGCAAAAGCTCCTCCTGGATACCTGCTACATCTCCCCCATCTGGGCCTTGAAAGGCATACGTCAAACCTGCCGCACGACTGGTGGTGACCACCTTTTGCGAGCGCGGTCGCCGAACGGCATCGTACGCACGGAAGGCAGCGGGGATGTCGGATGCCCCCTGTGTTTGTACGTCGCCGAGAAGACGACCGAGAATGAGTGCATCCTCGATGGCCTGACCCGCGCCAGCACCCTGGTGTGGGGTGGACGCATGTGCAGCATCGCCCAAGATCGCAACACGGCCTTGGCAGTATGTACGCGCGGGTTGGTGGTCGAAGAGGGCCCACTGGTCCGGGCTGTCGAGCAGCTACAGAATGGTCTCGAGTCAGCAAGATGGGTGCGGGTGGAAATGGGATCTGGTACCTGGAGAATGCTCTGAACGGGCTTGCCCCATCCCTCAAAATCGCGTTTGAATGCATCACCCTGGTTCTTCACCACCCAGCTCTCGTGCTCCCATGGAGTGTCCTGGTTCTTGAACGCGATGACATTCATGACCTTCCCATGGGCAATAGGGTATGTCAGAATATGTCCCTCCGGCCCAAGGTACATCTGGCTGTTTCCAGAAAGATACTCCCCGAGGGCTTCCTTGGCCATACCCATCGAGATCAGGCCGCGATAAGCGTACTTTCCACTGAACGTGAGATCCTCAAGTGGGCTCTTTGTGTCAAGAAGAAACTGCCGCACTCGGCTTCGCACCCCATCACATCCCACCACGGCATCAGCGTGGGCAGTCGTATCGTCTTCGAAGGCAAGCTGCATTTTCCCCGAGTCGAGCGTTGCCAGCCCGACCAACCTCTTCCCAAAATGCGCAATCTCCTCTGGAAGGAGATCGGCGAGTTCGTCGATAAAATGCGCGCGGTGAACGCTGCTCAGTCCCGTCTTGTCGTGGTCGGTGGTCTGCACCTTTGCAATCAGATCTGGCTCACCCAAGCCACAGCGGAAGTTGATCCAAGTCGCCTCGTCCTCCTTGGCCCCGTTTTTCGTTGCGCGGGTATTGAAGGCCTTGCGAATTGCTGGATCAATGAGCTCCATGGAGCGGATCGCGTTGGGTCCAAAGGCCATTCCAGCGCCGATTTCTGCGAATTCCGGTGCAGCTTCGTAGACTTGGACGGGGACATGCTGATGCCGGAGTGCAATCGCAAGTGCGATACCCCCGATTCCACCGCCGACTATGGCGATGGTAAATGGCTTTTGAGTGGAGTTTTCGGTCGACATTTCTCTTGATACGATGTGTAAATGCGGTGATTTGAATCTGCGAGGATTGAGAAGTCTGATGTATTTCGAGTGATTATGCGGACTTTGACAATGAGCAGTCGAGAAGCAATATCAAAAAGCTAAGAATGTGATGAGATCAACAGATTGGCACAAGAAAATTGATACGTAGAGTGTAGAAATGGTCTTGCCACCGAGTGGTGGTAGATGACAGCAGAAGTTTCAGAGCTCCTAGAATCGGGGCTGAGGAGCACATTTCTTTCTTCGGCCTTTCAGTTCATGTGAGAAGTGAGCTAGCTGAAGCATAGCGAGACAAAACTGAGGCTGGCTGTTCAAACTTGGCAAATGCAGCATTTCTGCAAGTCTCCGGGTCACGATAGCACTGCCGTAAGCCTACACTCTCACATCCTTTTTATAGACACATGGGCTGCTAATATGCCCAACACAGCCCTACGCCTATCTTTCATGGCTCTTGGTCATGTCCTTCTTCGAGCTTTTCGAGGAATTAGGTGGGCCTTGATTCATACTCCTCCATAGCGGCAGAGATGTTCGGCCGCAGCCGTGGTGGTCAGAACAGGCAGTCATGTTTCGGTGCGTTCGAGCTATCTATGCCTTTCAGCTTGACACGAGACAATCTTGGCGAAGGTTGTTTGCTATTCCCTCTCGTCCACGTGTTTGTGAGAATGAGATATGGAGTATCTATAAGAATGAAGGTAAAAGCTGCAAGTATGTTGTAGATCAGATCCTCGCAAACATCTTTCTCCTTCAACTTGAGCAAGTACCTGCTCGAAATACTCGAACCTCTAGCGTCCAGGCTACATTTCAGGAACTCAATCCATTCTTTCTAGAAACTTACTCCTGGGCTTTTGTCTTTAATTCCCCCATAGATCCTTCTCTTTTGTGTTCTCTATTTGAACCATCTAGTCTGTCTCTCAATCACCATGTCTCCCTTTCTTGAAGGTATTACCACAATCCGCCTTGATTTTTTCCCTATACTGATAAATTTAGTAGCTGAGCCTACGGAACATGAGTCCTCTGATATGTCCGTGCTTTCTAAATGGACCGCCTCTAGCTCTCCCTCAGTATCTGGAAAGGTCAGTCGAGCCACTCCCCTGCCGATGATTTTACATTTGCTAACTTGGTAACACTACAGAGCGAGATTGATGAAATAGTTGTTGTTGGTATGGCATGCCGCGTGGCCGGAGGAAATGATACCCCTGAAAAGTTCTGGGAGTCCATCATGAACAAGACTGTCTCGTCTGGAGAGATCCCAGCTATGCGATGGGAACCATACTACCGCCGTGACTCTCGGAATGCTAAGGTATGTCGTCATCTATCCCCTCTTTGTCTCTCGTTTCGTGTTTCTCACTGACTTTTACTCCCAAGATCCTCGATGACACAACAAGCAAGGGGTATTTTCTGAAGAATCTCGAAGATTTCGACAGCACATTCTTTGGAATTTCTCCCAAGGAAGCGCTACTGATGGACCCTCAGCAGAGGATCTCTCTGGAAGTGACATGGGAAGCACTGGAAGACGCAGGAATCCCACCCCAGAGTCTCGCCGGTACCAATGCGGCAGTATATATGGGCGTCAACTCCGACGATTATTCGAAACTCCTTCTCGAAGATCTCCCAGGCGTGGAAGCCTGGATGGGAATTGGAACAGCCTACTGCGGCGTGCCGAACCGAATTTCGTACTTGCTCGACCTCAGAGGTCCTTCAACTGCAGTCGATGCGGCCTGTGCTTCATCCTTGGTTGCCATTCATCACGGTAGACAATCGCTCTTGACGAAGGAGACCGATGTTGCCATTGTAGGAGGAGTCAATGCACTTTGTGGCCCTGGTCTGACCCGTGTTCTCGACAAAGCCGGAGCGATCTCTAAGGATGGGACATGTAGATCGTTCGACAATGACGCGAACGGCTACGGTCGTGGTGAGGGAGCGTCGGTTATTATTCTGAAGCGCATGTCAGATGCACTTCGTAATCACGACAGGATTTTGGCAGTCGTCAAGGGCTCCGCTGTTGGTCAGGATGGCCGTACCAATGGCATTATGGCACCTAACGGACTTGCTCAGGAGGCGGTTGCTCGGTCCGCACTAGTCAATGTCGATCCAAAGACCATTCAATACGTCGAAGCGCATGCGACGTCCACATCTGTTGGTGACCCCGTCGAAATCACCGCCATGTCACACATATACGGCGCCAACAGAGAGGGAAATGCTCCTTGCTACATCGGAAGCGTGAAGCCCAACGTCGGCCACCTAGAAGCTGGTGCAGGTGCGGTAGGTTTCATGAAGGCAGTCTTAGCACTCAACAAAGGTGTTATTCCCCCGCAAGCAAATCTTCAAAAGCTGAACGAAAAAATTGACTGGGCCACTTCCGGTATCCGAGTCCCATTCGAAGCTACCAGCTGGCCAGAGGTTTCCCAACCACGAAGAGCGGCCATATGCTCTTATGGATATGGTGGCAGCGTATCTCACGCGGTCATTGAAGCATATCAAGCAGGCGCTCGTGATGTTGAGGAGGCGGATATTGATGACGACGGCCCCAAGATCTTGCTCATATCGGCACCGCAGGAAAAGCGACTTTCAGGATATGCAAAAGCTCTGGGTGAATGGATGGCCAGCAGCCAAGGCACCAAATTCTCAGTTTCCTCCATTGCGTCCACTCTCGCGGTTCGACGAGGTCATCATGACTGTAGGGCTGGATTTCTTGTCAGCAGCCATGAAGAGACGCTCGATCTGGCTGGAAGATTAGAGAAAGGATTGACATCTCCTGATATCGCCACTGGCCGAGTGCTTGGCAAGGATGAGAACAATGGAGCTGTTTGGCTCTTCTCAGGACACGGTGCGCAATGGCTGGAAATGGGCGTGGAATTGTTGGCAAAGGAATCACTCTTCCGTGAGACCATTCAAGACCTCGAATCAGTCATTCAAGATGAAGCTGGGTTTTCAGCCATTCATGCACTGCAGACTAGTGACTTTGAGACCTCGGATAAGATCCAGGTTCTCACCTATGTCATGCAGATTGGTCTTGCAACTCTCCTTAGGTCCAAAGGTGCCCGTCCTAGTGCGGTGATTGGGCATTCTGTTGGTGAGATTGCAGCATCGGTTATTACGGGGGCTTTGACTCCCTACGAAGGCGCTTTGGTTGTTTGCAGACGGTCTGTCCTTTACCGCGAAGTAATGGGCAAGGGGGCCATGGTTCTCGTCAATATTCCCTTTGCCGAGATGCTAACGACACTTGAAGCCCGTTCGGATATCACGGCTTCCATCAACTCATCGCCGTCATCCTGTGTCGTCTCTGGTTCGATTGAGGCAATCAATAGGTGGTCTGCCATCTGGGAAGAGCGTGGAATCAAAATATTCAAGGTCAAGTCGGACGTGCCATTCCACAGCCCGCTTCTCAATTGTCTCGCGACATCTCTATATACATCACTCGTTACGGCTCTTGCACCAAGGACTCCATTCATTCCCCTCTATTCAACAGCTACCGAAAATCCTCGTGAACCGGTTCCTCGCGATGCTAGCTACTGGGTCCGTAACATGGTGCGGCCAGTTTTGCTCACCAGCGCCGTCGAGGCTGCAGCAAAGGATGGATACAGAGTCTATTTGGAAGTCTCCACTCACCCGGTCATCACACATTCGGTCAATGAGACCCTGATGGATATGGATATCGAGGACGCTGTTGTTATTCCAACACTTCTGCGTAACAAACCTACCCGAAAGGCTCTCCTCAAGAGTTTGATGATGATGTGGTTGAAAGGTGTGACGATAAATTGGAAGCTGCACTTCGGAGGCGTAGCTTGGGCCCATGAAGTCCCAAAGACGGAATGGAAACATCAGAGCTTCTGGAAACCCATTGGCACGGGATCTACCGATACAAGCACGATGGTTCATGAAGTTACTTCTCACACTCTTCTCGGTCAACGCACGTCTGTTGCTGGAGAAAAAATCACCGTCTTCACTTCGAAGCTTGATAACGACACAAAGCCATTCCCGGGAAATCACCCGCTCCATGGAACGGAGATCATACCAGCAGCTGTACTGTTTAATACCTTCTTGCACGCAACTGGGACCAAGTCGCTGACGAATGTCAACCTTCGAGTTCCAGTCGCCATCAGCGCACCGCGGGACATCCAAGTTCTCGTACAAGGAACTGAAGTACGCCTTATGTCTCGCCTTGTCCAAGAGGGTGAAGAGAAAGAAGGCGATCGCTTGGCGTCGTGGGTTACCCACACCACCGCAAGCACCGTTGCTGAACCAGCTAGCGACATACCAGCCTACGGGGCTGATATCAATATTCCTAGCATTCGGGCTCGCATCGGAACTGAGCTGAAGACCAGCTTCTCTATTGATTACCTTTCTGGTGTGGGTGTTCCCGCAATGGGGTTCCCTTGGGCAGTCACCCGCCATGTTGGAAATACCAAGGAGATGCTTGTACTTGTAGATGTCTCTCCAGAAACAGCAAACGATGCGACTCTCCCATGGAGTGCCACATCTTGGGCTCCAATTTTCGATGCTGCGACTTCCATTGGTTCCACGCTCTTCTACGAGACACCACGTTTGCGGATGCCTGCTCAGGTTGGTAGCACAAGTGTGCGTGACGGTGCAGTTCCCCCAAAGAAAGCCTATATCTATGTGCAAGAAGCTAGCAGTACCTCTACACTTGCTGTCGATGTCACGATTACGAATGAAGCCGGCATGGCACTTGCTAAGTTTACCTCGATGCGCTTTTCGGAAATTGAAGGTACCCCCGGTGCCAGAAAGGACAACATAGATGGCCTTGTTCACCAACTCGCTTGGCCAGTCGCTCGTCTCTCTGAAGTTCCTTCGCTTTTGAAACATGTCGTACTTGTTGGCGATGAGGATCATGCTTTCATGGAGCCATATCTCCGACAACTCTCGAAGCGCCGCGTTAAGACTACCTGTGTTGGTTCAGCACAGTCATTGTCAGTTGAAAGCAATTCGGAAGGCACTGTCATCTTGTATCTCCCAAGTAGGGTAGCATCAATCGATGATGTACCCGAGGCAGCCAACAGGTTTTGCAAGGATCTTCTCGACATTGTGAAATATGCTGCTGCAAACGAGACGAACACTCGTGTATTCGCAGTCACAGATGAAGCTCTTCATGGTACCAGCTGCAGTTCTCTCGCACATGCTCCATTGTTAGGACTAAGTCGCATCATCGCAGCTGAGCAGCCTAGTCTCTGGGGCGCGCTCATTGATGTGGACTGTGAAACCTTTCCTTTCCACGTCGTCAAAAACATGTCCGGAGCAGATGTGGTCAAGGTAGAAGACTCCATTCCTCGAGTTGGTCGCCTGAGAGCCATGCCACAGAATAAATCGTATCCCTCAAACCAGTCTGCAAAGCTTCAGCCTCGGCCTGATGGGACTTATATCATCTCTGGCGGTCTCGGCGCTCTTGGTCTCGAAGTCGCTTCTTTTTTGGTGGAACGCGGAGCACGCAGAATCGTCCTCCTCTCTCGTCGTGCCCTCCCACCTCGCAAAGATTGGAATGTCGCGATAGAACCGGAGAAGGGAATTATTGGAAATATCCAAGCACTTGAAATGGTCGGAGCAACGGTATATTGTCTCGCTCTCGACCTGAGTGCAGCCAACGCCTCCGTCATTCTTTCTGAAAAGCTAGACTTGTTATCCTTACCGCCCGTTGTGGGAGTTGTACACGCCGCCGGCGTCGTAGGAGATGAGCTGGTTCTCTCCACCACCCCAACTGCCTTCAATCGCGTTCTCGCACCCAAGGTAGCCGGGGCCATAACTCTGCACAAAGCATTCCCACCCACCTCAGTCGACTTCTTCATGCTCTTCTCTTCCTGCGGCCAACTCTTCGGGTTCCCAGGCCAAGCTTCCTACGCAAGCGGCAACGCCTTCCTAGACGGTCTCGCGGAACACCGTCGCGCACGCGGCGACAACGCAATCGCCTTGCAGTGGACCAGCTGGCGCGGTCTAGGCATGGCAGCTACCACGCAAGCCAGCGCAGATTTCATCGAAGCCGAGCTCGAAGGCAAAGGAATCACCAGCATCAGCCGCGACGAGGCTTTCCTCGCCTGGGACCACGTCGCCAAATTCGACATCGCCCACGCCGTCATCCTCCGCACCCGCACCCTCGACGCAACCGAAGTCCTTCCCGCAGACATCCTGACCGAAATCGCCGTCCGTCGCGCACCATCCACGCCCTCCCCCGTCGAATCTGTTCCTGCTCCTGCCCCAGCGCTCCCGCCGCCAGGGCCAGACCGCACCGTCTACCTCACGGCCCAGATCGCCGGGTGCGTCGCTACCGTCCTGCAGCTCCCTGATGTCAGCGACGTGGATCCGAGGGTTGCGCTGCCGGAGCTGGGTATGGATTCGGTCATGACGGTCGCGCTGCGGAAACAGTTGCAGATGACGTTGGGGGTGAGGGTGCCGCCTACGTTGGTGTGGGGGCATCCGACGGTGGGGCATTTGGTGAGGTGGTTTGCTGGGAAGGTGTGAGTGTGGGTTTGTGAGGGTGTTGGGGGGTAAGGAGTCGATTTGGGTAGTGAGGAATTGATTTGGGGATGAGTTGTGTTTTGTGTTTGTTGCTTCTGCGATGGCGTTATGTTTTTGGGGTTTGATAGGTTTCATGTGCGTGGAGTTTAGGTATTTTTGAATGAGAGAAGTTTTTGGAAAGGAGTCAGTGGTATGATATTTAGTCTCGATGTTTCTCCTAGATTGGTAAAAAAAAATGCCTAGATGAGTTTAATCTGAGTGATATGTGATGTGATCATTGCGAGTGAGTTCTCGCTTAATAAGTAGAAGACCGCCGAGTCCGGGATTTTGGAGGGTGGGGAGGGACAGGTGATGGGTTTATTTAGAGGAGAGGGTGGGATGGCGATTGGGGTATTATGTTCTTCAAGCTGATTAAGGCATTTGTCGAAAATAGCTTCGAAGGTTTGGTGTGATGCGTTTTAGGGGTTAATCGCGTTATCTCTATCTTTGAGGTTGATGACTACGCGAATGGCTTGGTGAGATGTAGGTGTCTCTACACCTAACGCTTTTTCAAGTAAGGAAAAGAAGTATAGTAAGTCTCTGGTACTAGGACTCGTTTAGATGCTGATAAATCATTTTTTAGATTGGTACAAAAGACATGAGGTCTGGATCTTCTGTGATATCTGGCTGAAGTATATAGCGCCAGGGGGTGGAATATGGAATGTGCAATATCAGTAGTCCTACCGTTTCGACTTGTGCGATTCACACTTAACGTATCTTACGCGAGGTGAGTTCTATCTTTTGTATAAGAACTTGGGAGTTGTGTGTAACATACCCCGCATTTAGGCTCGTGTAACCTATATGTCTCGTGCAAACGGACCATGCTCACTTTTGACGATTAACGCACTCCCAAACCGAAATAAGAATTAGCACATAGGGATACTGAACCGTTGAGACAAACCATCGATTTAAGTCTCACAACATCTAACCCCACCGTCCCCTCCACAAATCCCTTCGCACAAAATCAACAACACAGCTACCTTCAAACCCACCTCCCTCGTTTCCAAACATGGCCGAATCAAGCACTTCAAACCAAGAGAAATCCCAATACCACCACTACATCCCCCGATTCATCCTCCGCAACTACGCCCATCCAGCCTCCCCCCCAAAAACCACCTCAAAATCCAAAAAGCGCGGCAAGCGAAAATCCACAGCACGGCAACCACCCCTGATGCTTTCTAGCATCGATCTCTCGGGCGAGGTCGCTCAGATCAAAGAATCAACAGTCGATAAGACATTCGGGATAACAGACATGTATCGAGATTTCAGCCGCTCTACCAAGCAACATGCGATTGAGGAACAACTTTCCGTGCTCGAATCTCGTGCGGGAGAGGTGATAAGCGGGATTCGCAGGGCGTTTGAAGCAGGGCGAGCAAGCGCTGAGATAAAACGCCCGCAGAGGGATGTGTTGCGGAAGTTTTTGTTCATCATGAAATACCGGGGGAGGAGGTTTCACAAACGGTATTTCCACGAAACCGCCGAGGAGTATGATGAAGATGATAAGGAGCGCATGTTAGCGTATATGACCCAAAGAGGGTTTAAGAAGCCGATTGACGTCTGGTTCGACAACATCAAGGGGATTCTGGAGTTGAAGATGGATTATGAGATGAACTGGATGGAGACGATCCAAGAGAGGATCTATCCGGATGATGCGAAATGGTTTATCAATCATACGCAGCAGTTTTATATGGCGTTGTGTACGCCGGCAGCCGGGGACGAGGAGTTTCTGCTCAGTCAGAATGCGTATGGGGTTCATGAGGGGGCGTCGAGTAGTGGGGTTGATCCGGGATCCGGGGAAGTTATACCAGGTGTATATACCGAGTTTCATGTCTTCGCGCCGATCGCTCCGAGACTTGTTATTGTGCTGAGGACGTTCTTGCTTCCTGTTCCGGAGGAGGATACGGATCCGGACATGAAGGCGTTGAGGGAGGGCTGGTATGAGGCGGTTGTCTCACAGCACCTACATCCTGAGAGTGTGGGCTCGGTTCTTAGGGATCTGCCGATTATGAAAGCGCGGAACTCGTATACGAAGATTGTTGATGGGAGTTATGTGACGGTGAATGGCGGCCCAAAGGGTGTGAGCGATGTGTTTTACTTTCCGTTTTGCGCTGTTGAGACGGGGTTTGTGGATAAGATTAATGGGATCATGTTGAATGAGAGTCATCGGATTGATGGGATTGTGTTTGCTAATAAGGCAGCTGCGTGCAAGACTATCAGGAGTTACGTGAATGATTGCACGGATTTCGGTCTTGATGAGGAGCGCTTTCAGAATGTTAAGAAATTGCGACAAGCGCTTAAGTTGCTAGATTCAAGTTCATCAGACCAGACTGCGAGCGGTCAACCCGAATTTGACGCAATTGGTGTGGAGGCACTTATTGGATCGTCTGATAAGGTGTTTGAACTATTCAAGCAAAACAAAAAAGCAGCGGAATTGTATTCCGAAATAAGTAAGTCCTCCAACTCCAGATCCGTCACCTCCTAACACATCCAGCCAACAATTCAACACTCGACCGCAAAGACTTCACTCAAGCACGAGGACTACTCTTCACACGCATCAAACTCGACACCCGCACCCGCGGCCTCCCTCCAGCAAAGCGAGAGGAAGCTCGAACCAAATTCCTCGAAGTCTACGACACTGTCCCATTCCAAGTCATATGGATCTATCTCAAACGGATCCGCTTTATGAAACACGGCGGTACGATGATAATGCCGGAGAATGTTTTGGAGGATACTGAGTTGGATGTTGGCTTGCTTTTTGGGATGGAAGATGTTGTTGCGAGGGGTATGTGTTGTGCTTCTCAATGACGAGGGTCAGGGATGCTGATGATTTTATAGCGAAGGATTGTTTTGAGGATGGGAAGGCGACGAGGGTTATGCATTATGCGTCGTTCAATGAGGCGTTGATTGCGAAGCCGGATTGGGGACTAATTGAGATATTGACTTTGGACGATGATGGGATGAGAAGGTTGCATGAGGAGAAGGAGTTGGTGTTGGGCGCTCAAGGTAACCAAGAAGAACCCATTTGTTAACTATCCACTAACAGCTGTTTTTTACAGGTAGTATTTGCGATTGCGGTAAGTCCTACCAAAATCCTGGTTTCCCCAATGCTGAAATTATCCAGGTATCCCCGTATTGGAAGGCATCGCGTCAGCAGCACGGGTTATGACTACAACCGAACAACTTCATAACGCAAGACAATCTCCATTCGACACTATATTCACGAAAGATGAGAGGATCGAATTGGTTGTTCGATCATTAACACGAACAACGGTTGCGCAGACAAGAAGGACGCCTGAACACAGTATCTCTGAGAATTTGATATCTATGATGGGGACATATCCGGAGCTGGAGAATGTTATCTTCGAGGTGGTGTATCCGCAATTTGGGTTCCGTCAGAGGGTTGGAGAGAATGAGAGTGCAGCTGAAGTTGCTGAAGTTGCTGAAGTTGCTGAAGTTGCTGAAACGACCAGCTCCAATGAAGCGGCCGAGGTTCCCAAAGCAGATGAGGAGAGGAGCTGCTCCATACAATGATTGTATGGGGTTTCGACGAGGAAGAGAAGAAGAATGAGTTGATGTAGTTTCTTACCTACGGTGTCATACATCGTCGTATTCTCAAAACGCAGCTTCTAAAACCTCTTACATAGTAACGATAAAATAACGAAATCTCATCGTAAAGTGCTAAGACCCAGCTTTCAAGCGCCTTTTCTGTTTCCAGAGACGTTTTGAAAATTTTCAACTGTAGATAGTTGTGTACTATGAAGATCGCATTCCTAATTTGTTGTGTAGTGCGATTGGATAGTATGCTCTGCATCTTTGAGGTTGTGAACCGTCTAGGATCCGGAAAAGAACAGAAAATGGTGAAATTACTCAAGATGAAAAGGGTAAAATTGTTTAGCACGAAGATATTAAAACAGGTCTTTGAAGCCGAATAACGTACATGCCGGTAACATACAGCAGCCGAAAGACGCGGGGCACAGTACCTCGGTCGCTCCCCGTCCCCGCACCCAAACTACCGGTATCTAACTAGGCAGGTACCACAACACAACACAACAAAACCCCTTTCCTCCCCCCACGCAGCTCATAAAACACAAAATTCTATATCCCTTGAAATCCAACATGTCCACCGCCGCCGAAATCCTCGCCAAGCACCCCGCAAAAGGTCTCTACACCCTCGGCGCTCTCCTCATCAACGCCCTCAAACTCCCCCTCTGGATATTCTACCACCTCTCATCCTCCACGCGGCAGCACTCTCGATGGAGTCTCCGTCAGGCGGTCGCTACGAGGGCGCTGAGGACCGCATTATGGCACTTCTCATTCATGCGGGTTAATACACCTTTAATTTTGCAACCCACGGCGAAGGAAAAAGGATTACTCGTCACAATCCCACCGTCGACGAAAGGGGGTGTGTATATGGGCATTTGCGACGACGAGGAGGTCAAACCGGAGAAGATTTGCGGGTACTGGTATCCGTCTGCGTTTAATGAGGATGAGGATCGCGGCAAGAAAATCGTGCTCCATTTCCACGGCGGTGCGTATGTGATTGGGGACTGTAGACCCGCGGAGTCGGGGTACGCAGGGAAAATGTTGAGTGAGAAGATCGGGAAGACGTTGATGGTGTCGTATCGTCTTGCTTCGAATCCGGGTGGTCGATTCCCTGCTGCGCTGCAAGATGCGGTGTCGTCGCTGCAGTATCTGATTAGTCTGGGGATTGAGTATGAAGATATTGTAATCAGTGGAGATTCGGCGGGTGGGAATCTGGCCGTGACGCTGCTGAGATATCTTGCTACTACGAATGCATCTGGACCTGCTGCGGCGCTTTTGTGGTCGCCTTGGGTGGATCTGGCGAGTAGTCTTGAGCCGGCGACCTTTTCGTATTCCCCGCATAGATTTACGGATTATATTCCTTCGAATTTTGCGACTTGGGGGGCGCATATGTATTGCCCGAAAGACGGACCTGTTACGATGGGCGATGGATGGATTAGTCCTGCAGCACATCCATTCCGTACGAACACGCCGATTTGGATCCAAGGGAGCGGACAGGAGATTTTGATTGAACAGATTGCCGAGTTTGCGAAAGCGATGAAGCGGATATCTAGCAATAAGATAGCCTTCCATGTTGAGGAAATTGCAACTCATGATATTATCTTGGTTGGCAATGTCACCGGATTCGAGAAAGAGACTGAGAATGCTCTTGCAGCAGCTAAGAAATGGCTGGATAACCTGTAGTTGTGCTTTGGCGCCTGTCTGAATAGCTCAATTGAAGTCATTCATTTCTTAAAGGGGCCCATCTTGAATTGCGCAAAGTACGTCTTGATACTTGGCATTGTGAAGAGATACGCAATACCCAGACTGAAAATGGATAAGGGCAGAGCAGCAGCTAAGTACCATTTGATAGTCTGGGCGATACTAGTGATATCGTCCGTCATGCTGAAAATTGATGCCACATAACCAAGCGGGATGAAGAATGTTGCGAGCCACGTGAGACGAGCAACATTTTTATTATCCTCGCGCGAACGTTGAGAGTCAGCGATGGAAATGATAGCCGTGACGACTGAAGTGAGACGATCGATTCGTTGTTGATATTCTTCCATAAGTCCCAGAACGCGAACATAATCGTCACGCATTGTCGAAATGGGTTGATCTGGATTCCGCACATTTCGCGTAGAGATGATCGAGTTCGCCGAGCTACTCAAAGGATCACCAGGGATATGTGATGCGAAATCTCCAATACCGCCTGAGACAGCCAATGAGTGAGGATCAGCAATGTGGAATACTCTTTGCAAGGTCTCGGTCAACATCTCCCGGTACAGTGGCACGAGCCGTCGCCAGATATGTAGCTTCTTCAAAGTATCGTTGATGTTACTGTCTTGTAAGAGAAAGTGTTCCGGAAATGACACTTCCCATTCTATCTGACCGAGACGTGTTCGTATGTACTCTCCCACCTCAAGCCATTCCGAGCTGACGAGGTGAAGAAGGGCTAGGGCTGGAGTGTGCATGCTTTCCGACGGGTTTGAAGATGAAAGTCCGAAGGTCCCGCTTTTCTTGGCCCAGAAGACGATGTCGTTGTAGATGGAGTCTCTAGGGGGTCCCGTAGGTGGAGGGTTTGTGTCATACATAGAAGGGGGTTTCTAGATAGTTAGCAATGCACGATGGTATTGGATGATGAACTCACCTCCCAATTCCGATATCCATACCATAACGGAGACCCTTCTTTTGGCGTTGGATCAACCACAAGCACACCCACCGAACCCTTTGCTTTCCCAGCCCCTCCCTCACCCGACATCCAAAACGAAGCTCTCGTCCTCGCCAACCCGACAATCGCCTTCGGCTCATCCCACTTCGACCTATTATTAATATCATCCTCGGCCTTTCTAACAACATTCATTCTTTCAAATTGATTCGAGGCGTTTCTAAAAGATTCGGGCGTTCTATAGTACCTCGCCGCTGGAAACCGGAGCTGCATCCACCGTTGCTTCTTCGTCGTCACCTGCAATCGAGGCGGATCAACCCAGCGATCACGCGTGTTATACCATGCGTAATCGAAGATTTGTTCGCGGAAGAAGCCTGGTTCAATGTCGAGATGGGCGCCGAGGAGCTCGATCATGTCGCGTGAAAGATCTTCTAGGATGAATAGTCGGAATCTACCTTCTTCGACGTTCTCTTCCTGCTCATCTCTCTCCAACGACTCTCGGAGGGCCTGGGAGGTGGTGTATTCTACAGATTCAATTCCCGTAGACAGATAATCAAGTCTCGTGACTTTAGTCCTGGCGGCACGCTCCTCGATATCGAGTTGGAGTTTGAGTTTACTTGGTCCATCGTCATTTCCCGCCATTCTCTTCCACCGTGAGGAACTGGTGCCTATTTCCATGAAATCGGCCAACAGCCTAAGTGGCGGCCAGAGGGGCGACAAGGCTTTGACATGTGCGAGATACGGTCGTCCTTCATTACTAGAAAGACGTCAATAAAGTCGGGGATAGCTCAAACGTATTTTCACAAACCTAATCTCCCATGCAAGCTTGGCGGTTCCAAAACGTTCATCATTGTAGATATCCCCAGTTTCATAGGAGGTCTGCATGAGTTTCTCATTGTAATACGTGTATTTCTGCACCTCCTCCTCCACAGCCTTTTCCTGGGCCTTCTCCATACCAGTGAGTCTCCGCTGCATAGTGTACAAGATGCCACAAATAAACCCCAAATGGAAAATGAAGAAAAAGATGAAGAGAAAGTCGCGTCAAGCAAGCCTGGTCGTTGGGTTTTGGATAAGGCAAGGCTTTTGTACGGGTCAAGGCGTCTTTTCAGCCTCAGCCCCCACGATTTCAAGCTTACTTCACCTCCGCCATCCGCGATCCAATGGTTTCGTGTTTGCTACAAAAAGGGAAGTCTGCCTGCATGAGCCTCGAAATAAGCGAGATTGGTGGTTGAAACCTTCCGGAAGCTTGTGATACGATCAAGAGCTGGACATGAATTCCAAGATATGTCAATCTTCAGTCTTACTGGATCGTGGTGATAGATTTGAAGAGTGTTCGAAGTCAGGAAAAACGGTTAGGTATGGAAAGACATGTTTTGTTCAATGTTGCCGTCAGGCTCCAGGGCTGACTGGGCGACGTCGGATCGGTTGGGTTCTGGCCAAGCCACGATCGGCCACGTTCACGTCCCACACTTTCGGCCCGTATCGGTGTTGTACCACCGGTCTATATATCTATGGGCCGATTTCGAGGCTGATTTGGCTATATACATGCTCTACGACAACTTATCTAAGAAGTTTTTAGACTTAGACAACAATCTAGCTCATCAGTATGTTTGTTTTACGCAAGTTTTCTTTTATCTCAAACGATTTGGCACTCTTCTGAAAGGGATCACTTAACTCTGAAGCGGCATGAAAGACTATATTTCAATATATCAAAACCACGTCGAAACCCAATCAAAGAAATCTACTGTCACGCCTTTCTGAAGCATAAAATCATGTAATTACAGAACTACCAAAGTACATATTCCACAACCCACCACACTCCCCCCCCCCACCCCAACACCCTACTCAACCAAACTCAACCAATTCAGCACCATCATAGCCTTAACCAAATTCCCCCTCAAATCAAGGTGCACCCCATCAAACTTATTACACTGCACACTCATATTCCACGTCCCGAGATGCTCGAGCCCCCTCTTCTCCGCCTCAATCTTCACTCCCTCCTCAAACAACATGAGGGCTTTATTCCCCTGCGTGACGATCCAATCGTCTGGTTTCTCCTTGCCCGCGGCGTTGGGCGTGACGAAGAGACCGTGCCAGTCTGGGCCGATGGCGTCGAGGATCACGTCCATCCAGTTGACGGTTTGCTGGAGGTCGAGGTTGTTCCAGAGGCCGTGGCCGAGGATGAAGGCTTTGCGGGTTTTGGTGGGGGTGCCGATGCTGGTTTTGAGGCGGGTGAGTTCTTCGGGAGGGATGGGGTGGCGGTTGATTTGTTCCACTACAAGTAATGTTAGACGTCTTCGTTTTTTGACTGAAGGACTCACTCATCAGATTGATATTATTCGAACAAGCGACACTTTTCGGATCATGTGCCAACACATCTGCAGTCTTGTAAATACCTTGAACAGAGCAAGCTTTGACATCGAACTGCTCATTGCAAAAGCATTGCTTCCTGCATCAATTAGTTCCATAACCTGTCACTCATTATGAGTATGACCTACTTCTCCTGTGCAGAGAAATTCCAATCCGTCACCGCACCATACCCCAAATCCTTCCTAATCAAAATATTCATACTCCCAATAACATGTCTCAGCATAGAATCTCCAATGAGAACTATCCTTTCGAAGCGTCCCAGGATTTCACAAATCTCTTCCGTGGTAAACCATCGCATGTCGCAATATCTCGGTGTGTAAGGCGCATCGTTCCCTATCCGTCCTCCCGAGGACATTGCTTTGAGCATTGATGCTCGATCTGGGCAGAGAGGAGAGAAGGGAACGTGTAAGTCGAGGGAGGAGATGTTGCAAGTGTCTCTGTATTTGTAGGATGCAAATGCGTCGGTCATCTCATTTGCTCGCGATGCTGTATCGACAGTTGAGTCCAAAGGAATGAGCGCTGTGAGAGATGAGTTGGATGATGAACAAGTAGCCTGCATATTATTAGATCAACACTGTCTTTGATGGTTCTTTTTCTGCACCACCCACCTTTTGCCGCCATCCTCTATACACATTCACCGGCAGGTGATCCCGCACAAAGACAACAAAAGCCACCGTGACCAACAAAACCGAGACCCTAACTGGCGACAGCCGGAAGCTTGAGAATCTCGAGGACGCAGACGGTCGAGCAACTCTGGTTGCCCATCGGAATGTGTTGTCCTTCGGTGGATGTGATGGAGAGGTGAAAGGGTCATCGTAGAGTGGTGTTCTGTCCCAGGTTTTAGCCATTCTCGCAAATTCGGCAGTACTACCTCGATATCTTTTGTTGAAACAGAGTGACAGTCTCCGTGCAATAGAGATGAGAAATGGCAATGAAGTCAAGATGAATGACACGCTGGACTCAAACTAACTGGGCAAGAACGATCGTGATGGGTCGTGTGTACCAATAACCGGTGAAAGTGCAGCTGCGCAGAGTGAACGCAGAAAAGACTCGGCGTGGAATTATGGCTCACGGTGTCAGCCGAAATTCTTCAATCGCTCTGCTTGTCAAGAAATTAATTCGAATATTTTAACGCCTGTTTTGAGCATAAAAGTTGTTTCCACATCACCTCCTCAACATGTTCCGCACAGGATACGCGAAAGCAAGAAGTACATCCGTTGCCCAACCTACCCAACCCCGAATAACCTCAACTTGATTGATTGCTCCGATAAATCTGCGTGTAAATGCTTCTGTGGTGGTATTAGACCTGTTCCAGCGATGAGATGGAATTCAACTTACCAACTTCAACAAAATCCTCGGCATACGCCTCCCACACGGCAGACTCTGTGCCGTTTGGAGAAGATGGCGAGATCACTTGCCAATCATCGTCAATCCGAACCTTGGGACCGATAGCCAGCGACCTCCCAACAATCCTTGTGTCTGCCATCAATCTCGTCCCTGCATCAATGACGTCCTCCGGCTTGCCCATACCGCTGCCCGCCAATACCAATCTTCCAACCGCTGGAAGAATAGGGGTGTCTATAAAATACGGCAGGAGGATGTTGACTCGCACTCCGTTCACAAACGCTGTGCTTCTCAGGGATCTAAACAAGCCTAGAACACCATGCTTCGACACACAATACTGTACTTGCCCTGGAATAGGGCCTAACGAGGCGATTGAGCCCAATAGTAAAAGATGTCGGTCTCGTGTGTTGGGGGCTGGTGTCAAAGAGGTGTTTGGGATTGCTGACTTTGGATTCTTCGATAGGTAGTGCAATGCAAGCTGAGATGTGTACATCACACCGACCAAATTGACTTCAAAACACTTATATACTGGGGCCGGTGGCTCCTCGACAGCATCATAATCAGGTACTTCGTAGAAAAATGGCGCGCCATCTGATATTCCAGCATTTGCAACAACCGCATCAATACCTCCAGTTGGGCTGAGCTTGACCGATTGTCGAAAGAATGAAACCTGTGATTGCCAATTTGCCACATTGCAGTGGATGTAATGCAGATGCTTGTTGCCTGTAGTCTTCCGAACTTCTGCTACAATCTCATTTCCTCGCGCGTCGTTCACATCTCCAATTATCACATTGGCGCCTGTGAATCGTGTAAGCACGGTTCCGTAGCCACGTAGACGACACATTTCGTACCATGATGTGCCCATTTCCTGAAGAATCCTTCTCCAAATCCTGAAGCTCCTCCGGTGATAAGAATAGTCTTCCCCTCTACCCAGCCAGCGTCATATGGATCTTTTATATTGATTGGCCGAGATTGTCGAATTAAGGCTTCGACGTTGTTCTTATCGGTCGCCATCGTCCGGTTTTGGGGTCAATTCAGAGGGAGCTATCACCACGAATAAGGATAGTATAAATGCAGAATAAGAATGGATTTGTCGTCGCTCGCGTAGGTAAGAGCTCTGATCTAGCTTATTGTTCGAATGCTGTGATTCATGGTCAGCAACCGTCCGCAGATCCGGGTTGTGGAGACAAACCAGAAAGGGGGATCGTTTGGATGGTCTAGAGGCTCCTGGATACTGCAGAAAGGCTGGATATATCTCTAAACCATTGACGCTCTTCGAGGGAGGAAGTAAATATGGTCGAGGAGGTCAAGATGCACTCCCAATCTTATGAAGCGCAAGTACCTGGGGATCGAGGCACAAGCGCCACATTGAAAGCCATACTTGTCGCTCCAGTAGCTTGTCAGAATGCCCGCAATCGACGCATGATGATTGACATTTGGTGCGCTAACGTGCAGACCGAGGCTCAGAATTCGAGTTTAGTTTGATATTGTATGATGATATCCATAACGGTGCTCTGTTGGAGTCGTGGAAAGTAAACACAACAATGAGTCTCCACAGTTTCTCGGGTTCTACGGGAGCCGGATCGGATCTTGGAATGCGGGGGAGTTGCCGAGGCTGGACCCACCATGGACCCAACGTCTGGAGATCAACATCAACCTCCTGTGCAACAAGTTTGTTCCGCGTCTCTCATTGTTTTGGTGATGATTTCCCATCACATGCGGCTACACATCGTTGAAGAAACCGAATACAATTCCACAAACTCTGGCTAGCAGTCCGGTCATCAAGCTCTCCTGTCTTAATTCGCCCGGCTAAAAGATGTCACCCTTTTGGCACCTCAGTTTGACAGATTGCTCAATCGACAGATGAAGACGAACCAAGGTAGCACCGTCTACAGCAAAGCTTGTCCAGAAAAAACAATAGCAACAGCATAATCAGCATCGGCAGTATACCTCCGTACAAGATATCTCAGATCCAAACCCAGAGTGATCACAGTACATCTCCCCTTTGCTTTCACCAACTACCACGCGGTCAGCCACAATCAAATGCTGATTACCACCCGCCATCTGGCAATATATAGTATATCAATCCAACATACGTCTGCCAGGCACCAACCTAAGATGATCAGGAGAACTGGTCTCTCCTCTCTTGGGCATTAGGCAATCTTTTTGCTCTACCACATCTTCGGGATCAAGACACGCGGGTCCGATACTCTCGCAGTCTTCTGCATGCTGTAGCCGACAACGTGGCTTTTACTAAATCATTTGATGAGTATATCCAATATCTTCAACGAGTCCCACAGATGCATCGAAGGCCTTCTATACTTCCCGCTGCTCCATCTTCTCGAGAGGATCTCGATTCCCGAAGTCAGATCCAAGCTATTACTAAGCCTCGCTGACCATACGCAATAACTATCAATCTGGTACCTCCACAAGTTGAACGGCAATTCATATATGGGATTGTCTTGAGATCCATTGCCAAGTCGCAACAAATACCTTGTGGACACTCCTGAGCTGTTGCCTAGATGCAATCAATATTCTTACTACGCGGTCGAACGGATCGAGCTCATATCAAATGTATTAATTGTTTCTCACGCGGTATACAATTACGGTACCTTTGGCTTAGATTAAAGTCGTGGTACCCCTTCAGAATCAGTCGATTTAGCCAAGCGGCTGAACAAAGCCTGACCAATGAAGTCTTGATTCATTCTCAACGCTTCCGATCATAGTTGTTACACCTTTCATGCATTCGTTAAAACATTATTTTCTCTTATGCGATCATTCAAAACTATGGGCGCCTTAGTCTATGGTTGGCATCCATTTCACACGTTTGACTTTTCAGCCACAACGGAATGTGTCTGAATTCTGAGCACATCAAATTCAACCATTTTTCAGCTCATTATTAATTTAATCGGTCAGCACACACTTTTGCGTGACTAAAAACCTCCACAAAGATGTTATTTTCTATCACACAAACCCTCAGGTCATGGTTCAAGTCGGACGATAAATGCCTTTGGTTACGCAAAGTAAGGCTGAAGAGTTTCAGGTCGGAATTGCCCGTAGCTCAACATATCAGAAACATTCTCTACGCATTATTCCTATATTTATCGTTCACATGACTACATTTCTTTGGTCAATGCAATCCTTAACACGCCTATGTAAACCTCAATCAACGTAGCTGGTGTAAAACAACCAGCCGCGGCTGCTAAGCTCCCCAAGCTTCTCGAGCTATGTGGTTGACGGAAAGCCACCTTCAATCCTGCCGTTTGCAGAACCACGGAGCTGGATACTACCCTAGACCAATCTTTTTATGCTTAACCGCCAAAATGTTTTTAGCGGACGAATACGAGGTTTCAATGTTGCCCGGGAAAGCCCCTCATGCTCCCTTTTTTCACTTGAATCCTTGGCTTTTCGTGGTATCATGTTGTCAGAAGTATAAAGTGTTTCGACATACCCGCTTTTGATCTTCACTTTCTTCACCATCTTCAGCAGTTAATTCCGATAGGTCTCCTCAACTTCAATTAGGCTCAACATAACTTACCCATCACTATGCTTACCAACATCTTCACCGTGCTGGCTTTAGTTGCCACTGCAATCGCAGCACCAACTCTCGAGACTCGCGGTGACAAGCCGGATCCCAGCCAGGTAACCATTAAAGGTATTACCACATCTGGTACTGGATGTCCTCAGGGTTCGGTTGGAAAGTTCATCTCAAGTGATCTTACCACGTATGTGTTCTGAAAACGGATGATGTTCTCCCACTCATTAATGCAGTTTCACTCTTATCTTCGACAAGTATGTTGCCTCTATCGGCCCAGGAGTTGCAACCACAGAATCTCGTAAATTCTGCCAAATCAATCTCCAACTTCATTACCCGCAAGGCTTCCAATACTCCATCATGAGCACGATCTATAGAGGTTATGCAGCTCTTGATGCAGGCGTTTCAGGAACACAAGAAGCTACTTATTATTTCTCCGGCCGTAAGTTGGCCTCATCCTAAAGGTTCTGTATCAAAACTTACTCACGTGAATAGAATCCAACCAAGTCTCCACCAAATCCGTCTTCAAAGGCCCTCTCACCAAAGACTACACCATCCAAGACAACATCCCCGTAACCTCGACCATCTGGTCCCAATGCGGCGCCGATCTCCCCATCAACATCAAATCCCAAATCTCGCTCTCGACCAGCAGCAAGACCGCGAGCGGTCTGCTCACTGACGACTCGATTGACGGAAAAGTGACCTTTGTTACAGGTGTTCAATGGCGCAAGTGCTAAACGAAAGAGCTGTTCTGATTCCGTGGCTAGGATACTTCACACCTGGAACACCGGAACAACGGGAAAAGGCGCGATTGAGCGGCGATGCTGGCCTGGAGCTGGTTGGGAGTTGTGGTGATTGATGGTCTGGTTGGCGTTCCACACCGGCTCGAGGCGGGGTGGGATGGACGCACGATTGTTTTTTTTTGTATGTTTACTATCTTTAACGTACTCAGCTGATTGAAAATGATTTTGAGAAAGATTTCTTGTGAAGATGTGGTTGTGTGATGATTAAATATGCAGATGTGACGGGTGAGTGTGAATCTGGCCTGATCTGCAGCGGCTCTGAACCGGGAGATGGTTATTACCCAGTGGGTTAAATTTTGCAACCCCCAAATTGTTGATCACGAAATGCCCAGAAAGATGCACATTTCATTTGATGTCTAAAATTAGTAGGTTTTGATTTACAGTAAATGAATTACACCTCTATTATCTTCGTCCCCATCTGATCTTACACTCCACCACTTTTAATACAACGATTCACTCCCACCCCAGCACTCCTCCTACCTCAAAACTTCCACCCTCACCCCCTCTCCCTCACAGTTTCCCCCTCAAAAGATTCCCCACCATCTCCCGTCCCGTAACCCACGTCGTCCGCCACAACGTCCAAAAATCCAATGTACTCGTAAACGTATCCGCGTACCCGAACCCCAGCATCGGCGGGATCCAGCCGCGCGCGTACTCGAGCGCGAAACACGCCGCCTCCATCTTGTACTGCTTCACGGTGCCGCGACGCAGATGGTGCACGCTGCCTTGCGGGTAGATTTCTGGGGCGTAGGAACCTGGTGTGTAGGCTAGTTGAGTGCCTGACAGGATGTGGAAGTAGTCGTCGGCCGTGTGGCGGCCGGTGTGACCTTCTGTGCCTATGGCTGTGCCTGGGGGGTGTTAGTTGAACTCACTCGAGGGAGCAAATATGTATGAGTTTTAGGGCTTACCGAAAATTATTAGGTATTCAGTGATACCTACGTCTCATTAGCCATGTCACGTGCACCTCCCCCTCTGAGTTTTGACTTACTGGCGTGGATTATATACATCGCTCCCATCGCGCCCCCAGCATTATTAAATATCCACTCCTCATCCAGATTCACGTATCCACCGGGGAGTTTCTCGCTCAGCTCGGAGACGATGTAGGAGACTACGGCTTTGGTGTCGTTTCCGTGGGCGCTGATGGCGCGGAGGGAGAGGGAGTGGAGGTGCGTGGGGGTGAAGATGTAGAAGGACTCGAGACGGGATTCTAGGAATATGTATACTCCGGATAGGATGGCGAGGATGGCTACGAGGAGGGTGAAGGTGCGTATTTTATTAGAGGGGGTTGCGCGGGGCGGCTTGGATGAGGGTTTTTTGGAGGGCATTTTTGTGAAGTTTTAAAGGAGTGTGAAGGCGAGGCCTATTAGTTTGAAGAGGAAGAATGAGAAGGGGAGAAGGAAGGGATTGAGCTCATAAGAAATGAGAAAATAGTATTTTCGTACGGCGTGAGATTTTTTTGATGTTGGATGAGAGGTGATTTCCGAGAGCTCGGATTCTGGTGGCGCTAACGCTTTTGAGTATGTCCGATGAATAGGGGGTTTTTAGGGGTCTTAGGGAAGCGAGTTGAGATGTTGATATTGACGACGTTTGGTGATTTAAGATATCAAAAGGTGAATCGGAATTTAAGTCTTCTTATTTTAAGGGACGGAATTCAACGTCACAAAACGGTTTAGAAATACGGTTGAGAAAATTTACTAAACTTGAATCTGTCAGAATGGTTAGGGATCCGCTTGGCAATTACGGATTGTTCGTAATCGTTACAGTTGATTAAACACCCAAAGTGTTGCAATAGAAAATGACTTTGGAAGGAGGCTCAAAGTACATACCCTGCTTGAATTATGGATGGTAGTGCAGAAAAAGTTGGCTTTTGACAACCTCGCTTTTGACTACTGGACAACCAGCAGCCATCACGTGACAGCGGAAAGTGTCGGCTCCCGAGCTCAGGGCCCAATGATGCTTTGAAATTCTGGTGAGAGTTGCGACTCAACATCCCCGACACGATTCCAATTTTATATTCTTCTGCCATCACCCTCACGATGGCTTCATTAGCAACCAGATTCCGATGCTTGCATTCGGCGCCGATACGAAAAGCCTCAATGGCATTAATCTCTCCCTCTTCTCCCTCCTCTCGCGGTCTTGCCACCGAAGCTACACCTTTGGAACCAGTTCCAAATCGAAGGCCAACTTATTTCAAAGATACGGCCAACTCAGTTCCTTCCTTTTCCGAATTCATTGGAACCGAAGACGAACCTCTATCACATAGTGATGCTCTTGAATTAAGGACGGCAATGGTAGGACCCGCCGGGAGACAGAAGCAGATCACCAGATTGCCCGAATGGCTCAAGACGCCAATACCGGATAATTCGAATTACAAGAAGATCAAGAAGGATCTGCGGGGTTTAAATCTGCATACGGTTTGCGAAGAAGCAAGATGTCCGAATATTTCAGATTGTTGGGGTGGAAGTGACAAGAGCGCAGCAACGGCGACTATCATGCTCATGGGAGATACATGTACCAGAGGATGTCGATTCTGCAGTGTGAAAACAAGCAAAGCACCACCACCGCTGGACCCTCACGAGCCGGAGCACACAGCAGAAGCACTCTCAAGATGGGGGTTAGGATATGTCGTCCTAACATCTGTGGACCGTGACGATTTAGTAGATGGAGGCGCGAGACATTTCACCGAGACGATTATGAAAATCAAGCAGAAGAAGCCATCCATGTTGGTCGAAGCTTTGACAGGTGATTATGCTGGGGATTTGGAGATGGTGCAGATGGTTGCTCGTAGTGGACTAGATGTTTATGCACATAATATGGAGACTGTGGAGGAGTTGACTCCTTTTGTTAGGGATCGGAGGGCGAAGTTCAGACAGAGTTTGCAGGTGCTGGATGCTGCGAAGAAAGCGGTTCCAAGTTTGATCACGAAGACGAGTATCATGCTCGGATTAGGGGAGACTGAGGAGCAACTTTGGGCGACATTGAAGGGTATGTATTTTCTTATCTCAGAAGAAAGCTCAGCCGCTGACCACAAGTAGAACTCCGCAAAGTAAACGTCGACGTCGTGACATTCGGGCAATACATGCGCCCTACCAAACGACACATGAAAGTCGAAGAATACGTTACACCCGCAACATTCGACATGTGGCGCGATCGAGCCCTGGAATTGGGCTTTCTGTACTGCGCCAGCGGTCCTCTAGTCCGAAGTTCCTACAAAGCTGGAGAGGCATTCATTGAGAATGTGTTGAAGAAGAGAAAGAGTGATACGATACTCGGTGACGAGGCGACCGGAATGGTGAAAGCTGTTGTACAAAAATAGTTTAGAGGATGGCGGGTTTCAACAAATATACCTGTAAATGTTTGGCATTCAACACATGGGCTTGGCGTTTGGTGGCAAATCATGTTGGGTTAAGAATTTAGAGGGCGGGAGTTGGTGCATTGAATTTTAGATGGAATGTGCATATGGGGAAGAATAGAATGAGCTATTCCGAGGCAGCGAGACTCTGTGCCCGCAAACTTTCATAATCTATCCGTTGCGGTTTGTGATTATCTGATGTGGCCTTGAGAACTAAGGTTTAGTGGGAGTGATCCTAGAATATGTCTGGCGATTTTGTTGGTAGTGAAAGCGTGGTGTTGTGTGCTATGATTGGGTGAGATCTTGAAGTGTAAGTTGTTTTTTCCATCAATAACAAGAGTTTCTTAAGCTGAAATTACACAAACTGACAGTGGGGTATTAGAGTTAGTGGAAGGCGCTTGATTTCTCGTCACGCTTTTGGGCTGGTCTGGTGATTGGCATAGCTGTATGTCACTTACGAAACTTCTCAAAGGAACTGCTCTTCAATATTCCCATGTTCATTTTTTCTTTGGCAATACTGATACACTATTCAGGTAATTCCACATCGATGAAAATCCATGGACATAAGCTCGGCATCGGCACGAACGGGAATCTGTATATGAGCGGCGAAAGCTGACATTGATTGGACGAAATCCACCATCGAGTTAAAATCAGCCAATAGTACTTTCAAATCAACATTCGACGTTGTCCGAGGAGACACTATACTTCAGCTGAGTATCAGTCGTGTGGATTAGGCTGTTGGTTTTGATGTCAATCAATGCAGAAATTATGTTGTCAGAGCACACGCTCGAATCGACGGAGAATTATGTTGTCAGATTATACGAGCTAGAATCGCCTTCTTTACAGCGGGGCATATCAATCATTCACTTTGTATTGCCTGAGATGGCATTATATAATATTTGTGGTACCTGCTTCAACTGTGTTCATTAACAATATTCCAAAGATCAAATCAACACCACAATAGCCGCCATGTCCTCTCCGGGGCCATTATTCATCGTTGGAACAGGACCCATGATCGGCTCCGAAATCCCCAAACTCTTCGCCAGCAAAACATTCACCCAAATCGCCCTATTCGCCCGCACAACCGCCACTCTCACAGCAGCAAAAGACAAAATCACCGCCGCAGCACCTTCAGCAACCATCAAACTCTACACCGCCGACGTAACCGACTCCCCGAACCTCACCAAAGCCCTCGAACAAGCAGTCACCGACCTCGGAAAACCAGAAGTCGTAGTCTTCAACGCCGCGCGCATCAACTACGGCATGTTCGACACCTACACGGAGGCCGACATCCTGCTCGACTTCCAGATCCCGAATCTCGGCCTCTATACCACGGCCAAAGTGCTACTGCCTTACCTGCGTAGTCTGGCGAAGGAAAAGGAAAACGCGCATCCATGTCTCTTTGTCACGTCGTCGCCGCTCATGCATCGTCCTGTCGCGCCGGTGTTCTCGCTTAGCATGGCGAAGACCGCGCAGGCTAGTCTGACGAAGACGTTGGCGGAGATGAATAAGGAGGTGCATGTTGCGGTTGTGAGTGTGGATGGGCCTGTTACTTTTGATGAGCCGGTTAATAATCCGGTGAGTACGGCGAAGATGTTTTGGGAGGCCTGGGAGGGGAAGAAAGAGGAGTGGAAGTTTGAGTATGTGGTGGTATGAAGGGGTGGTGGGAGTGGAGGAATGGGAATGTGGTTTGTAGTTTCGGCTCTGAGATTTGTGACGGTGGTTCGGTTTTGACGTAGTGAGTTCCGCGAGTTTATCGCTGAGATGGTGGTAGCGAGGTGTTGGTATTGGTTTTAAGATGATGACTATGTACTAGTTGGGGGTATCTAACATCCAACATCCAACAATCCAATAGGGAAACTCTATATGTGCAAACATGGATTCATGAGGTTTGATGCCATTACCTAGGTACTCTTCACGAGTTTAACGAGCGACGCGAGCGTAGCGAGTAGCGAATATGCCAACAGCAAGATACAAATATTTGACTATCCCGAAGTAATGTGACTTTTCTTGATACTAAAACTCATTCCATGGACTCCGCTTTACACGAATCTCATGCTGAATGCGATTTGTTCGAAACTCCTTAGTTTCTTGGTGTGCTTCAATTGCATTAGAAGCTGCAAGACTTGTGTAATCCTATCACTTACCCCCGTGAGAGTTGATGCTAATCAGAAAAACTTCCCACTCCCCTCATAGCGGTGCACACACATCCTATATACATCACCGAACTGAAAGAATTCAAAATTGACAAGCTCTAGAGATAAGCTGAGTTGTTGAGATAGTGTCCGCAATCACTTCAACATTTGCAGAACTTTCCACTTTTTCTTTCGAAATGTAGCAGTATTAGCAGTCACAAAATCTCTTGAAGTTGCGAGACGAGGGAGGAATAAAGCGAAATTCATATAACCTCTAACGCCCTTCCCTTCACACCGCGTGAAGCTCAAATTTGAAGCATAGCTTTCATTGAATTTGGACCCGATCTGATTCTCATTTCCTGAGTAATAAACTGCCCCCACAAGAGGTTGTACTCACTCTAGGTTGTAGAAACCAGTGATTTGTGGTAATGAAATTCTGATTTGGTCGTTAAGTTTCTGCTTGATAGGTGGTTAAGTGTGGGCAGGTAGGCAGTTTCGAATTCCACGCGTTTCGGATACAGACTTCGAGAAGAATTTTCTACCGAGATGGTTGAGAATTCACGATATTGCATCACGTTGACCGAATGAGTATTGTCTTCGAATGGAGCTCCTTTTGTTAGGATCTAAAAGGTACTTGCGAATACCCCAACAGACCATCTCGCGATGCGTGAGCAACCATCCAGTAAGCTATCCGAATTACCTTGAACCTCCGAACCGCTGAACCTATGATGACCGAAACTAGGAGATTGAAAAGCTTATTGAATGTGGTTGTAAAGTCGTGCAAGATTAAAGCTGGAAATATATGAAAATTGCAACCGAGACAATGACCCGGTACCGACGACAATGGAGCCCCTGGGTTAAAAATCATACCAGATGCAACTAAGCAAGAAAATGAAAGCTAGAAAAATGAAAATGTCTCTCCAAAGCAACAACACTCGAAACATCGTCATCATCAGTCTAGATTATTGCATTAAATTAGAGCATATACTGCCTGTCAGAAAATTCCATCAAGCAAAGCTAGGTACACGCAAAGGCATATAAACCCCAGTATGCACAGAAGCATACTCCTCAATCGAACTCCTAAATTCCCATCCCACAAGACTCTCTATAAGCGAGTGTGTTTTGGTCCCCTCTGTCAACGCCGTGCAAATGCTAAGTACCAATCCCATATGACATACAAATCACTCCAAATAGGCCGTAACGAGCGAATCTCCTGTCGGCTGCGATACCGACAATCCGACTTGATTCTTGAAAAAACACACAGCGTTCTTCGAGGGCGAAGTAACGGAAAATATATACCAGGTCGCGGCAACGCATCCGGTTGATGTCGCGCATGCTTCAAGACATGCGTCGATTGTGGATACGGATGTATTGCCAGTGATGATATTCTGGGTGTTTTGCGATATGGCGTCTCTGTAACAGACTCGTCGGAAAGTCTTTCCCGTCGTGGCTGATTTCCAGGTTGTAGAGTTGATTGCTGGACAACCTGCAGGATCTACGATGGTGTTGCCCGTTCGTTCAGGTGCTGGAGCGCTTGTTGGCGTCGAATCTGCTGAACTAATTTTCCTACGTTAGCTTGATTTTTGCGCAATGCTGTCGTTGTACGAACCATCTTGATTTCTCCTTGACAAACAGAGCTCCTCCGATGCCACCTCCAATTCCTCCTCCGATCAGAAAAGCAACAAGAACCAGAACTATTGTCTCCAGTATTCCAAATGATATCCGTCGTGGTGCGATTGATCTATCATCTTCATCCACAGTGAAAAGAGTTGTAGGTATCGGTGAAGGTGGAGGCGCTAAGGAGGGTGTCCCGACTGTCGTCGGAGGATATTTAGTCGACTCGGTATCATTCATATCAATCTGCTTTCCATGCAGAGTTCCATGACCAGATCTCTTCAATCTTTCCGCATATGTCCATATCGTCTTCTGGTCCCCATCGCTGTGCAGTACGACCTCGGGAGCTTCGCTTGATTTTCGTAATGGTCGTTCCATTGCGCTATCAGCGCTTCGTGGCAGGAAAGATGCAAACCCGGACGAGGTTCATCGAGATATCGACACCAGTGCACCCAACATCAGGAGACACATCTGGTCAGAACTAGAGAAGAGATGGAAACGGCGGGAGCACGCCAGCAATATCCTAAGCAACCACGGATCCAACGACGAACGCCGGTTGTGAGTTTGCATCGCATCTCGCTTGGGGCGCAGTTGACGCTTTTTCGATAATCTTTTGGCTCAATCTGGAAGATATAATCCTTACAGCCCTAACCGCGGTAGCTTTACTGTCCAGTTACGATGGTCCAACGGCTTGATGCTAACCGGATGCAGCAAAAAGCTCTCTCTTACTACACCTGTGCCGTTGATATGCAGATACAATTTTCCCTTAAGGCCATGTGGCTGGTGGGGCAGCTTACGGGCCTCGACTTTTCGATTGCTCAAGGAAGAAATGTCCAACATCTCACGTCAAAAGGCCAATGAAGTACCTACGGGCCGTTAGTTCTCTTTGAGTTACAATTACCAACATGCGACTTTGCTGACCGACACGAAAAATACCAACAAAAGAGGCTTTTGATAACATCTTTTCCACGATCCGGCCAGTCGTGAGAACGGTAAACAATTGGTACTGGCGCTTACTGCCCCCACTGTACCCGGCATCCGCCAAAACTTCGACTGCGGAGGCTGTGTGTCCACACGTGACTTGTTTGCACAGCAATTTTCCAATATTAGACTCTCCGTCATCATTCTGATGAGAGTCTATACGCCCAATGTCTGATGTGCGCCCCGAGTCAATACTTTGGGGATCGGAAAGGGTGTTGTGGGAGAACGCAAATAGAGAAGGCTTGTGCGATGGAAGAAAAGATGTGGTAATATACTTCTTCGGCACTTCATATCGCTGCTCGGCCTCACTCCCGGATTAACAAACAAGGTACTTGATAGATATGCTGTGTAACTTGCTTTTGTAGACGGATACCATCGCATATTGTCTTATTATATGCAATTGCCCACCTCACGAAGTCGTATTAAGAGCGTATAATTGGAAACGAGCTTGCGCTGGCAATGCGGTTTGGGGTGCTCAACAGAAAAATAAAGCTCTCATTCGTCTCTTAAAATCCTGATAAGGTGCATAGATTGAGTTCGCCTGTATCGGTGAAGGAAGGCGACATGACTTCATGACCTATGCCAATACCTGGCAGCGCTCTTCTTCGTGCGGTGCGAGAGAAAACATGCTCTTATGGCTTCCTCCGTAAGCCCCAACATGGCAATTATTGAAAAACACAGAGCTCAAAGCAATAAATGAGAGGTGCAACATGCGAAGCACACGTTATTACAACCAAACCTAACGAGAGCCAACGGAGATCCAGAAAAAAGAAATAGACGCCAACAGTACTCGTATGGGTGCTTTTCGCTTAATGTGGTTCGCGATAAGCCACGAGTCGCCGAAGAGTTTGTAGCAAGTAACTGAAGGCCGGACAGATTGTGGTGTTCTGAAATCGAAAATGATTATTCATTTACGATGTTAATAGAAAGAACATGGAAAGCGAGCAAAAAAGGAATTGATGATATGTTAGCTCACACGTGACCGGTGTTCTGCCTGAGGCCACACATCTGTGGTGTCATTTCATAACGCGCCTGGAGTTTTCAGACAACACTTACGATCACACCAACGACGCTTCCTACTCAGAATTGCTTCAACAAGTGTCACTAAATCTGAAACATCGAACCTTTTCGCCATGAACCTCGAATACAGCTTGGTACGGCGTGTTCGGATGGGATCGAAGGCGTCCTATCCGTACAAACGCTTCGATTGAAATCACTATCGTTTGGACGAGATTTTGCCAATTCACAAGTCAATATAGAATCATACTCTACTGGCCTTGATTGATTTGTTCGTCTAGTTCAAGATTTGGAATCAGCAGCTACCACCTTTTCAGCTTCACCATCGACGGTCTCTGAAACATAAGGTGGCTCCTCCTTATACACATCGTACTTATACGAGCTTCCTACATGATCGTCCCTCAGTTTTGATTGGCCCTTGCCATATATCTTTTCTCGAGCTGAAAGACCTTCTTCAGGTGCCTCGGGATAGAGACCGCGTCTTCGAAGTTCTGGCACGAGGAGATCAACGACATCTTCGAATGTGCCTGGAGTCGTCACGTATCCCAAATTAAAACCATCCACATCAGCTTCTTTGACCCACCTCTCAAGCTCATCCGCGATTGTCTGTGGTGATCCGACAGAAACTGGCCCGAGTCCACCGATAGACGCCCTCTCAGCAATAACCTCTGGAGTCCATTTTGGCACCTCTTTACTTGTGGTTGTGAAAACGCTAAGCGAAGAGGTGACTTTGTGAACCTCGAGGGAATCTTCTTTGGTGATCTCCTTTCCGAGTGGGAGTTTTGAGAGATCGATACCTGTCCATCCACTGACGAGGACAAGGCCCCCAATAGTTGAGGCATATTTCTTGACCTCTTCTAGCTTCTCTTGTGCCTCCTCATCTGTTCGCCCGATTATTGGTGTGAAGGTGCAGAAGAATTTGATTGAACTATAAACATGGTCAGGCACGAGTACTGTATCATTCGTATTATGTACTACTCACGCTGGATCACGACCTTCTTCTTTTGCTAGTCGTCGAATGTTGGCGATTTTTGGAGCCAAGACTGAAGGCGAGTGCCCGGTAACGAAGATCGCTTCTGCGTGTTTTGATGCGAAAGCAGATCCGGCGCTGTCGTCGATGTCAGCATGCTCCCGGTTGCACTAAGTCAAGTAACTTACGGTGAAGTTCCAGCTTGAAAGAGGAATGGAGTTCTCTGCGGAGACGGATCTACAATGTGTCTCGTATCGAGATCGAAGTATTTCCCGTGGTGTTTTATCGTCCTAACCAAGTCTGGGTCGACGTATGCATCATTTTCCACGTCTTTTATTATCGCATTCGGACTCCATGATCCTTCCCATAACTTGTACAATACTCTCAAGTATTCGTCGGCCTGTTTGTACCGTTCATCATGTTCAATTGGGTTATCAAGTCCTATCGCCTTGAAAGCGCTCTTTTTCCAAGATGTCACGATGTTCCTAAGTCAAGTCAGCCTTCGCATATTTCTTTTCAAAGTGCTCAGCGGAGACTCCATACCATCCTATCCGGCCACCAGTGAGATGGTCCAGAGTTGAAAAACGTTTGGCAAGCAGAAAAGGTGGTTCGAAAGTTGTGCTAGCGGTAATGCCAAATGCAAGGGTTTTTGTCACTATCCAGGATATTAGCCTCATCCTCTCCTTCTCTGTCTGCCTGTGTCATACCAGCTGCCATTGCACTTATTGGCTGTCAAGATATCAGCTATATACAATGTTCACCAAACAATTTGGAAACTCACAATTGTGGGATCCGTGACTGGCCATTGTGCCGCTCTTCGAATACAATTATCGAGGCTTCCCTCATAAGTATCATAGCCTCCGTAGGTATCAGCCAAGAAAAGAGCGTTTATTCCTCCTCTTTCAAGAATTTGCGCTAAGTCGATCCAATATTTCAATTCTCTTTTATTGGCAGATCGATCTTTGGGATTCTGCTCCAAGATCAGTTGTGAACTCGAGTAGTGGAAATGATATTACCTTCCATTGACCTGGGCTAAGATGGCCCACGGTCGACATATCAAAAGCATTGAGTAGTATCTGTTTTTTCGGGGTGCCATTCTCTGGCTGCTTCGAAGATTGTTCTGTCATAGTATGTTGTATGTTTTGAACAATGGTACTAGCAATAATGTTGGTGGCAAAACAATTTATTTTGACTGCAAGACTAGAATTGAAGCGATCTCAGATCATCCTACCACTTTTGTCCAAAGATAACATTCATCTATCAATTCTTGCCCGATCAAATTTGGCCGCTAGCTTGCACGACAATATGCTTCCTATGGCAACATCTCCAACAATTGTCACTACCCACTTCTTCAACACCATTAAAAGTGTCCCTACTTACTCATGTTCTTATCTTGATACCCCAAATCATGAATCTGTTCCAACCGCAAATGCGGGGTGGGGTGCTTGGGAATTGAGGGTGCATATTGCGTGCTTCTAGCATTTATCACCCATCATGCAAGGTACATTGCAACATACCGAATTCGGGCCCAAGATCATAAAAGTGGGATATCGATAAACATCATCCTAGAAACATCTTCATTCTGACGCTAGGGAAGAAAAGGCGATAGAATATTTTTGAAAATGATTTGCTTCGCTTTAAAGGTACAGTGCTGCACTGGGGCGGCCTCTATTCCTCATACTTCTTTGCGAATTCATCATATCAAATTGAAATCATGAGTTCTGCTTCTGAAGATGGAGACAAAATCTCATCCAAGGCGGAAGCTTTACCAGCAACTGAAAGCATCGATGGACTGAAAAGCGATGCATACGAGGACCGCAAAGCTTTTCTTTCCTCATTTAGCCCAGAAGAGGACAAAGCTATCCGACGAAAGGTGGATATGAGGTTTCTTTGGCTTATCGGCTTGATGTACATTATCAAAAATGTGAGTTGATGATGTTTCGCGGTTTTGACAAATGCTAACGATAATAAGATTGACTATACCAATGCTGCGGCAGTCAAAGTACTTCAAGTCGGCAAGCCAACGAATATTCTTCGACAGCTTAAAATGACAAGTGATCAGTACAACTGGGTTCAGTCAATATACTTTGTGAGTTGCCTCATTTAGTTTGGGGAAACCACACTAATACAGCTGTCGCAGATTAGTTATATTGTTTTTGAAGTTCCTAGCAATTTGATGCTCAAGAAAGCCACCCCTCGCAACTGGCAATTCCGTATCATGCTATCGTGGGGCATCGTCCTCGCTTGCCATGCGGCTGTAAAGAACAAAGAGGGCTTATACACCGCTCGCTTCTTCTTAGGCATGATGGAAGCTGGAATGTTTCCTGGTCTTGCAGCTCAATTGTGCAGTTGGTATCGCAGCGACGAAATGGGCAAGCCAATCATGTGGATGTTTGGATTTCAGAACTGCTCAGGGATAATTGGCTCTGTGGTAGCATACGGTATCTCGTATATGGATGGGCTAGGTGGCATGAGCGCATGGCAATGGGTTTACCTTCTCGAGGGTATTTTTACCATTTTGTTTTCTGGAGTCGTGTTTTTCGTACTCCCAGATTATCCTAAGTCGCCACGATCAAGAAAGTGGCTCACGCCACGCGAACAAGAGTACCTTGAAGTTCGACTCTCAGAAAACGCCCCACGCACTGCCGATTCAGCTTTTAGTAAGACCGAGATCATGGCTTCTCTCCGAAACCCGCGAACGTATGCGTTCATGTTGGCGCAAATATTAACGAATCTAGGCGGATATGGTCTCAGCTGGCAATTGCCAACCGTCACGACAAGTCTCGGTTTCGCAGGTCTTCCACGAAACCAACTTCTCAACATCCCACCAGCCGCAGCTTCTGTTTTGGCCATCATTTTCTGCGGATGGTTCCTCAGTCGCGCTTATCTCACTCGACCTGCCGTCATAATGATCATCTGCACCGGCGCACTCACTTTCTTCCTCGTCCTCGCCTGCACAAGAGATAAATACGCCGTCTACATATCCGTGGTCTTCGGAACCATGTTCTACTCTGTCTACTTCATCCCCTTCTGGGCGTGGCGCTCCTCGACCCTCGAAGGCACGACCGGAACAGCATTCACCCTCGCATTCCAGTCGTGCGTCGGTCAAGTTGGCGGTGTTATCGGTCCTCAGCTTTTCCAGTCCAAGTACGCGCATAATGGTTATAAAGTCCCTTTTGCGATCTGTGCTACGGCAATTGGACTTGGTGGGGTGGCGAGTGCGTGGACTTGGTGGTTGACTAGGAATGTGGAGTGGGATGTGAGGAGGATTAGGAGACTTAGAATTAAGGCTGAGAGGGAAGGGGAGGTATTTTCGAATGATGATGTGAAAGTTTTTGAGGAGAGGAGGTTTTATGGGAGGGGGTTGAAGAAGGATGGGGAGGCGGCGGCTGAGGTCTGAGATGGTGAGGCTACTTAAGCGAGTCTGATCTCTGTGAACTGGAGACACTTTTATTCAAGAGAGTTTCCTTCCGCCAGAACTACCTTGATTTCCGTGCCAACTATCTTGTCTCTAGACGTACGGTGGTGCTACAAGATCACAAGTTTGAATCGTAGTAGATGAGTTTGTCAGTATCGCTTCAAGCGCCTGTGGTAGAATCTTATTTTCAAGCATTTTTATTGAGCCCGTGGTCTTCTTTTGTTTTCTCTATCGTTAAGGTAGAATGTTTTCAGCTGGTTCAATTTTTCTAGGCAACAAACTACGCTTTCATCAGCTATCAATCATTATACAAGTGATACACATCCATCAATTCCTTTCTCGCTATACAGACTTCCCACTCTCTACTAAACTACATCATTCACGCTGTAAAACCCAACTCACACAGAACTTCAAGCTTGTGTCTGTGGTAAAACTGTAATCTGCTCTGCCGCCTTCGCCGAACTCTGCTCACTCACCACCTCCTCAACACTTTCCGAATCATTCGCATGTTCTCGATTCAACTTCTTCGCCAGCGGTCCAATAACCGCATAAGTAAAAACAACCAACACAACCGAGCACACCGCACAGAACGTCCAGCCTTTCAAGAATCGCGGCCCCTCTTTCGTCGGAAACGCGAGTATCCCTGTCCAAGCCGTCGTACTTTGCGCCACCAAATTCATGAACACAATAATGAACGAGCGCTCAGCGGTGTTATGTCTGAGAATATCATTCGCCCAACCATACAGAACGCTACTCATGGCAACTTGAGTATACGCCGAATTAAACGCGAACCATTTCGCAGCCTCTGGGACTTTCCAAGTTGCTAGTATAACCATGGCCGTGAAATTCCAGGCGTGTGCGAATGCAATTGCTCCACTTGGACCCCAGAGAAGATCTGAACTGAAATTCACGAAGAGCACGTAGAATATTCCGAGTGCAGGGGCAGTGGTACCGAGTTGGTTGACCTTGGGTGTAGAAAAGCGTTTAAGACTCTTAAGCCAGAGCAGATAGCCGCCGTAGGACGTGGAACCGGAGTTCCAAAATAGGATTGCCCAGAAGGTGAGGATGTAGATCTTCCAATCTGTGGCGATTCGCTTGATGAGCTTGAAACGGGACTCTTTCACTACTTCGGTAGTGTCTGCTTTGACGTCTTTGAGACGGGATACGGCAAGTTCAAGTTCGGTGTCGCTAAGGAAGAGTTTGTTTGGTCGCGCGGGTGTACCAGGCCAGATGAAGACGCCTGCTATGGCTACGGGAACGGTCATTAGGGCGTTGATTATGAACATCCATCTGAGATATGAAGATTAGTAGGTGGCTTTCATAAAACTTTGCATTGGGGAGCTTACCTCCATCCCGCTAGTCCGTTCACACCGTCAAGATTCGCAGAAGCAGCACTTTGTATCAACCCAGCAGTAAGCGTTCCCAGCATCTGCCCAACATAGAACACACCGCCACGTCGTCCAAGCTCATCACCGCGATACCACGCCCCGAGAACATAGTGAACTCCAGGGAAAAATGCAGCTTCGAATAAACCAACAAAGAATCGGTATGCCATCAACTCGCTATAACTTTGCGTTCGATACTGCAAGAGCGTGAAGATGCCCCATCCTGTCTCTAAAGCTGGAATAGTCCAATTCATAGGAAACATCGGGAACAGAAACGTGAACGGTATTTGTCCGATGACAGCTCCGGTCACATACATCGAGTTTAATTCAACCAGCTGATTTCCATTGAAGCCGAGATCTTCTCTTAAACCGGAGACGTAGGCATTATCTAAAGTCGTTAGAACTATTTTTCAAGACATCTTTTTTGGACTTACTAAGATTTGACTGATCTATATACTTGATCCAGTATGCTATCACGGCGTATGGAATGATGAGCAGATCGAGTTTCACGATCAGTCGTTTTTCTTCCGGGCTATCGTCTGCCGAGTACCAGTGGTACCAGGCTCTTCCTTTGCGTTTTTCGTGAATGTTGGACATTGTTTCGAGATTTTAGGTGAGGTGACACGAAAACATGGTGACAGAAGATGATGGCACAACTGTATTATATTCCTACATCCAGGGAAGTCTTAGATTACGTTGCTACCAACACAACCCATGTTGAAAGTCCCAAGGCAAGTCGCAATATTAGATGCGTATTGCAAACACATTCTCAGCGTGGCTACCGATGTCGGTAATCAGGAAGAGAAACCGCGGATTTAGATGCCTTCTCAAGGTCTGAATTGCACGAATCATTGCTAGGGTACCTGCAAGCATTTCAGATAAAGTCCCCTTGTCATGCAAAAGCCACTTCTAGGCTGCCGATACCCGATACCAAGTCCACGGGTTGTATTAACGTCCTTTTCTGGATCATTGCAGATGCAAACCAACCCCGTTAAGACGTGACCGGAACAAAAGTACTAGCTTTGTACCAAGATATCCCTGGTGGGAGCAGCAGTAGCAAATCCATATAAGCACAAAGCGGCTTTACATCCGATAGTGGGATACTTGGACGGCCAACAGTGCGTATAAAAAAGTCAGTACGGATGTCTTGATCGGCCAAACGATGTTCTTCAGGGGGGTCCAGAAATCACACAATTTAGGCGAGGTTTGACGTTTTTGCTGCAATGCTCCACAATTCGTGACTTGTAGCTTGTTGGTGTAATCCTCGTCATAAGAATGTGTTTATATTGTACTTTTCGTATAGAAAGTCTTCTTGGTATGAATTTATTGAAAAGTTATTGATTGAGGAAATCATGGCTGAATTACAGGCGAAAGAAAGATTAAAGAGTATTTCTGGCCATTTGGCGAATACGACGCGGGAGTCAGTGAGGCCGAAGTTTGAGTTGGAGGATCATATGGTTGACTATGTGAGGCCGTTGAGAGTAAGTAATATCCGACATAGTTGAGGCTGAGAGTGTTGTTGACGATGAATAGGTTGGTGTTGTAGGTGCGGGAATATCGGGGATAAGCGCAGGCGTCCTTTTACCTGCGAAAGTTCCTGGAATCGACTTGACGATATATGAAAAGAATAGTGATGTAGTAAGTAAAAATGCTATGTGTTGTAGATCTTTTGAGGCTAAATGTGTCAGGGTGGAACGTGGGTAGAAAATATCTGTAAGTGAGATAAATACTCTCATAGGTAGAGACATCCTCGCTTACCATCTCAGATCCAGGAGTACGATGCGACGTACCAGCAAACGTCTATCAAAGCACATTTGCACCAAACACCCAATGGACAGAAGCATTCGCACAAGGTCACGAAATCAGAAAATACTGGCAAGACCTCGCCAAAAAGCACAACGTCTATCAATACGTCAAATTCAGCAACCAAATCCAACACGCCGAATGGCTACCAACAGAGTCAAAATGGGCCGTCACCATCCAAGACCTCAAAAATCAAGAGACAAGAGTCGAGAAATTTGATATCTTCATCACAGCAATAGGACGTTTCAACGCGTGGAAACTCCCAGACTATCCAGGAATTGAAGATTACAAAGGCCATCTCCGGCACTCCTCAAACTGGGACCCCAGTTTCGATCCCACCAGCAAAACAGTCGCAGTGATCGGCAACGGCGCATCCGGAATCCAAGTTGTGCCCGAGTTGCAAAAGGTTGTCAAACATCTCGACCACTACGCACGTTCACGAACCTGGATCGCCGGATCACTAGGCGGTTTGGATCGCAAAGCCGAGCCCATGTATTTCAGCGAGGAGCAATTGAAAGAGTTTGAGAACCCCGAGAAATATCTGGAGTTTCGGAAAGAACTGGAGAATACGTATTGGAAACGCTTTGGGGCGGTGATGAAAGGGTCAAAGGAGAATCTAGCTGCGAAAGAGGAGTTTAGGGAATTAATGCGAAGACGACTGGTTGATAAACCAGAGTTGCTTGATTTGATAGTCCCAGATTTCTCACCGCACTGCCGCCGCCTCACACCCGGCCCAGGCTATCTCGAAGCATTATCCCAACCAAACGTCTCTTTCATCCAGGACAAAATCGCACGTATCACGCCCACAGGCATTGAAACCGTCTCCGGCGTTCATCGTGAGGTTGACGCCATAATCTGCTCCACAGGCGCAAACACCGATTACGCACTCCCCTTCCCCGTGATCTCACACGGGACAAACTTGGCCTCAGCATGGAAACCTGACGGCGAATTCGGATTCCCATATACGTATCTGGGCATCGCGACGCCTGGTTTCCCAAATCTGTTTTACATCCATGGCCCGAATGCGGCGGGGGCGAGTGGCACACTGCCGCATAGTGTGGAGAATCAGGTGGTTTATATTGCGAAGTTACTTAGGAAATTAAGCAATCAAGGGATCAAAACTGTTGTGCCGAAAAAGGAGGCGGCGGATGATTTTGTGGAGTATTGTGATAGTTTCTTTCCTACGACTGTTTTGAGTGAGGAGTGTAGTTCGTGGTCTAATGGTGGGTACCATTTCTGCTCATAATCGCTTTTATTTTGGTACTGATAGAATTGTGCTAGGTGGTATACCAGGCGGTAAAATCCACGGCCACTGGCCCGGATCCTCAGCACACTCAACATTTGTCCGGCGCTCACCTCGCTGGGAAGATTTCGACTATGAGCTTCTGGATAACAACAAAAGTAAAAATAGATTCGCTTATTGGGGTAATGGATGGACTAGTAAAGAGTTAGATCCGGAGAGCGATTTGACGCCTTATTTGAAACATCCTGAGAAAGTGGATTTGAGGGATTGGCATGAAAGTTGGTGGGATTTGTAGATTTTCTTTGTATATCATGTAGATTTGATTAGATTTAGGAAAACGAGTAGATTCTTTAATGTGTTTGGCATTTTAAACAATGGCTAAATAAGCCAATAATGTGGATATGTTGTTCAGGGGGGCAGGTCACGTGTCTTACGGAGCAGTGAAGATACCTACCTGGCTCGCGGAGGACAAGATAAGTGGTAGCCGAACTAGAATAGTTCTTTGACTAAGTTAACGAAATATTATAATTTAGTAGATCGACTTAGAACATTATAACAATTAGTTAACTATTCTAAGTAAATAAGACTTTTTAAGCCCCATTCGAAGTAGACTTGTTATTTAGTCTAAGATTTACGAGTAGGTGACTGCCACATACCTTTTCCTCCGGGAGCCTGGGTAGTAGGTACTCTCCGTATATTTAAGCCCCAAGGCATTCCCCAGATTACATTCAGCGCATCTTCGAGTCTTGGGCATGAAAAGTTAAGAATTGATTTAGGACATCTCAGATTAATAACATTGAAAGTGCCCAAACGATCTGCTATTAGTTATATTCGTGTCACTTACCAAATACAAATCGCATGGCAACAAACCCTTAAATTTCTTAACGGTACTGTTTCTTCCACAGTATCAATCTCAAAAAAAATAAGAAATTAGTGCTCTAAGAAGAGAATTTTGTATAGGGGGAAACGAAAACGGCGTAGCGAAAAAGATCCATTAATTATTGCCTGTACATGTCAAAATCTTTACAGCTTTAGTGAAGTAGTTACTAGTGGGAGACGCAACTATAAGAAATGTCTGGGGACGTTGAGTATTTGTTTATCACCTCTCGACACATGAGCCGTTTAAATTGATTAATTACTACACCCTCGTCAATCGAGAAGTCAGAATATATATTCTCAAAGATCTGATCGCAAGGTAACACCGCGCAAATCGGATCCAAAAGCCAGATCTAATAAATATATGCATGATTTCCAGACGTTTAAATTCGCCTTAACACACTTTTCACGCCATCAAAAACTCAGACCGAATCTATAGCGACACCAACCCACCCTCCAACGCCTTCTCAACATCCCCCTCCGTCTTCCCGTCCTGATCAGTAACAGCTTTCAACGCATTCTCAAAATCCCCAATCAACGCATCCACATCCTCGAGTCCCGGCGCAATTCTCATTGCTACAACTTATTAGCCCCCTTTCAACCCAAACTCAACTCCAAAGATCCCATTTCCAAAAAAAAAAATAATATATATATATATATTGAAAATAAACGCAATGAAAGTAAAAGTCGTAACTCACAAGCCTCACTCAACCCCCTCCCCCCCGCCCACCCCAAGTCCTTGCCATACAACGCCTTCACATACGTAATCACAATCGTGCGATGCGCGCCGAGATGCGGTCCCATATGCATATTCAAATTATCATAAAACACCCTCAGCATATCCACATTCTTAAACACGATACTAAATAAATACCCATAACCCGCTGCGAATTCCTCTGTCGTGGGGCGTTTGACGAGATCGTAGTTTGCTTTGAATTCCGGGTTTGTGGTAGGATGTTGGACGGTTTTGATAGGGGAGGAGGGAGATTGGGCGTGGGTTTGGAAGTAGGAGACTAGGGATTGGGTATTGGTGTTTAGGGTGTGGGAGCGTACGAGGTAGTCACGCGAGTTTGAAGCGAGAACGCTGGCGTCGAGGGGGGAGTAGTCGAGTGTATAGTTCGCCGTGTAGAGAGTTTTTAATTCCTGGTATCGCGAACCAAGGGGATTAAGCACGGCTGAACCGCCCATAACGTCTGCGTAACCACTGAAGCTTTTCGTTAGACTCGTGACGAGGATATCGACGCCATTAGAGCCTAGGAGGTCGATGTTAGCGAAACTGCCGACCGTGTCATCGATTATGAGGAGCGCGTTGTATGTATTCGCTATCTCACGCAGACGAGGAAGCGAAGGTACGGTTAGGGATGGATTAGTCGGGAATTCAGCCCAGATAGCCTGGACGTGTCTCCCTGCTTCTTTCTCGGATTCCAGGAACTGTGTTAGGGATGTGAGGTCGTCGGCGGTGCCGAAAGGGTAGAGTTTATAACCTGGACCGAAATCAGAGAAGACGCGGAGGGTGGCGTAGAATGCGAAGCCGAAGAGGGCGGATTTTTGGGGCGGAGTGTGCGTGGAGAGGATGTATTTGTGGGTTTTGTAGATGGCGGTCATGCCGGTTTGGTAGAGGTAGATATCGTCTTTTGTGACTTTGACACTTCTTTCTCCGCCCACGGGCGAGCGTTCGAGGAGGGTGGCGATACGTTCTTTGATCTCTAGATGAGCTGGGCTTTCTGGGATTTCTCTCGCTGGGGAGTCAATTGGAATCTCCCGAAGAGAATCAACATGAGGCAGACTTTCTTCCGCAACACGGGTCGTGATTCCAGTTCCTGCGTTTGCCCAGAAATGCATCAATCTCGGCATTTTGGCCATCGAAAAAATCACAGCGTACAACCTCTGACCCGTCTTCTCGACTTCAAGTACTCGAAGTGAGAGCTCTTCTCGAGGCATTGGTTGAGTCTCAGGTCCCTCGGCTATGGCAGGGAGATTCTCATCATCTACCCTCGGTCCCTTGACAGCGAAATCTATGCATTCCGCCGCTGATACCAGTGAAGTGAAGATGAATGTCGTGTTTCCCTCTGGAACCTGAAGGAACTTCAACACTTCTACCGAAAGCTACGTTTCAATTAGCCAACTTCATCAAGTCTTGGCTAGGATGAGGAAGTCTACCGCTTTAACATCAACATGTCCGGGCATCATCCGAGGATAAAAGCTTTTCAGTTGAGCGATAATACTCCTGTCCTTGTTCACCATACGCAGCACGTTCGTCCATTTTGGGAGGTGGAAAGTAATCGCATGTTTTTGTCCTGGAGGCAGTGCCTCGCCGAGCTGCGTCGTGATAGTTGCCGACATGGTAACGTTCTATGCGTATTAATTCTTGCTTCAATTTTTTTTTGGTTAAAAGAACGTGCTGAGAAAGAAGAAGTCAGGTTAAGCTTTATGTATATTCCTTTTGATTGTGTCTTCTGAGACATTAAATAAGTAGATGGCTTTCAATGGTGGGGTAGAAGGTTTCAGCTCCTACGCAACACCGGCCCTCACGTCAGCTCCCCCACTGAAGAATATGTACGTACATCAACTCGACATCGATAATTCCGGTATTTGTACGAGGACTCAATAACTCTATCTTGTATAAACTATGCGAGCCTCGCAACAATTCCCTACCTATCGCTTGTGCCACCGATATGCTGGCTCGCGTGGCGTCTCCTGCATATCGTTCCTACCACCCATCGAATCAGAAGCAAGTAAAAGAGACAGCCAATGCGGCGAGACTTCAAAAGTGACATACAAAGACGTCAAAACCCTTGAGAGCAAAGTACTCGAATAGTGTCCGGATAATCGTTTTGAGTTTATTTTCCGTATCATGTTTTCAGGTTGATGTGTGATAGGGCTATTATCGACAATGTCGGCCGCTTAAGCATATGGATGCTCGGACGTAAAACCGATGTCCTGGCCAATCTGTCAAATCAAGAGTTAAGTGACAAGAATGAGACCAAAAAATGATTTACCCTCGTCCATATTTCTTTGCCCAAGGATCTTACACCGACAATTGCCAATTGCAACCACAACCAATCAAAATAAATCCAAAACTTTTGATACACCCTAATCCGAATCAAGAAAATAACCTTCAACAACAAGATAAGCAAATACAGCCAAAAACAACACCGCTTTTTCCTTACAAAGTCGAGTAAAAGCACCTCCCTTCACTCGCTCAAACGTATAATCAGCGCTGCAACTCCTCTGCAGGACTCCACGTCCGCCACGCCTCCATACCCCCGAAAGCCCTTTGAATCTTCATTACACCCTCCTTATAATCACTCATCGACATGCCCGCTCTCCTAACACTTTTAATACATATCTTCGGCGGAATCCCATCCTGTAAAGTCGTGTCTCTGGAATTACTACCAGCTCGAGATTTACTCGGCCAAACCCTATCAACCCAGTCCTGCAGATTTTCAGCTGCGGTTTTAGCGATTCCTGTGGTTCCAATGGGCGTGAATTGGTAGTGAAGAGCTGGGTCTTTGAATGTGAGGGCGTGTTTTCCGTAATACCAGCGATCTTCTAGAAAGCCCTCGCAATCATCGGGGACGATGTATATCTGCTTGATAGGGCGGGATCGTAACGTATATAAATTATTTCTCAAAGCTTCTTGGTTGGAATGGATCCATTGTTTCCTATCAAGGGCCAGATAATGGATCTTTGAAATTTCGAGAAAGCGTGACGGGGAGACGAGGAATTCATGCAGGAAATGAGGAGAGAAATCGGGGCCCAGGTAGATGATGTCGCGTGTGTAGTCGAGATAGATCCTTTGAGGTGCATATGGCATGACGAGATCCGTAGGCGTCCGACTACGAGTGAAATGATCTCGCGGACAACACCCACGACGCCAGATGCGTGGATATGTTCCGGAGACTTGGTATTCGGGATCTGCGTGCTTGTTTGCGGGATGATAGCGCCATGGGATGTAGGTTTTAGAACTGTGGTAGTTTTTCCATTGGGATATTCCAATTTCCTCCAGTTGGTAGATGCGGAGACCTTCAGCGCGGGATTCGCGACATGCATGGAGGATTGAAGGGACGGAATGTGGTCCTGCGCTGATTTTTAGGGGGGAGAGGGATTGGGTGGATTTCCAGGTTCGGAGCTCAATTACTCGGGGTGATGGGGTGGAGAATGCCCAGATTCTGACGCGTAGTTCGATGGGGAGTTTGAGGAAGTTGGGGAAGGAGGTGGTGGATGTGAGAGGGTTCAGGTAAGTCCTGGGTATCGGGTCTGGATTTCTGCGGTTGATGAGTGAGGAGTGAGTTGGTGTCCATCCTAGTCTGGCGTGGAGATCTGGAACTGGCGGAGGCCGCACATTTTGGGAAAGTGAAGAAGTGTTTGGTAATCCTCGAGGTGGAGGAAGAGGCCGGATTAATCCTGGATTTGAATTGGCAGTAGAATCAGTATTGGCGTTTCCTGGAGTGTTTCTTGGTGCTCTACCAGACTGTCTTGCTGCTGTACAAGAAGCACAAACACATAGCGTGGACATGGACGGCTTTATCATAGGATATATAGACTACATCATATCAGTTCTGCAAATGGTGATCAACATGTTACATACTTACCAATTTAGAGATCATCATCCAACCTCCTCAAACCAAATCAACCTTCTCCTCCACCCAACTCCCATTCGAGATCGACACTCCCTCATATACAACCATCCATAGATCCTCTTCCATCCTTCAATGACGAGTTCTCATCCGCTACAGCGCTTCTCACAGCCGCCTCACTCCAATCGCGCCGGGCAAGGCGATTCACATCGTCTCGCGGTTCGCAAAGCAACAATTTCCAATGAGGCGATCAGAACCATCTCACGGGTTGCAAACATCGAACCTCCAACAAGGCGATCAAGCAACACACCATTTCATCGCTCATGGTTCGCAATCCAACAATAACCCCAATCCTCCTCTCCTTATATCCAATACCAAATTCCCCTCCTCAAACGCCTCACTACAAACAAGGCGAAACATATCCACGATGTAGACCTTCTCACGACTGTAGTTCCAAGGCGAACCAGCACCCCACAAGCGAACCCCCACCCCTTACTCCGCAGCATCCCGCCATCCACTCAGCATAACGCAATGCGCAGCCTCACCCCGATATCACGACGCCTTCTCTCTTGTTCTCGCGTACAACGTCAAGATACAGCCTTGTTCCGTATTACCGCGCGGAGTATACCCTCAGCAGCGATCATGACGGAAGCCTCACCGCGGAAACTGAAGATTCTGATGTTACATGGTATTTCCCTTCCTATCCCACTTCCCCTCCAGTCTCTATGCCCTCAACTCACCTTCCCCACTTCCCAGAGCCCGTTACTGACGAGATTGATACCCAGGCTTCACACAATCAGGCCCCCTCTTCCGCGCCAAAACCCGCGCCCTGGAAAAACTCCTTATAAAAGCTTTTCCCCCCTCAAAACCCTCCACTTCCCCCTCAACCAAACCCTCCACCCCTCCAAACCCATATCCCGGCGGCGTCACCCTCATCTACCCTACGGGTCCAATCCGTCTCCAACCCGCCGACATCCCCGGATTCTCAGTATCAGATGCCAGCGGCGACGCGCGGGAGGCGTGGGCATGGTGGGTAAAGTCCAACTTCTCAGCTGCGAGCCATCCGGGTGTTGAGGAGAAGGACGTGGAATATAGCGGACTGGCGGAGGGATTAGGTGTGATACGTGATTGTATAAAGGACAATGGGGGCGTAGACGGTGTAATAGGTTTCTCCCAAGGCGGATGCGCCTCGTTATTCGTAGCATCCCTCCTCAACCCTGGACGAGCTGCGGCGTTTCGAGCGCAGAACAAATCCGGTTCAGATGCGCTCAAGTTTTTAGAAGGCTGGGAAGACCTCCAGCGTTTTCAAGAGGAGAAGGTCGGCGGTCTCAAGTTCGCCGTATCTTACAGCGGATTCTACGCGCCCAGCAGTCTCTACTCCGCATTTTATTCTCCGCCGATCAGCACGCCGAGTCTGCATTTCGTGGGGAGTCTGGATAGTGTGGTGGAGGAGAGTCGGGTGTTGGGGTTGGTGGAGCGGTGCGAGGAGGGGACGAGGAGGGTGGTGTATCATCCTGGGGGACATTTCGTGCCGATTGGGAAGGAGATGGCGGGGGTGTTGGTGGGGTTTGTGAGGGAGTGTGTGATGCCGAAGGTGGTGGAGGAAGAGGGGGTCGAGGGGATGGATGTGCCGTTCTGATGGGTGGTTAGATTGCCGTGTTAATGTTATATACATAGAGGTTTGCATAGCGAGGAGTCACGGTAGATAGAATGGGTGGTTATTACAGGCGCTGGCATGTTTTGGATACCTAGAGTCTAGACTAGTGTACAGAGGTATCATAGAAGATCTAATAGAACAATTCATTAATGGGCCTTTGCAGTCTTGGAGCCCTTGGATGGCTTTGTAGGTTGGATTCTGGCCATCATCTCTTCCTTGGTGATCAAATGATCAATTCTCTCCAAGAATCCCAATAAGCTCTTCATATTACCGCTCCATTCGTTGAGAACATCATCTGCATCTCTTGGCTTGGCGAAATTTACAATCCTCGCAGGTCGATCAATCTTGGCATAGACTGTCTTTGCTGTGACAAGCTCACTGATATACTTTTCAGTCTCATCCTCAGTCAAGTCGAGAAGCTGGGTAAGTCGTGGCATCTGAATGCGAGTGTAGTATTTGGCAACAACTCGGACATTGTGCTCGATAACGCGCTTACGCAGATCCTCCCATCTTTTGTTGGCCTTCTTATCCGCAGATTGTCCTGGAGAAACATCGAAAACGTCGGTGCTGCAAAGATGTGGACCAAAGATTTTCGAAACCTCTGGCCATCGCATGAGTTCGTGAACGGTAAAGAGCTTGAGAAGTTGTGCGTCTAGATCCACCTGGCTATTTCGGGAGTCTTTGTGAATTCGGTGGAGGAGATCGGATTGTTCGTTGTCGTATGGGGCGAGAATGACATAGTAGATGATGCGTTGCAGAACCTGTCAAAGTTAGTTGAGCCGGCAGAAGGTAGAGAATGTCAAACTTACAGATTGAAGCTTCTGCGGATCTTCCTCAACTGCCTCAGTATCAAGCACCTGTCTGTAATGTTTGCATGCATCCAAATACTTGTCATCGTGCTTCGCAAGGGTGATTTGCTGCTCGTAATACCGCAATTTCAAATCTGTGACATCGTCTTCAACTGGCTCTGGAATATCTTCGCCCTTTGCCCGCTTCTTCTCGCGATCCTTTTTCTCCTTCTCGAGCTGTTCTACGGTCTTCTTGGGCTTTCTTGAGAGGTATTTCGTGCTGATTTTCCGGCTCAGAATACCAGCTTGTGTCCAATCATCGTTCTCTATGCATAGCGCGACTTGTGCCAGGATGAATTCCGTCTTTTCTCTTCGCTCCATGGATCCGAAAGTCTCGACTTGAAGTTCGCATAGAATGTCTGCAGCCGCCTTTGTATCGCCTTGCTCTTTCTTGATATCCGACAGGATTCTGGTGACACGAGCCCGCTCTACTTCGACGAATATCTTACCCTCTGTGACCGTCCGCAGCGTCTCAATGACCGACAGCTTCGTTTCCATATCCGGCGCTGAGTCGAGGAAGCTCATGACCACCTGCACCATTTTCGTCGTAGCTTGTTTAAGTTGTCCATGTTTCTTGGACAGTAGCAGGACCTGTTCATTTAGCAAACTCCAGTCGCCTGAGTCCTTGCTAATGGTGACTATTCCGACAAGAATCCGTGATGTTGATGCTAGATCTGACGCCTTTCCAAACATTAGCAAGCCACCGGCGCATGGGCTATTCAATGAGCCATACCTGTCTTGTTTGCTTCTCCAAAGCCGTCAATTTCTCAATAGCCGCTTGCACATTGCTCTGAATTTAGATTAGCCAACCATCCTGGGACACTTTAAAAAACGGCAGTACCTTCGCCAGCTCCTCCGCCTCGGGCAATTGCTTGTCGACCTCCTTGCTAAAGTCCTTGTCCGGCTTCAAGATCTTTCCGTCTGACATGTTGATAGCGCAGTTGATAGGCTAGCAGCAGAACTGTATCTTGGAATTCGAAATGAGGGTTGGTGTCGTGAGGTTGATGGTTGGGATGCGCGAGGTTGAGCTGTCTTGGACATGGCTAGGTTGCAGGTCGACGCGGCGAGAACGAAGCTCAAGTTGCGCGGTTGGTGAATCCGCGTCGCCGTAGACGTCGAACTGACATGATGTCCCACAACTTTTGAGAGTTCAGTTCGTACGGCTTTTTTTTTGTTGAGTTGAGGAATTGGGGAGTTATCTGTTTCTTCAGACAAGTACGATCCATGGTTTTAAGATTGTTATCTTGGATTGACGTATAAACTGACCAGAGTGGTTTTGGTGCTAACCTGATAGAGCCGCCACCTGATGCATACCTAAGTACCTAGGTATCTGGGTGTGTGTTTCGCTCATTCCTTCAGAATTCCCAGAACCACCTATCGACCTAGAACTAGAAGCGATTAGAATCAACACCAATCTCGTCAGCTTACACGGTAGTTATCTTGGATCAACAGCACATCATTAGCATATCATTTAAGAAATGGATGACCCTTCATACAAAGAGAGATTCACCTCGAGGAGTCATGCCAGATTCTGTAAAGACCAGATTCTTCATCTACCAACAGCTCTATATGCTTCATGAAAGGGAAACTATTCTCATCACTCATTGCGAGATCTTCTTCACCTTTGCTTCACTCTCACCTTCAGATGATGTTGCTCCAACTCTCTTGCCTTCTTCTACCGGCAAGTGCAATTGATCACTACCTTCGCTTACGGGAGTATATGTCTCGATCTCTCATCCAACCTTCTTCTCTTTTAGCACTCCACACTCACAGATCTATTACTTGAACAGATCCAATCTGTTTTCTTTGGTTTGGTATTATTTTCCTGTCTGGTTCAAACCTCACAGCTGGTTCTCCCTTACGACTTCGATACCAATCAATTTCCATACAATTGAAGAGTAGATCTGACTCGGGATCAACTCCAATTATGTCCAACTACGCCACGCGTTCTTCCCAGCAGCCGTTGAATGGGCCACTTAGCAACGACTTGATGGCGGCATTTTCTCCAAAGAGAAAGCCGCCAGTCAAACTGGTCATTTCATCAAAAGATCGACCAAAATCGGACAATACAAAGGCGTTCAGGCAATCCTTTTGGTGAGTATTTTTCACCCAAATTTTGTACTCATTGACTGACCATGAAACGCAGCGGCGAGAACTCCATCGCGACAATAAATGTCATTGAGGCCGAGAAGACCACGCCCTTCAAGGCTCACAAATCGTTTCTGATATCCCACTCAGAGTATTTTGCAGCCGCTTTCCGGGGAAATTATGAAGAGGCAAAGACTTCGGTCATCAACCTCGAAGACGTATCTGCTACAACGATTGATATTTTCATTGGCTGGATTTACCGACAAACCATCTTGACTCCTCAAGGAGAAGTTCCAGAATTCTTTGAACTAGTCGATCTGTGGCTCTTCTCCGACCGGGCTTTAGTTCCACGTCTTCAAAACGAAGTTTTGTTAGCTATGAACAACAGACCAGGTCAGCTCATCGATGACCAGCAGATTTCCTTTCAAAAGATCTACCATAATACAATGCCTGGCAGCCCTTTCCGACAATACATCGTAGCTATTGTTTCGAGGTCCCAACTGCTTGGTTCAAAAGATCTGGAAGACCCTAAAGCATACCCGAGGGAAATGCTCATAGATCTGATTAATTGTGTAGCTCGCAGTAAGCGGGACAAGTCTGGGAAATTTATCAAACTGGAGCTCGATCCATTTTTAGTCGATGAATCCGTTGTAAGAGCAATTTTTCTCGTTTGTGCGTTCATGAACTCATACACTTTCAGGCTGTTCCAAGATCCCGGAGAGCGATGACTCCTGCGCCCAGTCAAATAATCGATCTCGATACCCCGCCCCAAACTCCTATCAAGTCCATCGAGCCCGAAACATCCCATAAACCAGGAATCACTGCAGCAGATGGCAAGCGTATGGAGCAGAAGAAGCTTGATCGTGAAGAGATGGCAACACACACCCCCATGCCCGCTCCTTACAATGGCATGGCCCAACTTGCTGGCGCAGCTAATACAAGCACTACCCCTACGGGCTTCCTTGGAGTAACGAACTGATCACTGCAACTATTTTTCTTTCATCGATTCTGAGGAATGAGTAGCCCTGTACAATTTCTCATCCTGTTTGACACGTCTGTGGTTTGGGTGACATGAGGGGAAATATGTTGATTAAAGGTAATGACTGGTCATTCTAAATGAGCTTTACCAGTTTTGACTGTATTGTTATGAATGTTAGGGAATGAATAACTAGGACGTCTTGAGCATAGCAGGCCTGTGCTGATCTTGTTACATGTTTTTCTTTCGGATACGAATGTACAATAATCGTTTGCAACACCTTTAGGCGCCATCTTAAGAGATATTTGCTCCAACAACTGAATTTATTACAGAATCTTTGATTGAGGCTCTTCGCCACATCTCGCTCACCAAGTAACAAAATTCAAAACTTGAAACATAAGAATGGGGTATACATCCATATATGCCAAGACACAACTAAAATAGCGGAAGTCCGCCACCCAAAAGGCAAACTCAAAGCATTTCGGATCTCCGATTGGTCAAGTCAAACATCGAATTCTAATCTTGAGGCAAAACGTTTCTCGCAATTGCGCATTTCGAGTATTATTCCCGTCATGTGCCGAATTCCCGACTACAACCAACATATCTAACCACCATTCCCAACTCCATCATACTATCGCTATTCCCATTCTCACACATCCATATATCCAACACCATCTCACCCCAATGCCACCATGCCCGACCCCGAAAAACCCCCCTCTTCCCCCGCCACCTCAGAACCCTACACCATCTACACGCCCCCCCAAAAAGCCCTCATCATCACCCTCGTAGCAATCGCCGCAACCTTTTCGGGCTTCGCAGGCAACATCTACTTCCCGGCCATCCCCAGCATCGTCTCTGATCTCAATGTCTCCGCCGAACTGGTCAACCTAACCGTAACATCCTACATGATATTCCAAGGTCTCGCGCCTTCGATCTGGGGAGCCGTCGCGGACGTACATGGCCGTCGCGTGACTTACATCTGCACGTTCGTTGTGTTTATAGGGGCCTGTATCGGGTTGGCGGAGACGCGGTATTATTACCAGCTTATTATATTAAGGTGTCTGCAGAGTTGTGGTAGCGCGAGTACGATTGCGATTGGCAGTGGTGTGGTGGGGGATATCACGACACGTGAGGAGCGCGGGGGGTTCATGGGGATTTATCAGAGTGCATTACTCTCGCCTGTGGCTATTGGGCCGATTATCGGGGGGATATTGGCGCAGACTTTGGGATGGCATAGTATTTTTTGGTTTTTGACGATATACGCTGGAGTGTTTCTAGTCGTCATGATTGTGATACTGCCGGAGACGTTGAGGAGTATGGTGGGTAATGGATCGAAACCTGCGAGAGGACTTTCGATGTCTTTGCTTTCTTATATACAGCTTAAACGACATCCACTACCGACCCCGAATCGGCTGGAACGTACGACTAGCACGGCTTCGATATCGAAGAAATTGTCTGTTGATGTTCTAGGCCCTATCAAGATTATTTGCAGCATTGAGGTCACGCTTATTATCATCTTCATGTCCATCTACTATACGGTCTGGCAAATGATAATCGCCAGTCTCTCGACACTATTCAAACGTACCTACGGTCTTAGCGAACTCCAAATCGGGCTTACATTTCTGGGAAACGGAATTGGTTGTATCATCGGCACGCTTACGACGGGGAAATTTCTGGACTTTGATTATAGACGCTTCAAAGACAAGTTTACTGGTGAAGCGGAAGACTTTCCTTTGGAGACTGCGAGATTGAGGACGATTTGGCTTTGGGCACCGCTGCAAATCGCTTCGGTACTGGTGTTTGGATGGACACTTCAGTACAACGTCCATCTCGCCGTACCTATCATCTGTACATTCGTGCTCGGCTGGTCTGCAACCTCGATCATCAGCATCGTGTCGACTTTGATGGTGGATATATATCCGACCAAAAGCGCTTCTGCTACTGCAGCGTTGAATCTGGTGAGGTGTTTGATGGGTGCAGGAGGAACGGCTGCGGTGTTACCTATTGCGAATGGGATTGGAGTTGGTTGGACGTTTACGATGTTGGCTGCAATTTCAATTGCGAGTTTGGGACTGGTGGTGGTGCAAATCACGATGGGTGGGAAGTGGAGGAAGAGACGTGCTGAGAAAGTGTTGCAGGTGGATGGATCGTCGTGAGATATGAAGCGAGATAACCTTGAGTTTATTTCGAACAATGGTCGGTTCTGCCGTTTGAAATGAATCCGCGTGGAATTTCTTCCACAACTGGCTTGAAGATCTTGAACGTCATATAATCTTCAACCAAAACAGCAAATTTTGTCACAGGGAACTCCGAAATGGCGGCGCTTCAGAACCGAGTTCATGTTTGCATTGCTCGCAGAATGTTCGCAGATCTGCTCCTCGCGATGTGTCAAAGATCAGAATCTCGGCTCAAGCGAGGAATGAAAAGATTTGAAAATCTAACAGGCTTTCGCTTGCATTTCACCAACAAAAGAAGCTCTTGTTACAGCTTGGCATGGCTAGAACGCGTGTTGCAAAGAAGCTATATCCTCATAGACGATGGACCATCCATGAAAAAGGTCCGGCAGGGAGTGGCCAACTCTCGCGTGATTGAATACACAGTCTTTCCACGAACTGTTCATATTCGACACACCAACATCCATACAGCAAAATATGTAAATCAAATTTACAACTACAATACACACACCGAATACTCAAAGCACACCCAAACCAAGATCCACACCTCACCACCACACCAACCCCCACCCACCTCACCCCGGATTCGCCCCAACATTCACACTAGCAGTCCCATTACTATCCTGCCCCTCCACCGCCACAATCATATAATTATGACTTCCCAACTTCAACCCGGCCTCCTTCCACGCCTTAAAATGATTCCCCGTCGTCACCGTCCCGCCGGCCTTCTTCACATTTCTAATACTCCAGAACTGCGGAAACGTCGCCGTGCCCTGGATACTCGGCTTATTCTTCCTGATCTTCGTCCAGATCTCATACTCCCCGCCGTCAGACGTCAAGTTGCCTTTGAAGACGGCTTCCGGGTTGTCCGACGGAACGTGCGTGCCGTAGGACTCGACGATGTAGTATTCGACGAGCGGGTTCGTGGTCCAGCCGTAGATAGTTAGGTAGGCGTTTCCGTTTGGGGTGAAGGTGGAGGTGTAGTTTATCGTTCTGATATATCGTCAGCTTTTGAGACTGGGTTGGATAGATAGGAATTTCACCTCGAACCACCCGTGCTCCACCCCTTCCCGCCCACGAAATTCCCCTTATTGCCCGACCAACTAACATCGTATTTCCCGCCCGCGCCATTCGTGTATTTCGCTTTCGCCACGCCGTCGGTCCACCACGACGAGAAATAACTCTGCGCCGATGCCCCTAGCACCGCGCTCAAAATCAGAAATACAGAAGTTGAGGAAACCATTTTTCGAAGCTCTGATAGCACAAGCACTCTCACCTACCGGCATTGCATTTATATGTACGCTCCCATGCAAGCTTTTCCACGGGTCTTGTATGCGTTGTGGGGAAATCTGGGGAAAGTGGTGGCAGCTGACGAGAGTGGTAGTTTAGGCGAGGATGCCGAGGCGTGCGGATGAGAGGTATATGTGGGGTATTGGATGGGAATTTTTTGGCTGCCTGTGGTTAATATATGGGAATTCGATCATGAAATGCTTTATTTTGCTTGGAAGTCTTGGAAGTTTTGGGTGGTGGTTCGGCATTTGACATTGGTGTTGTTTGGGGGCGTGCAGGTGTATTATTGGTTGATGGAGCATTTTGGGATACCGCGTCAGTGAAGATGTTCTTATAAGGTCGCGGGCTAGCAACGACGATGGACAGTATAAAGCAAAGGTCCCTCGCTTTAGAAAATCTATCAGCTACAGGATCGGGGTAGAAGATGAAAAAGACGACCTCACAATGCGATGGTTGATGCACACGTTGCGAAACTTCAGACCTCATCTCAGACTCCAACATAATGATCGTTCTTCAGCTCCAACATACCTCTGACCCCAGATCCCGCATCTACCACTGTAACTACCTTCCAAACCATTTTCGCATCTTCCAGTGCCTTATGCAGTACGTGAGATAGGATAATTAACAGCCCCTGTACATAGATTTGATAGGCTTCACACGTACCCCTAAGAAGTTCACTTCCCAAACCATTCACACTGTTCAAGACACAAATCTCGCTCGGTGAAAATGTACCTTGCATCACTGACAAGGTGTCCGGCTATGAAATATCTACGCGTTTCATGAACTTTCTCCCTGCGATATACTTCAGTGCTTAATTCTATTTCCGTGTACGCCTATTTTCCACAAGAACGGCCTTTAGTTTCCTTGCCAGATTGACAGATTACCTTTTGGCCGAGTTTTGACTTGCCTCCCTAAACAATGTCGTAGTGTCTATCCTATTACCTGCCGCTTCCACGATCATTTTTCATGATTTATGCTTCGGTCCTGGAATTTCGAATACGTAGGAGATGTAGTGGAGATTTCAGTTCTTGAAATTTGAGCTATCTAAAGCGACCTATGGTACATATCAACCCCACACAGCGACGGTTGCGTGAAAGCAAACGAGATCCCAGCAATTCTTTTCGTCTACCACTCAGAGCCTTGAACATCACAATTCCATCCGAAACATCATTCGATAGCAAAATGTAAGATCCCACCATCATCTCTTCAGCAAAGCCAGCAATATCTAGCATAAATAAAAACGAATCATCCTCACGTAGTCGTTGAATGGCGAATATGGAGAAACCAAACTCAGTGGTGGGATGACATATCAACGTCACTGTCGCTCTCACCGTCAGGTCCGTTTCCAAAATGAGCAGACATGACTCGGATGATTGGATCAATAATGGAATTGTTCATCTCAGACTTCCGATGACCACATCCGGCAGATGCAACTGGGCAATCCTTGTGTCCTGGGTGTGCTTCGGTTGGTTTGGCATGAACGTGAAACAAACAAGGGCAGACTTTTGCACGATTGAAGACTGAAAACCCCTCCAGATTCTTATTCGGATGGAACTTTGCCTCATAGTGGCGGCCCATGAGGTTGAAGTTGCCGCTCATCCACTTCATCATCATTTCGAAATAGTCAGGAACTGTGATGCACATCAGCATGAGTCGTTGACGGTGCTGAGAGCAATTATCGATTAGCGTTAGGACATCCGATGCGACACACATCCTATTTGAAACACGTCGTCAGTTGAGTTCATGAGATAACTCTAGAATTATATGAACTCACTCGCGAAGCTTGGAGCCTTTATTGCTCTTCGCAATAATGTGATCATTCATAAACGCGCTCAAGCCAGCGCCACTTTCATACACCGAATCTTGAAGAGCGTCGGCGATCGTGTTCATCAGATCGGAAATATCATGGTCCTCCGCAAACTTATAAAAGCAGGCGAGTTCGCTAACACCACGTTCATATTCGATCTGCAGGTCCTTTTCGTAACGTTCAGGGTTTATGTTGATGGGATAATTGACCTTGAATGTAGCTTTGGAAGGTGCTTTGTCGACCGTACCTGCGCGTGGCAATTTGTTAGAACGCAATAACACAGGTTGGCAGACTGTGGGTGGGGAAGAAGAAGACAGTGACGAACCATTGTATAGATATTTTCGAAATTGACGGAAGACATGAGCGCAGACGTTGCCAATAACGACAGGCTTTCCACTAGCTAATGAAGAACGCATATCACCGTTGAATTTAGTGGTGCATCTCTCCAAGATGGCTTTGTGGATGTGAAAGATCTCTTTAGCATCGGCGGTACCGACTCTAAACTTGATGATGACTTTTCCTGGGTTTCTGTGAAGCGTCCGCATCAGTTTCGGTGTAAGTGTCAGTGTCAATGACGAACAATTCGATGGGGATAAGGATAAACTTACTCGGCCAAGCTGTGCTTTTTAACGGAGTCGCAAGTCGCCATATTGAGGAATTGATTAATGGACTTGTGCGGAGGTTTCTGAAGCAACTCGACGCGTGTTCGAGGATGTCGTATCTTGATTGGAACTGGCTTGATGGCGGATTGTTGTTTGAGGAGGTAGTTGTTGTCGAGAAATCAAGTCAAGATTTCTGAAGGACGAAAGAGAAGAAGTTCGAAAAGTGGAAAAGAGCGCGAAGAACGCGAAGAACGCGAACAAAAAGAGGAGATGGAAAAGAGGAGAGAGGGGAAAGGAAATGGAGGGGAAGATAGACGCGATAGATCTTCCAGGACACGCTATCACTTGAACAATCGTTGTGGTTGTTGAGGAAGGAACCCTGGTGTATTGCATGACTGACGGTACACTCTCCAGGCGTGTTAGGACATGCATCGACTTCATAACACTCCTCTCCAAACAGAAGTATTTACCCTTTACAATAGAGGCAATACCGTAAATTCACTCGAACGTGGCTAAGTAAACATAGCTTTTTTCTTCGAAGATCGTTTATGTTACAGTGAGAAGGTGCCGTCATACTTGCAACACACTTGGAGAAAACCTCGCGACGACAAGTTTGTCTCGCTCTGAGCAACATGGTAGTCGAGACAAAATATTCTATAAATTCAGCTGACACAGTGACGTATATTTAGTCGATAGTGTTGACATAATATCATTCTTTGCGTCAGTCATTCGATAAGTAAATGACACGTTGTTAAGCCACATTCTAACTTAGTCGACCTATACATTCTGAAGATTAGTGAACAGGTGACTTACACTTATCTTATTCTCCTCGATACTGGGAGAACAAATAAAATGGCTGTAAATCAGTTGGGCTGGATCAAGATTGTCAATTCGAAGATTCCATGATTCTCTTTAAGGATGAGGAGTACTAGATGTGTTCGTTCTCGTCTCGGATGAACATAAGAGGAGTACATAGGTACTACTGCTTGCAATTGCGAGCATTTTCATGTGGAATAGTCTTATTCCAAGCACAATTGTTGTCGAGTTTATATAATGCTGACAGATCGTTCACAATGCCTTGCTGAATCTACCAGATTAGCTTTGATACTGGCCTTGAATTATTTCCTAATAAGCTTGGGGCGGATACATGAATATGCTACCTTGAGGCTTAGTGACGTAGTCTCAAATTCTGCAAATGCAAGATTCGAGTAATGTATGTAGGTTGATGTGGATTGGGAAGCCAAATAACTTCGCGAGATTTCAAAGGGTGGATTTCGACGGGGTTGATGGGGTTGCTTGTAATTCCAATTTGGTACCGTCAACGGCGTCAACAACATACATTGATGACCGTATAAATCATCGGTGTAGATGCTCAATTCTGGGACTCTTGAGTTTTGTTTGTCCAACGAAATTGTAGTCAAGTCATGTTCGCCCCGATATAGTTTAGAGGTGAGGTTGAATATGGGGTCAACTTATCGAAATTGAGGTGTGTACCTAACGAGATCTCCATCAGCACAACACCCACTCAACCTCCTGATGTCTCGAATTTCAGAGCTCCAACACGATTGCTCTCGAATCGCTCCTGCCATCTTCAAGAAAGATCCTTGCTACGGCTTCATTACAAGTTCCTCGCGATACCGAGGCAATGCGCCTGCTTCTTTTCGAAATGCCCTCGAGGGCTTCCAGATCACTATGTATTTGACCATTCGAGCCCCAAAACCGAAGATTGGGAACACACGCATTCGATCCAGAATGTAGATGGCACCAAGATCAACTCATTCATCAAAGCTGCAGCAACACTCGAGGCAGCCAAGAGATATTCGCCGCCTGATATATACCACAGTTTGCGAAGGGTAGAGCTGATGGATGATTTGGGCAATGTTCTGTGGGTAACGCACTGGAAGCGGCTGGTGGACAATATATGACCCAACAGCACATTACGAATGCGAGATACTCGGCTCTCAAAGTCATCGGCGGAAAGCGTGTCCCTCGTTCGAATCATCTAGATACCACTCGTCCAAAGAAGAAACCAAGACCGGATGAGCAGGTGTCAGAGCTACCGAAGATTGTTGGTATTGATGCAAGCACTGTTTGGCCGGATACAATAGGGAAGACACATGAAGATGCGAAAGCACACGGCAAGATAATCAAGAATGATATTCAGGCCTAGGTCAATTCCATTTCAATCGGTGGTCGATCGGCTGTCCCAACAAATGTCGTGCTACCTCTTCTCAACTCCGTGGCACCCTACATGGACAAGATATGCGAGGCTGAAGAGGGGAAATCTTTGTTGAATACGATTATCAAAGTGCAAGAACAAGCTGGTATTGCACCACCAGCATACAGTACAGCCGAAACTCAATCGGCTAACGCAGTGGGGGGAACCGGCGTTTTTAGTGTTTGGAGCCAACATCCATGAAGACTGTACTCGCCAGCAGCTGTTCCCACAGCTGTCTTAGAACGCTCTTCTCCTCGATGAACAATCGGGCTTCAGCTGTCAACTATCAACCCGGCTCAGGAAAGTCCTGGGTGATTGAGTTGTGATCATCTCAGAACCTCAGGCCGTCGCATTGTCGCTGGGCGTCTAGCAACGTCAATGTCTTAGCAGTAAGCCGAATTCTACGCTTGAAAGAGATAGATGGGATTCGCTGAGACCGGAGGAGCTACTAATGACGTCCGCAGGTTGTGACGAAGTTGTCTAAGTACCGTTGTAGCTTATCTTAAGGTTAGTGATTTCTCTGGGGAAGATGAATGCTTTTGAAGCAAGCGACTACGTCTCGCTTTGAGAAGATCCATCGAAACCCGCTAGTGAGAAGGCAGTAGACCGTGCTCCTGGCCCAACGAAAGTTGCAGTTAAGGCTCCTCCATCTATCAGTCGCCTCTCCATTGCTACCTCATAGTATCATACTTTTCATTTCCGTTGTGTGTTATATTTCAATGACCCAGCCAATTGAAGGAAGAATGTCGTAACACTACTTCTCATTCAGATTACCCTCCCAAGCTGTTAGGTATGCTGCAAGAACGGGCTATTCTTTTGCTGTGTCTCTTTCTTGATATTTGACGCGATGGAGCTATTAATATGGTGCAAGTGCTCATTGAAGGACTGTTCAAAGGTCCAACAGGTTGAACAGTTTTCTACGAACGCCGTCCGACGGGTCTTACCCATCGTCCAAGCCTTTGCCATTGAACCTTGTAATAGGGGAAAGCTTGATAAAAATGAATCAAGGTGCTAGGCTAAATATCAAGAGTTTCGATACCATGCTCGCAATACTGTTTTAACCCCTATTTACGATCCCTCACGAATCCATCATAGAGCACAAAACAAATCGCAAACTCTCACACGAAGTTTTCGAAGTTGAGTTTCCCTATATCAACGTCGCGTCCTAAAAAGGCAAGTGTGTATGTTCGCGCTCGTCTGTGCCGTGAGGGAGGTTGCGTCGTTATGCCTTCGCAGGGGTTTGAATGGACTGCGCCCCCTTCATCACCCTCGTATTCACATTTACCGAGCATCACAAAAAGGAGAAGTCTCGTCTTCTCTCCCAAGGCAACCACCCCGCGTTCATCCACTCGTTTTCACCGTTCATTCATTTTCAGAAATGCAACAATTAATCATTGTCGCTCTCACAGTGCTGTGTCTCAGCCAAAATGTTCTCGCTAATATCAGATTCACAATGTTATATACCAACAATCCGAAGATTTATGTCGAAAGACCATATCAAATCGTGTGGACGGGTGCAGAAGCGTTGGCCAATATAACGTTTGTGGATGGGGATGGGACGATTACTACAATTGAATGTATGAAGTGTGATACGAGTGGAAGTTGGGAGGCTAATTGTGTGTAGCGTATAGCTCACAGACAACGTTCAATTGGATACCCAGTAAAGAGCTTTTGAATCATAAGGGGAAGTTGACAATCACCGATGGAGCTGCAAAGGATATGACTGCTGAATTCGCGTTCGTGGATGAGACTTCCGATATACAGGTCAGTCATTCGTTTGAACTCATGATCGTATCTAACAATCAAAGACAACAACCGCCATGTCTTCAAGCCCTACACAAACAACCAGCATCACAGGTGCCACAACCGCAAGCTCCGCAATACCCGCCTCCACCACGGCATCTCAATCTCCAACCCTCTCACCTACACCTTATCCCACCAACACCAGCGAACTCACCACGGGTCTCAGCACAGCCGTCAAAGCCGGAATCGTCGTCGCGATTCTACTCGCTATCTTCGCGCTCATGGGTGCGGGATACTACCTCTTATTCTTCCGCAAACGCAAATCATTATCATCATCCCATGATGGACGCATCCACGACCCATACGTCCTCGCGCAGAATAAACTTAACGATAGTACGTACAGCATGACGCCTACGTCACCGTCTTTCACGATGCAGGAGATGGCTGATAAGGATGTTGTTCCTGGAAAGAGGGGTCTCGTTGTGGCTGTGAATGAGATGCCGGTGGAGATGGGGGCGGGGGAGGTGAGAGGGGGGAGGGAGAAGTTTCTGGGTGGGATGAGGGTGCAGGAAAGGGAGGGGAGGGGAAGTGGGGAGAAGGTTTTGTTTGAAGAGGGGAAGAGTCTGAGGAGGGATATGAGTTGATGGGGAAGGATGGATTGTACAATCTTTCTTTGTTGACCATGGGGTTATACGCTTTGCATTGGTTTGGAGTTTGACATGGAGTCGTTATATTGAGAGTGTTGGGCGTCTTGTTCGAAAACCAGATTAAGGTGGATGGGTTTCTTGTTCAGCAGACGAGCTCTAGTTGTTTGACAGCTGTATTTTCTTAAGGACTTCGTATCATGCGAAGTCGGCCATCTCGAAATCAGTTCTCGAATTTCTGGAACGGCTCGCTCGACGATTTGGAAAGACGTTATTAGCGTCCTCGCCAACACCGGGAGAAACACGCACGAGGTCGGAGGGCTGCGAATGCAGATTTCGATGGACCGAAACCTCAATCCCACTATCATCGGGGTGAGAAGCGCAATAGTGAGGTTGAACGAGCGGGTGTTGGATTGGAAAAGGATCCTCTGTTATCAACACTCCTTTCACGGATCATCCATTGTGTATTTACTTATGTAGGATAATGTTTAAGAAATCAACCCCACATATCATCAGACCGTTGTTACTATATGTCAGTCATCACATTTCGAGCTCCTACTCTCGCGACGGCTTTTTGTTTGCTACGTTATGGGTAAGGAGAGGTAGATTTGGAATATATGGCGTTGGAATGAGGGGGGATGTGGGTGTGGGTGGAGAGCAGATGGTAAGAGGGGAAGAGGCGGGGGGTTAATGCGAGGATGGGGGTTTGGATGATGAGGGGGGTTCTGGAGAGGTTGTTTGGGGGGTGGACTCGGTGGAGGAGGGATGGAGTGGAGGAGTTGAGGGTCAGAGGGGATAGGTAAGAGGGTGTGGTTTGGGAGATTTAGGTCACGGTGTGCATGCTCGCGGAGGACAAAATAAGTGTCAGCTACCTACTTACTAATTTTGTGAGTCAAGAAGTCGGCTTCGAAAAGAGCTAAGAAGTCTTATTTACTTGAAATAATTGACGAAATAGGTCATATTGTTCCAAGTTAATACACTAAATGCCGATATTTCGTCAACTTAATCGAAGAAATATCGTGCTTCGACTACTACACCGCGAGGCATAGTACTAGGTAAGAAAGCTCTCCGCGTACGTATTAAACTCTCCTTAGCACATTCTATACTTCACAACCATACTTCTATACTCAGCTATACTATTGCGATTTAGATTACGGTACCTATCTCGTTTCTCCTTCTAGGAAGAATAAATCTAACCTGGCTTATGTTAACCGTCTCATAGACCTCGGGATTAGGTATTGTCGTGTTTAAATTTATTTGGACCTAGGCGCCGTAGAAGGAAATTTATTGCATCCGAGCAGAGGATGGGTGGACAATGAGGGCTTGGAGGTGATGATTGAGAGATTTTGATGGCAAGGGAGAATAATGTAGATGTCTGAATAATGGCATAGAGCGGAGATTATATTGGGTTTCTTAGGGGTTTACTAAATCTAGAACGTATTTTTGATATATCTAGATCGTTATATAATATTTAGTAAAGCTGTGCCCTACATTGCTCTATATAAATTTATATAGAACATAATTAAATAAAATATAAGTAGAAGTAGCTCTAAACTTTTATAAATATCTTTAAATATATCCTACTTCGCTCGAGCGACCTTGTTAAGGGAGCGTAGGCTGGAGGTATGCACCTTGGGTACGTTCTGGAAATGTGGTAAAAACTGTCTTATTAAGTATGCGGCCGGAGGCGCTTTTGTACATGCGTCAGGTGACGCGTGCGTTACCTGACAGACCTCTAGAGGAGCGGTATTATCGCCGTAGAAACCTCTATCTATAACTAAGGCCTGATACTATACGAAGGAAATAGTCGATTTAATTTATAATTCTAACTCTATTTATATACTAAGGTAGGTGACGGTAATTCGAAGGCTTTATATTCGTGGAATATCTTTACTATATAACGATCTAGATATATTAAAAATACGTTCTAGATTTAGTAGGCCCCTTAAATTTCCTTCCCCGGCGCCTAAGCTTAGACTATATTAAACTTAATAATACTTATTAACCCCGAGGTCTAGAAGATAATTAAGACTAAATAAGTTTTATTTATTCTTCCTAGGAGGATAAACGAGATCGTTGCCGTAATGTAAGTGACATCAGTATAGCTAATTGTAAAATTATAGTTTGAGTAGAAAGTGTGCCGGGGCGATTTAAAAGGAAGTTTCCGGGTAGGTTAAGCCGCGCGGTTACTGTAAATGTGGCATGAATTGATTGGAATTTTGCTAGATGAAAGGTGCAGTACGTGACAAGGCGATGGAATGAGTACCTAAATAAAGAAGTAACCAAAAGAGAATATCATCTAATCATTAAACACCCACCGCGCCAGAAGCCCCTCGCGGAGGACAAAATGAGTGGCAGTCACCTTCCTGTAAATTCTTCGACTAATTAAACGAGTCGACTTCGAATAGAGCTTAAAAGTCCTAGTTACTTAGATTAGTTGACGAAATGATTGTAATGTTCCAAGTTAATCCACTAAATGCCGATATTTCGTCAACTTAATCGAGGAAATAATTCTGGTTCAACTGCCATTTATTTTGTCCTCCGCGAACCCCCAATCTAAATTCCGCATCTAAACCGTCCCATCCGCAACTGCTTTTTCAACAGTCTTCACAACCACACTCCCAACCTCCCTCGCATAAGGCGGACACATCATCGAGAAATGATCTATCACCCAAATATTAGCCGTCTTCCCTCACATCACACACAAGGGGAACTTACCACCATCAACAACCACCACATCGATATTTTCCCCCACGAAATCCTCCCACCCATTCATCCCAAACATCTCCCGTCTCCCATAAAACCACAAATTGAAATACCTTTCCAACTCATCAAGACTCATCTCATCCATCCTCTTCCCGATATCCTGACCAGGACGTCCCATGGCGGCGATCGGCGCATCAGGTCGGTTGTCGAGACCTAGTTTTGCCCAGACGACAGCGACGTGGTGGGGTCGACGATCGATGGGGAAGGGAGGGGCGTTGTACGCAAATAAAGCGCGACATGTTGCCATGAGATGATCCCTCTCTTGCACAGATAAATCTTCAGGGAGGTCTCTCGCGCGGTTTATACCCTCGAATGTGTCAAGTCTATCCACGAAATAAGTCGTCACGATACTCGTCGCGCTCAAGCTCGGCGGGCTCAAGCTCGGCGCACGCATATCCAGTATAACAAGCGCGGCGATCTCTTCGCCCTGACGGGTAAGACTGTGCGCGACTTCATACGCGTAGATGGACCCCGCGGACCAACCACCGATGAGGTAGGGGCCGTGGGGCTGGATGCGGCGGATTGTACGCAGGAAGATGGTTGCCATTTCGACGATGGAGAGGTCGAAGGCGGAGGGGTTGCCGAGGAAGGGGGATTCGAGGGCGTAGATCCGGCGGCCGGCTGGGAGGGCCGAGAGGTGGATGTAGGATTCTACGGTGCCGGAGCCATCGGTTGTGAGGAATAGGGGGGCGGAGCGGGACTTGGATTGGCCTTGGATCAAGACTGCTCTAGACAAGGCGGTATCGATCTTCTGTTGACGAGCGGATGTGGGTGCTGATGGAGCTACAGCAAGATTTGGCTCCTTTGCAAGAGAAGGCCTTTGCGGTACCTCTTCACCTGCTGGCTCATCCAATTCCTTTTTAACAGCCGCTACCGTCTTGTTCTCGGTAAAGAAAGCAGCAGGAAGCTCGATATCGGTGTCGTTCTGGAATTGAGAAAGAATCTTAATGCTGAGCATAGAATCCATGCCAATAGATTCGAACGTGGTGGATGGCGTGAGATCACTAGCATTCAGACCTAGTGCATCGGCAATGAGATTGAAGAGCGCCTCGCTTGGATGCGGCTTTGCTTGACTCTGCGTTCTAGTTCTACTCTTACGCTTGGGTGTGGAAACAGAATCTGGCTTGGTTGTTCGCTCACTCTCAGTTTTATCTTCTACTTCTTGACTCCCTAGTTCCTTCTCCACGGCGGCGGGAGTTGGAAAATTGGTGAAGAACGCAGCGGGAAGCTCAACAGAGGTAGCTTTCTGAAAGTCAGCTAGAATGGCAATGCTCATTTGAGAATCGACACCAAGTTCCGAGAAAGTCATGTTGGTTGAGCTTGTCAATTCAGCCACGCTGACGCCGCTGCGGGCCGCAATTATATCAAACAACTCCGCGGAGAGATTTACTACGACTGATATGCTACTGCTTGACGATGCATAAGAAGGTTCAGATGCTGGCGTTGATGGAGAGTCGCTTGAACCAGAGCTCTTCGCATGCTGCCACTCGCGCCTTGGACTGGCCTTTGATTGACGCTTTGGTGGCAGCGCACGAGCTGACCCTGTAAGCAATGCAAAGGAGTCTCGTTCGAGTTTCTTGAAGCATATATCTGTGCAGACAGTGGCGAGTTTGTCGTTGCTATCGGTGACATACACATCGCACAAGCTTGTACCAGTCTTAGTATCTTGCTCCCGAATCATGGCATAAGCACGGTACGGCCCCCTTGATAGGTCATCTAGAACACGCAAAGATCCGATGTGATTGGCAATATGAATTTCACTCTTAGGCTTTCGTACGTCCGCGTTGAGTAGGAAACCGGCGACGTGGACAATGGTATCAACGGCGAATGGGTTACAAGTGAATGTGCCGAGCTCCTTATTCAGATCCACTTGAAGAACAATGAAAGCATCGTGAAAGTCCATCGCCAAAGTAGCTTCGTCTACACCGTGGAATTGACCTGAGTAGTCAACTATCTCGGAGAAGAGTTTGTAGAACAAAGCTTTGTTCATCCTATGGACTTCTTTGGGTGACGATGACACGAGGGCGCTTAAGCGAGACTTCACAAGCGGCTGTATTCGCGACCAGTCTCGAATGCATGTCTCAATAGGTTGGCCCAGGCGGATGGAGCAGGAGCCATATTCGCTCGAGGAAGCGGCTCCCTTTTCTGCAGACAAGAACCGGATCGAAACCATGGCTGTTGATTGATCCAGGTCACCTTCTACCAAAGCGAGTGTTGGATCATTATCACTTCCGCGGAGAACCAACGGATTGCGCATACTCAAATTGGTGAGGTCATATGTGGCCAAATTCGTGTTGGAGATATTGCTGCTCTCCTTCTCGAGGTACGCGGCCGCAGTATATGCCATATCAATGAAGACGCTCGCAGGGCAGATGGCGACTCCATCAACAACATGACCACCGATGGCTCGTGCGAGATGAGGATCAGATAGGTCCGCGGCGAAAGTTGCGAGAATGTGAGATCCTTCTTTCCGTATTTGCCTGACTGAATTTAAGGATGCGGAAGAGAGTCGAGTAACCCCAGACTGCGAAGCACTCTGGATAACATTAGGCGTCTTGTTAGGTGCCCTTTTAGTATCGTAAGAGAACCAAAAGCTTTTGAGATCAAATGCGTATGTTGGCAGATCACTGATCAAGCGGAGATGATCGAAATGGTCTCTGTGGAAGTCTGCCCATGAAACGGACAGCTGTGCACGATGGGCAGCAGCGAGACACTGAGAGATAGACTCCCAGTCATCGCGTCTACGACGCAAGCTTGGGTAGCTGCTTGGTTTTGCCTCTTGAAGTGAAGAAGCCATGAGACCGATACATACTGAATGTGGTCCACACTCGAGGACCAGAGATTGGTTATCAATCAGCCCTTCACGTTCACAGGCTCGAATTGCTTCCACGAAAGCGACGGGTTCCCGAGTGTGTCTGCGGAGGTAATTTGCGCTGAAAACTCCATCCTCACCAGGCTTGACAATTCTGCCAAGCAACGTAGATGCTACTGGAAGAGTTGGTGGGTGAAATTTGACCTGAGATGCGCACTTCTCGAGATCATCTAGCATAGGATCCATTTGACGGGTGTGGAATGCATATTGAACGCGTAAGCGAGTAGCTGTTGAATGTCCCTCCGAATTTAAGTAACTCTCAAGAGCCTCAATAGCGGGAACAGAACCGCCAACGACGGTACTTGATGGGCCGTTGTAGCATGAAATTTCGCATCCTGCAGTTGCTGCAGAATCTCTCAAGCGCCATTGAACAGTGCTGGCTGGAAGAGAGACAGCTAACATTGTGGAGTCGGATGGTGAACAATGCTTGGCAATAAGCGTTGCGCGCTCGTATACCAAAGCGAGCGCATCGCCTACTGAAAGCACACCCGCAATGCAGAGTGCTGCATACTCACCGAGACTGTGCCCGATGAGTAATGTTGGTTGGATACCAAGTGACTGCCAGTACTTAGTCAGGGAAATCTCGAGCGCAACAGTTGCGACTTGCAAGATGACACCGGCGGTTGTGGCATCCACAGTGATAGATTGTTCTGTCTCACGGATCGCGTCGATGAACTGACATTCCAACCCTTGAGCGTCACAAAGGTTCTGGTAAGAGTCAAGAAGGCGCTTGAAGGTAGCCGAAGTGCGATACAGCATACCGCCCATGCCCATATGCTGAGCACCCTGGCCTGTGAAGGCGAAGACAACCGACTTTGCTTGCTCTGGCGCTAACTCGAGAGTTGGCTTCTCAAGCTGTTTCAGGAGATCTGCGGTTGAACTTGTAACGTAGGCCGCTCGGTGGACCTGATGCATGCGCCGAGCAGTAGTAGTGTAAGCCAAATCGGCTAACTGAGTTTCTGGATGCTGTAACAAGTACTTGCGGAGACGGGACTTGTTCGCATCATGTGCTGATAGAGTTCGGCCAGATGTGACTACAACGTGATGTGCTCGTTCATCGGGCGTCGATGGCGGAGGCAACGCGAAGGACGGTGTATCATGAACCACGAAAGAAATGTTTCCACCACTGGCGTCGAAGTTATTAGTGACAAGATAGCGAGGAGTCGTTCCGTTGCGTTTCCAAGCCTGTCCACTGGCGAGCTGCACATCACCACTGTCCAATATTGGCTTGACATGTGGATTGAGTGAAAGAGGTTGATTAGGCTGAGGGGGGATCATATTGCGTTGAAGAACAAGAACTGCTTTGATCATCGAAATGATTCCTGCTGCAGCCTCACTGTGGCCAAGATTTGCTTTCACAGCCCCAATTATGAGTGCTTGAGCCCTGCGAGGCTCGAGTGGAGTGGGTCTTGCAAACACCTTTTGCACAGCAGCCGTCTCAACTTTGTCGCCAGCCTGGGTGCCGGTACCATGCATCTCAACGTAGCCAACGTCGTGTGGTCGTATTCCTGCTTGTCGTAGTACCTTTCGGTACAGTGTCTCTTGAGCTTTTTCTCCAGGATATGTAATCGACCCAGCACCAGCATTGCAGTTACGCGCTGCACCTGCGAGGACGGCGAGAACGTTGTCCTTTGAGCGCACAGCATCTGATAGGCGCTTCAAAATGACAACACCTACACCCTCACCACGGCAATATCCATCAGCACTATCAGAGTATGTTTTGCATGCCCCAGTTGGTGAGAGGAATCCACCCTGGCTCAGACCGGCGAACCATTCAGGTGCATTGAGCAGCGTGCCACCACCAACAACTGCCGCATCGCATTGGCCTGAAGCAAGAGCATCGCGTGCGAGACAAAGCCCAGTAGCACTGGAAGAGCATCCAGTATCGATGCTATAAAAGCCACCGGCCCATTGGAAGTAATGAGCCAAACGTCCAGGAGCAAAGCTACGATTAACTCCCGGGAGGTAATGCGTATCGATGCCTTGTTGCTCATTGATGGTCTTCCAATCATCCACCGTCTGACCGAAGTAGGTGGCAATTCTTGGTGGACTCTGTTGGCCTTTGGCGGAAGATGGTGAGTATCCGGCCATCTCTAGAGCTTCATATGTTGTCATTAACAGTATACGCTGAACTGGGTCCATTTGCAAAGCCTCGCGAGGCGAGATGTTGAACAAACGATGATCAAAGTCTCCGGGGTTCTTGAGGAAACACCCGAATCGGGTGAGTAGAGCATTGTGCGTCTCTCGGGAAGGATCATAGAAGTCATCTATATTGAAGCGCGAGGATGGAATCTCCTGGTGTGTCGTTGTACCGCTCTCCAACAAGCGCCACAGCTCATCCAGAGTGTCGCTGTCAGGGAAACGTCCAGACATGCCAACAACCGCGATTGCATCTGGTGAGATGCTGGAGACATCGTCGCCCCACGGCATTGGACATGGTGTGGGCTCATTAATGGTTACCACTTGACCATACTGCTGGAAAATGTGTTGCACGACGGATGAATCCCAAGTCGAGCCGATTGTTGTGAGGATAACGTTGGAGCTGTGGGTCTCCTTTAGCGTCTCCGCTACGGCCTGGGCCGTCTCCTCGATGTTGATTGGCTTGTGGGCGATCTCGGCAATGGTGCGGCCCCAAAGCTCGCTAAGCGATCCCCCTGATTGATAGGCAGTTGAAGAGTGTGCGGAGTACAACTGTCGTTGAACAATATGATTGTTCAATGATGAGGACTCTCCAAGGATATGTGCAACATCCACTGACGGAAGATGTGAGCCGTACATAGGACATCTGAGTGGTGCCGAAGCCAACGTCATGTGGGTAAAACCCGAAGTTTGTGCAAGTGCATCTAGTGTTGATGGCGGTCCAAACACGACAGCGTCAACTGGTGTGGTTTGGCCAATATAAGCTCGGTGGAGCGGCGGTCTTGTGCTGTTGAAAGTTTCGAGTTGTTGTTCTAATTCCTCAGTGAAGTTGGGGATTTCACGGGCCCATGTGCCATTGGAATCTTCGATATCTTTTCCTATTCGTTGCAACTCAACAGCAAGATGGAAGCCGACAACAACAGCTTCCAGGCCCAATGAGACGATGTTGTCGACATTCCTGGCTGTAACAGCAACAGTTGCTGCCAGTAATCCAAACCCGAATCCAATGGGAACTGATTTCTCCCCGTCCCCGGCTGACAGTATTGATGGTTGATCTTCTGCTAGCCTATATCAAAGTTAATATGAAAGTTAAAATCTTGCTACATCAGAAGAAGGGAGTTTACTAACACTAATAGGTCACCAATCTGAGCTGTTGTAAACAGAACCAATTCAACGATGACACTTGGCACCTCTTGGGTGACATGTCGTTCAGCGAGTTCCACGACGTCCTCGAACTCACCAATCCTCTGACGTTCGTCAATATTCAAACCCTCAACATGTCTACGAATAGCTGCTGCCGCTTCAGTGAGGAAGGTTCGGAGCTTAGGTTGTGTCCTGGATCGTACACTCAATTTGTGCAATGTTCCGAGTAGATCGGTTTGTTCATTTGGAAACAGAAGGACATGATTTTGAGAAGCCATGGTGAGTAGATCAAGAGCAGATTGGAACAGAAGTGAGTATGTTGAATTGCTTAAAGATTAACTAGAGAGGATTGTCCTTCTATTTATCACAATAGTTAGCACACTTCCACGCGGCTGAATCCATCTAAACATTCTAAAACCGAGGCCTACCCGCTATCTAGAGTATAGTTAATACTAACTAAATAAAACTACTAGACGGCGGTCCTGAAAAAACTACTAGAAGGCGGTCCTAGGAACTACTCGATTCCTGTAACCTTGTCTAATCCCGGGACCTTCGGTCCTAGGGGTATCACGACGCCGAGGACGACGCTACTCGTGACACCTAAGAATAGCTTGAATATCGGTCTACCGCGTTCTTCTATTACTCTCGGAGGTATAAACCTACTTAATAAGTCGTTTTCGTTAAGGTATATTTAAGAGAACCTTTCGACTATATTTTATTTTTAGGGAGTAAGGCGATAGTAAAGAGCGTACCCAACTTACCTAAGGCTTATATTAAGCTAAAGGGCAATTTAAGCTTATATAAAGTTAGCGTTAAAGTATAAGGTCTCTATTCGTAGGCGTTCGTCGCGAGAGAGCTACTTTTGGGGTGTTTTAGGCGTTAGTATAGAGTATTGTAAATCTATAATATAAAAGTGAGTGATTTAGGGTGAAAAAGCGGCCCCTAAGGCATTATATGCTTATTGGCCAGAATGTAGAACCTTCTAGAGAGTATACTAACGACGAACCTACACTTATTACCCCTTGTACTAAGTACGACAGCGCTTACGGACGTCCGAAGTGCTATATACTCTAAATAGAACCACCCGTGGGCTGACTTTACCCCACTTACGATCGTGGCTATATTTCGCGTATTCCAAAGGATTAAGTAAGCAAGAAAAAAATATTCTAAGTTCTAGCGTTTCGTTTATTTATTATGTTCTGAGAAATATCTAAAACGAATTCCACGTCTAGTCGGGTAGTAGTCCTTACGGGGTAACATTTCGCTTAAGAGTGCCGTTCAACTTATGGTAAAGGGGATGCTGATTCCCTACCCAGGTACGTGGGTACGGGTGGGGCACAAATAAACCTTAAGCCTTACCAGGGGCATCAAGAAGGGGGCGTGCATATATTAGCCCAACGTGGAATAGCTCGCTGTACGCACATCGGAAAAGTCCGACGACATACTTCAAAGTCATTTATATTTGCTGCTCCGAGTACTAGCTATGCAGTATATGGGTAACACAACATATTCTTGTCAATTAGTTTCCCACGTCTACCTTCAATCTGAGAAGTTGTTCAGCATTTCGATATGCAATCATGTCCAACTGCTCATGGGTCAGCATGCCACTTTCCTCGAGCTGGCCGAACCATTCGCGTCCCTTCTCGTTAGACTCGAAGGGGAAATCAACGCTATACATGATCTTTTCAATCTTTGTATTCTCCAAGATGCATTCAGCGGTGCGAGGCTCCATGTCCCAGAGGTAGTGATCCAGATATTCTCATCCCAGACTTGATGCAAGGGGCGATCACGAGGACCCCAACCACCCCAGCGAGTGCTCATATCAGAACATCGCTCCAGCATAAACAGTAACATCTCACCCATATGACCGATGATAATCTTGAGCTTCGGAAACCGGTCAAAAACCCCGGCAGCAAATAGCTTCAGCACATGGAGATCTACATCACTATGCCATCCCCAACCAGCCGCACCGAGGCTGGCAGTGACTGGCATCGGATATGCCCCGACAAACGCCTCAGCCATGCGTGCCGAGGGCCAAGTCGGGTGGAGATAGATAGGGACATCCAACTCACATGCCTTGGCCCACAGCACATCGTATTCAGCTGAATCGAAATGTTTCCCGTCAGCATGATTGTCGATTAAAGCCCCAACGAAACCCAATCGCGCCACACATCTTTCCAACTCGCTAGCAGACTCAGCCGCATCCGAGACAGGAAGGACGGCAAAGGCAGCAAAGCGGTCTGGCTTGTTGCTTTTCGTTATGGCCGGAGCAAGCTCGTCATTCCCATCTCGACAGTTCTGTGGGCTCGGGCCTCCTACAAGGTTGCAATTCCAGTACTATTCTGGTGCAAAAATTATGAATTTGGGAAGCTTACTTACCAGGGGTAAAAGCGTGCGAAACGACCTGAAGCGAGATATCTCCTCGATCCATAGCCTCGAGCCGTCCATCGTCCAGATCTAGCAATTGATTAACAAGATCTGGTACGGCCCGGAGTGTTCGCTGAAAGTTGTCATTGATCGAAGCAAAAATGGCGTTAGAGTAGTAGTGCCAGGGTTTCCCATTTGGTATGGTATACCCTGGTACCAACCCATCCAACCTCTCTTGGGTACCAACCCAAGCTAATCTGTTTGGGTATGGTACCAACCCATGAAGATATACTTGGGTATAGGGTATACCCTTAATATATACTAAATATATGAATGCTAAGTCAGGTTGTAGTGTTGTCGTGTTGTGTCGAAAAGTGAGTTAAGATATGGCAGAATTGTCTGACCGCTTCTAGAGAGTGGTGAGCTAAGATATGGCAGAATTATCTGACCGCTTCCGAAAGTGAGTTAAGATATGGCAGAATTTTCCTGACCGTCATCGGACCGTGATAGGAGCGTTGAAAACCGAGTCGGAGCCGAGCCGGACCGAGTACCCTAGGGTATCGGAAGGGTACCCTGGGTACCCCCGATGTTTTTTGGGTACCTTACCCAAGTATATCTTCATGGGTAGGGTACCAACCCACGGAGGCCTTGGGTATGGTTTGGGTTACCAAATGGGAAACCCTGAGTAGTGCTCCTCCAGAGCAAGGAGTTTTCGTGTCATCTCGCGAAGCAAGGCTTTAGGTTCAGTTGCTAGGCAAAAGAAAGTTAATGAAAGCGAGAACAGTAAACAGCATAACGAGTGGCAAGCTCGTTATACATCAATTTATCAAGTTCACGGTGTACGTTGACGTACAAGTCTTGCTAGCTGCAGGCAAGATGTCACTGTACCTAGATGATAATTCAGCCAATCCACCTACATTTGTTCAAGCTTTTGGCACCTGCCTGAAGCCTCGCACCCACTCGAAGCCTCGGGAACCGATATTTCTCGCATTCCAAAAGCGAAATCAACTAGCAGACGGCGAAATTATCAAGCCGGAAGGGGGAAGTTCTTACGCTATGCGTTCAGCCCTTCTCGAAAGACTCTGCTGACAGGCAACCGGTCGTGAACGCCACGATAAAAGCCTCGGTGTTGATGTTCTTATAAGGTCGCGGTCTGGCAATGGCAATGGCCAGCATGAAGCAAAGGCCCCTCGCTTTATCAGTAGATATTGTCGTTAAAGATGTTTCGTTCAATTTTCTCCCTGGCGACACTTGCCGTGCTATGCGTCGCCCTGCTGGCTCTGGTAGATGCTAATCCGCAATTGATGGATCAGTTGGTGAAAAAGTACCAAGTCAACACCAAGACGAGTCTTCCTCAACATGGAAAATGCACTGCCAACAAATTGGCAGTCCGTAAAGAATGGCAAGTTACCCATCCTCCCTATCCATCACTCCCCCGTTTCCAAATTCTCGCTAACATCCTACTCAGGGCCGAGCTCAACCCTCACGAACGTCGCCAATACATCAAAGCCGTGAAATGTCTCCACGACCTCCCCTCCAAAATCTCCCCCACCAAAGCCCCCGGCGCCCGCTCCCGCCTCGACGACTTCCAAGCCGCCCACATAATCAACACCCGAATCATCCACGCAACGGGACTCTTCTTCGCCTGGCATCGTCATTTCCTCTAACTATTCGAAACTGCACTCCGCGAAGAATGCGGTTATCCAGGCGACCAACCGTACTGGGACTGGGCACGCTGGGCCGACTACCCTACCACCGCCAATCCCCTCTACGACGGCTCTGCCACCTCCCTCTCAGGCAACGGTAAATTCATTCCAAACCGCAACGGCACTCTTCAGCCGTTTCCGATCCCCGTCCCTAACCCCCCAGCTATTTACATCCCTCCCGGCACAGGCGGTGGTTACATCTTCTCCGCCCCTTCGTAAACTGGAAACTCCATCTCGGTCCCGTAATCCGGCAGACCGTTCAAAATGGCCAACCCGTCCCTCCGAACCCCCAGCTCGACGGTCTAGGCTACAATCCTCGCCCTATCATCCGCGACTTCAACAACACTCTCATCCAGCAAGGCGCCAGTTACCCCGTTCTCACATCCTTATCAATGAACGCGACATCCATCCATACATTCCATCCGCAGTTCTTCCAGGGCCCGCATCTAGCGGGCCATTCGTTTATTAGCGGGTATGATAATGATCTGTTTACGAGTCCCGGGGATCCGCTGTTTTGGTTCCATCATGCCATGGTAGATCGGGTGTATACTATTTGGCAGGGACTGGATTTTGAGACGAGGGAGTGGGCGTTGGATGGGACGTTGACGCTTGTTGATGGTATGTTTTAAAATCCCTTTCATGTTTTGAGCTTGGTTTTTATTGGGTAGATGGTGGTGACGGTTGTCTGATGATTATTGGTGGAATAGAGAGCTAATTCAAGAATAGTACCACCAAGCCGCAACGCCACGTTGAATGATGCGATGAGTTTTGAGTTTAGTCCTGATATCACGATCAAGCAGGCGATGAGTCCGACGAAGGAGGGGTGTTGTTATATATATTCTTAGGTGGTTGAGGATTATCTTTGGTTATTGGGAGGTTGGTTTGCGACGTTGGTTTTTGTATGGACTTGGTTGCGTCGGGCTGTGAAGTTGAAGTAAAGGTAATAGAGTGGTATACTTCACTGTAAAACCTAGAGTATCTTAGATTCCCAATCATCTGCCTAGAATATACATGTTTCTACTGTCTCGAAGCTCTAAGATAAACTTTTTGGATTACAGCTTTATACAAGTTCTCATACAAAATCCACTTCCGTTCCCTCTCTCCATCAGAAGAAGCCTTCGCGATGCCCTCCAACATCATCAGTCCCCTCGCCACCCACTTGCCCAGCGATACGCGATAAACCACATACGCACCACGGCTTTCCCAGTCCCAAGACTGGAAATAAAACCAAAGAAGCTCTCTTTCTTTGAACCCAACCCCTTTCCACGCGCAAAGCCCACTAATCCCGTCTCACGCTATTTACAAACACGACTTCTCCTCCCCCTTCAACCTTATCGCGATTTAAACAGTTGACCTCAAAAAGAAACCCCTCACAAGGTGTACTTGAAATAGTATGAGAGTATTTTGATATCCTAGTTTTATTACTCAGAAAACCCATCGATAAATACTATATAACTAAAATTATACTACAATATCTAAATCGCATGCTATAACATACTATTGATAGCAACACGTAGTTTAAGTTCTCAGAATCTTGTATAATCTCATATAAACTCGTCATCGCCACCTTAAAACCTCGCCGTCTACATACAATCGTAATAATCCGATATCTACAATACGTATCCTACTTACCATGAAAATAACAGATCATCAGATCTAAAAATCACGTCGTATCACCAAAGTATTACTATTCCAAGCACCGAGATTCGCAACCTAGATTCAACTCACCACATCTCCCTATAGCCAAAAAGCAAATCGAAGATTGTTTCCTCACGATCACTGATATACCATTGTGAGACGTCACTTACAGACATATGTTGCGAGGATGATAGACTTGACTTGGCTCGGATCCGGTGTTGACCGACAACAGTCAACCGTGAAATCCTCAAAGGAAGTCTGGGCGTCAGATAGATTTCTTTTTAAGTGGTGCCGAGATTAGCTAAATCTGCCAGATAGTAATGCAAATTTTAAAGCAGCTGTACGCTATGGCATTCTAGATACATCACCAAACTCCAAAAATGGAAAATGTCATCTCAAATCGCAGGCGATGGATACCATACTGAGCATCACGAGCATCATATGGAAAGGAAAAAGAAAGGATGCCGTTGAACTTTTCGTGAATCAATTATAATTAAACCAGTACCCTAGGAAGAGTGATGATTCTAACCCTTAATCATCACTCTATAAACGCCGATGCCAGGCTTGTTTACAAGAATAGCCACCGCCTGTAAACAACCACCCTGCCCCAACCCCTCATCCATCCTGCTGCCCAATATCACCAGAAGCATCAAACATGAAGTGGCACACTAGCACCGTGTGTATTGACAATGAACTCAGCCTTCTCGATCCCATCAACAGACTCCGCAAGAGTTGGCAGCGTGTTAGATCCATGTTGAGCGCCCTCACTGACAGTCTCAACAGCGCGCTCATCAACGTTGGTTGCATCTTCATCACCTCCAAAAGCTCCCGGAGGTTTCGGCTCATTTGGCTTTCCAGGAATGGTCTTGGGTGGTGGTCTTGGAGGGAAATTAGGACTAGCATCCTCATCAGCAGCATTCGGTAGAGCGCGAGCTGTATTCTTTGCCTCAGTATCAAGGGCAAATACACCAAGAGTTTCCCATGATGCGAGGTCAAGATCTGTTTCTGGCCTCATTCCTGAAGCCTCGATGGCTTGACAAAGTGGACTGACCAAAGGACACTGTTGTCGTTTCGTTGAAAGGGTGCTGTGCTCCTGAGCTGCCATGGCGAAAGCACCAAGACTTTCCCATGTGGCGAGATCGACATCAGTGTCTGGTGTCATGCCCATGTCTTGGATAGCTTGACAGAATGGAGGATTCAATGGACATCGCTTCTGCCGCTTATGAAGGTCGATCTTTGGAATGACAACCTCTCGGCTTTTAAAGCCGCCACAGGTTTTGGCCGCGGGATTTTTGCAGCACCAACCTTTGCACTTTTGTCGAAATACAGCATTTGAAGTTTCCTCTCGAGACTTGATCTGAGGATGAGAGTCTTCTTGTTGAGCAAGCGCCTCTGGCTCTGCTGCAACTTCTGTCGTAGTCTCAAAATCGGAGTCGAGAGCGCTGATCCACTCTTGGTGGCCACCTTCACCTGACTCGTCCTCTGCACCCTCTGCTAGCGTATCGAGATTGGGGTTGAGGGCAGTTTCTGTATCCTCCGTCGCGGCGGCGTCATCAGAGACGACGACAACTTCTGCATCCTCTGTTTTAACATCGGAATCAGAGCCGGCCGCGGCCATCCACTCGCGATGACCACTCTCCCCTTGCTCGTGGACCGCCGTATTAGTCCCACCCGTCAAAAGCGCCGAATTAACAGCCTCCTCGTTAGTCAGACCCATTGCCTCGCAGTACCAGCAGTGTCCTCTTGGACGCCATTGCGTTCGCGGTTGAAGGGGCTACGGCTATTAGTATCTACCTCGTTGGAAAATTGTGGTTATCATACCTTGATTGTCAAATGATCAGCGACGAGTTTTGCTGTGAAATCGCAGAGATCTCTGATGAGACCGTCGTCGGTGGGAAGGGCGGGTTCGAAGACAGGTATGTGGGATCTCGTAGACACAACAACGATGTTGTCGTCATTGGCGTTGGCGAGCTGACATTTTGTGGCTGTCAGTAATCCTACTGAGAGGAGGTACGTCCACTTGGCCATGTAGTAGAGAGCAAATCCAGCGAACAACCAACGATATGAATACAGAAGTCCGAGAGTGTTTTTGATATTGAACATGAGTATAGTATGCTCGAACGGAATTATATGCTTGTGGATAGTGTATAGCAGTGCATCGAAATGAAGAATTCGATATGATGATGTCGAAGTGTCGAAGTGGAAGAGGAAAAGAGAAGAGAAAAGAAGATCTCTGGAATCTGAGAGAAGAACTGGCGAGGAAGGAAGGAACAGATTGATTGTAGCAAAATTCCAGTGTTCATAAGGAAGGCACCTCCCACTATAGCACGAAGTACGCTCACCTGAGACACACATTCGAGTGCGAGTGAACCAGACAGGTCTAGCCACAGAGGCACAAATAATACGCCAACAACCATTAGAATACAATTAGCTATCCTAGGAGGAATGTTCAAAATGTAGGCACATCGCAAGTCACCGTTGACAATGCAAGCCATTACGTAGAAAGTCGACGGATTTGCCGCACCCACCTGACCCACCTGTAGAGGGTATCCAATCTTTTCATCTACTGATCCCATATGCCTCTGAACTCCAGGAGATCCCTTTGGCCGTATATCTCACCAGCAACTGTCAGAATCATGTCCACCGTCGCTTTAGTGTTCCATTGAGGGTCTTCCGTGGGTGTTACTACTTCCTGGGCCGTCTGATTGTCATTCATCGACGCGCTAAGCGTGCTCATCATACGCTCTTTGGCTGCTGCCAGCTCTTCCGCTGTTAAAACTTTCGGAATTTCAGTGGCAACAGAAGAAGTTTCCGCATCTTGTTGGCTCGAACTTCCAGCTGCCGAAGACTCGGTTTCTGCTGCTCCTGCTGACATACTGTGCAGCAGTAGGTCCTCACCTATTGAAACCTGCTCGCCAGCTGCAAGGGATGGCTCGTCATTTTCGTCAAGGAAATCGAGAGCATCAGAAGCCAAGTCATCAGTCATTTCAGTTTCTGCCTCGTTGACAAATGGAATGGGCGAGTGTTCTTCGTCATCGTCTTCGAGGCTAGGATTCAGTTCATCCATACCTTCGTTCGTGGAAGCATCATCTTTCAAACCAAGTCCTACCAAGACTGCTTTCTTTCCTAGCTCTCTAACGACACCGATTTCTTCGCTGTTCAGCTCACCACGGTCCGGAAGCTTGGCAAGGAGACCCCACACCCATCGGCTCAAGCCTAGTTCGATCTTCTTTCCGCGTTGTAATACATTGCCTCCTGATAATAATCCGAGTAGCCGCAAGACCGTACTCTTGTTCATACAGGCAACCTGGGCGGGCATTGGTTCAATCGTCTTCATCTTCCACCGCCACCATCGCACAAGTGATGTATTTAAAGGACCAACTTCGGTAGGATGATCGTCATCGAGCGCGTTGATCACATCGTCCGGAGGGGTTTGCAATAATTGGGCCTGAAGCTCTTCAAACCGTGTCAGGATCGAGTCGAAGTAGATAAGGTTTTCGTCGTGGGAGGTTTCGGCATCCTCGTAGGTTTGCGCTGGATGCTCGTCCGTTGCATAATATGCGCCATCTCCGTAGAATGCCCCATGATCTCCGCGATTGTAATGGCTCTCATAGTCGCCATCGTCCTTGTCTTCTTTGGGCGCGACCAACAGATTTGGAATTCCACTGGCTTCTTCTCTATTGGGCAATTCTGGTCAGCAAAAGACTAGTTGGGTAGAGGATTTAGCAAAATCGACGAATTGTATGTAAACATGACCTTACCTTACTGATCTTAGATACGCGATCGCGTCCATATCCTCATCGTAATTCAGAGTTCCTTCATCATCGCCGTTCGTTTCATCGTCGAGTCCTGGTATGGCACTACGCTGACCATATGTTGGATCGACGCGAGCATATGCCTCTCCAGGTGCCCGAGCACGCGACTTGTTGCTTTGCGAAGGGCCGTCTTCATGGTGTTTGCGCTTAGAAGCTGCCATACCTGTATTGATGATATGAGGTTATAATAGATACCTAAAGATATGTTTTTGCAGTATTGATAGGGTTGTGGAGGAATGCAGTTATCCAACAAACCAGCAGAGGGTCATCAAATAATCGTCGTCGTGCTGCCCTTGTAAGGTTAGCCCCCGATTCCCGGCCCGAGCCGCCAGAAGACCGAGCTAAAATCGTCATCGTCAACTCCATTACGTTCCCCATTGACGATTCTTCTGTTTCTTGCCAACAACACTTACTGCTTTTGCCATCACAACCTCGATTTGGAACCTCATTACCTCTACTGTATACCACAGATGTCCGCACTCGCTCCTATGGCTTTTTCCAACTTTATCTGGCCCTGATCGGCACAATTCTATTGCAGAAAACCATCCCACCACCCCCACCACCAGGAAATCATGGCCCTCGATGCCCAAAGCAACTGGGATGTGGAAATGTCCCAGCCTCTCAAAATCCCAATTCGAAGCGTTAACGCAAATTTGTTATATGCTGCTGGTCCTTCAGATCCGTCTCATGCTCATCGGCGCCCTGAACCCTCCCGCGAAATCCATCTCCCGCTTGAGATAATCACCCAGATCCTCGAATATATACCGCGAACCTTTGCAATGCAACGTACTCTATGGGCCTGCACGCTAGTATCGCGTCTGTGGTATGCGTCAAGCATTGCGCTTCTTTACGAGCACCCATACTTGAGTGGCGCAAGTTTCAACGCATTTGTTCGAACGATATGCCCCTCCAAGAATGCTCATATCCGGCCATCGTCTCTCTCAGTTCTCGTCAGACATCTTGATATGTCTTCGCTGGTACATAATAGCAGCAGAAGTCTTACGGCACGGTTATTGGGACGATTAAAGGGAAACCTCGAGAGTTTCTTAGCTCCACAAGCTAGTTTCGGCATCAACAGCTTTGCAGCGCTTAGCAAATGTACGAAGCTCAAGATGCTGAATCTGAGTCTGATTTCTGCTTCGATCCCGAACAAGTTACTATTTCAAACATTAAAATCGTTGCAAGACCTTGAGGTCCTTTTTTTCCCGAGAAGTTCTGGGGGTGACAAGTCTACCATCAAAGAAGTCTACGTATGGCCGCCGAGGATGAAAGCTCTCCATCTGGCTGGCGGGATTGATGACAATTTCATACTCGATCACTTGTCTGATGTTCCAGACTGTACGGAGAGGCTGAGCGTACAGCACTGCACCCAAGTCCATGCCCACGCCTTGCTCACTGCTCTCGAATCGATTGGTCCCAGACTCCGAGAGCTAACGATCAGATATCCAATGTCGCGATTAGAATCGGGGCAACTTGACACGTTGCTGATGATTTGTCCCAATCTCCTTGCTCTGAGAACTTTTGCGGAGTATGTGACCAACGATCTTCTATCTTTTGTGTCGAAGCACCCGTTACGAATACTCGATGTAGAAGCAACCCCTTCATATCTGGCGGAGGGTGCTCTTCGTCCTGAGACTCTCTACATGGCTGTTGAAGATGATCTACTGCCGGATCTCAGGAGCGTACGTGTAAGTAAGAGGCTTGGGTGGAGGGAAACTCCAGCCTCACGGCAAGATGTCATTGATCTAGAGGAAGCGATGAACGATCACGAGTCGGAAAACCCTCTCGGCTTGTGGACGGGCGTCTGGCAGGGTGACTAATAAATATTATAATTCAATGAAAACTTGTTCGTTCACAGCTTCTGCCTAACTTCGTTGTTTGGAGACTTCACTTTCGCTTTGAAGTTGTCGCTTCGTCTTCAATCACTACGCTTACGTGTTTGATTGTAGACCTCTCATCACTACAACACTAACTTCTCCGTATCTTATACTCTTCAACACTACCGATCTCAACATCAATAAAATCTGTCCACCCATTTCACGGATTGGACTATTAGCCACTCATCTTCCGTCCTGTCAATGAAATTCGTCATCTCATCAACGAATGCTAGTATTATTACGGAAGAGCCCCCAAGCAATATTTCGCAAGGTGAAGATTACTGTTAGATTAATTTTGGTGAGTTTCAAGCTCGAGAATATTATCATTGACTGCGTTCAGGATGCATTATCTCATTTAATATCCTTATTCAACTATTTTCAATTCTTTTACATACAAAAACTACGTCTTTGGAAAGCTGAGTAGCACTTTCAACCACATCAAGATTTTATCATGCAAGATAAATGACAGCTCAAAGCCGATTCTGCACCCGCTGCCATTCCAAGCATACAGCTCTTGGCTCCAGCCAGTATCTCACTGTCCTGAAGGATACTTCTTTAAGCCAGCTGTTCGTTTCAAAAGTTGAATAGCTGCATCGCTTCCTTCCATGATTACTAGTCCATCATCACCCCACATTCGGCTCATGGTTACAGCGCTATATATGTCCCGAGAGACCTTTACAGTTTTAGTTCACAGTTCGAAAGCATTGTTGCGGAGTCAACAGAATTTGGAAAGCTTCCAAACACGGGATTTCATTGTGGCCAGCTCGAATGAAACACAGATGGACATACAATATCAGATATGAACCTTCACAGCGACAGCCGCCGCAATGACGGTCATCCTTTCAACGACCAATCTCGCATATTCATCGACCTTACCGTCGACGACCAGTGCAGTACGAATTCTAAAGCCTCCAGTACTATTTCAGATCAAATTTCTAGCGGTTCAGCATTGGCACTTAAGCAGCAATCCATGGAGGTGTCTCGTGTTACTAACCAGGAAACAGTCGTTCCTCTTCAGCCCCTCGGACCTACCGACTTCTACACAGTTCTGAAACGATCTTTTATAAAAGAAGAAATGATTACTTCCATCGTTGAAGACATCTTCTTGGATCGTGATGAAGCCAATTACTGCGCTCGAGCTCTAGCGGAGTCTGAGGCTCAGAGAAGATGCACCAGCTCCACTAATTTCACCGATCAAGAACATTTATACAAGGCGAAGATCACTTTTAACGAGAAAGCTCCTTACGACGTGATTACCGTGTTCATTGAGCTGGGAAAGGTAAAGACTAAGAATAAGTCAATGGACGATTCATCACCCCAAACTTTGGATGGAATCACATTGTCACTAGAATTGAGCGCTTCAGGATCAAAGAAATGTTCTGAGTTGTGCTCCCCATCAACCACGAGTAGTTCGCATCACCCAATAATTGAAGGACAACTTCTACCTGCTGCTGATGTCTCTGAGCGAGTGAGGGATGAAAATCTTGATTCATCCGCTCTCAGCGGAGATTTTGGCAATGATGCTGAACCTCAGACCCAACACGGCTTACCAACAGGAGCATCAGACAAGACTTAGACTTCAACTTCAACCACAACCAGACAGTTTCCAATCCACCATCATGAGCAACAACATCCACCAAAACCCGAACTAATCACTCCCCTCCTCACCCCTCTCAAACTCAGAAGAAAATCCGCTCCATCACCAACTATCTCCATCCCCAAAAGAAAAGCCCTCCTCACATCCCCTTCTCGGCCCGCAAAACTCACAACCGACCTCGCAGCCTGGCTCAAATCCACCCGCTCCCTACTTTCCCCCTTCCTTTGCGAAAATGAATGCTGGTTCCATCCTTCGCCTCCACCACCGTATCGCACTGCTTCCGGATTACGACCTTATGGTACGATTTCGAAGAAATTCAACTTTCCTTATCCTTTAAAATCACTCTCCGCGGGGAATGAGCATGGATTGGTAGCGCAGGATGCGTCAGCGGGGTTGGTAAATATATCCATACCATATGGTATAGCTCATCACATCATTTATAGGACGATGAGTAAACGACAGATGGACGGCTGGGTTAATAAGAAGTGGCACGCGAGTCATCTGTGTGGGAATTGGAGTTGTGTTAATGCGAAGCATATTTATGTGGAGGAGGGGAGGGTTAATGCGGGGAGGAATGCGTGTTTTATGCATAGGTGAGTGCAGAATCTCAAATTTCTGGGTTGGACCTTTGGAGAGATTGGAACTTTTAGAGGAAATTCGAGTTTTTTGGGGTGGGTGCTAATGATGGGATACAGGGACGAGTGTAGACATGATCCTAGGTGTTTGAAGGAATTAAAGAGGGAACTTGATGTTTTCGGGAGGGTTGTTGGGGGTGGTGATGAGTGGGATGTTGAGGTTGCGAAGATAGGGAATTCGATGGAGGCGAGCGAAGGGGAGAGAAACGGTGATGGGGATGGGGAGGAGGATGATCGGATGGAGTGGGATGATTGGAATGGGAGTGGATTTTTCGAGGACGGATATGGGGAGGAAGGGGAGGTGGTGGGTGGTGGCAATGTATCTGAGGGAGACGAGGGGCAGGCACTAATGGGTGATGGTGGCGATGCCCATGATGACGGTTGCGGTGTAAATGATGAGTGATGAGGGATGAATATAAATGCGGGACGCAGGAAAAGTATCAAACATTAGAACTATTACTTATGGGTCGAAATGACTGTTTACCAGATAGCGGTAGAGTAGAGTTTAAGAGCCTTATCTCATATCTTTGAAAGCTTCACATCTACTAGAGTATTCTCCTGAAGAAGCTACTATACCACCTAGAAATTTACGTTGCTTATTACCATTTTAAATTAGCACTAATTGAATTACTAAATAACTTATATAATTTTGAAACAATACATTAGTTTTCACTGTTTTCATAACAGTATTTCGTCAGTTATCGCTAGGTTCTATTAATAATATTCTATTTTACTTAAAACAAATACATAATGTTCTTTTTCTAGCGAGGCGTAAGATTTGCGGTATTAGATAAGAAGAAAAAGGTTTACTCAGCGTCTGTGAGTCATTAAAACATAGTCTGTAAAGTAGAAGAATACTAAATGGATAAGGCAATAGTTTAATCGAGAATATTGCGTTAGGCAGCTACGTTTGTGACAGGATAAGAGGAATTCGGTCGCGGTTAAGTAGGAAATAGTTGGATTGTTGTACTTTTAGAAGTAAGGACTTACTTCTAATAGGGATTATTTAATCTATTTTCAAAAACAGGTTTATAATATTTCTACTTATTAAGTACAAAATTTTAACATTTATTAGTTTTACTTATCTCTTTATGTAAGATACCTACCCACCGCTAAATTCTTTTTTATAGTAAGGGTAAGGCGTTTGAGTGTTAGATAAGCAGAAAACATCTAGATTTATATAAAAAGAGGTTAGGGACTTGTTAAGGATAGGTTGTTAATGATCGATCTCTGAATAGTTTAAAATGTTTTGTACTATACTAAGTAACAAATCTCAAATTTTACACCTCACCTAGTAGACTTCTTCCTGCGCCTAAAGAATTCCACAAACCACCTATCACTTAGTTAACTATACCTTATTCACTTTAAAAATCTTTCCACAGCAAAGACTCCTCGCACTACTAATTTAGCTCCTTTATTTTCTTCATTTATCTTCACCCACGCCTTCAGTCATTTTACTAGTTACGGCAATTTTATTTAATACATAGTATTATATTTCTATAATCTATTTCCCTCTATCGAAGGTTCTTAATCCAATTGACCATCCTATCTTCCTCAACAACCCTAGCTCCCTGATCAAGCAGTGACCTGTTCGGTATAAAATCAACGCTTGGATCATAGGCAATCTCAAACCCGGGATTCTGCACATCGATCCTCGCAGCATTCTTGACCTGCAACTGTTTCTTGCCCTTCTTCTTCTTCTTCTCGGGCTCAGGTTCAGCCTGTGCGGGAATCGCGACGACTTGTTGTGTATCAGTCTTGCGCTTCTTCGCCGGCGGTTCAGCTGCAGTCGTTCCAGCAGCTCGCTTACCTGCTGAAGTAGAAGAAGGTTCATCGTCGGAAGTCAGTGTGAGATCAGCGGTTCCGTTTGTGACTGTAGTAACTGGGTCAGCTGGACCGACTGGCATGCTATCCTGAGCTCTGAAGAAAGTTCCGCAGCGGACTTCCTTGTGATAAGCCAGTTGGCGGTCTTTATCTGGGTCAGGTTTACCAATGTAATCAATAACCATCTGTGCGATCCAGCGACGAGGAAACTCAAGTGTACCCTTCTCATTGATCCAGCCGAATCCGATTTCTTGGTCGTCTAGTTCATTGTACCATTCAAAGCGCTCGGTCCGGTATCCTGGGTCACGCTTGAACTGAGTTTTATCCTCGAGTTCCTCGAACGTCTTGCGCATGAAATACCGCAATCTAAATTCTTGCAAATTCTGCAGCGTGCCGAAGACAGCGAGGGCTTGATCGGAGATCATCTCGGGGTTGATGAGATCCATCCTAGCTTTTGTGAAGCGCAGACTAGGGTACATGACGCCGCATGCGCGAAGGTAGATGTTCTCGGGTGGAAGGAGGTCGAGTTCGCAGTATCTGGGCATGCGATGGCGAAGTGGGTGGTTTTTGTCGCGGAGGACCGAGTCTTCGTAGACGCCACCGCCGGTGCCGAAATGAGGGTGACGACCTGAGAAGACAAGTGCAGAACCGGCTGGGAGTGTGCAGGTTAGTCGCACGCTTGTGATGTTAAACCGGCCGGGAAAGTAATCTTCAGGGTAGTTTGACAGGTTGATCATGACTGTGAAGGCGAGAGGGTTGTCGCCGCCATCGATGTGGAGACCGCCAAATTGCTTGATGTCGTCTGAAAGATCTCCATCTTGCTCGACGCTGACTGATGAGGAATTCAGCTGAATGGCGTTCAACTCTTGATTGTCGTGGTGGCCTATAGTGATAGCCGCGTTACAAGCCCAATCTCTAACTAAAGTGTCAGTATTTCTCTCGGGAAACTTGTACTTGAGAATGCGTGCTCCAGTCTTGGAGAGATGAGCATCGAACTTGTAATTCTCGGGTCTCATCTTGCAAGCAATTGATCCAAGTTGAACTGTTCGTTTGTATCTACCTTCAGTTGCAGCACGGTCATACGAGCGTCCTCTCTGCTCTGGGTGCTTTGTCTTGGACCACGCTTTGCATTGCGCTTCAAAGTCAGGATGGGTGATCATCTTTCTCAATTCCTGGATGTCTTTCCAGCAGCCCATCTCTTGCATGTCTTGGGGAGTTGCTACTGCGGCAAAGGGAATTAGTGTGCCATATTTAGTCCGGATATAGTGGCACAATCCCGTCATCTCGGTGTACCCTTCATGGTCTAGTTCTCTCTGGGTCAAGAGACGTCTTCGATTGAGAATGTCCGGTACACTTCGACTAAGCGTCAGTCGTCGAGTAGAGTTCTTTTGACCTTCGAATGTTGGTTTCAGTTCGTGTATCCAATAAGGTGGTTTGCCTTCTGTTTGAATACGTTGACGGGTAAACATACCGTCGTTCGATATGTCCTTGAACATTGTGTCTTGATTGGTGTTGATTACACTTGAGTCCATCGCAAGGAATCTGATGCGGTACTTACGATTTGCGTTATGTATGTGAAAAGGTAGAGTTTTGCTGATTGGAGAGATTCGTTAAATAAAAATGTGGAATGAAAACGAGGAGCCTTTATATACCTAGGTAGACAACAAAGAATGAAGAGAACAGTTGATGTGAAATAGAACACAGAACAGGACGGGGCATGACACGAGAACAGGAAGTGTGATTTATCACTCGCAGTCATGAGCAGATTACAAAGAAGAGCTCGTGACATACAGGAGCATGCAAAACCCGCTTCCCTCCTCCATGAAACCTCCCTATGTATCGGAACTCAAGCTCGCTTATAAGTGGACTTAGACTAGTAACCTAACTTTATTAGACTTAGTGGAATCCTCAGTAACATGCCCAAAGAGAAATAAAGCTCTCTTATATCAAGTTGGGAAAAAGAAAACAGCTAAATTAGATAAACTGGAACATGGCGTTTTGATTCTTTCTGTCGAATGGAATCCCATGATTGCTCATGCATTGCTTAGTAATCCAATATATCAAATCAGCTAACTGACCCGCCTCGCGGAGGACAAAATAACTGTCAGTCACATGCTCCCTAATCTTGGACTAGATAAGTTGACTTCGAATAGAGCGTCAGAAGTCTTATTTACTTAAAATAATAGACAAAATATCTCATATTGTTCCAAATTAATCCACTAAATAACGATATTTCGTCAACTTAATCGAAGAAATACCGTGTTTCGACTGCCACTTATTTTGTCCACCGCGAGCCCGCGAAACCTCGTCGCGAGCTTATTGGCGCGGTTCATGAACCTTGCACACAAAAAAGTGTAGAACTCGTGTAACCACGGTAGAACCCCGCATCGACATCCAAGTGCCACCTCGACGTCGCCTCTATAGTATCGACCAAGATGACACCACTATGTAAGTTTTTTGCAAACGGTTACTGCAGAAATGGAGACTCTTGTAACTTCATCCATGACCCAAACACAAGCACTATACAAGACCTCGCACCCGTAGCTTCACTCTTATCGACCACGGAAAAGCTCAACCTCAACTTATCAGCTGTGGCTTCTCGCAATGAGGAGGCCAAACCCGTTCAAACATGCCGTTTCTTCTTGCAAGGAAGATGCAATAAAGGCAAAGGGTGTCGATACAATCACGACCCAACCATACCGTTGCCGCAACAATCCCTTCTTGAGGTAGCATCCGTAGATTATCCTCAAATACCAATCGATACTCGGTCAATTGTTCGTTGCAAATTCCTGTCGAGTCCAGGAGGTTGCCAAAACAATCTTTGTCCATATCTGCACTCTGTGTATGATTCTGGTGTGGAAAAGAAAGCGACTGGTGAAGAGGTAAGCAGTCGCTCGCTAAACTTTCAGGAGCCAGAATTAATTTAATAAGGAGGATGAAGAGCAGGCGGACGACTTCATTCGGAATCTTTTAGGAGCGACGGTCTACTTCGATGAAGTTGGCCACATTCAGAAAGTCTCCTTCCCGACTGACTTCTCACTTGCATGCATTACTGGGTTTGTCCGAGAAACCACCCCCGAGGCACTCATTAATACTCTTCGCGGATTCGGCTTTAACATAACTGTCGATTGCGTCCGTATCCTTCGGCCCACGGCATCATCGGAACCGAAGACAACCGTGAAAGTAGAAGACCCGCTCTTTGCTAGAGAGCTGACTTTGAGGCTCGAAAATCAGAGGTCGACCCTCAGGGCAGTTCCAGTGCCCGTCAATTCTCAGCAGACAAATTGCAGAAAGGTGTACATATCCTGGCACAAATCTACTCGAAGTGTGTGGGTCAATTTCGGCAGCAGTGAAATAGCGAACAGAGTTGCGCAGAAAATTAATGAAGGTAGGTACAAATGTCTGGGCCAGTCTGTCAAATCTTCTCTGGCAAAGTTGAGTCCAAGCCGAACGCGACGACGCAATCATTCTAACCCTGTAGCTTGGACCATAGTCCTGAGTGATGTGCCCAGCGATGCGACTCCTAAAGACGTTGAGGAGAGTATCAAGTCCCCTTATGACAAGCCCCGACACATTAAGCTTGGACCAATTAGTTATGAAGCTTCTGATGCAGAGGTCAGCGTTGTCGTCAGGTCCTCCCTGGAAAAGCATGGTCCACTCGAGAGCTTCTACCTCGCCCCCACAAACAAGGGAAAGCGGGTGAAAGCCACGGCTTTGTTTGCAGATGAAGCAGACGCCAGATTGGCACGCTCGCTAAACAACTGCCCCATTAATATTTTAAAGAAGGGTAAGTTGACCGTCGCTATTATCCAGTCGGCCAAAATCAAGGTTTCTACCGCTGTCTACACTGCTACAAAGGGCGAACTTGATGCGGAAAGCAAGACTTGGGAAGAGCAGCACCTGCGGCTTCACATTTATCAAGATGCTGTAAAGCGGTTCACGACATTAAAGATTGAGGGCAGCAGTACGCAAGATATAGCTCATGCGCGCAACACGCTTGATCGGATTTTGAGCGGCATTGTATTGAAGGATGGGGAGAATATAGTCTGGGATCCATCGTTCAGCAGTAATGGGAGAGCATATAAGAGGTTGAAGTCAATCGAGAAGGAACTCCATATCCTCATCGTAAGGGACAAAATAAGGCGCCAGCTGCAGTATTATGGTGCTTCCGAAACTGTCCAGTACGCCGTTCAAGAGATCGTCGTGCTGAAAGAAGAATTTTCTAAGAACCTTGACATAGAGAAGGATCAGCATCATACAGATTCGGCAATTGTGAGTGGGGGTCGTACTCTTGAAATCCGCTCCTCGCTGGCTGCCTTATCTACACCTGACGGAAACTGCCCAATCTGCTTCGATGATCCCGATACACCAGTTAGAACCTTATGTAAGCACACGTACTGCCTCGAATGCTTTGAGAATTGCTGCACATCCGCCCCCTCGACAAGCACAAACGGGTTTCGAATCCAGTGCTATGGCGACGGAGGGAATTGCCCAGGGGTTTTTACTCTAGCGGAGTTGAAGGACCATCTCTCCTCGACCGCCTTTGAATCCGTCCTTAAGTCATCCTTTGATGAATACGTTCAGTGCCACCCTAAAGATTTCCACTACTGTCCAACTCCGGGTTGTGGCTATGTCTACCGCTGCACGTCGGCCTCCAACTCGAAGCCTCCAGCACACACCTGTCCAAACTGTTTGGAGCTCCTATGCACTTATTGCCACGCGCGGCATGGCGACTATACATGTGCAGAATACAAAGACATTGAATCAGGTGGTTACGAGGCGCTAGAGAAGCTAAAGAAAGAACTTAACATCAAAGATTGTCCTAATTGCAAGACACCAATGGAAAAGACAGAGGGGTGCAATCATATGACTTGCGGAGGCTGTAAAGCGCACATTTGCTGGGTTTGCATGGCACTCTTCGAAACAAGTGGTCCTTGCTATGCGCATATGACCGAGCAACATGGTGGCATCGGCCTTCAAGAACTCAATCGTCTGGTGAATTGGTGATGGCTCAAATCAAAGCAAGGAAATAAAAATAATTTCATATGGGGAAACTAGTTTGCTAGGTCCGAATTATTATGGAAAGCCAATGTGGCTCGTGAATAGTATGTCTCATCATACAGAATCTGGATCATTGCAGTACCGCTATTTAAAGTGACTCCACTGACGTAGAACTTTGCGGGGAATTCATTTGCGTATCACCGTGAAGATAATAATGCAGCGTAGGCATTAAAGTCTTGCTTGATACCAGTTGTAGAAATGGAGTAACCATAGTTTTTACAAATGAGTGTATCCTGCCCACCCTGAGCGAGGCAAAGTCTTTGGTAGCTGCAACCAGGAAGAAGCCGGTTCTGTAAGCGACTGTATTTGCGTTAAGAAACCATGATGGGAGCCTGTTAGATCCAGAGATCCATGTTGACGGACCAATGGTTGTTGCATCATACATATCTGTCGGCTTAGCACGGCAACATGTAGACGGACAAATGAACTGCGGAATCAGAGATACCAGTGGTCGTACATAACTCATTTCGCCACCAAGCTGATATAAAAAGGAAGCTTAATATAGTCGGACCGAGCAGAGTGAAATAGGTTTCGAGCTAAAGTTAAGTCCTCGTGTCACTTGGCATCGGCTCGAGTTCTGACAATGTGACTATCCTCTTCCCTTTGTCAAATTAGAACAATAAACTCGAATTTGCTGAAACAATTAGGAAAGAGCACCTCCGGGAGTATAGCTGCCAGAATGCTAAGACTGGCCGTTTTGGTGCCGTACGAGAACAGTGCGGCGGAGTTTTAACAAACCAGTGTTCTCGACTCTAGTTAGCAGATACTGAAAAAAACATTTATAAAACACTCAAAGTCTGTGACACAAATGTAGCCACGCGCTGGCGAAACCGTAAGCTCGGTCAGTTGAAAAGCACTGTCTTGTTAGGAAAAGAAATACGGGACGACATGAGGTGTCGTCGGTCGGCGTCTCCACCAGAAAATACGATGTGGGGGCAGCAAACGCAAAGGTGTGAATTTAGAATCACCCAGGGCGACACCGACACAATGCACGGACCACCAGAGCCTGTTCTTCAGCTGCTCCAGCTGTTCACACACCTGAGGAATTGTGTTCATCATTTTCATATCAATTTCTATGTCATTTTCCAGGACTCCCTACCAATAAGACATGTTGGCTTTGTTATCTAGACATAGATGTAACAGAAATCGCCATTGTTCCCTCCAATGGGATTCATCATATCCCACGTCTTGGATTTCGGGGCCGTCCACTTCAAATCGACGGTGTCACCCTTGCTTGGATTCCCAGAGAGGACATTCATTCTATTTTCGGGATCTTGCATCTTCCAAATCCACCAGATTCGATCAATCATACCATGATGGAAGTAGAAAACAGGGTCGCCAGGAGATGAGTAGAAGTCCTACGATCACGGAAACGTATGGTCAGCTTGAAGGATCATGATACGCGACTGGTTTCCTGAGGAGAAAAAAGAATTCGAAACACTTACGCCTCCAGGATCTCCGCCAATCGTATAGCTACAACCTGTTAGTTGATGAAACATGATCTATTCGAGAGAATTCAACGTACTGCCCGCCCATATGCACTCCCCAGTCGTTCCTGCTAGCATTTCCTAGCATGTTGGCTTGAAAGTCTTCAATGTTATTATTCTCGGTGATCAAAGAATAAGTGTAGTTGTCAAAAGTAACTGCGGCAGAGTACTTATTGACATCTCGTCGTAAGCACCGGGGATTAGACCCAAAGTTGTCGGCACGTGGATTCGGAGGTAAGTCATTAACAATCTTCCCGAACGGTCCTAAGCTAACAACCATACTAGAGATTATTAGCATCGTATCTTTGCAATATCAGTGTGATCTTGTGGTTTCTACTCTTTGAATGGTCCTTCAGTCACACAACCACCACCGCCGGCTGATGGGATCATATCGTACGGTGGCTTGAAGCTCATAGATGGTATTCCGGGATATTCACTTGGAAGTCCGTTTCCGCCCATGCTTGAGTCATTGCCGTTAAAAAGGGGCGAGTTTATTGGATCTGCAGCATATCGCGCCCAGTTCCAATATGGTTGATACCCTGTATATCCGCATTCGTCGCGGAGAGCTTTCTCGTATGCCCAGATGTACAATCGATGGGCCGTGAAAAGATGTGGCTTCACAGAAGTCGTCAGTGGTTGAATCTTTTCAGAATGCTTTCGTCTCTAGGCTTACCGTTGAATGCAACTCTGGAGCCATTGACTCGTGCGTAGCTACAAAGTCGTCGAATCGATTCAAAGCTCCAGGATACTTGTCTCGTGGAGAAATGGGAGGCTTTTTCTGCAGACACAAAACAGCTGCGATGTATTCCTTTCTTTGTCCTTCCGAGAGGTCACTCCTTTGGAACGATCAGCATCAGTGCATCAAGCTGGACTATACAACCGTGGCTTGATAAAACTAGTAAAAAGTCCGATCATACCACTCATATCTCCTTGCAGCATTTTCGAGCGTGCAGTTAGAGTTGTTCGGGTGCTTGGCCAAGTAAGCCTCAAACTTGGCTAAGCTAGCCTCTTCGAGCTTGTCGGTGTCGTCAAGAGGATATGGACCGTCCGTTCTTCTATGCATTGCGGCTTGTCAACTGATTGCTCACTCATTGAGGTGATCAAATTTTACTTGCCGGTTGAGACTGAACGGCTTTTTTGTTACCAGTCCTATCACTCCATCAGAAGCGATGCACGATACCAGGAATAAGGTCTTGAACAACATTCTATATTTTCAGAATGTAAAGTAGTTTATGATAATCTGAGCAAGTCTCCGCTAACAATAACGTCTTCTTACTTGCTATTATACTTCTATTATCTGGATTATACTTTCCTTCGGACCGGCTTGTGCCTCCCTGAAGCGATCACCACTGCACGTCAGAATTGCTATAGTACACATTGATTATTCAATATGGATTGATATCGCCTGCGACCAAAGAGATTCTATATCAGAAACACAGAGTACAACCAAGATGCGGAGATATACCAATTCTATTGTACTCGGCAGCATTTTGGGGTTTGCGGGCCAATCGAGTGTTCTCGGCATGTAAATTCGTGTGGCAGCGAATTTAGCCCGAACTGTTCATGCCGGTATTATCAAAACAATGAGAGCGAGGACTCGGCACTTTACTCCTCAAGACTCCGGAAGGATCAACGTTTCAACGTTCGACCAAGTTTATGTGGTACGTCAAATGAGGTGGGAAAGTGAGCTTCATGAGCCATTTGACATCTTCTGCGAAAAGCGTTGATTGATACAACAGGCAGTTCGAATATTGGAATCTCGACATTTTTTTTTCCATTTCCGTCTTTGAACCTGAGCTGAGCCCTGAGTGTATCATTTTCCAGAGTACCTAGACCCTAGTGAAATAATTTACCTGGTCCGTAAGATCAACGAAGCCCACTGACTTCTACGCACCCTCTTCTAGCCCACCTTCCCAATTACACTCACCCTAACGCCCAAAGAATCCAACCTTGGCGTCGCAACGTGATAGTCGTGCAAAAACCTCACATCTTTTTCATCCGTACCCACCAACTCCATATCCCACCTCGACATCTCCTTAATCGCCATCACCAGCTCCGCATCCGCTAAATGCATACCAATACACTGTCTGGGTCCCTTACTAAACGCCAACATGTACTTCTTATTCTCGATGCCTTGTCCGAGCCAGCGATCAGGGTTGAAAGTCCAGGGGGAGTTGAATATGGACTCGTTGGTGTGGACGAGGAGAGTGGATGTGCTGATAGGTGTTCCGGGGGGGAGGTCGTAGGTTTTTTGTGAGGAGGGGTTGGTGTAGGAGAGGGTTTCGGATGGGGAGATGCGGGGATTGCGGCCTGTAAGGCCGAAGGAGAGGCGGTTTGCTTCGAGGGCAATGGCGTGGAGGTATGGAATTTGGTCTAGGTCTGTGAGGCTTGCATTGGGGTTTGCTGAGAGCTCAGTACGGAGCTTGGTCATGATCTCTGGGTTTGCGAGGAGGTGGTAGTGTGCTATGCTGATTGATTTCGCGGTTGATTCAGTACCTGTGTGCTTTTAGTTAAGAATAATATCAAGCGGTGGGGTGGTGGTTGGGGTGGTGATGTACCAGCCATGACAAGTAGAGTTGCTTCATCCTCAAGTCTCTGCACCGTCTTTTCAGAGGCCGGAAGTGTCGGGCTATCTCTGAGCTCGACGAACACTGAATGGTGGTTCTCATTGCCAGCTTTACTGTCCAGTGCCTGTTGTACTTCCTGGCGGATTATCTACTCATCGAGAGTGTTTAAGTAAAAGCTTATCATGATCTGACGTTGAGCGGCTAACCTGTCTAAACTTTAACATATCTTTAACGCCTTGCGGAATCCAACGGCCTGACAAACTGGGTGGAAGCATGCGAACCACTGTTCGCACCCAAGAAAAATGAAGACTGAACTTAACGCCCCTCAATACACCCGCTACATTACTCCCCATGCTTGCCGCGCGATCAGGATTCGCAAGTACATTCTGCTTATGGCCGAAACAATACTGATTAACGATGCTGATGGATATTAGCATTCTATTCCTCGAGCATGACAGTGATGACTTGCTCGCTTGAAAAGGCAAAGTAAAGATCCGATAAATTTACCACGTCGCCCGTGTTTTGGCTGACGGAGAAGATTTCGTCTAACTGAGAGATTTTGTTTTGTATTTGCGGCGCAAAATTCAACACGCTTTTTTTGGAGAAGAAGGGATTAAGCGATTCCCGTCTTTTGCGATGGAGGTCATGGTCAACCGCGGCTCCGATTGAAGTGTTGATACCGAGTGCCTTGACTTTCTCGAAATCTTTGTTCCGCTTAAAGTGCGGTCTTGGTGCATATATCGTATTCAAAAATTCAACATCAGATATGGAGACTTCTCGAGGTGTGATGCGAACGATTGGACCTGTGTAGAAATAGTTTAGAAACGAAGTGTAGACTTGGAGAACCTGGTCTCCAGGACATACCATATTTCTCGTGTAGCTGCTTGATTTTGAACACGTATTGGCCGGGCTTGAAAACATCGTAGTAGCACTCATACCAGCTTGTCAGTGGCGCAAGGCGTGGTCCAGGTATGTTTGCCAGCGGCGAGAGCAAGCTTCGGGAAAAGAGTGTGTAGAAGATGCTAACTACTTGAGCGACAGCTAAAGCAAGGAACAAATTCAACAAAGTAACAAAAGCCATGGCGAACGGTCTTGGGTTTGTTGTTTTCTTTCATGGGTCTCGTCGATACTGTGCTGTATTGTCGCGGGTGTAGGATAATCAATACCGTATGTGGGGTCAACAAAACCACAAAGAGATACCGAGATGTGCTCGTAGAACAACCTGCCTCAAGAGGTGTAGATTTTCAACACAACCAACGGGATAAATACCGTATGTACGTCAAAATCCTATCAGCATTAATGTGAGATAAGCCGAATTTGGTGCCTCATACAGTAGGCGAATCTGCTTGATGCTATTATGTTACAATAGGATGTCCTGCACAAATATGCACAATTATAAGTTGGTCACCAACAGATGACTCTACGCCACTGGGCAATACGTGTATCACTGTACTTATTGGCAAGGATGCGGCAAATAAGCAGAGGTAGAGGGACAACAGACCCCTGGTGATACGGCCGGCGTACCGTCGTGCAGGCGGGGAACTCGGCCTACTGCAGGTCATCAGCTCGGCCAGTCAATTCTCCGTACTGAAGCTTTTCTGGGAAAATGCTTGTCACAGTTGCTGGTTACGGAGCGTTACGGCGGCCATTCAATACGCCACTCTGGCTCAGGTAGTAGAATCAGTTCATTTAATAAATCCCTTATGAATTTGGAAACAAACCACCAAAGGCTGTATTCCACTATCCTACCAATGACTTCCCAACCACTCCTGCATTTCGCTCGCCGTATAGCAGCAACAATGCCATTTTGCCTCAGGATTCAACATGGTGAAAACGGAATGTCAGTCTAGGATGGTTCGCGGTGGACAAAATAAGTGGTAGTCGAAGCACGATATTTCTTGGATTAAGTTGAAAAAACATCGGCATTTAATGGATTAACTTAGAATAATATAACTTATTTCGTCAATTATTCAACGTAAATAAGACTTCTTACGCTTAATGCGGAGTCGACTTATTGAGTCCCAAAATTAGTAGGTAGGTTACTGACACTTCTTTTGTCCACCGCGAGGATGGTCAATTGATTTATGTAGTGGTAATGAAGTTCAATTCCATATGATATTCAGGGGTGGACGAGATCAATGAGCAATCCAAAATTATTTTTCTCCTTCAATTGTCTACCATAATACAAAACGAGGAATGAAAGTTGTTCAATACAGGCAATTGTAGCCCCAATTCATCTCTTCTACTCTGGCCATTCGCGAATAATTACTCCATCACCGGATGAAGTCCGGGCATCACATCCGTCTCTATCTTCTCCTGCTATTGCCGCCTCACTATCTGAATAACATGCTGAGTGCTTTGCTGCCCAGTCCCTAAGAGTTCCTCAGTTCCTGCATTTCCGCATTTGTTCGTCTCCATCAGAGACATTATATCTCTTGCACAGAAGAATATCGTCTGCATTGCACATTATTGATTGTCGAACGGCATCGATACAGTGAGTACTATGACCAAAGGGTACGTCAAGTGGTTCTCCTCAAGCCAGCTGAAACATTGTGCGTCGTACTACAACCTGAGCATGATCAGCAAGCTATCAAAAAACTGAACAGACTTCCAGATATTACCAAGCAGTGAAGAGAACGATAGCCTTCTAGTGTATATACTCCCTTGGTATTGTCGTTGGGAAGACTGTCGGCCAGAGGCAGTCCCTTCTCCGCCGCCCACTGGTGATCTACTGCAACGATTCCATGGGCCGCCCGAATGGCATCCCAATTTCTGTTGACTTCAGCCATTCCGGAGGTATCTAGAGAGCTATAGTCAGATACCCAACGGTTAGGAATCCATCGCTCGATATCAATTTCTGGACTGACTAAATTCTCAATTAGCGAGTAGGCTTTAACCAATAACCTCTGTAAGATTTCGAGCTTGACTTCTTACGTAGACTAGTCTTGCAATTTAGATTGCTGCCACCGGCAATATGAACATAGGAGCAAAGCTGCAAAAGGGAGAGAATAAATGTCGAGGTGATTGAGATGATGAGGGTTATTTCTTTCCAATTTCGAGCAAACCAATACCTGTTCCTATCGGGAGAATTATCTTTCTCATCATCCCAAACTCGATCGGTATTGACAGATTTAAGGAATGGGACACTCCCAGCCATGGCAGTGAATAATGTGAGAAGATGTGATGAGACACTCGTTCCGTATGTGCGTAGAACAACAAAGGGAATCTCTGTTGTTGCTGCTTGCGTGCCAACCATCCGGCCTCTCTTTGGAAATCTCCTCCCAGAACGCATTATACACAGCATAAGGAGCATCTTTTCGCTTGAATCACTTAGTTCTTTGACCTTCAGTGCTCGTCGAAGAGCCGCCAGATCCGCAGAGACTCTTAGCGACCGTAGTACCAAACGCAGAGAGTTTTCCGGAGATCAAGTCTCAATAAACCGCGTTGGCCGCAAGTCCAGTGCTGGCAGTTCTGTAACAAAGTCAATCAGGTTGAGAGATATTGAAGAGCAGGATAATCTGAGCAGTATGCCTTCACGATAGATCGCTCCAGACATTGCGTAAAGTACAGGGTGTAACTGGGATGGGGTGGGGACTGGAAGCTTGGATACTCCACGCATGTGGATTTTTGTAGTATTTCGGGTTTAATTTATAGAATTCGCCCGTCCAAAACTTTTAATGTAAACAGCCGTAGATTGAAGTTGCAAGAAACGACCAACACAGAGCCATTACCTAGTATAGTGCCAGAAGGAGGCCTCCAAATCCCCGATTGCATGCTGATCCCATCAGTAACACAATAAGATTATTAAAAATCAAGCTTTACATCAAAGGCTAGGTGGTACATCACACCATAATTCATGGTCCCTCTCATCGTAGACTGAGCAGGGAACGAACTTCATGGTTGCCCATCGTATGGTTACGCACAGCATGTAGACGCCCAGTTGCAATAAAGTAGCGAGGGCATCACACCAACAACTTTTCATCACGTCAAAGAGAGTACAAGATGATTGATGCATGAGAACTGAGCCTCCCAGCTGCCGGATGACTTCGAAGAACGGTAGGTGCAAATTGAGGTCGTATACAACCGAATCAGACTGACATCTTCAGGGGCACGCTCTATTCTTACGAACTGCATGAATCGATCGGTCCGAGTCACCAGCTCGAGCTGTTGGACACAGAATTCTGGATATATGGGAGATTTTCAGTTCGAAGAAGCCCTTTGCCCCTAGCCAACTATCTCCAGAAGGTACCACAAGACCATGAAGTTTAGCCGCAATTACCGTTTCTCACCTTGCCTGCTGGAGATGCAACCCTCCCAGAGAAGCAGATTGAGAAAAAAGAGTGACGGCAACTAGTTGACGACTTTGACATACATCAATCATAACAATCACGCAGTTGCCGAATCGCATTAAAACCCAAACATAGGAGCTGATAGGACCGCTCGAGCAGATTGTCCCTAGCCTTACACCATCAAATAAGGGGCGCAATCTTTTGAGAAACACAATATGCATGCATTGCTCGTCACAATCTCCAATGACAAGCCAATTCAGTGGGTAAGCCGGACAAAATGATACTCGGAATGCCGAAGAAAGTATGCACTTTGCCTTAGAGCATATTGAAACCAGCTCGCACTACATTGCTTTGCCCCAAGAAAAAACAGGCAACAAAGACTAACCTCAAAAACAGGGAAAGAACACAGAACACGGATTCACTTGAGCAATCAGCCAAGCATATAAGAAGACATTCCTTCACTTTCAAATACTTCCCAAGCAAACATTTCATCTCACCCCAAACCCAACCTACTTCCAATTGCAACAACTCATTCAAGACACAATGCACCTTCCCATCTTCATGTCCTTAGCTTTTGGCCTCTTAGCCATAACAAACGCCGTCCCTGTCCCAGTCACCCTTAAGTTCTTGGCCCAGCGACGCTTGATTGAAAATAGTCTAACATGTATCTCGATACAGCGGGTTGCGCACACAGCGATAGAGATGTTTCAGGTAAGCTCAAAGAACCAAATTTCAGTTACCGGAGGGAACTATACTCACCCTTTTGATCACCAGGAGACGCTATCGATCTCTCGCCTATTTCCCCAGAATGCAGCTGGTAGATATGGTGTACAGATCAGGCGTAGAAGGAGCGGGTTGCAGGAGAAGTACCTTGTGATTGGTGGATTTCGTATTTTGGAGAAAATTGAAATGAATGATTTCGAGGTCCATTTGTCTTCTTGTTGCTCCATTAAAGTGCTCCATTAAAGTGCACATATGCCTGTCTAAGTTGCTGAAGCTGGAAAATACAAGTTCTACTTCGTTATTAGATTGAGTAGAAGAATATAATTGTATGTCTGAAGGCTATTAAAACACTATTTTAGGGTATGAGGATATCAATATAATTCTCGGTTAGTATTATAGGATCTCTTCGAGGACGTACTGAATTTCTTTCTGTAGCGCCTAAGGCTAAATAACGTTAAACATAATAATATATAATCCCGTAGTCTTTAAGACGATTAACGTCAGTTAAGTTTAATTTATTCTTTCTAGGAGAATAAATAGAATCTTTACTATAATATAAATCGTAAAAGTATAGCTTCGTATTATAGTATACTTTTGAGGTAAAGATTCGACTTAGGCGAGGTAAAAGCAAGTTTATTATACTCGCGTAGAGAGGGTTCATGTATACATAAAAGTTATTCTAGCTAAGACCGCCCCTTTATTTGGTTCTGTTCACATTACTAATTATTGTAACCGTTCTGAATAATGATAGCGGGACGTCACGTAGAACAGATCATTGGGAGGTGTCGAGATTCCGTTCATGAAACTGTTGTTTTAGTAGTCAGTGCTTGAAGATCGCCCGAGAATTTGTAACTCCAAAGAATCAGATCATAGAATCTCTAATTTCTCATAATCATTGAACGAAACAAGCTGGCAACCAGGAAGTCATTTGAAAATAAAATGCAGATTGCTATTATAGGAAAAGATATGGAACTACACGATTTCGACTGACATCACTTTGCTCAGGCAATAGCCAAACACTTGTTCTTGAACCAAGGTACCGAACCCTCCTGTATTATCATCAGTAAGCTTTCTATAACTGTGTCGAAGGAGTAGTGGTACATACCCAAAGCGTTTTCGAAAAAGACAACCCAGGAACATTTCTTGTCACTATACTCCGCTCCGCTACGACAATTTCGCTCACTCTCCTCCCCAAACCTGCACCACTCTTTCTGCTCACCCTTCTCGGATTGAGATTAATATCTTTAATACCGCCCTTCCCAATTTGACCCGCTGAAACCTCAACACTGGCTTTCAACTCCGCGTCAACGCTCACACCCACCTTCTTCTTCGTTCCGCAAACACCCTTACTGTTCGTCAGTGTCGTGAGCTTTGTGGCCAACTCAGGACTCTTGAGCGTAAGAGCGACTTCATAACCTTCACTCAAAACTTCTACTTTCGCAACAAGGCCGATGGCGTTATAAACAGACGCTTCAATAGAGGCTTTGGCATTGACATCAAATGGCTTTTGAGCAAATGATGGTTTCCAACCATCGAAGTCAACAGCGTTGTTGTTAGCGAGATCAATTTTGAATCGAGCTGCGTTACTAATCGCTGCTGTAACTCCATAAGTCATCGTTGCATCGCCTTCCCAACTTCCCAGCTCGAACCCGAAATTTGCTTCTACGAATATTCCAACCTCAGCGACACCACCGGGGATCTTGAATGATGCGCCTGGAATACCAATCTCCGCAAGTGTAGGCTCGTAATTGATGGACGCAGAACTCTTGCCTTCAGCATGAAGTGCAAGCGTGATCTCGGCAGACACGTCTTGAGGCGTGAGGGAAACCGAAAGTTCGGAGACAGATGTAGCGTCTACTTTTATGCGGCCACCAAGAGTGAGCTTCCCGGCCAGCCCACAGTCCGTACAGTCCAGCTTTACGAGAAAGCCAGACGCTTTGGAGCCGTGTGTATAGATGTTGCCATTGAGGTTATGTGCGATATCGATACTCACGTCCTTGCTGTACGTGACATCCGGTCCGATTCTACGGCTAAGACGACTGGGTGTCTGCACCAAAGTGGCAGTTCCATAGTCCAGGTCGAATGTGTGTGCTGCTTGTTTCCATGGAATTTCTTTGCCGTAAAGGTATGCGATGAATTTCTCCTCGTCGTAATCTGCATTATGAATGTAGAATGGCACTCGGACGTCGTCGGGACCACAGCCTGCATAATCTGCAATAAGAATGAAACTATGCGTTTCATCTTCATTGACCCAGTTCCAGGCTTTGATTGCATATTCGAAGCTCGCCTTGTCTTTGAACGTCAAAACCGTATTTTCGCCGCACTTCACGCCGGTGAGTAAATGCACGAAACGTTCCATCGAAATGACGAGCTCGCCGGTCGCAGTGTGCATTGTCATATTCGCATACATGAACTGCGATCCATCTACATCACATTAGCGAGTGGGTATGCAATGATGCGCGTCGACTTACTGCCAGGATTCCCCCACATCAGATGTTCATCGTTCCTGAGATCCAGATTATCTCCCAATCCTCTAGTTGCTCTTTTGGTTCCCCACGCCGCATTTTGGTCCCATGAAGCGAGTGGGAGGAGGATTTCTGGAGCTGCGAATATGGGTTGCGTGTATTGCAAGAGAAGGAACGAGATAGCAAACAGGCTTGAAATTGCGGAACGCATCTTGGGTAGATGAATAAATATAATTGTCTAAACCCAATAGAGTTCGGATGCCGACTAAAAGCTCTCCATTCCGGACATTTGGTCTCTCTTATACGACCTCAATTCCAGCCTCATACCCGCCAAGCACACCCGAATCTCTTCCATCTCAAGCATGCATAACCTCATGGACAAAAGATGCACCGTATGAACGGTATCGGAATCCTTCATTACGATCCTCGAGTCGCCTCTACTATGCTAGTAACCCTAACCGACGGCTGGTAACCAAGACCGAGGACTAGTTGCGGCTGGTACCTGAGTCTGTTTCAGCCCTGTGGTACAAGATCGTGGAGGATGCGGAATGGTGTAAGTGGACGCGGGAAGGGGTGTGCCAAGGCTGGCGCAGGCGGGGGGAGAGGTCTGGGGATTGGTTGGGGAGAGTGCGGCTGAGATTTGGGATCGTGATTTGAGTCATGGCGAGTAGGGTGTTTGGGTATGGGGTTTAGGTCTTGGGACTTTGATTAAAGAGGGAAGGGGCGGAATTATTTTCAAAGGGAGGGCTTTTGAATCGTTGTTGGTTGTAATACTTGCGGCATTCGAGGGCAACAAGAGTTTAGTGGTGAACGCGAGATGCATAGAAGAGAGTTCACGTGGTAAAGTATTTGAAGGATTTAGATCGTCGTCAAGGCTTGTTTTGAAAGTAAAATTACAGGTATGGCGAGCAGATTGAAATCCGAAAGTGTGTTCAGAAAGTTGTAGCGAAGGTGTAATTCACAACCTCTCAGACGTTTTGATAGAAGCCACTATGGAATTTAGTACTTGATATCTAACAAATATTATAAAATGTTTCTTTTCAAATTCATTTGATTGGAATCAATTATTCTGACATTCAATCCTCCAACTCTGAAAGTATACATCTCCTTGACTCCTAACCACCATAAAACCATAACACCGGGTCTCGCCCTTTTGCACGCAAACAACACACTAACATCAAACAATACTCTTTCATACAATCATCTGTAGATCGAAAAGTTAAGCCTTGGAAATGACAGCCTAGGCAGAATTCAAATGTGAAACACGACATAGGCGTAGCGAGATCAGCTGTTCGGTGGGATTTTCCGCCGTCTGACGATGTGCACAACGAGACAAACACCACTGGCAAAGAATGTATCAGGTATGAAGTGACTATACAATGGTGATTTAAACATCGAAAGACCATTTTGTAGCTTCGAATGCTAGTTGGCTTACCAACCAATTTCCGTCCATATACATCTTAATCAGATTCGCGAAAACTCTTGGACGCATTCTTCATAGCTATTAGGCAAAATTGCGCCGGCTTACTCAACGTGACGGCTTCGATATAGATTTTGGAGAATCTCTACTTTTATTGGTTGTTAAGTTTTTGAGCTGCAACGGAGAATTTACTGAGTTCGGATTATTTTTCAGTTCGGTCGTAAGTTATCAACGAAGTTTAAAAGATAGAAACAATGGGTTTTGGAAATACAAGTATGACTAACAATATAGAGGATATTGGATCACTTGGGTCACTTGAGTATTGAGCCACGCAATCATCATTCACTAGAGGAGTACACATGAGTGAACATAGAATGTAAAATGTTTTAAGTATACATATGAATTACATGTTTAGTTTCCGTGACAAAAGAGGAGACTGAGTTCCAAATTCTCCCATATTTAGACGAAAGCAAATCAAGTTTGGCTATCGAATAATTTTGTCAAACTAGTAGTTCCCCCTCGTAATTTCGTTTTTTTCATGGAGTAGAAGCTTAAATGGAACCCCAAATCTTCCATATTCCCACTCTCATTCAACAACGCGGCGGCACATCAGATTCTTCGTCCCATAGCTCCGGCACTCTCGACGGCGACCAATTTATATGAACACAAAAGTAATATGCCCCCGAGAGCAACATAGCAATGAAAAAGATCAACACCAGAACTGCCACAACGCAGGCGCAATATATGAGATACGACTTCAATATGGGATCCATCGTAGTTTTTTGCTATACAGGATTAGTAAATGTGGTGGGCGGTCTTGGAATGGAACGTACGGTTTGACTTTTTGTCAAGTCAAATGTTATCAATTGGGGCGGGGAGTTCTGTGATGCAGGGTTCTCAGGATTTGAGGAGTACGTCTGTGAAAGGTACTGGGTTTGCTATTAGTATGGTGTATAAAACAGAAATATGGAATGAAAAAGTACCTGTGTTATTGCACTAGTTTGTTTTGAAGTAGAAGCGTTATCGCGTCAGGGTTTACTCTTTAGAAGCTCGTAGCAAACATCTTATAGATTCTGTTGGAATAGAACTTCACATTGCCAAGAACAATCGTTCGTCATAATAGACTATTGGAACTTGTTGTTTGAACCTTTGAGATCTGATCTTTCCAGGGTCCCCACTTAGTTAGGCGGTTGTTGAGCTAACCACTATCAGCCTGTACTAAAGTCATCACGAGAATACTCACGTGTACACTTGCTCTATTAGTGTGAAAATGAGTGAGGTGTTGGCTGACATGCTGCAAAACTAAGGATCGATTCGATAAAAGGAAATTCAAATAATTGGTCAATTGTTGAAGCAGAAGGGAGAAGTGCTGGATCATTGAGAGCATGGTTTACTGGTTAGGCATTCTGACTCTACTGAAATTTTCCAGCATCATGTGGGGTCGATTTGAATAAGCTTGAACGGTGGAAAGTGACAGTATTCTTACCATCATCAAACGTCTGTCAGCGCAGTGACATGTGTGGCGCAACTGGCAAGTCGAATTAAGGAATTTAAAAAGAACCCTGCGATGATACAAAATTCTATCAATCACTGACTTGCCATCTTAATTCCCTTCCCACGACCTAGAACATGACAACTTCCTCAATATCCAGCACTTCCACTGTCTTAACGTCCACTTCCAAGAATTATCTATGAACGAGTGTTTGCTTCCTCTTCGTCCGAAGCTTCGAACAAGTGGTGGAGACCCGCACAATACATTCCTATGGCAACAGCCATGATCACCAGAATGTTTCCCAAACCAACGAGGAACATCATAGGAAAAATGCCCATGGCTATGACTGTTGTATGTCGGCGACAGACGAGTTATTAGGGCTGGGGCTATGACTGACTGTTCTTTTGACGAGATGAATATGGGTGGTGAGGCGAAGGGCAAGGTTGACGACGAGAGAGCATTGTGTTGTTGGTGCTGGATGTTTCGTCAGTATAAAATACGAGGCGGGAATGCAGTTTGACACAACCTTTCACCCTGAGTCAGTTTTTCATGAAAGATATATGTGTCGGATGTCGTTTCAAGTCTTGGTTTGATTAAGCACATAGCTATATACCATATTCGTGAACTCTGTGTCCTTGTCACTAAACTCACGAAATCATCATAAATGAGCAGTTGTGACGGAATACTCTAGAATTTGCAGAATCTAAGTAATTAGTCTCATCGGAAATCTCCACTTCGACATCAGCAGTCTTTAAGCTAACCACGACAAGCCGGTCCTGAAATCAGCTAAGAACACTCACGTGTATGACTAACCTGTCTAGAGTGAGTGTGCGGCAACTTGCACATTGAAAGGAATCAAAAAATAAGGCATCAATAGCCGGTCTGAAAAAATGTAGCTCCTTCTTGTTTCTTCGACTAGTCTTTGCACACGTAGGCTTTACGCTTTTTTCGAATGTTCCATTTACCTCGAAACACCAAATCAATCGCTTATGAGGTATTGATTTAACTTTTGGATGATAACGTAACATGATTCAGGTGTATTGTATATCTGAATCAAGAATCAGTTGATTGTACTTAGACAATCAAATACAGGTTCATGCCGAGATCCGGCCAAGATAAACTCTAGCAAAGGATCTGTTGCGAACGAAAATATCATATGTCACCACAACGACGTTTCTGAACTGTTCACATGGCAATAGAATAAATTGTTGTTATTGATTGTATTGATTATCCCAAGAACGTAATGTACAAAACCCAAATCCCATTGAGAGATACCAGTAGCTGTGCGAAGTGTGACCAAATGACGACAATACACCACCCTTGAAGCTTGCAGGTCTTGCGTCTCTTCAAAGTTCCGAAACCCTGTTCAGCAAAGGAGCTCGAGCACGAGCTTCCTCCTTCTTCAGTTCGATGAGGGTCTCCCGATTTTCTATCGAACATGTCAGAAAATGAAGTATAGCCAATGAATTGCGACTTGCCCATGTACTTGTTCTCGATCTCTTGTGACACGGACTTCCAAATGGCTCGTAAACCTTTGAAATCGCGTTCCGGCAAGTCGTCTGCAATGCATCTTAGCAGATTGTAACAGAATAACAATTGAAATATATACTTACTGATTGCCTTCATAGAGTCTGCATCGCTTACAATATGAAGCACCGAGTCAAACTCGTTGAAGCGATAGTACATCATGATCTCGAATTCCAATCGTTCGATTTGGACCGGGCAGAACTCCTCATAATCGCCGAGGGTTGGGATTCCGACGAAGGTATAGCGGTTCAGTTCTTCTTTGATTCGGCGTTCGAGGATTTCGGGGTGTGTTCCTTGGGCGAGTTGGCCTTGGACGATCAACATGGCTTCGAACCAGGCTTGGGAGTGGGCGACCTTTCGGTCCAACATGGGTTCGGAGAGGGTGGAGCGTTTGCTGAGGCGAGGTAGGGCTTTGGAAAGTTAGCAATTGGATGATATCTCCCCAGAGCTCTGTGTCTCATAGTGGAAAAAAGATTATGAGTGAAGGGAGCTTGACTTACGAGTAATCTCGCACTGAACGGGGACGAAAATAGGCATTTTGGAATAGAATAGAGTGTTTGAGGTGGTGTTTGAGCTGTTGGTAGGTAATTGACAGTTTTGTAACGAATGTGTAGGTGTAGAACGAAGAACAAGAGGAAAAGTACGACGACTGGGTTAATTATACGGCTATACGGTTCTGTCAGGGGCTTATCACGCAGCTAGTCGATTATCAAAATTTGGTTCGCTAATCACTATGTTAGTCGCAATGTTGTCATGATTGGAGTAAAATTTTACATTCTAAGAGTCGTAAAACACGACTTCGTAGAAGCTGCTGGTAAGTCTCCACAGGACTTGTTGATAAGTTTTGCTCTAGCGCGAATGTCTATAGGTCATATCCTCATTTATCTCAGGGTATGATTACGAAAAGGGTTTGGGCTAGTATGATTTTGGTGTAGTCTTATGAACCCCTTTTTCGAACTAGCGAAATATGATATCAGAATTGGACCTATAACCACAAATGCGAGGATTTTGATACGAAGTAATGAGTAACATGGACTAAAAGACATCTTATCTTTCGACTCACCAAATCACAGACATAACGTATATAAGGAGTGTTCCGGTACACTGAGTCGAGAAAGTCACGTGATGAGACTCTTCCACAATTGGGACTACCGGCTTGCTCTTCTTTTCCAGTCTTACACTCATCCAGTGGTGGTCTGTGGTGGCGAACAAATTTCTCCCAATTGGACGTACATGGGAGGATCACCGTAGACAAAATGTAGCAGTCCCAACCAAACACCTATGCTCATATGATGACGTTTACTAAAAATCGTATACTTTAGTCTGTTATTTTCTCTAAAAATCAAAGATTGCAACCTTTTTTTAGATGAGTTAATAGTTATTTATTCTTAGTTATTGAGTGAACAAAAGTTATAGGAGGTTCTGTGAGGGATGTAGTTGTGATGAAATACTCGGCTAATCATCGGCTTTAAAGCTCCGACTCCGCGTCACATCCGACGCGATGCAACGACATCCTTCGTCAGTTTGTCCTTCCTTCACCTGACTCGAAATCATCGACGGCTTTACCTATTATTATACACACATTCATGCCCGATAGTAACTGTGTCATTGCATATCTAATACCTAGGTACCCTTTGGGTTCTACGATCTGGCTTGCCTCATGCGCGAGGTTCGCAAAGGCGACGCGCTGATCCAGCCGCGATGGAAACTATTCCGTCTGGCGACAGCGTTTGGCTTTCGAGTTCGGAAGCTTTGCTGCTTCGAATAGTTATTGTCCTACGCTTCTTTCCAAATCTACGTTGAAGGGAAACTTTTGCTTCTTGATTGGGTAACCTGAGTTTTGAGATGTTTCGAAGATGTTTCTGTCACGCGCTCGCCGAATCACCGTCATTCGCAACGTGATTAAGCCAACTAGACACCTACAATATGTCTCAGACATTCAGGCAATCAACATCGAGCAAGAGACGATATCAAGCCCTACTTGAGAGGGAATAAGCGACTACGGGTGGCCAATGTGACAATGTTTGACTCACTGTCCCAGGCTGTAGGCCAATACTGGGTGTCTACTTAGAAACAGAGCAAATACTCAAGATGCCGTTGAAGAAAATCTCTGATCGTCAAAACTTTTCGTGGCGCTGAACTATCTCTGGACCGCACATTTTGCAACCCCCAACACAAAGATGGCTTCGTGTGGCTTCGATGGGAACGCCGACATGTATGGGATTGGCATTCGGGTGGGCTTCTACTTGCAGTGGTATAGCTGTATACTTGCATCCTGGGTCTCTCGGGAGGACGTTCCCTCTATGCGAGTGTCGAATCTTATGTTTGTTTCAGCCACCTTTTTGGCTACCATCATACAAAGCCTTGAGGGAAAGACGCGACCTGTTGAGATATATATTTCTTTGTTGCTTACCTTTGGTGGATATTTGTACTTGGTACGTCAGAAACGTCTTTCATTCATCTACCTCAAAGACTATACTGGAGAACTCTTTTCACAAAGGCTAATGATGTTGACGATAGGTCCCGATGTTCATTTGGCGAGCACTTACAGGATGCAGACCGCAGTGGGACCCGACCAGATATCCTCGAGTGAGAATGGGAAGAATCTTCAGTCTGCTGAATTTTGGCTTGCTGTTGGCCGTTTCAGGCTTTCAGTTGTGGTTTTGGATCGTTGGAATCAAAACACTTAGTGTCGGCGACTGCCCAGATTTTGGCTTTCTACTCTTGAAATTTGACTTTGACACTCGAGGGTTTGTCGTCGCGAACATTGTCATACACGCCCTCCTACTGGCGTGCTGTCTCGGTGCAGTCGGTCTGATGGTAGTCAGGCTGTTTGGCATATCCCACGAACATTCTGAAAAGATCAAGTGAGTTTGCTTCCCAATAATCGCCCTGTCATTTGTGTTACAATGTCTCTCAAGGACTGAAAGAGTCCGCAATCTTCTCACCTCATTCTAATATTGCGCCCAGGCCCAATCGAAAGTTTATTCTGCAAGCCATCCATACCGTATTCAACACCGCAGTAGCAACCGCCGTCACCATCGCCACCGAAAAAACAATACAGTGGAATGGAATTAGTGGCGTGTCTGATATCTCCTCAGCAGGCCAACTGATTCCTCTAATTATTGGCATTGAGATGTTCATCCGTGTGATATACACAGCCTGGAAGGGAGAGGATAAGGGCTCAAACGCTATCGATGATTCGTCCGTCGCCGAGTCACTGACGACTTTCCCGGATATCGCCATCCAAGAACTAGTTTGATTGATGAATCATCCGTTGCTGAACACTCACTGCTGGCGAAAGAATCATTCGAAGTCAAAGCTTTGGCGCAGAATTTTGTCTCGGACCATTATTTTTTGGTGCCATAGAAAATCCGAGACCGATTTTGTTAACCAGCCTAAGTTGCTGCATATGCTTCTGTTGTTGTCCTGGGTGCAAATAACGGAGCCGCAGGGTGTGTCGGGAAATACCCACCAAGTGCAATGTCTGTGCTTCCCCGATCCCTGTGGAGATCTTTTAACCCCACATGTATAGCCACCGAAACCATATCTCGACATCACTTCCCCGATATTGTTGTTATACATCCTTTATGATTAGCTTGGAAGTTACCATTCAAAAACGTGTTGTACCACGAACACATAAGTTTAGTTTTGAGCAGTCCGCGATGAGGGCTTCCCTGCATCAATAACACGGGATTTTGTATCAAGCCAGTGTTGGCTGACAAGTAAAACTCGATGCTTGTTCAGATTTCAGTCAACCTAAGTCAATCCTTTTGCACAATTCCATGCTTACGCACGCATTAAAGTGTTTGCTCTGTCTTTGTACTTGGAACGTTAGTTGCTAACTCATTTCTACCGTTTCAAAATGTAGGCATTGCTGATACTTTGTCGCAGAATCCGCAGATGCATCAATGGTATCCAGTACTTACAACCCAAAAGTGAAGCTCTCGCATTGCTCCAATCAGAATGCTTGAACACGTGATACATAAGTGCAGCTTTTATGGTGCACCTCTGTTAAGACTCTTACATTGCTTTAATTTTAATGGTCGATCTGCTGTGTCACTTCCCTCATTCACTTTATGAACTGAAATGGCTCAATTCTCCACACACGGTCCTTTTGCAAGGACTGTGGATCACATCATCCGTTTTTAGTAGTAATGAGAAGTTCTATCAACTTGCATGCAAGAAATGGCCCTCAGCATGCTTCTTGAAGACCGGATTGCTCCTTCACTTACGCAATAGTTCCAAGTTGGTATTCACCAGTAAGTATTGTCATAATACCGTCGCACCGACTCTGTTATTCCACCTGAACAGGATCTATTAGAAGGCCCGAAGTGAGTCTGGTTGAGAAAGTTCATCTATGCGTTTTAATTGTTTCAAATAATATCTCTTTTCGGTTCACGCCCAGAGATCGTTGATACACCTTCCTTGACGTTCACCCTCAAAACAGCGAAAAGTTCGATAGCATGGGAGCGGTGTTCACCAAAATCTTGACCAAGTTTCTATGGGCAATCGCACCTTCCCCATATGAAAGCAACAACAATTTTATCAGTTTGCTGCGTTTGGAGAAAGGAGCTGTCTCTTGCCAGCCGGATTCGCTCAAAGAGGAAATCACCATAACAACACCAATTTTTGGAAGTCAACAAACCGCCGGCACAATTTCTTCTCACCGCACAGACATTATGTACTCCAACGCTGTTAGCCGTGGCAGAGCTTCTCGCAGTAATAGCTTCGATAGCTACGACGACGAAATCCATATTCCGAATTTACTTCCTGCTCCAGCTACTTCAACATCCGAGTTGGAGTCGACCGACAGTTTTCGAGTGGTCCATAAAAAGCGACCGAGACAATATCGCAGGGGTCGTCGCCTCAATGTCGCTGCCGCAGATTCAAACAGCGACACAGCTACCAATTCCTCCCGCGCAAACTCCGCGTCTCCTTCCCACAACAAACCTCACCTCCGAGCGACAACGACGACCACAACCGAAATCTCTCTAGACTGCGCATCGGAAATCAGCGAGACACCGTCGCGTGAAGGTAAGTGTATCGGAAGCCAATCGTCTTTGGAAAATCACGGCGAATATCAATTCGACACTACAAATCCAACTCCTACTCAAGCACGATACAACGACGATCTCACAAGTTTGCACCATCAGTTTGATACGTTCCAATTCAACACTCCCTCATACAAGAACAAGCAACAAACCGCCATCATTGAGATTGATCCCGCCGAAGTGTCAGACACTGAATCTACAAAAGGTCGCACCAAGGAAGTCATGTCGCAATTAACCATGGCATTGGGTGGCATGTCTCATTCTTCAATGGGCAAAGATGCGTTTGACTCGGTGGAATGGGATCCAGAGCTTCCTTCTGCTGATGGTGCTGATTCTCCAGAACCAGTCCCTGTGAAACTACAACCGGTCACTTACACCACAGTTGGGTCGCTCGTCGATCCCAATGCGAAGCCGCAATTCTCTGCTCCAAACCGCATCCAGCGGGAAGGCGCAGTCAGACAGCCTCTATTATCTATGATTAGTGCTTCGCAAAGACCGTACGATGGATTTTATCAACCTCGCGGACCGCCTCCCCCTCCACTAAACATGGCCAATTCGATGGCATACGCTCAGAATATCGCAAAGAGCCCTGTTCACGCGCCTATGATGCAGAACTTGACACCTCCTGACACTTCCATACGTGCGAACCGGGCAAACAGCGCTCATGCAATGTCGAACTTGACGGACAAAGAGGTCGAAGTGTTGAAAAGGCTGCAAAATTCCCAAACCCTGGGCAGCAACTTGAACAGAAGTCCCAGTACCCCAACACCATCTTCTTCAACTAAGCTATCTGCTTTCGCTCCATCATTCGAAAAGAAGGATCAAACGCTGGAAAATACTCGTGGTATAGGCAACAACACAGTCACTGCAGATATGGCACGAAGCTTGTCGAGTGGAGCTGGCATTAGCGGATTGGGTGGACGCTCAGGTTCAAAGGCGGCTGCTGATAGCAGCAGAAATGCCAACATTGCTGCAAGTGTATCTTCATTCGATAATGCATTCACCAAGCTTGTAGCAGGTAAGTAAACGATTCTGATCACGGTATCACCGGCACTGGCTAATACCTTTCAGCAACTGATCGAGGCAACCTAGACAGAACATACACATTTCCACCACCAGGCTTGCAATCGCAGCAACCCAACCGACAAACCAATCCTTTATTCGGTGCTTACAATCCACTGGCATCGCAGCAGCCCAATCGCGGCCATCCTCCAGGATATCCACAACCTCTTACTGCTGGCCCACCAGGTCAGAGACAAGCGACTGTGGCAACTACTCGAACTGCTACAAACAATCTTGAAAGTCTATGGAACCAGAGCGAGTCATCAAATAGTGTGTATGGTGGAAGTGCTGTCCAAATGCAACCTCTTCCTATGGCCGCCGACTCTCCTTGGCAGCATGGCTGGCAACCCCAGAATATTTATACCACTGGTCAATCTCAACTGCCAGCCGGTATCATCGCCGGTGCATATCCTGGCCCAAATCGTGCTGATCCTTCTGCTGTCAAGCCTATGAATGATAGTCTGCCACCAGATGCAGTAGCCAAATACTATCCGCGTGGTATTCCTAGCGATATGACCGGTCATTATCGACCACTCCCCGAAGCGAAACAAAAGGCATTGGACAGAGTTGGGCATGATGCTGGCAGAAAGATAGCTGATAGCTCTCGGGACTTTGACGATATTTTTTACAGCGGACAAAGACGATACGCGACGATGAAGGGTGAAGATTTCATCACCGAGCTCGAAGATCGTCAACGTGCGAATGCCAATCCGTTTGGTCCTATTGGTCCGCCTAAGAAGATATTTCCGCCAGGTCCGGCTTTGAAGAAGGAAATCACCCCAGAAGAAATGGCAAGAATGAGCATTGCTGAAGCTGCTGCACCGATGATTGATGCAGCATTCGGCTCGCTGCTTGCATATGCTGAGAAGGGTCCGGAATCGCGCAAGTACCTGAGCGGATTTGTCGAAGCTGCCCCTTGGCAGATCGATTCCACGGACAAAGGCAACGAGACAATGTTTGGTGAGGATTGGGGAGGTCGTCAACCAAAGCGATTTGGTCGTGACTCGCGCCATCAAACGAGGTTTTAGTATGAGAAACGCAAGGGGGTGGGAAAATGAGTCGTATGATATTTGTACATTATTATGGTCCAGCGAGAACTTGGCTATTGCTCTTGGCTGATTTCTTTTGCGGTTGGGCAGTTTGTTCTTACGTTTGTTTGTTTGTTTGTTTGAGTTTTATGATTTGCGTTTTAAAATTTTGGAGGGATAATGTTAGGCAGGGCAGTGGGTGGCCAGCTGGGCTTTTAGGTCGCTGAGCTGGGAGGTTGCATTTGGCTTTGTGATGGTGCTGCTTGCTTGCTGGTTGCTGATTGTGGGTGGTGAGGGGTGAAGGGTGAGAGATAAAATGGAGTAATGCAATAATTTTTAGAAAAGGGTGCTGAGTGATGGGTTGATTGAAGTGATTGATGATGATACGGGTAAGTTTGGTGATACGAGTAAGTTATGATGCAAAGGGGATGAAAATGTAGAGGATGTGAGTTATGTGATTATAGAAAGTCGGATCTTGGTGACTTGAGGGTTCACGTTTGTGTCATGTGATTGTTGTCCTTTCAGAAACATGAGAGAGATAGTATTGTGAAGTCATTGATCTGTTGTGACGGAAGCTGGAAGTGCCGAGAATCTGTGTGAAGTTCATCTTGGATGATTGATAGTGTCGGAGAGTGGAAGGAGTATTGAATTACGATGGATGCCATTCGGATGAGACGGCTGTGTGAAATGATTGATAGTAGTTGGGTCGGATGGCCGGCAAATGGGTGATATTTGCTGTTTCTAGGTATTGTGTACAAACAACCACTTGACCGTGAAAGAATCGCGAGTTTCGGTTGAATGAGACCTTTTGTGGAGAAAGTTGAAGGGGTTGTAGGGAATAATCAGTTACGTATAAAATTTAGAGTAGAAGTGTAAAGTTAGGTAAATTTGCAAAGCTGGGGAAGTTTTGGAGGAAATAAGAATGAGGTTGTATTAAAACGAGGGGAAATGAGTAGAGAGTTTAGGGAAATTATATCGAAATAGAAAGACGTATTAGAGATTGAGTGGATGTTACGGGATTAAGAATTTTTGTAGTATAAAGACGAGATGAGGTGTCTATCGACGAAGGTTGTATGGAGATTTTGAGATACAGAGGGAATTAAGGAAGTAAAGAGGAAGTTAAGAGTAGATATAAGCTGTGTAACAATAGTGTGAGATAAATCTCTCAACACGCGGGGATTATTGTATTAGAGATGATGTAATGAGAAGGGTATTTGAAGTGATAGAGACCCTTTTTTTTGAAATGTCTAGGAATAAGTATGTTTTGTCAATTAAAAAGTTTTCATTTCATGACATATAAACGCCTTACTTTCCCTCCCTAAAATCCTCGTCATCCTCCCCTTTTCCTCCTATCACCCATACCCCTCTTACCCCTCTTATCCCATCCTACCCTCCTACCCCCCCATCCCTACCCACTCACGCCCCTCCCCTCCCCACCTCCTCATCCCTCTCCCTCACCGGCCAACAAGCACAAAGGCTAAACCTCGCGATCAAAACCAGGAGGCCCACGAATAAGGCGACGACGATGGCAGCTCCGAAGACGAACATGCCGTAGATGAAGACTTCCATTTGGGGGTACTTCATTTTGTGTGGTGTTTGGGTGGTGGTGCTGGGAAGGGTGTTAGATTTTTTGGGGAGGGGGATGGGGAGGGGAGGGATGACGAACGGTGGGATAGGTTGTTTGTGAAGGAGCCTTCTGGTAGGTTGTGTTATGGTTGGATTTTCTGGGTTCTGAATAGTTGATTAGCATCCGCCTCTATCCGTAAATCAAAAGTCAATGTACTTTTTCAACTCGCGACACAAAATTCTCCACGTTCTCAAAGTAATCAGAGATGCCAGTTGTATGTACAGTTTGGACAAGGAGGAGGAAGAAGATGGTCGGTCGTCGGCGACTATATACCAAACTCATAAATTCATCTTGCTTCTATATGCTATATTTCTTCTACATCTACATTATGATGATATATTCTAGTGGTGTGCGTAATTAGGGGGTGTGCCAAGGAGAGTGGTGTGGGTTAGATAGTGAGGTTAGTGGGGCAGGGAATGTATGGGGTGGTTCTAAAGCCATCATGGGGGTAAAAATGTGGTTAGTGCGTAATTGACTTTTTGAGCCGTTGGAAAAATTCCATTTTTTTTAGGGGGATAATAGTAAAAGGGAGTGGCACGTGACGGTTATGACTTCATGTGAAGTTTCGGTATACACAGGGCAGATTTTCGAATTTAGTATCTACAGATTAGAGAGATAGGTGGATACGTCACTTGAAGGGCGTGTAAAGAATGTATCGAGGAGAGAGTCGGGTTCTGCGAAGGTTGTGGATATTGTTCCAAGGGGAAAACGGGGCTTTCTGGGTTATTTGATTTGTGATTTGGCAAATAAAAACCCTTCTGAAATGAGAAGCTGAGAGTTTAAAGGAAACATCAATGAAAAGGAAAACGTCTCAAAAAGAGAGTAAGAAAGTACGACTAGCAACTAAATGGGTGTTCGAGGCGTGATGATATCCTTTCTTTATAGTTGAATACATGTAATTGAATAATCAACAAATGTAGCTGTTTTACTTTTAACTTGAGAATAAGAGGAACTTATTGTGTTATTAACATCCCTACTTTTAAAATATTGAATCGGAAAAAGACAGCCTCTACTATAGCGATTTTGAAGTCGACTTCAATATTTTAGAAATAGGTGTATACACATGACACTGTTTCTTAACTACAAAGTGCAAGTTCATTTGATATTGAAACCAAATTTAACAGAGGGCCGAGATTATTTTCTTCTATTGAAGTAAGTTGCAACGAAGTGGGTTACAATAGGGGCGGCGAAATTAATTATGCTCAGGCATGAACATTTGAAATATTAGGTGATTCCAACTGCAGATTGGCATGGTACGCAGTTTTAGGCTGCAAAGCATACAGACTGTAGTTTTTAAAGCAGCAACTGAGTACGTAAATCAATCTCACTGCAGGATGACTGCAGCTAATGTGAAGTGTGAAGTGTCTGATGATTTGCTGACTTCATACGTCTATTTAAGGGAGTTACAAAAGATGAAGACTCTTGAATAACAATGGCAGGGACTGGCTACTCGAAATGTATTGAAAGGAGTTCCTCATAATTCCAGATCCTCTCGATGTCATCACTTTGTTCTGCCTTGCTGGGTCATATACAAAGTTGTGGAATGTAAGGATTATGCAGATGCGAACGACGCCAAGTGCATACAATACCAACTGCAGACAACGCCAACTGCATACAACTCCAATCATGTACGCCCTCATTGCTTCCTTCTTCATTACTTATCTGTGATCATTCCTAAGCTCTTCAAAATCTCGCACCCAAACACAAGATATTGATTTGCGTGAGTCCTCATATTTATTTTAATATCTTGATTCAAGATACGAAGGCGGTCACTTGTTGAGAGATCTCTTTCTTTGTATTCATAACATTTTCGTTACGATTATTGAACGCAAATCACGATCAATTGCGAAAGTCTGACCCCAAATTTTCCAAGAACACCTCTTAACATGCCTCGAAGAGATATTGAATTCAAGAATGGGGTTGGTATTACCCTTCGAGGTTGGCTTTACACACCCGATGGCGTATCCCCGTGAGTTATTTCGAATCCTTCTGTTCTTCCAACCCTAATTCACTGTTGTGTTTCAGGTCCGAGGAATTACCCTGCCTCGTCATGGTACATGGCTTCGGGGCCGTCAAGGAAATGACACTTCCAACTATTGCAGATCACTTCGTATCCAACCTCAAACTCGCTGTTCTTGTCTATGACAACCGTGGATACGGTGCAAGTGACGCCGGGGAAGGCCAGCCACGCAATGAAGCCATTCCTTACGACCAAGTCTCGGATTTCTCAGATGCCATCACATATGCGCAAAGCCTATCTGAAGTTGATTCTACCAGGATTGGCATCTGGGGCTCATCGTTCAGCGGAGGACATGCCATAACGGTGGCGGCGGGTGATAGACGTGTCAAGGCTGTCATCTCGCAGGTTCCTTTCATGCACGGTTGGGAAACTGTCAGAAGGTTGATACGGGCAGACTTCATGGGCGGCTTAGAAGCAGGTAATTTACCCGCTACTGGTTAGATACGAGCATAGTACTAACTTTTAATCATGTAGCCTTCGAAGCAGACCGTCAAGCAAGAGCTGCTGGCCAACCCGGAATCATGATTCCACTCATCGATCCAAATCCCCTGGCGCAATCTGCAATTCCCCTTCCTGATGGTCATGCATTCTACGACACTTGGCTGAAAGACCTGCCACACCTCGAGAACAAAGTCACAGCACGTTCTATGGAAGTAATGCGAACATACATCCCTGCAAACGTGATCGAGTATGTCTCTCCTACCCCTTTGTGGATGTCGGTAGCCGAGAGAGATACTCTGACCCCTACCGATTGTACATTGAAGGCATTCGCCAGTGCACTGGAACCCAAAAAGTTGGTTATACTTAAGGGGGGACATTTTGATGCTTACTCTGGACCAAATCTCGAACGGTTATTGATAGAGCAGACAGAGTTTCTCAAGAACACTCTCCTAGCCTAATACCGTCAAAGCGCATCTCTTTTTTCCGATTTTTTACCAGAACATCACTTGTGGTGAGGAAACTCTTAAGAGACTTTAGTATCGCTGTTTCTGGGCCGTCTTTACTCCCAAACTCTGATGATGTATTGAGCTAAGAATTATGCAAATGTCAAAATATGAGTTCATTCATCTCACTGTCGAAACAAGTATTGTTGTATTTTAAGTATCCTTAAGTCGTAGTGATATGATGGTTTACGATCATAACATGTTTGTGAATTAGTTTATATAGACTTTCGAATACTCTGTTCACGCGAATAGACTGCGAGGTAGACAAGGAAGGGATAAGCTTACGCATTGAAGGTTGAGTGAAAAGGTGAAACAATAATGATATGTTGGAAAAAGTCTGAGGCAGCAAGCTGTGAAAAGCATATGATTACTTAACCTGTATGATGATAATCATCACCTTCCTTGGCTTCGTTCATGCCCGAACAAGGCAAGCCGAAGCAGATTGAGGAGGTAATATTATTAACGGACTGGCAGCCTGTGCTCAGTATCACCCCTAGCAGTGAGAATGAGGTACGTAATTACTTGCTGCCGTGCGCAGGTGGCCATTTGTGAGGCCGAAACTGTGTAGGTTTCAATGTGCAGTGAGAATTTCATGACTGCTTACTTGCAGCCACGTAATGAAGCATTCATCTGCCAGCGATATAGGAGAAGCAAGATGCGACATTCACAATAGAGCCTCGTCCTACTTCTCTTTTGCTAATCCGAGTAGTGATACGGCTGACTTTTGTATCGCCATTGCTTGAGATGTATCTTGAAAACAGACCATCAAGCCCCTAACGTGGAGGTTCATCAGCTTGTCGAATTCGGCGGTAGATGCCAATTTAATCGATTCTTCGAGTCCACAGTAATCTGTGATGAGCTTTCAGAATTAGACTGGTGCTTGGATCACGATATTGAAATATATAATGGGAGGGGATGATGTCCAATTCGACACTCATCCCGGTGCTGTATACACTGATACGTTCAAATTGCATTAGTAACTTTTGGGCCGTCTCCACAACGCGTGTCTCGTCGACAACATCAACTTTGATGGACACAATACGATGACTTGGGTTGATCGCAATTTTCCTAAGGGCAGTGGTTTTATCGATGTCAGCAAAGGAGGCAGTACTAGCAGCACAAGCGTCGGCGAAAGCAAGTCCAGTTTATCTTCCAATTCACTCCCTGCCCGAATACCAAGAAAAATGTTAGGGTGTCTACTTATTCAATCCTGGATATAACAGTTCTGAAATAATCACCATTTGTTTAATTGCCTAATGAGATGCCACTATTTTTGAATCCTCTAATTAATTATTTAATATATTAGAGCTTACTAATTAGACGCTCGTTTTATTAACGTTACACTTTCTCGCTATTGTCTTTAGTAATTTCGGGTTCTTTACCGTCGCCTTTTAAATTGTTTTTAGTGTCTTATATCTGTAAAACTCTCTATTATATCTTTATTATAAGTAGTTGTAGATACCTAAACTTCTATAATATATCAGGTAACCTAAAGCTTTTCTTTTATTCCAACTAACTCGCATCTCCACTTCATTCCTACTTGAACAAAATCGAGGATCCAATTATATTTCAAGCGCTCTTCTGGCTTTCTCTTCATCGTTGATTGGAAATTTTCGAAATATCGTTTCAGTCTCTGTGAGCTATCAACCCAGGTAGTATCTCCATTTTTCGCGCCTTCTATTTTCACTTAGTGAATAATTCTCTCTCATTTTAGGACTTAATGTTTGAACGAACCAATTTTCTGCTTCCATTTCTGCTCTATCACTGGGGAGAGAAGATATTCAGATGGAGACATATCTTTCCAGCCAATCACCAACATTTTTTCTTGCTGCGATTTTACGCAGATTGTTTCGTCAAGGGCGTAGCAACTTTCCATTAGCTTCAACAAGTCGATCCCAACCTCTGGATCTGCTTTGTAAAGGTGACCAAGCTGCAACTCTTCTTGCATCTGCTCACATCGCGCGACTTAATCCTGTGCATCATCCATTTCTTTGAATTCTTCATCCCAAGCAGTAGTTTGCGCAAGCAACTTTGCGGAGAATAACTCCTCTTCCTTGTTGATAATCGCTTCCTTGTCGAGACAATCTGGGTGTTTTGATTCCGTAAAAGTTGACATTTTGCCGAGTAATGGTGAGGTTTGGATGGAGATTACCGAATGCATTTATTTCGACGAATACGACAATAGACGGTAGATGTTGAGATTGAACAGGAAAGGGAATGGGAATGCAAGTTGAGAGCTATAAGCTTGGTATTCTCGAGGTTCAAGATGGGAAAATTCTTCGTAGATTGATGTCGTAGGCATGGAGCCAGATGAATTGGAGAAAAAGACAATACGGAGTGAATAATGATTCAATCTTTTTTTTTGGGGTAGATCATGAATCATAGACAGCCATTCTACTATATCTTCATGCCCTCACCTTTATTATTATTGTTAAAGTTCTCTTGTACATCTAGAATCTAGTATATGGGTTTTAAATTATTGAAGATTTTACATTGTCTACGTTTTTACTAGCGCTTTAGTTAACAGCGGTCGTAGTATTTATTTTATTGTTTATTCTTAATATTAAAAGTAATCTCTTAGTCGGACTTAAAAGTTTATACTACCGGAAGCGACAAAAAATCAAGTTTTTCTCTGATAGTAATATAGTAGATAATATTATTAGCACTAAAGATTTATTAATAAGTCTTTAAAAGTTTCTAAGTAATAGATTTAAAGAATAACACTTAAAGATAATATAGATCGCATACTTTCTAATAGTCTTTCAGATTAGAAAGATAGTAAATATTAGTACTACATGTAAGAGTATAATACTAATTTCGTTATTATTATAGAATAAGTAAAACAATTAAGCTTATACTTAAAACTACTATTATAAATCGTTAAATATATAGTTTAAATATATTAAAGTAACTACCTACACATTTCTGTCTTATTTGTAAAAGAAGATAAACTAGTATAAATATTCTTTTGCGAAGCGTTAGCGTCTACACGTTTTACTTTAGATTTAGATTTATTTTAATTTTTGTACGAATTATATTTACTTCACTAACTCGAAATGTTTTCTTCGATAATTCTTCACATAATTTTGTAGACGAACCCTGCTTTAAACTATCTCTGTTTTATTTACCCTTTGTTTTTCTTGTCTTCCTCGCATGGGAGATGCGATCTCCACCGAAGAAGGCTGGTCAGAATAACACATGGAGTGATGATTCTCCAGTTTTCTGAAACACCGTGAGATTCCTCAGAATCCATGCGCGTATTTTCCAGATTTCGTCCTAACTCGGTTTCGTTTTTCCTTACTACTATCCCCAGCCAAGGACTGAAAAAAACGCTTTCGTCACTTGAGCGTGTTGAACCAACTTGTCTGAAGCGTTCGACCGTGCATATTTTCACGCATATATCGCCTGCCTCAACGTTCTCTTTACCAATTGCCATATATAACTTCGAACTGGGGTCTTTTTCTGCCATATTGGGCAAACACAAGTTGTTTGTAAAAAGTGTATAGTTATTCATAACATTGCGGAGCCAGAGAAAAAGAGTGTTATGGTAATGTGGATTATCGGAAGTTACCAAGCCGCTCTTGTTGAGTATCTGCTCTGAAAGTTCAATCCATGCGCTTTTCAAATTTTTCTCTGAATCACAAAGAGCATTACTCATTTCCTCGCGTACTAATCCTTTCGGCGACAGAAACCCGTCCAAAACACTGTACGCTAGTAGACGGCATATCTCATGACGGATTAAGTGGTGTTTTTGCACAAAGAAATCTCGTGGCGGCCACGATACTGACGTTGCTCCTACCACGAAGTACTGATCTGCCCCCTGGGTGATATCGTCAAAGTTAGGAAGTCCTTGTAGCCGCGAGTAGTAAACTTTCAGATTCGCAGGTATGTAATCGAAAGATGATTCTTCACGCCTCTTGCTCCAGTCCGGTACATATGACGGGATTGACATGTCATTTTGAGATTTGGAAAGGCTTCCGAGCGCAAAAAGATGACGAAGAAGTTCGTCAGCTTCCCCAATCTCAATACAGTTTTGTGCGAAACGAATATAAATAGCGACCCAGTCCTTGCTATAAATTAACGCAAGTGTTCGTTGATTGCCCTCATGGCTGGTTTGTTGGATGTCTTCGGCTAGACTTGTAAGCGCAAAGATACGATCTTGCTCATCGCGACATTCAGTTGAATGGAAATCCCACAGCAACCTGAGCATGTTATCGGCATTTGAGTATAAATTAATAACGTTTCTGAGAGCATGTAGTGGTTTCGAAAGTTGCCCGGTGTGTAGTTCTTCGAATCGACACTTCAGCTTCAATAACCCATCCGCGAACCATTGCCACGATATACGACAAAGTCCGCAGTAAACGATCGTGTCGTGCCCAAGAGCAGCCTCTTGTATTATCCACCTTCGGTGGAACCATTCTCGCGAGAGAAGCTTCGATATTCTTTCTAGCCAGTCGTCGGTGTCGAACACTTCCTTCGATATTTCTCGAACCACCTCTGCCGTGACCTGACGCTTTTTCAATGCTGCAACCCTTTTTAGAAAGCCAAAGCAGAAGGAAACTTCGAACTCAGAAAAGGGTTGGCCCAACCATATACACACTCGACGAGCCTGTTGGTATATTTCCCCCATGAGTCCTACTTGGATAGACTTCTCGATGTCGTCATCCTGGTTAAGGCAAATTACATCAATCCAAAGGTAACGAACAGACTTCTGTTTACGAAAATATCGTAGAAGCGAATCTAGATTCTCAGTAATTGCTAATATACTAGCACCGGTATTACAAAACAATGTATATGTGAAGCCTCCATTGCCCCAAGTGTAAGAAACGGCTTCGTAATGTTCGCCTCCTGTAGAGTTGAGAATAAGATGATGCCGGCGTCGGTGTATAATATTGCAGTAGATTGGATCGCCAAAAGTAGCTGAAGGTCTTAGCACAAGTATGCGCACGGTATCTGTTGTTTCCAGCGGCATGTACTCGTAGTGTTTGTGGGTGCTAGCGGCAGCAGTTAAAGGGATTGGATGTAAATTCATGATTAATATAAGTTTGTAAGAAGTCTCAGTAGAATCCTTGTATCCTGTATCGAGGCATTGTTTCGCGTAGGGGGGCATGTTGCAATTTGAGGCAAGACTCAATTCTTCAAATGTCGTACACAGTGCAACCCGAATGCGGGCCAACACATCCTCGTACAATGTCGTTCTTATGTCATACAGTGATTGTAAGAGTTAAGGCTACAGCTCGTCGTACACTATGCGAACTCGTTAATTCACTAAATTGCACTTTGGTCATGTGTCGCTATTTTCCTCTCGTTTCTTGGCCTCGCGAGAGAAGTAACCGCTTTGACGGAACCGAGACAACTAAAACAACACTTTAACCTCACTGCAATCGCAACCCCCGATAAAGAGTCGCTTCTACAATGCTGGCCGTTTTCCAATTTGATTTATGTTTCCACGGGGTCAAAGATTCCTGCTGCCATGGGAGTTGGACTTGGCGATCTTGCAAATGGGACTTACGCCTACCTGCCTGAAAACTATTCTGTCCAGGCGCACAACCCGCCAGTTGTCCAATATGTACTACTAAATTATGTTTATTTTCTTCTAAAGGCTTAAACTATTCTAGATATATCATCGTTCTCTCTGGGACGTCCACGGTATCCTTCACACATTCGAATCAGAGTCACATCTTTGGGGGCAGGGCGGTCTACTACTTGCCACCGATATGCCCAGCGAGAGCGACGTTGGACATCTAACAAGCAATAAAGATCAAGCAGCTGGATGGTATGTCTTTCCGACGCGTGACAATAAGGTTCCAGCTCATAAGGTGCTATATGATGATCCGTGTAGGGATGAGGATTTGAGCATCTCGATTTTCTAGAAACATTGTTAAGGGTCATGTCCATGTGTTCCTTAGATTTGTTTCGATATAAAGTTCCTTTTTTCTCAAAATATAACATATTAAAAAAACAGTGCTCGTCGAACTCCACACAGGCAAAAGACTCCCAAACATCATTGGCTCGGCTTCATTGAAAAGAAAAGTGCTTCGGCGCCAAAGATTTTGCACCAAGCGTGGATCATTTACGTCCAGGGATTCCGAGCTGAGTTGAAGATATAAATCCTTTCAATCACGAGAACAGACTCAATCTTAGATGCAAAGGTAACTTGCGTTAATTCATATTTTGTCCTACGAAATGGTACAATGCTCAACATTTTGCCCTCGGACCATCTGGTTTCGTCTTGTGTATTGAAAGCTCATCTGAAATTGGGCAAGAGTACTACGTACGGTAACATTCTTAGGGCTATCTCTTCTAGTGTTCTTGCTTTATTTGTTTATTTCGTAAAAGATAGATATCTCCACTCAATCATCAGAAATGTAATATATTAGCTGCTTTACAATCTCATATTGTTCCAAGAACTCGAAGGCTATTTCACGTGAAATTAATAAATGTTCAATAAAAAAACATGATCATTTTTCCTATGTAAAGAGATACATCCCTACGTTAGCATTGAACTCAATAAAGAGCGACCAGATTGTTTCGTGCTCTCTAAATTATGTTCAGCTCGGGGGTATCAATCGTAAAGTGACAGAGCATAGGGCATTATAGCTATTAATGTACGCTTTTGATTATTCACATAAGTGCAGAGCTTGCTATATTGTACAGGAATGGCTCTCTTTATAGTGCTACCAACTGCTTATGTCAAGACCTTGAGCATGCAACTTGAAGGGAGTGATAGGCAATACCATCAGACCGATCAATCGTCAGTGAAAATACAAGGGAAAACAATTCTCCAGGTATCGTCGTCTCCTTGCTTCTCCTTGCTTATTGCTTTTTCATGATGCCGGAGTGACTTTCAGAACTTGCAAGATCAATGATCGTGCCCATGACGGTATGCGCATTACCCAAATTGCGCCGTCGTAAATATTCTTGCTGATGTAGTAATATAGATGATTGTCGCTAAGGAAAGGGATAAGGCTTAGTAAGTAGAGGGCAAGTGCCGTCGGGCCTTAACACGTAACTAGCTAAACCTATTTAGCACAAGTGGGGTGGGATCCAGCCAATCAAGTCAATGAACTCCCGACCGTAATACGCTATACAGTAGCCTCCGAAGCTCCAGCGCTCTAAAAGAACCGTACTACACTAGGGAATTATCATCGACCCAACAATTGCAGGTATGGAAGTCCCTTTGATCCCAGCCCTATCTCTGCCGCCATTCGATTATACACCTCTCCAGCCTCGCGAGATCCGGCTCTTAAGGCTAGAGCAAGGAGAATTTCCATATCTCACTGTGTCTTATGAGGTAGCTCATCTCGACAAGAACCCAGACTTCATAGCTCTCTCCTATTGTTGGGGAGATCCTACTCCGACTTTTCGAATTCTCTTGGCCGGAAGTTTATTTGGCGTCACGGAATCACTTCATCAATTTCTGCGCCGGGCAATAGAATTGGGATACTCAAATTCCCGCTTGTGGATTGACGCCATCTGTATCGATCAAAATAATATACAGGAAAGAGGTCATCAGGTTAAGCTGATGAAGGAGGTCTACTCCAATGCTCAGCTAGTTGTCATATGGCTAGGAGAAGAAGCAGAGAACAGTGATATGGCCTTCGAGCTCATCAAGGCGGTTCAACCATTGTTGGCGACTGATCGACCCCCTCGCTCAGAGGCAATACTTCAAGAATCGCAGGTGACTGAACCGGGATCTATGCAGTGGCAAGCGCTCGGAAAGCTATTCTGGAGACCATGGTTTAGCAGGCTGTGGATCATTCAGGAAGTGGTCCTGTCCAGACATGCTGAGATGCTCGCTGGATCACGTTCATGTCAATGGGATGTCGCCACCTCCTTTGCCGATGGGGTCAATCAACATGACCTCTACCGATGTATAATGAGTCACGAAGAACTTGCCGCAATTCAGACAGCAACCCGGTCCTATGTTGGGCCGGGCTGGCAGACTTTGCGCACCACTTCAATAACGAGGAAAGATTTGGCTCAGGGCATCACGCGTAAGGCCGGTATTACCTTGTACAATTACGGCAATCAGAAAGCCACCGATCCAAGGGATAAGATTTTCGGCATTCTGGGACTTGTGAATGCCGACCAGAGATTGACCATGGAGCCAAACTATTCAATACACGTTGAAGAGGTTTACACGGAAGCCACTAAGGAGATATCTAGTACTGAGAATACATTGACTTTAATAATGGATCTGGCGGGTATTGGATGGTATAGGGCCCTCAATCAACTCCCCTCTTGGACGCCAGATTTCTCAGTCGCTCCGCAGCAAAGACCCCTTCAACTGGATAACAACCGCAGTGCCAGCGGGTCTTCAAAGCTACAATTATTGTTTGGTACTGATAACACTTTACAAATCAAAGGACTTTTGATCGACGCAGTGTCCCGTATTGGACCTCTCTACGAAGACTCCACCTTTCCGACCCTCAGCTTTTGGCACTGGTATCTGCAAACCACCCGTGACTTTTGGAAGAGGGGAGAGAATGACGAGTCTTTCTGGAAGGCGTTGTGTGGCTTCTCGCCCTGCTCACAAGAGGGCAAAGATACAATTGACAACTTTGAGGGATATTGGGAGCAATACTGCAGCGCGACTCCTGGCTGGAACGAACGCACAAGGACGTCCAGAAGAGAGATTCCCGGTTTTAATGTCGATAAAGCTAAAAGTTTCACTCTTCGTATACTCACGATTTCCAGGCGAATGTGCTTGACATCCAGTGGTAGACTGGGATTCACTCCCGAACGGTCGCAGTGCGGAGATATCATTGCGATTGCATTTGGAGAACGTTATCCATTTGTAATTCGACCACTTGCTGGAATGGCAGGCCACCCGCGTCGGTACCATTTAGTGGGAGTCTGCAAGATAGAGGGCCTGATGGACGGAGAAGCCACGGAGATGGGGTTGTCAACAACGAATATCGTTTTGGTGTGATACAATGCAGGATTGAACGTATGCCCGCCTGGCTAGATGGATAAAAGGAAACCTGCCAAACAACTACCCGGCAAGAAGCAGTTACTGCCGTATCTTTGAACGGGACGATGAGTCAATAAATATGGCCTCCAACAGTTGGAGCATTCCGCTGTCTCTGTCGGGCACGCATTATGCCACTCTCTAGAAAAGACTATCGACCGGTGGAATTGAGACTAAAGAAAGAGAAATCTCGCCCGATATTCGTGAGAGGGGGGAGAAGAGGGCCTGACTATATACTACTAATGTATAGGTTCGCTCTCTATCTTTCCTCGATGACAGGTTATTCCCTAGCACATAATTGTGAAGAATTTTCATCAAATCGATTAATGTATAACATTGACAAATTGATGCAGAGAAAAGTTCTAGATCAGGAGTCGTCTCTAACATGAAACCGAGGTACGGGAAAGAGCCTTCGCATTCTCTCGTCTGAAGGTTATTGTTTGTTAATATTTGCTCAATTTACTTTCGTTGAATGCTACGACGAAACAAAAATTATTTTCCTTTCAATAAGGTACGTTTTAAGATGATCGGAAAATCGTGATCCGACATCAACGATCAACACAAGACATTTATAGAATAAATCTTTGTCAGCTTGCATGTTTCCCGTGACAACTCCGGAGAGCCTGATTTAGATTATCACAGCCGCAAATTGTTCGATCTACTCAAGTTTGTCCATCTTTGACGACTTTGGTAGTCCCGATCAGCATGACTGCTGCAGCCTAAGAGTACAAGGCTCTTGAAAGCCCGGAAACCGTTCGCATATTGGTCCTTCAGCCAGCAACAAAGTTCGGCGAGCCTCTCAGCTGTGAAATCATACACCGAGATCGACATCAACTTCTACTTGGTTTTGATGGCGCCGAACACTATGAAGCAGTTTCCTATACCTGGGGCAGCCAGGAGCTCTCACATACAATATTATGTGAAGGAGGAGGCACACTTTTGCAGATTACCCAGAATGTGGATTCTTTCTTACGATACTTCCGTGAGGCAACCTTTGTCCGCTATCTCTGGGTCGATGCAATTTTTCTAAATCAGAATGACAACGTGGAGAATTCTTTACAAGTGGCGTTGATGGGGGATATTTATCGACAAGCTCGAAGAGTGCTCGTTTGACTGGGGACAGCAACAACAGAACATCAAATACCCTTGTGCTTCGTTTTTCTGAAGCGATCGGCAGGAATGCGGAACTCTGAAACGCTGTCCAATTCAGTGCTTCAGTTGTCTAATGAGATATTCAAGAGCGAATTTTGGGCGGAAATAATCGGAGGCATCATTTCTCGGCCATGGTTTCGACGAAGATGGATCATCCAGGAGGTAGCGCTCGGGCACGATAGTGTTGTCCATTGTGGGCGCTTCGGAATCTCGTGGCAATGGTTTACTGATGGCTTGCTGAAGATAAAGCCATTACTCGAGAATCAATATTTGGATGATGACAAGTATTATGCCATCAACATCGTTCCGCATCTCCGTTCACATGCTACCAAAATTATAACCCTGCTGTGGGATTTCCATACTAGCGATTGTTTCAGTCCTCACCACCGGATCTTCGCACTCATTAGCCTTGTTGAAGACCAACATCAGCCCAATACAGGTTCTCAGTCAACTAAAAAAGAGCCAATACAGTCGCTCATCAATTAGAATGACAACTGGGCCAACACATATTGTCGTCTGGCACGACAGGCTATTGAGGCAGGGTATTCGACTGACCTACTTCACCACCTTTTATCATTTGGTAGCCTTACTCATGCTCTGGGTGACACCTCAACTCCGTCATATGTCCCAGACTGGAGAAGCGTAAGAATCTGCTCGCTTTTCCAGCACATTACCATGCGAGATCCTTATTTTCTATCAGATTTTGAGAAATTATACAAGAAATCCCGATCTTCCGATTATTTTACGACTCAGTGTTGGCCTCCATTGGGGTGGGATCACGTTATAAAGGCAAAGAGAACTTTCCTTGAGCCACTATTTCGGTTGATAGCTTTTGGAATTGTATACCAATACTTCGAACTAGACAAGACCACCAAAGAAGCCAGTAACGTGGGCCGTGTGACGATGGGCGTGGATCCTAGCGTCTACTGGAGAGAGGTATACTGGGCTTTGAAGGTTGAGAGCGGCATTTTAAACAGAACTCCGTCCTCCGATGATCCGGTCTATGAAGAAACTTCAATGTCACTTTGGTTGAAGGTGTTAATGAAAACCCACACGAGTATTCTGCCCAAAGATTACACATCGTGGACAGTACCTGATTCTTCGTTCCCAGAATCGTACCCCGTGCAAAAAATTGAGTATTACCATGTCAGTGCAGCAATAAGTTTTGGAGAGACCAGAGACGGCGATCTCATTGCTGGGCACTCTATTGTTCGATTGGAAAAACTCGGCTGGACCCCTGACATGGCCGAACTTGACCATAGACTATGGAGTGGGGTGGATGAAACGTTCTATTTTGGACTTATAGTGCGGGAGGTTGATAGTACAAAATCAGGTAATTATCCTAGCATATTTAAAACAGAGCAAAGCGAAGCGCAATCGAGTAGAAGGCAAGACGAGAACGGATGGATAATTGTTTGCCCTTGTATTTTGACTGCTAGTTTTTGATCATTTTGGCATGATTGGACAAAAACCCTTTCTTAAGTTGCTATTTTGGAGGCCTTAGGGTTCAAAGAGTGACAGCATTATGAAGAAAAGAAATCGTGTTGCAACAAAGGATGATATATCTTTGGGTCAATAGCAGACTGGTATTTCACACTTTACCTTCAATAATTCGACATCAGCTTTTTGAAAAGTGTGTTTACTACACGGCAGTTCCCTTCGGTCCTTCGGTGTTTATGTAATCGAATCTACCGCCGCTGGGCATACTATTGAGCTCCATTGGGTAGAAAAAACCACAGCAAAGCTAATAAGTCTCAAACAACGCAAACACTAACTTTTTACTCAATGGTTATGTGTTGACTAATTCCGTGGTGGCATTGGTCAATGCTCATGGTGGTTAGGAGTCATTGACCATTCGCACGTGCGAAAAATAATAAGCTAATTTTACGTATAATGTAGAATAGAACTTGAAATAGTCTTGAGACAAAGATCATTGTCGAGCGGATGATGGAAAATACGTGGAAATATTATTTTCTTAACCTTGTAAACGAGCCAATAGTACTGTAATACGAACAGCTCCTATTTGAAAGTACGCTAGTTCAAGTTCGAAGTGTGTTCTGACATGCCAATTATTTAATTGGGACTACTCAACTATAGTCTTCGTAAATACGGGAGCGAATTGTCAATTCCTCATTTAGTAGCTAGATTGCTTCGACTCATTCAACTTAGTCTCATGATAAAGTGAGACCTCGCTTGTAAAAAGGACCATCTCGGACGAGCCCGAATTAACTGGGAATAAACATTTATCAAGAGCTTGTGGAAATCTTAACTGTGCAAATGATACAATTTTTGGCAAGGTGTAGGCTGCCACAGATTGACCAGGCTTGCGATACACACGATGTTTGTAAACATTATACTTGTTGATCAAGTGACAATTTCTTGTGTTTCTCAATGGCGTTCATCAATTACTACTGGGGTTCAAGTCCCTTTGTATGTTGTTGAGACCAGAACGGTAGATGATGTTGAATGAGACGATTTCGGTGAGTAATTCTGTGGTAGGTCATCAGCAACGATTCGTATCCACCCCAAGCAGAGCAATCTTCGGACTGCCCACAATCGGTGAGGTATCGCGTCATGATCGATGAGATGACCCAAAAACATTCACAAGCTTTGCACTTCTGACAAAATGAACATCGAATTCCAGCTGCATCTTAATATAACATTCGTCAACAAACCTTACGAAATGCCGTGATGGGCACGAAAGAGACTGATTCTGCAGGGAATTCTCGCAAAGCGTTTTGCTTGATCAGATTGCATTAGCAGATATTTTGAACCATGTAGGTCAAAGCCTCTCACCAATCCAACACCAGATCGGACGGCGGTGTAAAAAAAGAAAAGAAAAATATGAGACTGAAAATCAGCAGTCAAAATGAATAATCAATCAATACTAGAGACTCCAGTTTCCAAGAATGGTCAGAAAACAAATATGCGCGTGCCACTGCTTCTTCTCCACTTCCGAAATAAGTTGTCCAGAAGTCCTATATGTTCCAAAAAAGCTTTGAATCACTTGGACCAAACGCGAAAAGGAATGCTCATAACCGTATGAAATTGTCTCAAAGAGTAACAGGAAATACTTCGAGGTTAACATAAATTATATTTGTGTGTCTGGTGTTAAAAATAGTATGATATCCAACTAGCTTCAATATAATCGTAATAAAAACCCTTAAATCGGGGAATCGGCCAATGAGATTTTGAGATGAAAGCTCTGATTCCTATAGAGAATTCTCCAGAGTTCATGAGGAATTACGACATTGTTGAGATCTTACCATCATCTGAACCAGTACATGAGACGCGGCGTGTCGAAAACTATCGATTTGCTCTTGTGAAAAAAAGTGGTTCTTTGTATATAAATCAGTAAATGATATAAGAAAATCGTAAGATCGAGGGTTTAAGTAAAGACTTGAAATCTTTAACATCTCGGCTTGGGATTTTCATAGAGATTAGCTGCCAAACCAGCGACGACGCCGCATTTACTGCTACCACCATATGCCTCGACCAGAACTTGATGAAAACCATTATTTCGGCATATTTCCTTCAAGCATTGTGAGCCGAATTTACGGCAGAGCCTCTGCATACCGCAACACAATATAACTCATTTGGATGGTTTGCTGCTGCTAATGATTGGCTCAAATAGTGGACAGCCAAAGACATTATCTTATGTAGTCAAACGCCTAAAAGCTGGGGATCGAAGGATGTTTTATGCTGTTGTTAAAGATGTTGCCCATAGCTAGTAAGAGTAGATTTTTACACGTGGTATTGAGCTATGTAGAATTTGCTAAGAAAATTATGCTCCGAAGTGGTTCATGGCTAGAGTAACTCAGTAACTCACCTGGTTCATAATTGCACTATCCTGATCGTACCCTCCCAGCGAGTAGTTTAGAAGATGCGACAGACGAGAGGATCTATGTGGCGGTCGACAATTAAAAGATGGCATCAAAGCTTGTTACAGTCGATAAACTAACTGTATGGTATCGGATTTTGCATCAATCTCTATGAGAACTGATTTACAATTGTAATCTATAGTACTTATGTACAAAAAAGTTGGTATCGTGTATGAAATCTATTTTATCGTAGAAAGCTCCGATTTTTCTATTGGGAAACTCCCAACTGCTAGTCACAGTCTGTGTCCTAGCCACATACCTTGGCATCGAACACCCAAGGTCTTGCATCGCGGAATGAACGCCGTTTCATCAATCGTAAGTCGAAACTAGTCGATATGCCTTTTCCAACCCTCTTGCTTCAGCGCCCATTTGACAGCATCGAAAACATCTTTGACAATGACATCGGGCTTGTAAGCTGGTTCAGTGCCCTCCCTGAAGACACCTGTTTTAACAAGAACACTAGTCCACTCTGTTCCATCAGTACTCTCGTATTCGTTTGCACCCCGAATGTCACTTTCAGGATTGTCGCCGACCATGAAAACACGATCAAGCTTGGTCACATCTCGCTTCATACGGTCCACGCCACCCAGCAAATCAGCCCGATGTTTTTGCAAAACGTTCTCGGCATATTTGTACGTTGCTGCATGAGGCTTTCCAATAATAGTTTTGGACAATGCAGCTCCTTTGGTGGTGGCATCCCATACACCCTGCAACGAAGCTTGGAATCCACCTTGACCGAGACGTGGAAGGTGATGATCCGTCGCCCAAAATAAGTCAGGATTCGAGAAGAAAAGCATTGGTTGTCCATCCTGGAGCCAGCCGTTGTTTGGAAGGGAAGAATCGCCATTTTTATCAGAATAAGTGCCCAAAACCCCATCTTTTGACAATAGCAGATCAAGTATAATCTGCGAATCCAATGCCCAGTCTCGAGGATCGTTGAATACGAATACTGCATCAATTTTTAGAGATTTATCCGGGTTTCGAAAGTCGACAGGTTTTGGAAGAGGTCGGGTATTGTTTTGGTAGTAGTCGGAAAATATTTGGTTGAAAGGCCAAATGCTTGGGTATGCCATGAGAATATCTCCAGGAGTAACAACATTTTTGAAGCCATATCTATAGATCGTATTAGAGCCTGTCAAAAATAATATTTGATCATAATTTCGGCTTGATAAATTGAGCACTTACTGTTCCGCAACCCGTCGGCACTTGTCCCCATCACCGCCCGTGACTAGAATGGTCTTGTCTTCCAACGCATCCACAGTATCCGAACCCTCAACCAATTGCTTGAACGGCGTGTGGGACTGAACAAAATTCTCTTCGGTCAGAGGGACGCCCAGCTTCTTGCTCAACTCAGCGACTCGCGCACTCTCGTGTTTTCCACCTCCGTTGGTCAAGAGAATGAAAGGAATGTTGTTATCATGAAGATATTCGAGCGCTTCCGGAGCGCCTGGAATAGGTTGGGAGGAGCGGAGGAGAACTCCATCGATACTAGAGTAGAGAACTGAATTAGCCTACGCTTCCAAAAGCAAACAAGACAGGGCAGTGGTGATGCATACTCGAATGCAAATGCAAAGCTAGGCATGCCATCCGCTGCCAATCCGGCACCTGCATTGCTCATACGTCTGGACTTTAGGGTAGGCATATTTGATAGGTTGTTGCTCAGTCTTGGGCCTAGTGGCTGAGGATTGAATGGTTTCGAATAATTCGGCCGCGACCTTGGTGTTGAGGAAGAAAAGCACCATTGGCTGGCAGGAGAGTTTGTTGGGGATGAAGCGAGTTCAACAGTCTTATGGTGGGAGCCAAGAAAAGTCAATTGTGCTCGTCTCCTTACGCATTTCAAAGGAATCCATGGGCGCATTGTGAATGTGGTTCGATGTGTGAGGTTGTTGACAAGACCTGATGTTGATAAGAGCTTGGGATGTCGGTGATAAGAAACTTAATTTTATGGGGGCTGGTCCAAGCTCCTACCAGACCCGTATAGTGGGGTGCAATAAGTTTGCACCCCTTGTCTGTTTTATGCAAACAAGCGATCCAATAGGATACTTTTAAATAAGGTTTCTTGCTTATTATTGGTTAGATTATTTTCATAAAATCGACAAGGGATGCAAACTTATTGCACCCCACTGTAGGGGGTAAAATAAGTGGCAATCGAAACATGATATTTACTGAGAACAATTGACGAAATATCGTACATTTATTGAATAAATTTGAGACACTATCATAGATTTCGTCAATTGTATTAAGTAAATAATACTTTGACTTTCTTGAGCTCTATTCGAAGTCCACTTGTTCAGGCCAAAGATCATTGGACATGTGACCATCAAATTATCTTTATCTCTCCTGGATCCTCTCTAGTCGGAACAATATCAACAAATACAACAAACAAACATATCATTGTTTAGCTTGTAGCAACATTGAAGACTTCGTATCCTATCGAGACTCACAACCACTAGGAGAGGATTAAACTTGGAAATTGCTCTTTTTAGCTAAGTACACAGCGGTGTTGTACGATTCAAGTAGCAGACATTGACATTGCTTATTTCCCTTTTCAAGCCCCAATACAAGTACAAGTCGATGGTCCTGCTAGATTTCCACTAACAAACACGACCAACACAGCAGCATAAGCCGCCGTCCCAGCAAACACCTGGTCCCTCTTCGCATTCGTAAGTAATCCCACACATGCTGCAAATAATACTGTCCATCCACTGACCATACCGAGTAGCGCATTCTGGTTTTTCACTATGTAAAGTGAGATAATAGCTCCGAAAAGAAGTACCGACGCCAGAATAGTGGAAAGAATCGTCACGAATCGAGAGAGTCGACGATGAGATATAATCGCCTGCCCATTTTCAGGCCTTGATGTCATGAAGAAGATGCCGAAACTGTTTTGGATGAAGGTCGATAATCGATCCTGATCTGGAGGTGCGTGTAGTGCGACTAGATCGTTGATATCATCGTATATTTTTTCGCTCGCTCCCCAGAGTTGGCTGATACCAGGTTTTTGGGTTTCCTCATTTATGTTGAGAAACCAATTTCTCATTGCAGTGACTGTACTTTGGGACGGCAGTTGACTGTTTAACAGAATTTGATGAGCACCTAGTGCAGCATGATATCTTTCCACCTTCTCTCTGATTTCCATACACAAGCCAAATCTAGCTTTCTCGCGCTCTCTTCCTTCTGTGGCTCGCTTCTTTAGCTCAAGCCAGTCTCGTTGACATTCTTTGGAGATAGCATCTTTTTCGTTGCAATCTTCTTCATCATACTTGTCTTGTAACTCTTCCAACTCTGCTAGCTCTGCTTGATAAAACAACAAGTTTCGAGCGCTTAACTTATCAAATCGGCGATATATTGTAGTGCTTCGATCGGGATCGAATACTATTTTTTCCGCTACTGCTGCAAAGCCGCGCTTACAATTAATAATTCCACCTCCTGGGTCGACGAGAGTAGTCCTGTCCGGTTCAAGGGGGGGTGATCCACGTTCAATATCTCGAGGTCGGGCCATACCACATCTTGCGACAAACAAAATATTCTAGGAAATGCGCTTCTCTGTTCTTCCACTTTTGCTACAAAAAGTGGCTGCATTGAAGGGTCTTGACCGAGTTCCCAATTGGGACGAGGCTGGGAAATTATTGGATATCGACTTTCCTCGTGAAATCAGCCCGACCGCCTCGTGCTGTCTTTTGCGCCGCGTCTTGTACAGGAGTACGAAGCTTTTTCTTTTCTTCCGCTACATCATCTTCCATCCCCATCGAATTACTTGGACTAGAGACCCCACTTGGGCTACCTCTGTGAGACACATATATCAGGCGAATGTGTGTCTGACAAAATACATTTATTCTCTCCATTCGATTCAATACGGGATGTCATATTCTAAATCAGGTGATTGAGCCGCCGCAGTTTATACTTTGTCTTTCGAGGAAGTTAAATGAGATACTCACTACACTGGAGATGACAACGGTATCGCTAAAGAGATATATTGGTCCAGACTACGTTTGGGAGGTGGTGACGTGGGTAAAGGCAAAATAATGCGGCTTCGGCTAGCCTCAGCTAGAACTTGAGCTATGTCTGACACGGACGATGAGTCGCCTCTGGTTGTCAAAGAAGGACCGTATCCCTGGGATCATTCTTCCCCCTCCTACACGCCTGCGGGGAAGTCTCGACAGATATATGATGATACAAATTATTATCGCCACCCCTCGAGTATACATGATCCCCAATCCCGGAGTCTGAGGGCCCTCATTCGTTTGTGGCATCAATTATTGTTGAAAAGGCAGCAGATTAGACTATCAAAAAAGAGGGAGATCAGACTACAACTTGAACTTTCCGGTCAAGCACGAGAGGCCAAGAGCTCAAATTTGCCTACGCTTCCGAGCCAACATAAGGTTTTAAAGCCAGATTTCGAACGATTTCAGGCTGCGCGAAATGAGATACAGAGCTTGGAAGCAGAGTATAAAGAGTTGCTTGCTGATTGGAAAGTTAAACGACAAGAGCTCCACGTCGTAGAAGCCGAAATAATATACTCTCCCGATATCTCCCCCGAAATGCCAATGTCCTCCACAGGCGTGGAACCCGATATCGACCAGCAGAAGTCTCAGTTTCGGTGTGATTCATCAGTGGACGAATCAACTATATGTGAGTTGGCAACATCTTCCGAAAATCTTACTACGGCGAGGGGCTTTCGAAATCGACGAGGAGTAGATATGTTATTGAATGGGCGTAAAGCATTTGTGGGACAGGATTCTGGTGGTTGTGACACAATATCTGCTGAATTTGCTGCGAAATGCGGGCTATCAGTTGAAACGAGATTGGAAGAAGACAAAGTCTCTTTAAGGATGGGGAATGGTCGATATTTGCAAACCATTGGCCGTGTTTTCGTCAGATGTCAGGTCATTGGCGGCAATGAGCCAGAAGAAGGACGCTGGTTTCACGTCGTGAAGAAGTCAGTTGCGCCTATCATGATTGGACTTGAATATATTGTCAAGGCCAAGATTTTGACAGAGATGAAGCATCTGCTGAAATCTTGCCCGGTGGGTTTTATGAAATCGGTGCCAATGTTAAAGTACATGGGCAGTCAAGCAACTATCAATTTCACCGCCGATGGACGAAATCTGGTAGGGTGCGCAGATACAGGTTCAGATTTGAACTTTATGAGTCTGAGGAGCGCGGTGCAGAAAGGGTTTCGAGTTGATCGGAGGCACGATCAACTCACAACCATCATGTTACCCGACGGGAGTGAGGTCATAACTACCGGAACAGTGACAGTCTCCAACATGAACATCAAGGGCTTTGACGGCATTCCGATGACTTTCCACGTCTTACAAGGTCTTCCCTTCGATGTCATATTCGGACACGAATTCCTCGACGACATCGACGCATTCAACACATGCTGCGAGTTAATAATGCTCGACGTTGAATTCCCCGATTTCAACACATTAATCAATCTTGGACCATTACAAGCATGGCTTACGAGAGCCTTACGAAAGAAGAAAAAACAGGACTATGGCGCGCGTCAGAGACACGATGACATGATCGATGCAGAACACTATCACAGAAACAGAAAAAAACGAGACAATAACAATATTGAGGATGCTGATAAAAGGTGTTTAGCTCAAGCAGCTGAGGCAAGAAGGATTCGCGAGTTCGATCGACACCATCGAAATTGTCCGCAATGCAACTAATCATTTAGCTCACATTACACTTCACTGATTAAATCGTTATTTTTCATTTCATTTTTCTTCGCAGTCTTTGTAGGGGGAATTTTTTATGTGGGTTTCAACAACGGTGCAAAACACTTTCAATATACTTCTGAAATTTTCAAGTTCTAGACTTTTCTTTTGCGAACTGGGATCATAGTAGTCAGGTACTATCAATGGCAAACATGTACAATTAGGATACCCCTTTGATTTTAGTCCCGCAACATGTTTAGTTCTCAATTTACAACTTTTGGAGGTTTCAAATTAAGTTGCATTCTGGTCTTCTTTCTACCGCCATGGATTCTGTACAAGAAAGCTTTAGCATATATTTAAATGCACCAGAGTCGTGCAACACGATTTATGCTCCCAGCTATTAATGAATTATAGGTTATGTCGTGACCAAATTAGCAAGTCATATTTTCTTTCATCTACAATTCTCGGGTTGTCTTGCTCTCATTTTTTGTGCCATTCGCGGTACATCTCAGCGACGTCTTTGAAACCTGCTTGACCGAGCTTCTCTCCAACTAGTTTGCCCCAAGCCATCCTATCTCCATTTGTTGCCATAACACAGTCGAAGTACATCGCCCCTGTCCCCTCAAGAAATTTTGTCTTGATCCATTCAATTGGGACGAAGCCGGCTCTCTCCCAGTCTATGACAGAAATGCCTCTGTTCTTGACGTCAACAATGATGTTCATCGGGCCCAAATCGCAGTGGTAAAACTTGAATGAGCCTGTACAATCCATTCTCAGTGCCATACAATTCTTGAGAAGGGTGTTGCGGCTGTACTCGTATGGTTCTCCTGGTTTCGTGAGGAAAGTCTCGGCTAGAGAATTCCCATCAATTCCCCCAATGTATCCGGCTTCGAACTTGGCCATCTCCTTGCAAATATCCACGACACGGTCCGCATAGTATTCCCGTGTTTCTTGGTCCATGGATAGCCATGCCTTATCTAGCGTCACACCAGTCATAGCAGAAGTTATAATCATATACCGATCCTCCCAGTATGCGTTGTAGAGAACATTCGGAATAGCGAAGCTGATACCCTTGGTGTGAAGAGCATTGATGGTCACATGCTCCAATGTAGCGTCTCTCATGAATGGTGGATAGTCAACGGCTTTGATGAAGGCCTGGCCCACCTTCCAGACCGAAACTACATCGCCAGCGTCGTGAACCTTTTGGATGATGCTGGTTGGAGATAGTGGACGAAAAGGAGGGCTTGGTCCCGAAGCATTGGTAAGAACAAAAAAGCAATTTTTGTCATCAGGCCAGGAACTTTCTCCTCCGGGAGTGGAGCGGAGAGTGAGGATCCATTTGTCGCCAATAACCCACGTATTCTGGTCGACTTCCCCTATAAGATCGCGTGGTGCGTGTTGTGGATTTGCCATTGTGCAGTTGAAGTCTGGTAAGTCTAAATGTAGAATTTTCTAAGGCCGAAACAAAATTATCTGAATTTTGCGTATGAAAGATGATGGTTTGAGGAGATGGCGGTCAAAAGATTTCGAGATGTATCGTGATGAATCTAGTTAGGCTTAGCGTGTGTAGGTATGAACTCGTGGATCAGAGGAGTAAATCGCGGGGTGTGAATAGAAGGTAGGCAATGTAACCAAGTGATAAAGGTAGTGAAAGTAATGTAGTCTGGAAAGAACATATAAAATTGCCTAAGGAGCAGAAGAGTAAAGGTTTCGTACGAGCTATATATACATGAAAAGCGGAACTAAGCCAAACACAGAGAGTGCACGTGATTCCAGGTTGACCGCTGGCCACAGTTGGTTGGTTAGTTGTACATCAGGTAATCTTTCTCGCTTAACTATTTCTCATTCTCTTGAGCAACAAAGTCTCGTAAAGTGCATAGCTAGAGTAGTATTGAATTAAGCACATTAGAGAATACAAAGAACAGGTCGCAGTTCCCGTACAATACTTAGGGTATATGGTTTTATTCGCTCTAATAGATTCTTCTTATGCTCTTCTTATGTTCTGTCTTTCGAGAGTAAATAACAAGGTACGAGCAAGGTAAAGTACTCTTCAACGTACTCGAGGGCTGAATATAGGATTTAATTAGCGGTTAAGCCGCGCTACAACTTCAATTGTTAACTGCTTATAGTTATTACAATAGATTAAAATCAAATAAAAAATATTAAACCTTTTTTATGTTAATTAGGGGATTGGGGTCATGTTATCCCCTGTACTGTGACATCTTGGGTTAGTCCAAAGCAGCTGTGAAATTGTAAAAGTTGAATAGATCCACATTACGCCCGTTAGGCTCTCGAGCGGTACTGATGGAATTTCATCAATTCGGCAATAAGCCTACAGTCGCTCGACGAACGGAAGGTTCGAAACTTATAAACTCCTTCGTATGCTGTTCCTTCGGGTTTCAAATAACTCTTCGTCGCAAACCCCTACTAATCAAAGGAAGCACAACGCCAAATCTGAATTGGATGATGAAATTTTCACTTTTCTGAACCTTCCGACACTCCACTATTGAAAAGCCTTTCCTGCAAGCCAAGGTCTAGCATCATCATGACTCTTTAAAGCAAACTCCCCATATCTCAAAAGGTTCTAGCAACTCCACTACACCAAGTGACAGCCTGATAACTTGGAATTCTCCGAAACTATACAATTGCTGACGATATCCATGTTAGCAAAACTGTAAGGAAGTGATTGTCGTATTTTGAAAGTGGGACACATTAGTGTTCTTGTACCTCAGGGAATTCGCAACAATGTTATGAAATTATCTCGCGTCAGCTGTGTAAAAGTAATAATTCAATAGTGATATGCTCATACTCTACCAAGAACCATGCAACATCGATCCACGGGTTGTTGTGTAATTTACAAAGACTAGAAAACACAATGATGGCACACACTACGACTCTCTGGGGTCCAGTTGCTAATAGGATATGACTTGAAATTTCTCTGAGTACAGTTTGAATTATTGTACCATGAACTACAAGTTACTCAAAAAAACGAGACTTCTATTTTTTATCGAGGAAGGAATTTGTCTCCGTCTCCGTTGAGAGAACATTGTGCTCCACATATTGATATTCATCCTACGAAAACCACCATCAAGCAGAGAGTTGCTTCTGCCCTGACTAATTTCCGACGATGTGTCTAAGTTTCGAAGCCTTTGATAAGCTCTTGGAATATGGTTATGCGCGGGGTGACAACTAGATAGGAGAATTAACGTATTCGAGGAGTTCTTGCAACACCTAAACGCTGACACCACAATAGCTTTGGGGCATTTAGCATAGCTTGATGTTGCCCTTATAAACAGAAGCGAAGGGCACCTTCATGGTCATGGCTATCTATTGAAGGCGAGATACAGCCTCCAGAGTCTGCTTTATCATTCACTAGCGTTTCAGGGATACTCGACGTGCACATCAAGCTTGTGCGTCCAGAAGTTTCCATCGGAGAAATAGAATCAGGTACCATTACAGCAAAAGCTCATCTCCGAAGTTTGACATAGACTCATACCCCAGCGAAGTCACAAACTAGCTTTCTCCTCAGCAATCATCATAGAGAGTTGCTCCCAGACGACGTTATCAAAACTGAATTCGAAATTTTCAGGGATATAACTTGGAAACGAGATCAAGGAACATGTTATATCTTCTCAATTGCACTCCGCACCTCTGCATACAGCAGTCCAACACTTAAAGGCATAATAACCATCCCAATATCACTTGACAAAGGGAGCGAAATGCGTAGAATAGGCTCGTTTAAAGCAGAAGGTGAAGCCGTTTGTCAAATCCTGCGACACGCTACTTGCAATGGTAAAGGCTGTAGTGACTTCAGAAAACTAAAGAGTACTATGAATCCCGTCCCGCAACGTGGCGAGGACTTGCATTAGCGATATGCGGAAATAATAAGACGTGTAGATGCAGAAAGCCGGAAGCTGAGCGGATTGCAAAGGAGCTAGAGATTTCTTATATGGATGCGTTGCAACGGAGGGAAATTGCCGTTGTATAGGGTCTCGGAATTTTGCGTACACTGGGACTATGGGTTTGTGCGGCTAGCACAATATACAAATTATAAAATACGGTTACCTATACCAAGATAGTCTATTAGGCTAAAACGCTGCAACCATACCTAATTTCCACGTTTATACACATGATGACGTCTAGGCATTCCAGTCTATACCAAACAAACACCCATTAACATTCACAAATATCTGTACGAATATCAAAAGCATTCTGTAAGCGACCCTTCTTCTTCGTGGTCTCAATACTTTACTTGATTCAATCAACGCAATATTTCGGTTCTAACTGTATTCATTAGACCACATTTGGATGGGTCCATGCAGACCATCGGGAAATCTCATCTCTTCTACAAACTGACACTAATGCGTGTCTATCCTATTCTCTCATGTCCTATTAAGCTTTCTTTGACAAGACTTGCGCCTAAAAGGAGGATGAGATGATTAGATTATCAGAGATGATCAGCGAGTTTACCCATCATTCTGTTCCAGCTTTGGTAGTACACGGCTGGATTCCAACATATGAAAATGTTGGTTAAGCAAAAGGGATACCGAGGACACCCCTCGTCAAAAGTCCGGATCAGGTATAAAATCTGACATTATTTATGGACCTATGCGAGGAGATTTCTAAAGAAGTGTGGGTACGGTAGTTTGAAAACTGAGCAAACGCAGTTGACCAAACACAGGTGAACAGCATTTTTATTTCGCGCTGCCAAAGTTCACCTTCCAAAATATCCCAGTCTGATCAGAACAGCTTCAACCACCCAACGAAACCTCTAACCTATCCCAACCTTAATACAGTAAGGAATATTCGTCTTTGGTCTGAGCCAGCAAAGAATCGCTGCTTCGCCTCCCATTCCGGGCCCTTCTCCAACCTTCCCTTTTCCCTACCCATCCTTTCCTCCTCATCATACCCCGTCTTCACATCCAAACTCATACCTACCATCATACCAGCCCTCATCCACATATCCCTCATCGTCTCCTTACTGTGTCTGTAAACAACCTTCTGTTCCCCCGGCTCGCAAAGCGGCGGCTTCACCGTAAACTCCCCTGGCTTCGCCGTCCCAGTCTGCGTACCTACCACCAACGACCCCGGAGATTGCCGCAACAGCTTTAGGATATTCACACATGCCTTCTCTTGATCCTCAAGAGCCCATATATGGAGAAACATAGTCGCATGAATAATATCCCAAGTTCCCCTCGTTTTCACCAAGCCATCGTCAATATCATTCGAGAATATATTGCCAGTGATGAAGTTCGATGGGCCGAAGCGGTTTGAATCGCGGAATAGCTCGTATCCAACAGCCTCAAAGCCCGCGACGAGATCTGCACCGTAAAGTGTGTTGATTGGTGCCCCATTGTGTGCTAACTCTCGAAGGTCTTGGCCCAAACACGTACCCAAATCCAGGATCTTTGGATTTAGATTCTGCACAGACCCCTCTTTCAGAGTTCGAAGGACGTGGTTGTATTCTGGATGCCGTGTAAGTCCGAGTTCGAGAAACCAAAATTCGCCGATGCAGGGCCATGGAAAGACGGACCAAGCCAACTCGCGCTTTAGGTAAACCGTTAGCTTGACGTTAAGGGGGTAAGAGGTGTGACGTACGACTTCATACACATGCGACTCTACCTCGTCCGGTGGAATGCGACTGTATTCTTCAAACACTCTACGGACTCTTTCGTTGAGTTTGTTTTCGAGAGAAGGCTGGTACCATGGTAAATTGGTTGATCGAGCTCCATGATTAGCTGGAAGGTTGAGAATGGTTTCGGCGCTCATTTTTGGAAGGTTTGGTGGTAAAAGCATGAGCAGTTGGCCGAATAGTGGGAAAGGTTAACGGTGGGGACTTGGGACGTAAAGGCTTGGAAATGCGTTCCTCTGTGTAATGACTTTTAAAGGGGGTTTGTTGGTTAGGAAGCGATGGTTGGATGACGTTAATTGCTCATGTGATATTCCAGGGATTTAAAACCCCAATTGAATGAGGTAAATTGTTGTTCTGCGCATTGGGTAAACCAACATCTGCACCTGTTGGTGGTAATAATATACATTACCGGATCAAACCCACAAGATCAATCAGTTACCGCAACTACAGAATTGAGTTCTCCCAATCGCCGCAGTAGACCAAATCCAAAGCTCTTCGAAAATAGATAATGTAGCTGGTATATGTGTTATGTGGATAGGTTGCTAATGATGGAGGTGATTGTTGTTAAGGACTGGAAATTGGTTTAATGAACGTTTTCCCAGCCGGAAGGGCTATGAAGAGCTGATTGAAACTTCAGCGAACAACTATATGTAATTTGTATAGATGCGAGGAGTGGTATTCACCTGACAATTGAGACAATGTGAGGGATGAATTATGTACTGTGCGTAGTACCTTCGTGGACTTTTATTGTTAGTGAGCGAAAATTATGAGGAGATTCTAAAGTGAGGAAAGGATGGCGTCATACGATACAACTTTTAATAGAAATCAACATGTGCTTATACTAATCTATACCAAACAGGTCGATTAAGTCACCTAGACAATCGATCTCCCTAGCGATTCCTCAAATACAAGTCAAGTCAAATTTACACAGGTACTCAACTCAACCCACCCACTTCCCTCTCACACACCTCACTTTCCTCCTCCTCACCATCCCCCTCTTTAATCCACGTAAACCCAGCCGGTAGTGTAAAAGACCCGGGAACCCACTTCCGTCCCAGCTTGATTAGAAACTCCTTCGGCACCACCCTACTAAAATCGCCTTTGGACCAGTACCCAGCGCCACCTCTACGATCTACCTCTGATCTTTCATTGAAAGACTCCCGCATCTTATCGTGATCTTTGCGCGTGTACTTTGCTGGAGCGACGGGCGGATCTGCGAAGAGCTTTGCTAAGTTGTGAGTTTCGAGACGTGAGGGGTCCCACATGAGAAAAGCGCGTTCACGGAGGCCTGCGTTCTCGGAAGACATGATCCAGGTGTCAAGAGTGACGACGTTCTGGGTTGAGAACCAGCTTTGATAGGCTCCGGAGTCTGAAGACTGGAGTTCTTTCACTAGGGCGTCAATAGGTCGATCTTGTAGTGATAAGAGGGCGTCATACAGACGGCCGTTTTTGCTGTTGTTTGCTGAGTCCAATAGTGACCATATTATCTCGTAGGACGTCTCGAAGACGAGTTGGTTAACGTACTCCATTCCTTGGGACATCTGAGAATTTCAAGTTAGCTACAAAGCAAAGGGTCGACTTGTTCTTGCAAGAGGCAAACTAGACTTACCCAGCGTTGGATCCAACAGTTTTCCCAGCCACGCACGAGGTAGTCGGCGCTGAATTCCCCAAAAGCGACATCATGAGTGAGGATGTCAACAGTGCCTAGATAAAAATCAATACCTACCGGCTAAATTGAAGATAACTTCGTTAAGTAGCAAAAGGGGTTTGACGAACTCTGAGAGATCCGTTCCTCCAAAAAGTCATGAACACAAGCGACTTCCTCTATTTCCCAGACCGTATATTTCGAAAAGAAAAAACCCACATCGCTGCTCTCGGAGGGATCAAAATCCAACAATTCTTTCTCGCCGGGAAAGATCGTGAAATAGATTTCGACGCGGTAGAAAGAGCGGAAGAAACGAAGGCTTTCGTTTTCGGATAGAGTGAGGTCGCTACAATCTCCTTGCTCATCTTGCGAGAGTAGGGCAGAAGCCGTACTAGCAAACTCGGCTACTAGTCTTGTGATGGCCTCGTGAGTACGTCCTAGTCTGAGGAGAGTGGAGAGAGGAAGTGTTTCGGGTTGTGCTGTGAGATTATGAGGCGTTTCGTGAAGAGTATTGACTAAGTCGCGAATCGAATCTTCTCTGTCAAGGGGTGGGAGTCGCGACGTTTCGTATACGGCGAGTGAGTAAGGGAGGAGAGCTGGGGTGAGCTGGCGGCGGAATACCGCGGTTCTGACACTGGGATATTCTTGGTATACATTATGGAAGTTGTGACATGTAAGGATAGAAGAAAGGAGGGAGTGGATGTTGTCGAGTTTTTGGAGGATAGCTACTATTAGCTCGAAGGGGAGGGTTTCAATGGTGGACATTGTCTTTGAGCTAGAAGAGAAAAATCAAAATCGCCGTAAATGGACGTTTCGAATCTAAACAGATGTCAACTCAACGTTTCGTTGTTCGGCAGCGCACAAGGTATATAAGCAGATAGACTCATCTGCGGGCGTCTTATGTGGCCAACCTAAACGCGCGCTACAGCCCTCAAACATCGCGACCCTCATACCTCTCACACAATAAAACACATTTCACGAAATGAATTTGCTACAAAAAATCATTTTCTTTCAAAGAAATTGTCTGAGCAATTTCATCTATAACAAATAGTCCACGAGCAATATTTATTTCACTTCCCATTCTACGGGTACTCTGAACCAACCATTTCATTCGGTGAAGCTGAGCTCTTGAATAGTTAAAATACATCCGTTGACCCATTTAACGCGATGTTCGGGGATTCATAAAGGATGAGACTGTAGTATATCCACAAAAGCACTGGGGGTAACCTCATCTCCTGCATATTGCGACTGTGCGGCGGCTCGATCCCAGTACCTCAATTCCCCAATGGCATTTTTTCGATAACACGCGTGACTGAAAAGGGGATAAGATGATTAATCTATCCGAGGTAACCATCGAGTCCACCACACCGGCTTCTGCCGTGAAACGGCTAGACATATCTCCATCTCGCCGGCCAGTAGGTCGTCATTGTACCAGTAAGCATCACATTCCATGACTCTGGTGGCGCGGCGCGGTATCCTTGATGAGTTTGAGCTTCGATAGTGAAAGTGTGAGATGTTTATTTCAAGATCTCAAGCTGCCTCTGTCGTCCGACTACACGGCATCTTCTCGACAATCACATCTTCTGTATTCCCAGCAACTCTCTCTTCAACTCTCTGCGTCACACCTGCAGGATGTTCAGGAGATGGCGGAAAATACTTGAATCCGAGTCCTGTGAGGTACGTTCGAGTGACGATCTTACTGGTATCGTCCTTTGACCAATAACCCATACCGCCCGCTTCCCAGATATCATCTCGTATTTTAAAGGATTCCTGCATATTGTCGTACTCTTCGTCGGTGTATTTCTCCGTAGCCTCCGGTACGTTTGGAAACGTCGCTAGCAAGTTATGGTTTTCCAAACGATCCAGGTCCCACATAACATAAGCGCGCTCGCGGAGACCGGAGGTGTCATTATGTGAAACCCAGCAATCATGAGGTAAATCTCCGTGAACCAAACGCCAGGCTTTGAAGGGGCCCTGATCAGTGTCATGAGGGTCGATGCGTGGGACCAGAGCTTGTATTTCTTGCTCTGTGTACTCGTCAAGTGTTTTTTCAACGCCACGATTATCGACTCGCCACTGGAAGGCATCCGAGAGGTTAGCCCCATCCTTGGTGAACATTTCCCCACTAATCAAAGTGTATTTTTCCTCATAAGAGCTTGCTAAAACCACCCGGTGAATGAAAGCAAGACCTCGTGAGATCTGAGAATGCTGCGGTCAGTAAGAAGGTCATAAATTGAATGCCATCGGCTTTGAGAATTGGGTAGCACTCACTAATCGTTGCATGGAAAAATTATCGAAATCTCGCGAAAGATAGTCAATTTCCAAACCTCCATAGTGAACATCATGTGCAATAACGTCAAAGGAAGCTACACGAAGAATAAATCAGAAAGTAATCCAGCAAACAATTGATGGTATCGGCGAGAGCGCGTGGAAGTCTAACATACCTTTGAAAAATATTTCCTGTAGATAGTCCTGAACGCAACTAAGTTGTTCGTTTTCCCACGGTGCGTGCATTGAGAGAAACCAAACAACATCCCTACTCTCGGCAGTATCGTAAGGTTCGTCCTCTGTACCAGGAAAGAGGTTGAAGAATAGTTGTGCACGGTAAAAGGCACGACAGAAACGAAAGTGCTCTTTTTCTGAAAGCACGAGGTCATCTGGTAGACTCGGATCATCGTGACGCTGGAGAGCCCAAGAATCGTTTGCAAAGCTAATGGCGAGGCTCTCAATTACATCGTGGATGTGTCCCATTTGCGAAAAGTCGGAAAGCGGCATGGTGTTCAGAAGCGTGACTAGTTGACCGGGCTCATCATAGAGAGTTGCGAGTAGTGCCTGGATTGATGAGCTCGTGTGGGGAACAGGCAAGTGTGAAGCCTTCACCAGGGCGATTGAATATGGTAAAAGAGTTGGGATAACCTGCCGTCGAAATATGTCTTCTTTCAACATGGGGTATTCCTTGAAGGTCGTGTGGACGTGCTGGCACGTAAGTAGGCATGGCAAGAGGTCGCGAACATTGTCAAGGTTCCGAAGAATAGATGCAATCACTTCGTACGGGAGGTCCACAAGGTTGGGCATTTGGTGAGAAGAATTTGTGGTTTGGTGGTGTCTGCTGAAAGACAGAAATTTGTGTCTTTGTAAGTGGTGAGAATTGGGAATGGAAAATAAATTAATGCGACGTTGTACGGAACTCACATCTTTACTTTGATTTGATTCACGATCGCTGCCATCCCACTAGATTAGCGAGCGAATAATTCCTTCCGAGGCCGAAACAAATTCGGCCTGTCGCTAAGCGAAACTCTTGCCGCCATGTCAGCGGGCAGTTGTTTTGGGAAAAACCTAGACGCCCGCGCTAAGGTCTATATTCTTTGCAACCAGTGAGGCATAGTTTACCCCAGATATGAGACAAAAACAGCGGGGTGGCAAGCCTTGAACATGATGTGTTTCCCGGCCGTCAAGCCACAACCATTTCTGTTACACAATAAGCGCTCTTTGCGACCGCAATGGCGCTTAAGACTTTCGTTATATCTTTCGTTCGAACAAATTGACAGGTGTTATAACCCCTTCTAGACCCTTAAGGCCCGGCCCGGTACATGAGGCAGCCTTCTTGAAACTGGTCGGCCATAATGTTGGCTCTAATAATAAGCAAGGAATAGTCCGTAGTTGACCACTTGCGATAAGGTTCGTGCCTTCACATAAACCTCGAGTAAGGTTAAAGGGTGATATAAGCTTAAACAAGTATCTCCCTTTCCACACTATATCCCTTTCACAACAATCCTCTTGCTTGCATCACTATCGTCCACAGGTCTCGCTGGCTTCGAGAATTTTTTCCCTTTATCTGTACCTCAATCAATCATTTGAGCTTCACCATACGCTTGAATTCAAAGTCTCCTCAGTAATACCTCCACATTCAATTTTTGTAGAGCGATCAAATGGCCGCACCATCACCAGAAGTTGTTGCAGCCCTACAGAGACAATTCTCTGGACTGAATGACCAACTGAATTACTTGGAGGGATCCACCATCTACAAGAAAAACAAAGCCTACAAGGAGGCACACGAAGTCGTCAAAAGCGCAAATACAAACTACAATACAACTGCAAAAGAGCTTATGCAGAAAAAACCCTATAATCCGGACGATCCAGCCTACGGGAAAGGACTCAAAGGAGGCCAGATGTTCACAAAATCAGGGCATAGAGTTCTCGGCCCACTTGCCGGAACGGTCATTGTCGCTTCTCAGTTGTAAGTTGTTGGCTCAATGTCCGTATTTGCATCAGTTTACTGACACTGCGATTTTGAAGCCATGTCGATCGCCGGACCTCATTTAATACGACATACCAAGCTGTTCTGGAAGGCAAGGTACCAGAAGAGTATACTGGTCACGTGAAACAGGTCAAAGATGCTCAAAAATCAACCGAAAACTTCGGTCGCTGGAAGTGAGAACACGAGAGGTATTACGAATGAAGTAGTCGTAGTGAGTGGAATGTCCGATGTAGTGATTGGCGAGATAAGCAAGACAAGGAAGAGCGGGGGGGAAATGGTGGACACTGCCAAATATCTGTTGAAATACAAATTTCTTTTTTGATAACTGTTTAAACTTCTTATAAGAGTGCATTATATTTGATAACACTATGATGGCTCTACGCGGACGCAGTAAACTTCCATCACCTTGGCACACTCTCTGCTTCAAAACCAGACTTTTATATTTAGCTGTCTTATGGTGATTTGTAATACGGTAACGATCTTCTTTATCCACCCAAGAAGAATGAATTAAAACTTAAACGAAAGTAATCGTCTGATAGACTGCAAATAAAGTATTATATTGAAGATTATTTGGCCTAGGCGGTGTAGAAGGAAATTTAATCCGTTTTCGCAGAGCCTAGGAGAAATAGATTATGAATGAAATTGATCGAGCCTAGCATTTCGCAAGTGCTTCTCTGTAGCAAATGCCAACTTCATTAAGCAAATATGAATCTGGTTTCAGCAAAGCAACTTGCCACTTTCATGATACTGACACATCTCTTGAGTCGACGACAATGAATGAAAGCATCGTTATCACGTGACACTCCACGCCACTTCGATGATTCCACCCAAAGGCACAGCAACTCAAAAGAAAGAAGAAAGCTGGTAGCGATGTGCAACATCAGAAAGAAAATAAGCTGACGACGTCCGTGACTTCTTCTCCGCAGGCTTCGATTTCTTCTGGAAACCGCGCCTCTCGCCTGCCGGCCACACTTGCGGCTGGGAGGGACAGGTCGGGCGACACAAGATGCGCGGTCCCCGAAAGCTGTGAACCAACAGAAGGGATGTTGCGCGTACTGTAGGACAAGAGGAGGCGACAAAGTCGATTCAGCTGTGAGAGAATAGTGCACAATGGGAAAGGGGTGATTGATACTTCAACGCAACGACTGCAGAAGAAGAGGTTCTCCAGCTGTTGGGTGTGCAACTCGCAATTCATGTCGTAACGACAACTCAGCTCTGATTGCTTTCACATGCTGGAGAATAACGAAGATTTGAAGTGCGCCATCTTGGCTTTCCCAATAGCTGGAAGCAAGGAAACCAATCGAGGTGATAGAAATGCGCCTCTAGTTGGTATCAACACTTGGCCACGATGAAAGATTTCCAGAAGCGAAAGAAGAAGGCGGCAGCTCAACCAACGCAGATCACGTGCGGCGTATAATAGTCGTTCGTATCGCTCGATGCAACTGCGGGCTAAAAGCGGTTGTCGATCCAATAATCCAAGACATTTGTCTCGACGCACCCAATTGGTCGTGTTGGTAATGAATTTGGATTGTTGGTTGGAAGCGTGCAGGTTTTCTCGGCCGGTTGGTGTACTAGCCGGGAGTGCCGTCGACCAACGAAGCCACCGCATCCTCCCTTGGTTGCAAAAGTGCTGTCGACCGCCACAACGGTCTTTCTCCTACTGCTTCTGAGCCGTGTTTTGCTTGATGGAGGGAATTCAACGAATCCTACCGCGGGGTCTCGATGGCTTGGTGGTCGTCGGAATGATCTGCTGGTCGAGCATTAGCCAGCAGTAGCTTCTCCGCATTCTAAGGTCGGCACATGGTCCAGAAGGGGACTTTTATGTCCGAGTGCTCCGGCGCAGCTACTTTCCCGCCCAGATCAAATTCTTCTCCTTTCTTTGATAGAGTATGAAGCGAAGAGAGTTTGTTGTAAATACACGGCATATTTGTTTGTCTTTGTGTTCGAGGATGACCGCATAGATGAGGTTAAACTGCGTTAAACTGCCTGTTTGAGAAGATCCCACAAAGGACAAGGGTGCGACGTGGTAGGACTTGACCGAGTCGTACAACCGTTACACCATCTATTACATCTCGCATCTCGCATCTCAGCCTCCCAAGTTTGTCCCAAGTTCGCCTGCAAAACGTATCAAGACGAGGATCTCCTTTTGAATAACCACCACGTTACAAAGGAAATCCTCGTATCCTCTCTTCAAATAATCACCACGTTACAAAATGAATCCCCGTAATTACCCCTCCTATTCATCACATAATCATAACCAAACAAAGAATTATTCACCCCTTCGTCATGGATGTTGCGGTTCTTCTCTAGTCGGTCCATCACCTGGCCTCTAAACCGCCTTTGAACGACCTTCTCGGCCTTGTTGCCCTTGTCGGTTTGCCTCCCATGATTCACGAATCAACGTGCTTCCACCCACTCATCGAAGCCAACGCCCTCTGCGCACACGACCCATAAAGCCGTCCCCTGTCTCCCGCCCTAGTCGATTTGAGCAGCCTGCACCCTTTTCGTATCCACTCTCCGGATTCAAGATATGAACTCCACACTGCGCACCCTTCGAAACGTCGTTTAGAAAGGGTTAAAGAGACCACCAGTCCCCGTGTTCTTCACATCTCCTTTCGCCAGGTCGTATCGAAAAATACGTTCTTCACCATGACGAAACTTCCACAGGACGGGTCCAACGACTCGCAGAGTAAATTCAAGGATGAGCAGATCGAGAGTCGAGAGATGGCTGCGCCGGCGCGAGCTGGGTTTGGTACGAAAGTAAAGAGACATTGTGCGCGGTTTTGGTGGGTGCACGTAATCGCATTCTGTCTGATATTCCTGATCATTGCGCTGTGCTTGTGAGTATCCCCGTTTGATTGGTGTTGCGACCAGCAGCTAATCACCAACAGAGTCTACGTTGGTATGCCCAAGATCGCACAACACGATGTCGATAGATCGTCCTTGGAATTCAAGGCCCTGAAATTCGAAAACCCATCAATGGAAGAAATCACCCTTACGCAAGATGGTGTCCTCCACAATCCCTCCATGTATACACCAACCCTCGATTCTTTCAAAGCTGGATCATACTTGGTCACCAATGGATCATTCGGTGCAAAAGCTATTATCGATGTCCAGATGCCAGAGATCCACGCTACGAAACCACAATCAGATCAAGGAGTGTTTAAGCAGGTCGTACCAATCGTCGATATCGACCAACTCACCGCCTACGCGACCGAAGTTGTTGGAAACGAGTACGTGGAGACAGCATTGGCCGGGAAGACAAAACTCCATCTCGGAGCTCTCCCAGTCGTAAACGTCAATTACAACTCTACCAGCCGATACAAGGGTAAACAACCCCAATTCTACTCTCCCAAACCCCACTAACACACCCAGGTCTCAACGGTCTCAAAGGCTTCAACGTAACCAACGTCCGCATCAACATAACCGCGGCAGCCGGCACCCCCAATCTCGTCGGCAACGCATTCGTCCCCAACCCCTCCGTCATGACCATCGAAATGGGCAACGTCACCCTCTCCCTACGCACCGAGAAGGCCGGATTCATCGGCACCACCACGATCCCAAACTTCACCCTCGTCCCCGGCGACAACAACTTCCCCATGACTGGCACGCTCAACCAGACGGCCGTCCTCGCATCCATGGTCGACGGCATCGCAACCATGCTCATCAAGGGCCAGAACGTCACGTATAACGGCGTGGCGCTCACTTATTATGAGGCTGCGCTGGCGTCGCATGAACTCGTGTTGCCGATGAATGTCCTGCAGATTGTGGCGGATTCGGCGAAGCCTGAGTAAGGTGTATTTATGGGGTTTTATTTGTAATTTGCATGGAAGGGGATGTATGTTAGATGAGAAGTTATCTAAAGAGGGGATTAAGCTGCAGAGCTGCGAGAAGGGGGATCATCTTAAAACACCAAAAACAACAATATCTATGTATTTTAATTATTTCTCTCTTTTGTTGTTATTTTTGATACCCGGTCGATCCTTATGATGGTAGTATTTTAGATTGATGAATGGAGCATGTGCATGTTATTTTGGCGTGTGGAATTGAGGAGGGTGATGTAATTGGTATGGGACTTTACTGCTGAGAATGTTGTACGGATACGATACGATACACATCTCACATCACAACTCAAACCATCCTTCCCGTTCTCCTTCCTTTCCGCCTCCACAAAATCCCCAGACTCTCCATCCTCAGTATTCCCCTCAATGTCTCCATGTCTCACATCCACCCCTTTCCGCATCTAAACTAAGCACCATCCACCTCAACTTACCCTTTCCAAGATCTTCCTCCGAGACTATGGGGTACGTACCAGGTACCCCGTAGATCTTGGATTCCCCAGATCGGGTTGCGTGAGCTGGTTTTTCGGTCGGTGAGGTGAGGTGTTTGACATGTGCGGTGTTATATTTGGTGGGGTGACCGAGGTGCTGTGCGGATGGTGGAGGGGCATGTGATTTCATGAATCGTGGGGATTCCGAGCTCGAATGTTGGGGATCACCCAAGAAGAGATGGAGATGGGAAAGGGAAATCGCGGGGAACCTAGTATGAGATCTGAATCAATTGAGATTGGGATAGGCATTATTGGTATGGACATGCGTAGTTGGAGGGAATGAAGAGTGAGGTGTAGAGTGCGTTTGATTAGATAAAGGCGGTTGGAGTGGAAAGGTGAGAGACGAGCGAGCGCATGTTTTGATGAATATAAGGTTGAATAGATTGAACGTGTTGGAATTAAAGGAAGGTGGAGGTTAGAGGGTTGAGTAAGAATTTACTGTGAGGAGTGAGATGTGAGGTTTGTAGGAGTGTTAACTAATATTCGTCGATCGAATCACAGCTCCTTCACATCCTATGACTATTCCTCTCCTTCCTCCATACCCAACTCAAACCACATCCCACCACCGAAATATAAAATCACTCAATCCATACATCTAATTCAAACTCTTCCCTTTCTAACATCTACACGATTAAGCTTTCCCACCGCATCCTTCAACCTCGAAATTCTGTACGGCTATCAACCCGCCCCCACTTTTCCTCCATCTCCGGCAGTGACGCACGCTTTCCCCGCACTCGGCAGTCAGCACGACTACCTTCTCTGCGCCTTCAGAACCCGTTGATCTTGTACAACTAATTTAGTTTTCTGTGTTAGTTGACAGGAGAGGTACCGAGTATCTAGCTGGTGGACGCATGTGATATTTGCGGATAGTCTCATAACGAGGAAGTACGCAACTGTAACGGTATCTTCAGTTTGGATTTGGATTTCAGGCATCGAAATTGAAGGCAAAGATCAAGATGGGCTTCCACGATATCCCTCTGTTATATCTAATCACCGTCCCAGCAGCGGGGTTAAGTGCGGTCAATATTTTATTTTTTCCCGATATCTTGCCAGGAACACCGGTGTCGAAATTGTTTATCGGCATCTCGCTGTTGAATAGTGTGGTGTATATGATATGGAGTTTGTATATATATCCGATTTTCTTTAGTCCGTTGAGGTTTTTGCCGCAGCCAAAGGTACGTATCCCCTACTCATATAATCAAAAGAAGCACCAGTGGGATACGAATATTAATGAGAAAATAGGGCGGCTACCCAATAATCAAACACGGCACCGCAGCATTCCAAAGACCAGCCGGCCAGAGCTTCCTCAATTTCATCAAAACAATACCAAATGACGGGCTCATACGTATTCAAGGCTTCTTCCACCGCGAAGGTCTTTTGATTTGCAGTCCGGAAGCCCTCGCTGAAGTACTGGTGCATAAGAATTATGATTTTGAGAAACCAGCTGAAGTGCGCAATTTCCTCGTCAGGATCCTGGGCAAGGGACTTATTCTGACCGAGGGCGATGAACATAAATTTCAACGCAAGCATATCACGCCCGCGTTCAGCTTTCGCCATATCAAAGAGTTGATCCCCGTATTTTGGAGCAGGGCGACGGCCATGCGCGATGGAATGTTCGCTGAGATGGCCGACAACCCAGAAGCTGACGGCCGAAAAGTCGTCGAGGTTAACCACTGGGCGAACAAAGTCACCTTAGACATCATCGGCGTCGCGGGTCTCGGACGGGATTTCAAATCGCTAACCGCAACCAACGATCCGCTGGTGCAGAACTACGAAGAGATTCTCGAGCCGACGACGGAGAAACTGGTTTATTTCGTGTTTAACCTTGTCTTTGGACGGAGATTCGTGAGTTGGTTGCCCTGGGGATTGAATCAGAGACTTGATACCACGACGGGGAATCTACGCGCGTTTTGTCTGGATTTGGTGAGGGAGAAACGGGAGAAGATGAAAATTGAGGGCGAGGGGGAGAAGGATATTTTGGCGTTGCTGATTAGGTCGAATTGTTTTGGGGATGATACTTTGGTGGATCAGTTGTTGACTTTTATCGCTGCTGGGTAAGGCTCCTCTCCAACCCATTTCGCAAAGAGCACATGCACTGATACTTGCTAGCCACGAAACCACCTCCTCAGCACTAACCTGGTCCCTCTACCTCCTCGCCCAAAACCCCTCCCTCCAAACCGCTCTCCGCGCCGAACTCCGCAGCTCCCTCCCCTCCCCCTCCGCACCCCTCCCAGATACCTTCGACCTCCCCACCACCCTCGAATCCCTCCCCCTCCTCCACGCCACAACAAACGAAGTCCTCCGTCTCTACCCCTCCGTCCCCTCCACAATCCGCCTCTCCATACGCCCAACCTCCATCCTCGACACCCCCGTCCCAGCAAACACCCGCATTCAACTCTCGCCCTGGGCCATCAACCGCTCGCCTTCCCTCTGGGGTCCCGACGCCGAGTCCTTCAATCCTTACCGCTGGATCGACGTGGATGGAAAGGCGAATAATATCGGGGGAGCGAGGGGTAATAATTTTTGTAACCTGACGTTTTTGCATGGACCGCGGAGTTGTATTGGCGAGAGGTTTGCGAGGAGTGAGTTGAAGGCGTTGCTGGCGGTTGTGGTGGGCGGGATGGAGGTGCGGTTGGAGTATGAGGGGCAGAAGGCGGTGCCGGCGGGGGTTATTACGACGAAGCCGAGGGGGGGGATGAGGTTGAGGTTGGGGAGGGTGGAGGGGTGGTAGGTGGGAGGGAGGAGGGATTAGGTATAGGTGTAGGGTTCGTGGTTTTATACAGGGAATATATAACACGATAGTGTTTTGTAGAATTTAGAATACTTTTTATACTCACCTTAGCACTTTTCCATTTAAAATCTTACAACTTCCGTCGAGATAATCCTGGCTTTAAGTACGATCTATATAGACAATTTACGAAAGTATTTCTATTATCTTTACTGTCTCTAAATTACTAACTTATAACTTTAGATATTAAAAGTCAATATAACTTTTCTATATTAGATTTATTAGGTTTAGAGGTTAGAGATATTTCTTAATTCTAGATCGTAATCCTAGTACCGAAATATACACTTAGTTAATTAGACTAAAACTAGTAGGGCTAAGCTAAGTTAAGCTAATTATCTTAATGAATTTAAGATAACCTATATTTAAGTATTTAATAAGAAGAAGGATTATTTTAGTAGTACGTAGTATATTATTTAGATATATAATCTAATATTCGATATAAATTATGTTTCGATTAGGGGCTGTATTATCTACTATATATAACCTTTCTATACCGATTCTTCCCTTTATACTTATTAACATCGAACGTAAACTCGTACGATACACAACTCGATGGCGAAAGCCCCTCGTGTGGGATGCAACTAGGTATATCTATACGTGTCCTACTTGTTTCGGTCCTCAATTTAATCTTCTTTGCGCATTCCTTAGCATTTCCGTATCTTTCATTTACACTCTCCATACCACCATTCCGCATTCTCTGTTTTTCAACCAAAGGTACGATCCACCACGTCTGTTCGTTTTGCGCGTCACGCTCTTTTCATCCCCGTTGCTTTCGCGGGTTTGTTGGTATGGGATGTATGTTTTGTTTGGTTTTTGTCACTTTGTAAAGGTACGGTCTGTTGCGTGGGGTGGTATGATGGGTTTCTTGAGTTTGTTGTCGTGTTGGATGATCTGAAATCTGCCTTTAGTAAAGTCCTCTGGGTAGGCGTCTCGAATATAAGCCTGCGATGTCATGTGACAAATTAACTTCCTTTCTGGTGATTGTAAGACTAGTTTAGATGGGCATTCGTTGTAATGATACCCGAATTCATGGATTTTTGGATAGTTTGCACGGTACGCTGGGGAATGGGAGTAGAGTTTTGGTGGTTGGGTGTCGAGATGAGTAGGAATGAGGGTGTCTTGGATGATGATTTGAGGGGGGTGTTTAATTCGTCGGTTTATTCTGTGCTTGACTTGAGACGCCAAAGACTGGGTAAATAGTCAGTCAACAGAAAGTTGTGAATTTCGTTTCCTACGCTGGCGAATTGCAAGAACTCGATTGCATTAATGTGATAAGTAGCTAGTCTTGCGAGTTCGATCCGATCTATGTACTCAAACAACAGGGGCAGATGTTTGTTTACCCGAAGCACAAAATAACTGTCAACAACTCAATGGGTGGTATAAACCCTCTTAATTCTTAATCCGAGCGCTTAACGCTATCCAAATATTGTATTTCGACTGACGAACTCCATTTAGGAATTGGGATAGGGAGGGACATATATCCAGGCCTTGTTGTTGGGACAGACCGAGAGGCTTATGTTTTGTAGCTGCCAACACTTGCCAGTATATTATGCAAAGCAACGGTGGCAGAAAGCTTCAAAGATCCAACACACAAAAGTCATGCTATTTAGGTAAGCAACGCTATAGATATCTCCTTAGCAGTAATAGTTGCTTCGCTCCCAGCTTGAATTAACTCGTCGACATGTCGATCGAACAAATCATACTTTACAGCACAAGATTTGGAAGTTCATCCTTGCCTCCACTGCGGACGAGAAAGCAAACGCATTTTCAGCTTGTGAAAGCCAAAAGTCCATATCGCCAACTCGTTGAGACTTGTGGGCTGCGAATAAACACAACTCCTAAAAACGATATTGAACACGGGTAGGATTCAAGCATCTGAAAATTCGCGCCTCTAAATTCACAACTACCTTTGGTTATTACGGTGGTCGAACCTTCTAGTATTTCTCCCTTTAACCCCTTTCTCCGATCTCCTTCACATAGTCCTCACAATTTCTCCACATATCGGCTCATTTTATCCAACTCCGTCTCTTTATCGCCGCACTCTTAGCTTCCTCCAATCGTTTCATTCAATTTAGACCATTCTAGCATCCCGATCATGCTGTCTCCTCCGCTCCGCCATCTCATTCTCATCGCCCTTCTCCCAATACCCGTGGATCCCTCTCAGAAACAACCACGACCGAATATCCCACGACTCTCGCATCTCCTCATACTCTTCATCCGTATACGTATGTTTCTCCACATCAGTCTGCGGCAATTCGCCGAATCTGGCAAGCATGTTATGTCTTACCAAGCGTTCGAGACTCCAAAATACATAGGCGCGGTCGCGATGGCGCGTGGTTTCGAGGTAGTTGAAGGCAATGTTAGCATGTATTCTAAGTGGGACATGGATGAGATGCCATGCTGCGAAGGGGCCGTGATCGTGGTCTAAAATGCTGGGTGGGACTGAGGCCAGTACTTGTTCTTCGGTCAGAGCGTCAAGTGTAGGCGAGGTATCTATGTTGTCCCGACGTCCAAAGGCTTCGATTACGTCGAGGAACTGGGCGTTGTCGTGGGGAAAGTGTTCATGTCGCGTTAGTAATGTGCGTTTGGCTTCGAACGAGTCGGCTGAGATGAGCTGCGAGATGAATTTGACACCTTGTGCGATCTGAAGTAGACAAGTCAGTGAGGTGGCAGGGTTCTGGGCAGAGACTCTGCAACAAGGGAGAATAGAAACTCACCCATCTGTTTAATGTATAATGATCCCAATCAAAGTCTAGATAACTAGTCATGTACTCGCCCAGTTCAATATCATGAGCTATGGTGTCAACGGAGGCTGTATAAAGTGTCAGATAACATTCTGGACAAGTGTAAGGTATGTCAATTTTTTTACCATAGCTTCTGACGTACCTTCGATTACTTTTTCCTTCAAGAAATAATAGATACTCGTGATCTGCTCGCTTTCCCAAGGCGAGTATCTTGACATAAACCAATTCGTTCCTTTGCGATAGGAATCAGCACCGTTGATGGATGAGGGAAACAGCGTAGAAAACAGCTCCAGGCGGTAGAAGGCGCGACAGAAGCGGGTGTGTTCCGCTTCGGATAGCATAACATTGCTAGGAAGATTGGGATCTTCTTTCTCGAGGAGTGACCAGGCCTCAGTTGCATAGTCGTTCACAAACCGCTCGATTATGACCTGAGTGCGTATCATTTCGAGTAAGTATGGTTCTGGTATTTGATTGAAGCGTGCAGGGGCCGTCAATTCTTCAGGTTCATCGTAGAGAGTTGCGAGAAGTGCTTGGATCGAGGCGTCGCTGTGTGGACGTGGGATACGGGATGCTTCCATTACGGCAACTGAATATGGGATGAGTGCTGGAGTCAGCTGTCGACGGAAAACTTCCGCTCTAATAAGGCTGGGATATTCTTGGAATGAGCTGTAGAAAGCCCGACATGTGAGGAGAGATGATAGAAGAGAATGGACATTATCGAGCTTCTGTAATACAGCCGCAATCAATTCCAGCGGGAGGTTCGCGATAGTAGACATTGGCTGACGTTGATAAAGAATGGTAATTTTGTAATTGGCGTGCAAACGGATGCTTTCATGCAAAGCAAATATCGAATTGGAATATTATGTACTTGGCAGTACGCAAAGAATTTTCCAAGTGACAGAAAAGTATGAAAAGCTATTTTGGATCGTAAAGCGTTATATCAGAAATGTTTGGCGTTCGAGAATGACTCAGACATTCTGAAACACTTCCAGGCTTCAGTTGCGGCCAAATTATAGACGCGCGCCACGGCCCTGATATATTGCGACCATACATACCTGAAATAGGTTACGCGCATTTAACGTTGCGACTTGCTGGAAAAGATAAATCATCATGTTGAGATCGTAGAAAAAACAACTACTCTTTGGCTATACTCGTGAAAATACAGATCAAAGAAAACATGAAGGAAATGGCTCAAGTGAGTTTTAAGATTTTGAGAAGATTGACAGCTCTCGGCCAAAAATTTCTTTTTGTTTTCCAAAACACGGATATTCAATCCAAGTATCGATTTTTGGCATGAAATAAATATTAGGATTGTAGCTTAGCATACGAAAGGAACGCATATACCATCTGGTGATAGAGAATATACGTGCTCCGAAGAGAAGCCAAGCAACTTTGCTGGCAATCATGCTGTACGACGGAAAATGCTCCTGAATCCGGTCTATTCGCGTGTCAAAATGACATTCTAACATCAAATGAAGAGGAAACAAAACATGTACGGCCGTAGAAACCTTTGAGTGTTCCTAAGAAATAATAAGTTAATCGAACGGAGTGTTTACGATTGAATCATGTGAGAGGTTAGGATCAGTCAGGACTTACTCACGGAGCTTCCGGTCTAGACTCTAGAGTGGTAATTGATCAAGGAAACTTGTTCTGGAACTGTTCTCTACGATCCACTCTTTATCTTGTCTCCAGCCCCCATCGCGACTCGCAAGTCAGGTTCAGGGCAAATCGCTCGTATTTTTCGCAGCCCTGCAAATCTCAAAGGTGGGTCGGCTGTCAGATGGGCTTGGATTTATTCCGGGGAAGTCATGTGATGTCACCTCATCGTCGCCAATCCTCAGATCATCCCTCCGCTTATTCTTCACACCTCACGGCAGTCCAACGATCATATATCAATGAGCTTGATCCCTTGTCTTCCAGTCATGGCACTCTATATGTTCTCATTACCAGCCTCTCACATCCATCCACCTCGACCAAATGCGTCAATATTTCGGTCTCGGCCGGCTGTCGCCCATCGGATAATGTCCTCTATGCTGCTCGAATTACCCACCATCGCCACCATATCTGGTTGTCCAGTCGCTGGCCCCAGGAAACAATATTCCGCAGCAAGTCCGTCTTCCAAAAACGCTTGAGAGCTCTTGGCCCATGTTCACAGCTTCCTTTCCGAGCAAACGACTCTGGTTCTATTTCCTGGGCGAAGCTTGGCCACCGTAGCACTTTTCGTTATCGAGATGCGTCTCCTCTACGAGGCGTTTTCCAAGCGAGCTTTAATTGGCAGCCAAGCTAAACACCTGCATACTACCCCTCCATATACGCTGGTACCTTGAGCTATTCAGATGGCATGCTCACGAAGCTCCCCTACTCGGGAGCTCGAATGCAAGCAGTGCAAACGAGGGAATTGATCCTGTAGTGTTAAGCTTGGGTCTTGTCTCCTTCCAAACATATACCTAGTCTAGATGAAAGACGGGACGAGCACACAGAATATGCACATGATGCAGTATGCCATGTAGTGGTGCCTGTTCGCTGGGAGCATATAAAGCTGTCGGTTCCTGGCCCAGGAAACTTTTTTCTCTTAGCATTGTGCCTGATTTCTGGTATCTTTCTCTTAACAATCTACCCTCAAAATCATTCAATTGATTTACGATGAAGTCCTTCTCTGTCGCAGCTGCCATTGCAGCTTTTGCTACCTTGGCTCTTGCTGGCCCAGCTCCAGCTCCAATTTCGTCCCCAACTGAAGCATTAGTCGAGAGAGATCTCCCACTGGTTCAATCCGTGAGAAGTCAGCTCTCATACGAGTCAATTGCCTTCTAACAAACTCTCCAGAACCAACTTCGCCGTGTTCTCCTCCGATCAGAACTTTTGGCCAAAGCTCGCATTCTTGAAGGTTTCGCTTACAACACTACCGGACGAAACCGTCAAATCTTCACCCCAGGTCACAAGGCGACCTACGAGTACATCTACAAGTTTATGAGCGATAATGGCTATGATGTCGAGTACAACGAGTTTTTCGCCGCGACCTCTAGCGGATCACTGGTGGTTGACGGTGTCAACATTCCAGCCCGCCCAATGACCTTTACCCCATCTGGTAAGCCAACTGGCAGACTTGTGAAGGTTAACAACATTGGATGTGAAGCTGTAAGTGCTTAATTGATTTCATCCATTATAGTTGCAAATTGGCTAATTCCTGCAGTCCGATTACCCAGCTGCGGTCAGCGGAGGAGTCGCTCTTGTCCTCAGAGGCACATGCCCATTCGCACAAAAGGCGAGACTCGCAGGACTGGCTGGAGCTGTAGGAACTGTCATCTACAACAACGTTGCAGGTCCTCTCGATGGTACTCTCGGTGCTGCTGACCCAGCTTTTGTTCCAACTGTCGGAATCAGTGACACTGCCGGAGCCTCTTTGGTTTCTCAACTCGCTACTGCTACTAAGACCGCATCTTTGGATGTCTTGGTTACCGATTTGCCAACGTAAGTTTACATTTTAGCCTTTTTTTCAAAGACCCACAGTCTAATTATCTTAGATACAACGTCATCGCACAAACCAAGGGTGGTGACAAGGACAACGTCCTCCTTGTTGGTGCACACACCGATTCCGTAAACGCTGGTCCAGGTCTCAACGACAACGGATCTGGAACCATCGCTCTACTCGAAATCGCAAAGCAACTCACCGCATTCAAGACCAATAACGCTATTCGTTTCGGTTTCTGGTCCGCTGAGGAAGTCGGGCTTGTCGGATCCACCAGATACGCCAACGGTCTCTCTGAGGCCGAGCTTGCCAAGATCACCCTCTACCTTAACTTCGATATGCTTGCATCTCCAAACTACGTCTACGCCATCTATGATGGTGACGGATCTGCCTTTAACATCTCTGGTCCACCAGGATCTGCCGCCGCTGAGAAGCTGTTCGAAGACTACTTCCGCAACGACGTCGGACTCAACACCATCCCAACCGCCTTCGACTCTCGATCCGACTACGCTGCCTTCGCCGCTCGTGGTGTCCCAGTCGGTGGTCTCTTCACCGGTGCTGAAGTCAAGAAGACCCCAGAACAAGCCGTTCTCTTCGGTGGACAAGCCGGTGTCGCATACGACGTCAACTACCACGGTGCCGGTGACAACGTATCTAACCTCAACGTCGGTGCTTGGATCCAGAACACCAAGGCCATCGCCCACGCTGTTGCTACTTACGGTATCAGCTTCGCGAGCTTGGGTCTTGGAAAGAGAGATATTGAGAAACGTTCCGAGTGGGTCCAAGAGGTTCCTTCGGTTGCTGATCAAGGCCATGAACATATTAGCAGTGGTTGTGGTCATGAGAAGGCTGAGATTTAGAGAATGAATGTGATGTGTGATGAGTTATGATGGAAATGTATTTAGAGTCGTGATATAGCGATTATAAAATTAATACTAAATATATAATTGATCTGTGCGTTTCACGTTTCTGATTGGTATCGAAAGTCTGTCATCCATTGGTTTCAAAAGATTTGCGACCCTTCAAACCCAATAGCTTTACAATGCCCCCTTAAAAAAAGAATAACCATTAGAACCGTTCAGCACTTGAAGAAGACATGTTCGAAAAGGTTGAACACATTTTTTTCGGTGTTGTTCACACATTGAAAGACGTTCATATGGCAGACTTTTAGTAGATGGTTTATTTTTCACCAGGTTAGTGGGGGCAGAGTTGGTCTTCTTTTCTAAACTTGGTCAACTTGTGCCCTGTGAAAGTTCGAAATCGGTAGCAAAATATTTTTCGGTGACAGATTTTGTTTCTTGTGCTTACGCCTGGAGAAGAAGTTTTCGCAACTGTCTAATATTTAGTTTGGGCTTAAGTTAGTGTTATAGTCATAAGGCAAGGGCAAATTTCAGAACAATCCTGCCGGGTGTAGTCTCAGACGCTTCGTCCTCTCTCTCTCTCTGTATCTTGGTGGGAAAAACTTTATGTTTGCGGCGCTCTTAATAATAAGATGCTGTAATTTTAAATATACGAACTTACCGCCCTAGGAGTTGATAGTGGGATGAACTTATGTAGACTGTTTTGACATAGATCTTCAGAACTATAAAATCAAAGAGATTAGGTAACGCAAAGAACGTATCAATCAGAGGCTATTTAGTCTCCCAAAACCACAGAGAAAGAAATACCGCCTAGTAAAATGGTCTATAAATAACGCCTTACTTCCAAGGAATATTCCTTAAAATATTGACTCGTCCAGAAAACGGTACCATTTCTCCCGCTGGGCTGAATATATCTCTAGAAAGTTTGTGTAAATGCTTTCTTTGGCTTGGAGTCTTGTTGAGTATGCTTTTTGCACTGCCGTGCCTTTCTAGTCAATCAGAAACTATCGCGAGGCTCCAAATTCTCAAAATCGACAGCAACATAATTTTCGGTGACAACATCTTTCGTAACTCGAAAAAGCGCAAACATCCCACTCACAGATCCGCAGGATTTTGCTATCTTCAAACCATGTTACTTGCGTTTATTTGACATAAGATTACATTGCGGATCAAAACCCCAATTCGACAATGGATACCCGGAAACTCGCGATTCTCCATACCTGAGACTCTCTAATGACGACTGAGTTGGTGGTATTTTATCGTACGTTTCTATGATATTTGATGCTGGTTTTCAGGGGAAGTACAACTGCGTTGGTGACGACTTTGAAATTCCTCAATGGGTTAGGTCGAAAAGGGCGAGGGATCAGGGAATGGATTGAATAGTTGCTATGTGGAAGGTGATGCCGGAAGAGAAGTTCAAACCCGAAATTTACAAATTGAATGTCAACTTTTGATGTCAGGATTGAATGAATTCTCATATGAAAAAAACTGAAATTTGAACGCACAGTCTTTTTTTTAAAAAAAAAGAAACAATGGCATTCTGATACCTTAAAACTTTATCTTTTAATCAGATGACATAAATGCCAACCCTCTGACACCCACAGTATTCACATCATCTGAACTGAGGGCATCAATCAAAACTACAATTAGACCATAATAGCGAGAGAATACTACACGACCTCTGCGGCCTCGAGGGGGTTAAATTACCGAGATCTTCTCATTATAGACCCGTGACAGGAGCTAAGAAACCTGATGGGTGCATACACATTGAATAGGAAAGGGGAGTTTAAGCGCCTTAACAAAACTATTAACAAATTAATTTTGAGACTTGAGGTAGTCGTTTACATATTTGTAGCTTCCTGTTCCGTCAGCTTGTGAGTGAAGTTACAATAGGTTGTTTTTTAGTACGCGAGGTTTTTATTTTCGGTAATGACAACTTTTTCGACAGCAAACCCCTGCCGTGACTTACACTTCAAACAAGTCCAGGGGGCCAAGTCTTGCTGTATACAAACCTCCGGGCGAAGGGTAATATAATTAACATTTCTTATAATGCTTCTTTCACTTATAAACCACACTACAATCAGCTCCTTGGGTAATACATTCAGCACTATCACTTTCGAAAATATTTGACATATGAGGGCCTCTTTATTTAGTCACTTTCTTTGTTTCTGAAGTCGGTCGAACTCTTGTGTAATAAAATCTGTGTTGGCTTTTACTTTTCGTAGTTAAATATTTTAAGATTGATTATGTATAATCTTTATTTTAAACATCCTTTTGGCATTTTATAGCTTTAACAGACGAAATCTTAGTTCTTTCAAACTTAAAACAATGTGGAAATCTCCTAAATGAAGACTCGACCCTAAAACGTGCTTCACTTTTGATCTCCACGGCACTGCTAGTCGGTAGTTATAAAAGTATCGATTACTCGCATTATGTGTTTCGTAAAAGCACTTGCTAGAATATTTGATTTCAGTCCTGCTTGGTGGGTTTGGTAAACAGGTGACTTGCTACGATTGGCTGCAGGCAATGCCCCAGTCAGTGAGGCTGAGTCAACAAAATCAACATCCAGCCAGATGCAGCCAGCTGGGCAACGTTCTGTCTTCTATTTATCTTGTCAACCTGCTTTTCTGTAAATAAGGCACGGTCGCATTGCTTGCTTTTATTTCTATTGCCATATCGGATTGTCTGTATCGTCCATATCTGAAACCCGGCTCAGGAGTCCACATCGAGGGCAAGGCTACTCAAGCCTGATGGGTCTACGGATAAATTCCAGGCAACATCACTCCTCATGGTCTCTAGTATCTGTTTATCATTCAAAAATTGTTCATAATAGAACAGTCAGTCCTTGTTAACTTGCTCACGCGTATCTAATACTAGCTTATGGGTTTAGCTTCTGATCAAACTCGATCTTCAACTATCCCAATCTAGTTCTCTGACCTACACATTGTAGTTCCTTGCACAATCTAGCTATGCGTCTTTTACATACGACAAAGCTTCGTCTTGAGGAATTCTGGGGTGGAAACATACCACCCTACGCTATTCTTTCACATATATGGGGAGAGGATGAAGTGTCTTTCCAGCAAATTACAACGGATGTGGGGAATCAACATCGAGGCTACGAAAAGATCACAAGTGCCTGCACCTTGGCCGCGAGCGATGAATTCGACTACATATGGATTGACACGTGCTGTATTGATAGGTCAAGCAGCGCAGAACTGTCAGAGGCAATCAATTCAATGTTTCGATGGTACAAAGAGTCCAACACATGCTACGTCTATCTGGCCGATGTTAAAGTTCCATCTAGCTCTAACAATTACAATGGGATCGGTCTCCTAGAGCAAATCTCAGGAAGTCGATGGTTCACAAGAGGATGGACTCTTCAAGAGCTCATCGCTCCATCTAATGTGGTCTTTCTCGATGTCACATGGGAACTATTGGGCACCAAGTCGAGTCTTCAGTCCGAAATATCTGATCTCACTGGCATACCTGAGTCTATCCTCCAGGGATCTGACCTCGCATCTGCCAGTGTAGCGCAAAGAATGTCATGGGCCTCCCAGAGGATGACTACGCGGGTCGAGGATATTGCCTATTGTTTGATGGGCCTGTTCGGCGTGAATATGCCTATGCTATATGGCGAAGGAGATAATGCTTTTATAAGGCTCCAAAATGAAATCTTGAAGGTATCTGACGATCATAGCATCTTTGCCTGGAAATCAGACGATGCCCGTGGGGGGCTTTTAGCTACTAGCCCAGCTTCATTCCGGATGTCCAGCAAATTTATCCCATCAAAATCTTTTAGCAAATCAAGCTTTTCGACCAACAGGGGCATTCGTCTGAATGTTCGCTTTGTGGATACGAAGAATTCCCAAGCAGTTCGACTTGCCGTTGTTTCCTGCGCAGAGGAAGGAAAATCAGGCAACTTTGTTGGAATATATTTGAAAGAATCGCCAGCTTTTGACAAGGGCTGTTTCGTGAGGACAAGAAGCGACAGACTACGGCTAGTCAATCTAAAAAAGGTCAGAAGGTCAGAATATCCAGAACAAACGATATTCGTCCAGCGAGAACATAATGTCGGGTCGGTCCTTGGCAACAAGAAAACTTTGTCGAGGATTAGCGAACAACTGGGCGATGATTATGATTCCGGCTCCGATATTGCTAGCATATTCTCAGATGGGAGAACATCGACCTCGTCGGTGTCAACAGCAAATTTGAATCACTTTCAAACAACCGGTGTTCGCGAGGTTGCTCGGGCGCTGTTAAGTCAGGACATGTTGAAATCCTTGTACATAACAGCAGTGTGTAATCTCGAAAGACGGAAAGCACGTGTACATATTCGAGGTTTCCTCAAGGAATACGGTCGGAATCTTCTGAAGGAGGCATTCGCTGTCAGTCTTCAAGTACAAGCTGCTAAGTTCGTACAAGAGCTGGCGGGACATATTGCCGATGAAATTAGTTGGAGCATTACTGGATTTGAAAATGTCAACCGACCACCAGAGATAAAATCAGAGCATAAAGACTTAGAAACATGGCTGTCGTCGGTTCGAGTTCAAAGTGGTCATGCTGAAGAGTCCGTAGCGCCAGACTTCGCAGTAAATGTTGATGAGGTATTTGAACAGGAGCAGTCGGACGAGGAGCTTGATGGCGGTCTTCAATTCCCCAACATTGATAAAGTCAAGGATTTTCTTCTCAGGTCGAAAGCCTTTGGAACACTTGTCGCAGCGATGCGAACCTGGCTGAAAGTTGAGGTAAGAAGCAGTAGTGGAGAACCCAGGCCTGCACTACCTGGCATTCTGAATAACCAAGACCAGAAGGTGGATAAGGCACCCGAAAACTTGGTTATATCCGGGTCTTTCCGGCAACACACTAAAGACATGGAAAATTTGGCCACTGAAGCTTCGATTAATTTACGCCAAAATTCAATCCACGTAGCAGACACGAGGTCGATTCCTCGCCAAAGCCGAGGTAGTGTAAGCGACTTTTTTTTCAGTCTCTTAGATTACCAGGGCATCTCTTTTTACCTTTATGACTTTGTGGAGCTTTTTGTACCCCTAGTCCGACCAGGGTTTAAAAGGCTCAGATGGCGTTGCGTAAGTTTTGATTTCCTCTTTAGTTGTTGGAATTCATTATAGCATTGCTAATTGTCTAAGTCCTGCGATGTTATTCTATGGGGAGACTTCCCGGTTGACGAAGAACCTGCTTTGGATCTGCTGAAGCGAGAATTATCATGGCAGAAAGTACCTTTTACTCAAAATGTCGCAGGCAGAGGTCCTTTGTCTCGACCGAATGTGGACTCAAAACCTGGTGGATCTGCAACTATTCCTCTTGAGCCTATAGGTCCATTTGCGCCTTCGATCCAACCTAAATTCTTACAACCAAGGGGCTTGTCTAGCCTGAACCGAGCAAGTGTTTCAGGTTCTTTCCTGTCTACTCAGAGCCATATAGTACACGTCACCACATCGCCCAAATTCTTCGAAGTTTGTATCAATATCGGCAATTTTGCTATCGAACACCATGAAGTCGATATTTCACATGTGTCATCCGACAGCGAGCTGTTCGCGTTAATTTGGGACAAGTACAACTCTAGCCGGGGTATTGGATTACGGCGACTCTTTCTCCGACCCCGTAACGTTGATTTTGTTATGGTAAGCGCTCAGTACATGTTTTCAGGGTTAGCTAATAGAAAGTAACAACATCACAGTTTTCAGTCAGTCGTGGTGTTAAATACGGGACCGGTATTCACAAAAAGCCCGACGAGTTTCCACCTCCAACTGAGATCGAAAAGAAGCGCTACCACTACCTTCATCCCAAAATCAGAATGCCTGTCAACGTCTTCCTACATTACCTCCATCGCGCTCGGTGGAATATATTTGGCGAGCACGCCGAGACAACCTGGCTTCGACGTCTTCCTAAAAAGCTGAATGAGAGCATATTGACGCAAGCTCTACCATACGACGCGGCGAACCAAAACGACCAGCAAGAGGTGCCCATGACAGACCCAAATTTGGCATTTGGATGGGGAGTCCACATTATCGATGGGCCTAATCATGCTGTGCTTGGTGTGTTACTTGCTATCAGTATCGGCGTTGCATTCCTCGTTTCTGGGTTGATTGTGGGATTTGCGAAGACACAGGAGCAAGGATTTGGGGTCGGAAGTTTTCTTCTTACTATCTTTGCCAGCATCATGGCTGCTATGTATTTTCAACTTCAGGATCAGTAGGAGGTGACTGTGATAAAAAGGACGGGACAACTCCTTCCTCAGCATAAGTATCGAGAGCAAAATATATAGAGGAAAAATCAAGAAAACCTTGGGAGTGACCGTGGATTCCAGAGCATCTATAAATGTGCGAGAAGATCCGCTTGAATTCACATGAAAAAATGCTAAACTTCGCAAGTAGGAACTTCAAGGAATTTACTTCAGTTAAAAATAAACATGTGTTACATACGAGGACCCTTTGAATTACATTCCATCTCTTTGACACAAGCTCCGAAAAAGACTGTGATCCAATAAATCTAAGAAATCCACATTATATTCAATTCGCCGCGTCAGAGAATCCTAGTATTAATTTTAGTGCTTAAGACTGTTATTACAACACCTGAGTGTTCATTTTGAGAATTGAGTAATACGTTAATGTTTATATTGTATCTGACTGAATGCTAAAGGTGATGATTTACCTTAGCATGATAGCTATAGTTTTTGTCAGAGCTCAGATTTTAATTTCCTAGTATCCAGAATCTCTGGGATCTCCTCAACTTTTTCACACCAAACGCTGTATATACATGCAATGAACCCATGCATCATCCCTCGTCGTGCGTTATTCGCAGCTCCCCTTGCAGCTACATATAAATTCTCATCGAAATCCTTTGCATCTCCTGGGACCGAAATCTCCTTGAATGCCGCACGACCAAGATTTTGGAGAGTATCTCGGACAGTTCTTCTGAACTCTAGCTCATTTGCGGAATCCCCACTAAGAATAACCCGATCCAACTTATGATCCCCAAGGATTGACTCTACAGTTTGTTTGATTTTCCCCCAAAATATTTCAGGGTCTTTGATACGTAAATCCGAATTGAACCCAAGTTCAAAGTTAACCTCTTGTTTTTCGGGCCACACAAGTCCATTCAATCCGTCGTTATTCCACCTTGATAGTAAGGTGATAACCAAATTCGTCCCTTCGAAAGAGATTGCCAACACATCATCAACCCTTCCGGTTGAATGCACGCAAGACGATACAGATGAAGATGGATCATCCGCTTGACAGTCTTCTATTTTGTAATAATCTAAGGCTGACCTTGATGCTCCTCGTCCGCCCATAAAAAGCTCAAATCCTGCAGCTCGAGCAGCTTTTTCAAATCGCTGATCCGCGAACGCACGTGTTGTAATAAACATATCGGGGATCGAGAGAAAGACGAGAGGATACACAGGTTGATATTTAGACTCAATTTTTACTTTGAGGTCTGTCATCATTTTCGTTACTGCTAAGACAATAACGTCTGTCTCGACTGGTAACGGATGACGAAGGGATGGAAATAATACCGAAGGGCTTGCACCATGAAAAAAGGGGCGAGTGAAGGCTCAATAATGAGATCTTTAAAATGGATTTTCTTCACGATAGGAACATGCGAGAGCTTAGTTCTGACGATCTATGTCAGAAGGTCGAAATAGAGGTAGATTGGAGGTTCGCTTACAATAATGAAGGCCTTCCGCTGTCATGTTTTTCAGTCTCCTCGAATAAGAATCGCATCGCGCGAATATACTCTAGTGATCCGGGAAATTTTGCGACGTCAATTACTGTGTGGTTCGCAAACCTGATTGCTGCAGTCCTAATTTTCTTTTAGTTAAAAGATACTTATTTTAATTTACAGAGGGAGACTTACATATACGAAAGCGTGATATCAATCCCGATACCAGGAGCACGTTGAAGATCAACAGGTCGACACTCTTCGCAGACTGACATTGAACTGCCATTATGCACAAGTGATATCAGGATAGGTGCAAGGCAGAAAGTAAAGGTCAATATTTGCATGCTTGAAACCACGTATTGTTTTTGGAATATAGTGAACGTGACTAGCGAATGAAGAAAAATTTATAGGTGTTCTTTTGTAAAGATGCTGGAGACGAGTACACTTGTGGTTGTTCTGAGAATGATTATTTTCCCAGGAGTTGTTGACGCCACGCCAAGCGAAACACCAACTCATACCAACTGAAGGATTTATGGCCAACAATCCGGTCTGGCGCTTAATATATCTAGTCACTAATTTTGCCATAACTTGTTATGCATCTTTGTTTTTAAAATATTTCTTGTTGTTACAACACTTGGAGCTGCTCAAGAAAATTTGTCTCGAAATAACTTGGAGAGAAGATCGACAGGGTTCTGTGGTAGTGTAACCAGGTATACATAATATGAAGTGCTAGTGGGTTGAAAGCTTATGTGTTATATATGGAAACAGATCCAGAGTTAAGCTTTGTTGTAGGCAAGTTTAGGTACGTACAAGATTTTGGAAGCCAATCAAACAATACGAGAATTTTAGAAGTCTCAGATTCATAACTAAAATAGCAGAATGTTGGAATAAATGAGAAAGCTGGGACATCTGGGCACATTAAAAGTTAGTTTGTTCCTTTTGGTGAAACAACAGAATACCTGCGTACGACTCTGTTTAACTTCTATACCTGGAGCCGCAGGGGCAAGTATTCATCGGTTGAATTTGAATTATGGCAATATATCTTTAAACCTCCTCTGGGCGGCACTTCTAAAAGTATGTGACTCCTATTCATAAAAGGTCCTTGGCCGATCTGATATATTGTAATAACTGCACATCTTCCAACTCCACCGATCCCATCGACCAGTCCGTGGTGCTGTCAAATTCTAAAAGCAGATATTCGTTCTCTTTCATCCAAATAATGAATACTAAACCACATTTCAGGAACAATTCAATGGGCAGCAGAACCTTAGGATTAGGCTTCGTCAGACGAGACAATGAAATCGGTGGCGAATATTCTTCCAACGACAACTTTTCAAGATTGCAACGTTGTTCATCGTAATTCTGTATCCTCAATGGTCTAGCAATGTTGTGCTTTGTGTCTCTCTCATCTTCCTGGGAAGCCATCTAGATATTCACAATCGAGCTCGAACACGTGGTCAAATCCCATCTTGTTCGTAACGTACGAACTAAGGTCTTTGAGTGAAAGTTGAAAGTCTCGATTCTGTTTTGTTACCAACGTTTTTCTCGTCGTCTGTGTATGTGAATTATCCACCAGGTATTTCGCAGCATAAGTTTAGGTTTGGGGAATATCTTCAATTCCATCGAATTTAGAGTCATGACACAGATATGACAGAGCTGATAGCAAGGTTCAAGTGGTAAAGTATGAATAGTTTTATATTTGCAAAGATAGATTTCATATTACCACTCTTTTAGCAGTACAATACTCTCATGTATCAATAAACAACTACTTCACTTCCAGTTTTGCTTCTTTAAAGGAATCGCGAGAATCCACACAGCAATGTTGTCAAATGCTCAATTCCGACCATTTTCACGACCCCTAACATTACCATGGAACCCTCGATCCAGACCCTCAAGATGGAATATCTCTTCAGCCCGTAGTTCAGCTCGTGCCCATCCGCTCGGTTGTAACATTTCGCAAGTACAGCCGAAGCTCATGGCTGTGTACCACAAGCACAATAACTACTTCTTTTGTCAAATCCCGATTCGGGGACGCGTTGAATAAGCCGTGGATCGTGGATATGGAAAAGGTTACGCGTTGGGAATCAAAATGAACATGTGACTTCAAGAGCTGGAAAGTTGGGTTGGACGAAAGGAAGAGGCGTGTTCAAATGTGTAGTAGTACGAAAATTCGGACTTTTTGAAGTATAGAACGAAAAATTGCCTTGGCAATTGACCAGTTTACATTCTGAAGTGCTGTATTGAATCTTGGAAGTGCACAGTGGTGTGAACAGGGCAGCCATATTCTCGAATACCACGTCATGTATAGAATCCTTTTCGCAGGGTTTTCGAGAAGCCTAAACAAGTAGGGTAAACTTTCCTAAATGGCTGAAGGATTTACGTTATTAACTATTAGTGATGGTGATAGTATTTAATATTTTGAATCTTCTCACATATTGCATCTTAAAAAGAAGGATACCCTCAAGTTCTCATAAGCAACTCACACATCTGAGGTTCATTTTAAGATGCTGAATAGATTGATTTGGCTTATCAAGTTGACGACTGAGTGAAAGAAGACATAACCTGGATGAAATACATGTCAAGAAGAATCGCAAATGGAAAATACGGTTCTAAACAGTTACCTAAATTATTGATAGCTTATATGATATCATCAAACTCGCTGTAGACAAAACGTCCGCGGGCCAGCATTCCATAAAATCAAGTTTCTGCACCTGCCACGCGCTCATAACATTCCAAGCAAACATTGCCATGTCTAGCATGACATTCCATTCCCGGAGATAGAAATCACAACACAGCATAACCTAATAATAAATTAGTCAACATGGTACGATGTTGAAGAAACTCGCGGGCCTTGGATTTCCATTTTTCTTTTCTTTTCATTCTCGCTTAACCCTCTTCTCCCCCTTTTCCAACACAACATCCTCAAAATGAAACTCCTATCCGCGATCTCCTTCTTGCTCGCGTTTCCGACCTTTACAACCGCCGAACCCATCGATCTCGGCACCGCCTCCTCCTTCGCAGTCATAGCCGCAACAACAATAACCAACACCGAAACCGGCCTCAGCGTGCTAACCGGCGACGTCGGTCTCTCCCCCGGCACCTCCATAACAGGATTCCCACCCGGTCTCTACACCGGGACATTACAAATCGCCAACGGCGTCGCCTTACAAGCGCAAGCAGACGCTCTTACTGCCTACAATGTCGCCGCTGGCTTGAGCGGTACCGATCTCAGCGGTCAGGATCTCGGCGGTCAGAGTTTAGCGCCTGGTGTTTATAGTTTCAGTTCATCGGCGCAATTGACGGGGACGTTGACGCTTGCGGGTGATGCGAATGCGGAGTGGGTTTTTCAGATTGGGAGTACGTTGACGACGGGGAGTAATGCGAGGGTGGAGGGCGGTGGATGTAATGTTGTGTGGGCTGTGGGGAGTTCGGCTACGTTGGGGACGGGGACGCAGTTTAGGGGGGTGGTTTTGGCGAAGAAGAGTGTTACTGCAACTTTTGGGGTGAATGTGGTGGGGAAATTGGTTGCGCTGGAGGAGGCGGTCACGTTGGATGGGAATGAGGTTGGGGGTGGGGGGTGTGAGGATGGTGGAGGGGGTGGTGAGACGACGAGTTCGACGAGTTCGACGACTGCCACGACTTCGACAACTTCGACGACTTCGACAAGTTCCACGAGTTCAACCACTTCGACAACTAGTACATCTGGAGGGGCAACCACTACAATCTCGTCGACTGCCACATCAACCACCACAATAATTACCACCGTCCCTTCAACAACTTCCTCTAGAACTCGTCCACCAATTCTTGGGAATAGTCTGATAACCGATGATACAACATCGCCTACCACCACTTCCAGCCGAACTCGTCCACCTATTTTAGGCAATAGTCTTATTACCGATGAAACTTCGTCAAATACCATGACCTCAAGCAGAACTCGACCACCGATTCTGGGGAACAGTTTAATTACTGATACCTCTATGTTGCCAAGTGTTACACCTGGGGTTAATACGATTTCTGATATAACGGATACAGGTTCTGTTTCTGGGAAGTCAGGGAGCAGGTCTGGGGTTACTTCGTCAACTGGCTCTTCGTTGGAGATCACATCACTTACCATCGCCTCCATCAGCGCCCCACGAACGACATCTTCCAGAGCAGCAAAAACCACAAGACCCTTCCAATCTCTAACTACAATCACCGCAACTCACTACACGATCTTAACTACGAGCTCCTACGAAGTGAACTGCGGTTGTTACAAGACTCATCTCCAAACGAGTGCAAATATAGTTACAACGGTAATTCCTTGTCCCACGCAGGATATCGATTATTCATTCCCATCCAGGGAAAAGGTGGACAGAGCTTCAGACACTTCCGTCAAAACAGCATCTCCAGTAAGCGGCGGGGAAGAGGGGTTTCATGCTCAAAATGATGTTTCTCAAACCACCAAAACTGCAGAAAGATCGGGTCCCAGTAGCTCTAAGACTTCACATCTAGTCACTGGAGCCGCAAAGCGGACCAGAACTCACGGGAGTCTAGCAGCTATTTTGGCTGTGAGCATAGCGGTGTTTGTGCTGGGGCTCTTGTAGATTGTAGATGGTTTTGTTTTCTCCTTGTAGATATTCTAGCTTTCGTGGATAATCTTCTATCTCGTATGTCGTTCATGTAGTATATGCATAGTTGCCTTGAGGGTCGGAAAGTCTGAGGTTATGACTTATCATCGGAGATTTCGTAGGAGATTTCGTATTGTGTTCACTTTCTTCACTTCAGCGAGATACTAGAATTTCGTTAGTTTGATTCTATGAAAGACTCGGGAAAAGTGCCTGAAAATAGTGATCCTTCATGAATAATGTGTCGAAGAAAGGTTTCAAACCATCCCTCACTCGAGCGAAAGGTTACACGAGCTCTCACCTCGAGTAATAACCACCATCAGTAATCCACAGAACACCTCAACTCCCACCCACCACCCAACTCAATCCATTCTCACCTCAGCCTATCCCCCATTTCAAACCTCCTCGATCCCCATCCTCCCACCCGCCATCTCACTCAGCCTCCAATCCAGCTCGTACCCCTCGGTCCAAAACTCCAACACAAACAGCTCGGCTGTAATATACCAGCAAACCTCATGGCGGTGAAGCACAAACAACAAAACACAAACAACAACTTACCAACGCACAAGCACAAATCTTGCCAAGACATAAACGTAAAACTTACCAAGGTCATTTATAGAGAGCCAAGAACCGAGTATCACGGTTACGCGATCGATGCGGGATCGCCTGTAGCACGCCGAGGATCGTGGATTTCGTGTAGGGCATGAGGGTACGCGTGGGATGGAGGGGGACATGTGATTGGGGAGCTGAAAATCTTGATTAGGAGGGATGTTGGGAATGGGAGGGGAGATTCAGAGGTATGACTGAATTTGAAATTGGAATTACTAAGAGACGTTGTTGGTAATTACAGTTTATCTTAGTTGGGAACTTGATTTAACATTAACACAATGAACAAATGTGAGTGTAAAGAAGTAACGAAAGTTAATCCGAATGAGATGCTGACCCTTCAACGTACTTAAGGAGGAAAATGGATTGATGTATGATTGATTAAATCGAAAAATGTATCTGATTTAGTCCGGTGTTTTCAAAATCAACCTTAAATTCCATTTGACATACAAAAGATCTAAACTTAACAGTATACACAGTTAATTTTATGAATAAGAACCGTAGTCGGTGATTTTGCTAGCAAAGAAGCCTCAATTGACAGTAATTGCAGTGCTGAACGATCGAACGAGGATTGTAAGATTACAAGTCTGGTACAAGTTCGGATTTCGTGAATAAAACCGTGTACCAGCGATCATTACCTAGGTACATTGTATAATGCAAACATACCAATAAGAACCATTTCATTCTCCTTATCCGGAGTAAAGTTGTCGTCGGCGTTAAGCTTTTCCCCGGCCCAAGCATGAAGTAAGCATGGAGGCTCTCACGTCACGGGATATGGCGACATCAACGACATCAGCTTGTCCCCACAGCTAAATTTGCCATCAACAAGGGGTTTTCAATCGATTTCTGTAAAAGTGGCATGTCATCGATGCATTGATAATAATAAATTTACATCTGTGTTACCAAGATTTTAGCTGAAGAAAGTCCGAAAGTTGGAGATACAAACGCCGAATGTTTCTTCGCAGCTGAAGATTTCGTAGAACAACCAAAGAAAGACTTTCCAAAATAATACTTACTTCTTACTAATATGAACACAAAACGGCAGATCTAGATCTAGCGGTAACCCGTGAAACCATCTCTCACACCGTCAAATGAAGCCGTCGCACAACTTCCGCCTCGTTGTGTCTATCACTCCTTCCATCGCATATTCCAGAAAGCCTTCCAAAACCCAAAATACAGCATCCATAAAAACCGACGTCTGACGAAGTCGGGCCGAGCCAATCAGCTCCGGCCCGTCCCTGAAAATCTTCTGCAGAAGTCTGTAATAAGCGAGGATATATTTAGCGGGTCCACTCCGCATCCAGTTTAGCGGTGATCACACCATCGACGTCTTCCCAAAAAATTGTCCCCTTGCGATGGCGACACCGGCTGTCCGTTCCTTTGAGAATGGGAGAGTCATGGCCATGGCTGTGATGATGGCCTACGTGGGCGCTGGTAGGGGGGAAGTGGAAACACAACGGTGAGTTTTGTATGGGTGGATTGCTTAGGAATCCCACAATTGGTAATTGTTCCACCTGGTTTTCAGGACTTCTCTTATATACATTCAGTTGCCCCGAGTCTCTCTCTCTTTCAAAAGCAAACAAACAAAACGTCATTATTATTCTGATTAGAATTCGAGTTTCGTCTTTCGAGCTAGTTTAAAGCGTTTATTGCTTGCTCCTGACATTTACATTTCGGGCATTGGTCTACTCTTTCTCCTACTCCCCCATCACACCATCTCACCTCCGATTGCGACATTCTCCCCTCTTTCATTGAATATACCCAGAACCCCAGATTTCACAACGTTTCAATATCGATCTCTCATCCATCTCACCTCCACCTACCTCATCATCATCACATCTCTCAAAATGGGTCTTCACCGCGAATCCAGTGCCTCCAACGTGGAATCAGGATACGCCTCTGGAGCCTCCTCAACCGCCTCCCTCCCCTCCGTCGTCTTCACAAAACAACACCTGAAATTCCTCAACTCCACCCTCAACAACCTCTCCCCCATCGACATCCTGCGCTGGTGCAAGATCTCCCTCCCAAACCTCTACCAAACCACCGCCTTCGGCATCTCAGGTCTCGTCACGTTGGACATGCTCTCCAAAATCGGCGCCGAGACCCCAGATCTCCCACCCATCGACGCCATCTTCCTCGACACCACATACCATTTCCAGGAAACACATGCCCTGATCGAGAAAACCAAGGCCAGATACCCAAACGTGCATCTCCACATCTACAAGCCGCAGGGCGTGGATACGACCGCTGAGTTCGAGGCGAAATACGGCAAGGAGCTGTGGAAAACAGACGATAACCTGTACGACTGGGTGGCGAAAGTCGAGCCTGCTCAGCGCGCGTACTCGGATCTCTCAGTCGGTGCTGTGCTTACCGGACGTCGGCGTTCGCAGGGCGCGAAACGCGATTCCCTTGATATCATCGAGGTAGACGAAGCTGGACTGATCAAGATCAATCCGCTCGCCAGCTGGAGTTTCAAGCAAGTGCAGGAGTACATCAAGGCGAACGATGTGCCTTACAACGAGCTGCTTGATCGCGGGTATAAGAGTGTAGGGGACTGGCATAGCACGGAGCCAGTTAAGGAGGGCGAGGATGAACGGGCGGGACGCTGGAAGGGACAGGAGAAGAGTGAATGCGGGATTCATAATAAGAGGAGTAAGTATGCGATTTATCTGATGGAGATGGAGCAGAAGAAACAGCAGGAGGAGTTGGCTGCTAGACTTGAGAAAGTGGAGGTTGGATCACCTGAGTCAGAAAAATCGGATGAGCAGGTTGAGCATGTCAGTGAGACGCATCTTCGTCCTTCGACTTATGCTATTGAGGTTTGATCCTCTCACACGACTTTTTTGTTTTGAAATCATTTATGGTGTTTGGGTGTTAGGCATATGATTCATGGCTGGGGAAGCGAGCGATATAGGCGTTTTTGTGGAGGGCATTTTATTACTATCTTTATTTGTTGCATGGTCGTTTCTATTCGTTGCATAGATTGTTGCGTTGATTTTTTATATACTTGGGCATGGGTGGATGGATGGGGTGGGAATCCGAGGTTGAAACAACTGAACGGGTTGAGATAGATTGATTGACGACGATGGATGACGATGAAAATATAGAATGAGATAATAAATAAAATAAAAATAATTAAAAATACATACACATTCTCGTCCTCACCGTGACCTCACACCATCAAACAAAAGATATCATCGACATCTTAAAGTCCCGGCACTAAAAGACCTTCACCCATTTACTTCATTCTCATCTACACACAATCTACCCACACGATTAATACCATGATGAAATATAAACACCTTGGATTTATGGTCTAAAAACCTCGCAATGCTTTGAATATCTTTTGCCATACAATTTACTATGACGGAGACGTGAAGTTTGATTTTACAACGTAAATACGTATCATGTCACACAAGTAAGGTTCGTATCAGTATAAACCATCACAACCTCACCACCACCAATTCCATCCTCGGTCCATCTCCTCCTCGGTCCATCCACATCTCACCACCACAACCTTACACCCTTCCCCAAAAATCCCACTCACCAAAAATCCCACCCCCACAACCCATTCTCAAACCTCATTAACATCTGTCAAATCAAAAAACCACATCCCCCTGCATCCCCCCAAAAACCTAAAACCCACCCTCTCCGTTCGCAACTCCGGTATCAACCTCCTTCACATGATATAAGCTTAGACACTCCTCCTAAAATCTTCGTGCCAGAGGTACGCAGCTATCACTTTGAGGTGGAATGGTCGTAGATTTTTATATTGGATATCCGGTTTCGTGGGGAGGTTCAAGATCTGGAGATTTAGGAGAACACAATAACTGTCACCCGTGACGCATCCATCCATCCAACTACCCACTAATCAAAGACCGCCGAACATTTCGCCTTCAAAAACCCATTTACATCCCACAATGAACCGAATAATAAAAACATCCCAAATCAATCCACACATCTCATGGCTTTAATCACGTATTTCTAGTGTATTAAATGAGTTGAGTTGAGTTGAGTTAAGTAGTGGCTTCTACTTAAACTCAACTCAAGGTAATTATAACCTACTTAAACTTAACTTATACTTAACTTAAGTTGTTTATAATTAGTTTAAGTAGTTTAAGTAGCGCCACAAACGTGACCTCTAGCTAATTAGATAGCTCGGAACCTCGGGTTAGCCCTTTAATTACTAGCTAATATACCCCCTAATACTAACTACTACCTACGTATGGGGTAATATTAGAAGGCTTATTAATACTAATTAAACTACTTAAACTGATTATAAGTAGCGTAAGTTACTACTTAAACTTAACTTAAGGGGTCTACTACTTACAATCAACTTAGCTCAACTCAAGTTATTTATAATTAGTTTGAGTAGTTTGAGTATTCCTTTAATTCACTGCGTATATCAACAACCACTCACCTCATCCTGCACTACACATTCTTCCCTCACCATTCCTATACCATCCTCCCACCTTCTTAATGATCATTACAACTCCATCCCATCCCCTCCCCCAAATGTCAAATCATCCCAACCAACCTGACCACCCAGCCAACCCAACCATCTTTTCCCCCCTTCTACTCTCATCTCCTTTCCCCACAAAATGCCTTTCACTCATCAATCTACCTTTCCCCTTTCTCGCCTCTGACTTTATTTCGATACAAAAGCGGCTGGCTCCAACTTGAATGCTCCATACTCTATCAAATCTTGACGTGGAATAGTCGGAAAGAAAAGGTCTCAACGTATAAAAGGACGTGGCTCTCTAGACATGACCTTTTAGTGATGGACTAGGAAATTCGAAGAGCTACACCCAAAGCCGTAGCTTCTGCAATACTTTCTTAGTTTCAAATATCTGAATTTCCACGCTAAATCTAATCTCAACTCCAACATCTATCACTCCCCAAAACCTACTCCATCTCATCATCATCACTCATTAACCCCCTCAACGCCTCCCTTCCCATCTCCAACTCCCACCCCAACCCAACCCCAAACCTACTTCGTTAACACCCCCACCTCCTCCCCCGTAAACCCAAACAAGAACAAAAGATCCAACAAACTCCCCCCATTAAGCCTAGCCTGCGCCTGCATCTGCACGACGGGCTTCGCATTCCACGCGACCCCCAGTCCCGCCGCTCCCATCATAAGCAGATCATTCGCGCCATCTCCAACCGCCAAAACCTGATCTTTATCCGCGCCTACCTCTTTCGAGATCTGGAGGAGCAAATCGCGTTTCCGTTCCGCGTTTACGATGTCGCCGAGGACTTCGCCGGTGAGTGTGTTGGTTGCCGGGTCAATGGCGAGGGTATTCGCGAATGCGTAGTCGATGCCGAGGGAGGTGGCGAGCCATTGCGTTAAGGGGATGAAACCACCTGAGAGGACGGCGGTTTTGACGCCTATTTTCTTGAGGGCGCGGATGAGTTCACGGACGCCGTTTGTGGGTGTGATGACGTTTCTTAATTTCGTGAAGATCTCCGCGTCTACGCCCTTCAATAGGGCGACTCTCTCCTTGAAACTCGCTGAGAAATCAAGTTCGCCGTTCATTGCTCTGGTGGTGATGGCCGAGACTTCTTTCTCGACACCGATGCTGGCGGCGATTAGGTCGATGACTTCTTCTTGGATGAGCGTGCTGTCCATGTCGAAGACTACGAGGCGTGGGTACCGCCGGGTGACGGTGTCGGCTTGCAGAACCACATCGACGTTCCATTCGCGCTCGAAGCGGTAGAGGAGTTCATGGCGGCGGAGGTCTTCGAGGGAGACGTACTCGGGGTCTGGGGTGGGACTGAAGGTCAGTTCGACGATGGAGGGATGGAGGGGGTTATCGAGGCAGCGATGGGAGGAGGTGAGGGTTTCGGAGCCGCGTTTGGAGGGGAGAGAGGCGATGAGATGGAGGAAGGAGGTGAGGCAGAGGGGGGAAATGTAGGAACCGTAGAGATGGTCGAGAGGTTCTGGGTCTGGTGGTGGTGGTTCGAGTGGGAATTGGCTTAGTGTTCGTGTTGGTGCCATGTTCGGGGGAATAGATCTTGTGGGGGGTTTCGCTGGAGAAGGTGATCGATCTATGGAAAGGTCGCTGGTGTTCTCAATATGTGGTTTCTTGTACATGATCGTAGCGACGATGCGATCAGTTTTGGTCCCAGGCGCTGGCTGACAATTCGCATGGCTCAATGAATGGTTCAATCCGCTATCGATAATCTTTGGAGGGGAACCTGGCGATGGAACGCCATTGAATTGTTTTCGAGATGGAGAACTGCTGAGTTTCGCATTTTGCGTCCGCTCGACGATGCTATCAATCCCTTCATGTCCGTCTGGTTGTGGTGGTCGGTATTGCTGATGTTCCTGCAGATAAGAGCTGCTTCGCATTCCACCAAGGGAGGGTCGGATGGCGCGGGCCATAGAGCCTCCTCCAGGGGGTTTGACGTTTTCCTTTGGATAGTCTGTCATCTTGATGGAGAGCGCAAAGGTGTTACTGGACTACTGTGGTATTCCAGCCGCGAGAGAAAAATTCGCAAGATGAAGCTGTTGATGCCACTTCATAGAGGGGTAAAAGCAAAAAGTGCCAAGATGCCGTACGTGGACGGAATTTGGCGGGGCGCTTATTCTGACAGTGCAGTTACTGCCAGTCAGGCCACTTCAGTTCCAGGGGTCCAATCTGCAGCGCAAGATGACGGAGAGATCATCACGCAGAATTTCCTGTTACGAGCCAATCCAGGAACAGAAAATTATTCGAAAACGTGACAGAATTTACTGTACGGCACATTCGGTATCCTTACTAACCAACGTTTCTTCAGCATTACCTTGTTTGTCTACGCGCGATCTCACCAACCCGACTCTCGGAATTCGGTGGTTAGGTTTGATAATGCTACAAAATATATATTTCCGAGCTACCCGTAGAGTTAATCCGGTAGTCCTATGCCAATGTATGTTCCAGCTATTGCTCTCTCCTCACAAACCATGTGCAAGAGCTCTACAACGTCAGCCCACCTGGACAGGTATACACAATTAAGTCATCTCGTCAACCGCCCAAACTCCAATGACTCCAATTCGCCAAATTATGTCGCACGAAACTGTACACATGCTCAAGCCTCATCAGCTTTCTTTTCCTCCTCTTGCAAAACGGCATCGTCTACCGGTAGTTCCGTCTTTGGTGTCTCCTCGGCAACGCTTGGTGGTGACACAGGAGGTGCCGATTGTCCAAGTGACTTTTCGAGACCGCCAAGTAAATCTGGAAAGTCATCATCATCGTCTCCAGCCTCAACTGTTGTATCGGGCTCAGGTGCCATGGGTGGGTCATTTTCGAGCACTGGAGGAGATTCTCTTTTTATTTCCTCCACAGGCGTAGGGTCTGGCCTGGACGGTGCGACCTCCACCTCTTCCTTTGTGTCGGCAACAGAGAGTTCGGGCTCTTCAACGGTCTCGACACTCGTAGCCAAATTTGGAGACACAGGCTTCACAGTCTCAGTAACATGAGTAGGTGGCTCTTCCTGGGCTTCTTTTTCGGCGAAGGTGTTATTGTTTTCGACGATATCAAGCAGCATCTCTTCTTCCTCCTCTTCCTCTTTCCTAACTACCTCAGATGCTAGTAATTCAGCTTGAGCAGGTGCTGGCGGTGGAGATGGAAGTGCTGTAGGAGCACTTTGAACCACTTCCATCTGCATAGCGTGATCAATGTCCGCTCGTTCCGCCTGTAAACTTTCAACGATAGCCTCGCTTTCGGCCAGAGTAGTCGTAGGTGGTGGAAGGATGGGAGTAGAGTTCTCTGGAAATTGTGGAGGAGCAGATACTACAGGTGAGACTATCGGAGATGCTAGCGCCGATGTTGCAAGTGCCACGTTCTTCAACGGACTACCACTCTTAGTATCAAAAGTCTTTTCATTCTCCAGCTTTGCGATCAACGGGTTGACCGGGGGAGCCAAGCTAGAATTCGATATGATATCTTGCATTGCATCCATAGTTGGAAGAGGAGTGGGTGTTGGCGAGATGGTTTTAGGTGCTTTCGATGGAGAGGTTTGATCTGTGATCGAGCCATCATCATCATCACCTTCCTCTCCATCCTCCTCGCCATCAGAAGATGCATTTGAACCCTCTCCCATCTCGGTATCCTCATTGATTGTATTTCCCTGATTTGATGGATCCTCTGGCTCAGTTTTGATCCCATCAGGCCCTACATTCGCCGAAGCAGCCCCTTCAACGGGTGCCTGACCATCAATGGGGACAGCTTGCGGAGCGCTTGAAGGCACAACAGGTTTCTTCTTTCTTCCTCGGCCAGGTCCTTTCGGTCGTTTCTTTTGAATGGGTCTATTTCTTTTGGGCGGTGTTGGCTGCACGCCAAATGTTTCAGGTGGTGGCGCGAGACTTGGATCTGGAATGACAGTTTGAGCGACTACCTCTCCATCAACTTGTTGACCATGTGGCACAACAACATCCTGAGTATATTGGTTACCAGCAGCATCAGTTCTTCTAACTGTAGTCTTCACCACAGTGGGAACGGGTGGTAAGGGTTTAGTATATGTGATTAACCCCTTTCTTCTTTTCGCGAGATATTCCAGATCTGGACCTTCCTGTTGACGTGGTATCTGCTTCCAGGCCCGCGCACTGAAGCCAGTCTCTTTGGTATCATCCTCCTTTTTCTCCGGTTTCTCAATGACTTCCGGGTCAGCATCTTCCTCTTCAACAGGAGCTGGTCTTTTGTAAATGCGCCCAGACCGAGCTGCACGCAGAAGATCCTGGCTATGCTGTGGAAGAAGATGTGAGTCTTTCGGCATACCATGAGGCAGTTCTACAGCCCATATGTCGTTTTGAACTTTTGAACTTTCTTGTTCTGCAGGAGGTGCGACAGTGACATAATCCCGACGCCATTGCCGGACCGGTAAGCCTTCGAGAACATCGTGATCAACATAACCACCTCTGTTCTGCCTCCGGTTTTGGGTCCTGTACTACGAGAATTTAGCCAACGTCATACAATTCTTCATACAAAGGCTAAACTTACACCTGGAGCCATTTTTTTCTCGAAATATCCCGGATAAATGTGATCTATGAGATCAGAGGTAGTGTATGCTAACGGATATGTGTATTCTGGTGTTACATTCAGGTGCAACTGAAGTGGATAAAGGCTCCCAGTAAGCTCGAGGTTGAGTAGGGCACTTTGCTTGACGGCGAAGACGACAACCAAACTGCTTCTGATACGCCGAACCTTTTTACTATAGAACCGGTTAGGTAATGGGTAGTTTTCTTTGAAAAGCTTCGGAACAGAGTTGTAGAGAGAGGGAAATATGTATCCAGCAGATTTGAGATTGGCTAGCAGGGCAGGTCGAACGTAAAGTTTGAGGATCAAATGTTTCTTTTCATTCTCGACTTTGCGCAAGCTGTCTTCTAGCTTCAAAAGTCTTACCGCTCTTTTGGCGCTTGGTCTCAAGCGGGAGTAAACCTGAGATGGCGGAGGAGAAGTGGATTGCTTTCTTACGAATTTTCGAGTGGACTTTGCTCGTGGTGAACTGGAGCTTTGCTTGATGAATGCTTTTCTGTTCCTTTTTGCTGAACGTTTCGGTGGTGCTACAATTGTTTGAGATATTTTGGACTTTGGTGCCGATGCCTGAATTTTATATGGCAAAGTATTGCTAGTAAATAGCGACGAGGTGTTGTTTGATTCTTCCTTTATTGTTTCTGCAAAACTTACACGGCGGGTTGCGACCGAAGCTTTTTGTACTAATGCATATCCAAGTTGTCCAAAATTGGGAAGTTGATTCGAGGAAAGCGGCGATGTGGAGGTGCTTTGCTCAACCTTTATCTGTATAGGAGGGTAGTTCCCGCTCTCAGATTGTTTCTCGAAGCCTTTTGAAGGGTTATTGGGCACGAGAGGCTTTCGAGGGGTCTCTGGCGCAAGACTGGAAAATGGTGATAAGTCGTCTCGAATGATGGATTCGATAATCGCAGTTGGAGGATGAGATATCGATGGTGGTTTGGGTAGTAAGAATGGGGGTTTTTGGGAGTTCAGAAGACTAATAAAAGGCGTATTGTAATGAGCTTGATATGTGTCGTTGTACAGGAACGGATCTGGGAGAGGGACTTGGGTGATGATGTTTGTCGAGCCTGCCTTTCTCAATTGAGTTGCTACTGGCGTGCTGCAAACTGTGGCACCGCTTGCGGTCGTTTCTATGTATTGGGGATATAGATGCCGGTGTCCATCAAAACTCTGGAAATCTGTATGCGACTCCATGTTAATATTGTAGTCTTATGCGCGCATTGGGCATAAATTGGTTGTTGATAAAATTGGTGGGTGGGTTGTGCACTCACGATGTTCAAGCAGAAGAGGGACAGAAGCCCGGTGGAGGTAAAGTGCAGTATGGGCAAAGAGCTACTAGGCAACTACGCGGTTCTGGTGAGCAATGGGCGTGGTGAAGTTGTCAGTTGAGGAAGTCGCGACACAGCTGTGATCGTCGCGGCAGGGGCACGGTCCAGCAAACCCCGGACTTGGCACACTCCACGTGACTACTCCCCTACAGCCCGACTGGTATCCGCTGTACTAGGACTTTACGTTGGACTCGAGGATTATTAAGTCATGTCACTGTTCATGAGGGGTATAAGTATGCTTGTTACTTTTTACATCGGGCGAAATGATAAATTATCTCGGCTCAGAAACGACTCAGAAACGACACAAGTGGACAGAGACAAGAGATTACCAGAATACACAGCAGAGCAACTAAAAAAAGCAACTAGAGAAGAATAAAAGACTGTATGTTTGAGGATATCATTTACATGCCCATAGCACAGTAGATTACTAATTCGAAGGTAACTCTTCAAGATACTTGAGATGCTTAGTTGCAATATGAAAAGCGTGGCGAAGCTTGATGGGTCAATTCAAGTATGTTGATTTCAGCTGTAGCATTTCTTGCTCTTCAGAGTAATCTTTACAGATTCCCATTTCAAAGTATTCCCTGTAACTCCCAACATGCATAATATTGTACAAGGCTTATAGAATGGGCCTTTTCTTTTGAAAATTTTCTCCAATATCACGATTCCCTCTCGCACCGAAGTAGTCCATCAGTCCTAAAATGTGTAAGCTTTCATATTCTCGACACCAAATCTACCAGATCATCGCTTGTGCGTCACTTACCCATCCGGTATCCTTCTGTCTCATTATGTCGTTTCTGTCTCCACGCTGTTTACCCTGCAGTTGAATTAGTACCATACTCAATTAAGATGTGCTACCCCTCGAAATTTGAGCTTACTGTCTTCCCACCTTCCACCACCAATCGATCCATCTGGAAGAATTGGCTAACAACTGTTTGTCTCTGTACCAGCTGTTAGTTACTTCCTCACGATACCATACACCTCGTAAAAACATCCAAGACCAGCCATCTTGCGACGGTAGTCCAGCATCCCCTAGTCTTTATCCTTGTTCCAAGCGTACCTTCAATGACTGTAACTCCTTGACTCCTTTCTGCAGCAATTCCTGGATCTGGTTTTCATCCTGTATGTTTCTGTGTTCTCTAAATGAATCTCGAGTTCTCCGTTTGGCGTATTCGCGGAAATTATAAGCTGCGAACTGCTCGCCCTGACGTAGAAGCTTTCGGTACTATCAGATGATTTAAATCAGCAAAGGTTGAATGCTGGAATTGAAGCTTCGTAGCTTGTCGCCTCAAGAGAGGCAATGGTAGGACTGTTCAAACAAGCACGTTGCACAGGACTAAAAAGAAAATACATACCAAAGATCGCACCTTGGGCGCTGTTTGAACTGCTGCTCCTGACGCGACTGACATTATCGAAGTGGGATGTAATGTGTTGTTTGGCCGAATTCAATCGAGCTGCTGCGAAACGTCACAAACATCAACCATGAAGACTTTCGGTCTTTCACGGCTTTTTCAGCCGTGTTTCGGAGATAGCAGATAAGATAAGATGGTTGTGCCAAGACAATTGAGTTGGCGGGTCAGGTGATACGAAATCTCAGCTCCAGCGCGACCGTAGTTCCAGAATGCTTCGAGGAAGACAGAACTGAGACACAAACACAAACCTAAACCTGGGATCGAAAATACATTTCGCGAGACACAAAAGTTACGGTATCGTGCATCTGAAGCAGTTGAATTCTCGCCATTGTGATCTGGTTCAGTCTCCGATTCCTGTGTCAACACCGGGCCAGCAATTTGAGATTGATGATCTGTATCGACGCGTCTGGTTCAGTGCTTAGATCCCAAGGCAGGATATCCTTCGACGACCACAACATATATCATGCTGTGAACAAGCGCGTGGCGGACATAATCTGGATACAAACAGATACAGCAGCATATGAGTTTCTTTGCGGTTCTGGAGCTGCAAAAACCAACCTGACCATTGTTCTTCGACTACTACTTGTCGTGGCTCCAAATGCGAATTTTCTAGCACGATTCGATGGAGGTGAATGATACAAGTGTACGACGGCCGACTTTCCTATGCGACACTTATAACACCAAGAATACAGTTATAGAAACATATCCTCAATTTGTCCTACAATCAATTACTCAACCGCCCTTCCAGGCCTGCCCTGCACTCGGCACAAGACGGCATCTGGCAGTTCTGCAGGTTGGGTGTAACAGAACTGCCAAATGCTGTGCTCTTTGGCTATTCCCTGAGGCTGAATCGACGTTGGAAGTGAGACATTGACACATGCATGTTTTAGGAATTATTCTACCGATTACTTTCGCAATATCTCAACGCTGACAAAGTCGGTATTATTGCCTCTCGGAGTTGCGCTTTGCGGTTTTTACGGCGATTCTTCTGCAAGGTACAAGTCGGAGCTATCCACGAGACCGTCATCGCTGCCCAGCATCCGCTCGCCTTGTCTCGCCATTGTCAGCAAACCAAGCGGATTGCGTGCTCGCGAGGCTACTCAACAGCCGTGGGACCCAGATTTATTTTTTCCCTATCGACTAACTTTTTATTACATTAGCCTCGAGCACTCCCGCATTTCTTTATTGATCCCTTTCTCATTATCGTCACTTTCTCCATCTTGAAAATCCTTTGCTATACCATTCCACTTCCTTTATCTCACCCTTCAGCAATCATGGCTAACCCACCACACGGAGGAGAACTCAAGTACAAAGCTTGCCGCCCCACTACCTTCGTCTTTGCTAACTATTTGGCAGAGATCTCATTGCCAGAGATGCCCCAAAACACAAAGAGCTCGCCGCTGAGGCCGAGTCGCTACCAGCAGTCTATTTGACTGAGAGGCAGTTGTGCGATCTTGAATTGATCATTAGTGGTGGTTTCTCTCCTCTGGAAGGTACGTTGACATCAATCGTGGTGGGGTAAAAACTACCCCGCCATCAGCACATTTTATCTTTCAATTGTGTTTTCGGGATGCGAAAATACTAACATAACGTTTTTATAGGTTTCATGAACGAGAAGGATTACAATGGGTAGGTTGCGCGACTCAATTGACCATATGGCAATACTGATAATTTCTAGTGTCGTGGCCGAAAACAGACTTTCCGATGGAAATCTTTTCAGCATGCCCATCACCCTTGATGTTTCGCAAGCACAGATCGACGAGTTGGGAGTGAAGGCGGGAGCTAGAATCACTCTCCGCGATTTCCGTGACGACCGAAATCTTGCCATTATCACCGTTGACGATGTCTACAAGCCTGACAAGTAAGAACTCTGCGCGGAGCTGGTACGGGCAGCACTAATTGGATGTAGGACCAAGGAAGCTAAGGAAGTTTTTGGAGGGGATGGCGATCACCCGGCTGTCAAATACCTTTACGAGACTGCTCAAGAATTCTACGTTGGAGGAAAGCTTGACGCTATCAACCGCCTTGAACATTACGATTACGTTGCTCTTAGATGTAAGCTTAAGTGGCATTCCACTACTCATGCAACAACTGACTTGTTTGGAAGATACCCCCGCAGAAATGAGATTACACTTTGACAAACTCGGCTGGCAAAAGATTGTCGCATTCCAAACCAGAAATCCTATGCACAGAGCTCATCGAGAGTTGACCGTTCGGGCTGCGCGCGCACGCCAAGCCAATGTCCTCATCCATCCAGTCGTTGGTCTCACGAAGCCAGGAGATATTGATCATTTCACCCGCGTTCGTGTATACCAAGCCCTCCTTCCAAGATATCCAAACGGAATGGCCGTTCTTGGCCTTCTGCCTTTGGCTATGCGAATGGGTGGTCCAAGAGAAGCCATCTGGCACGCAATCATCCGTAAGAACTTTGGAGCCACCCACTTCATTGTTGGAAGAGATCACGCAGGTCCAGGAAAAAACAAAAAGGGGGAGGAATTCTACGGCCCATACGATGCACAATACGCTGTCGAGAAATACAAGAATGAGCTCGGTATCGAGGTCGTTCCTTTCCAGATGATGACTTATCTTCCAGATAGCGATGAGTACAGACCCAAGGATGAGGTTCCAGCTGGCGTTCGAACTCTCGATATCTCTGGAACTGAGCTCCGAAATCGGCTCCGAACTGGTCGTGAGATTCCAGAGTGGTTTTCATACCCAGAAGTTGTTCGCGTTCTTCGGGAATCTCACCCCCCACGTTCTGCGCAAGGATTCACCGTCTTCCTGACCGGCTACCAAAACAGTGGAAAAGACGCAATCGCACGCGCACTTCACGTCACCCTCAACCAACAAGGAGGCCGCTCCGTCTCTCTTCTGCTTGGTGAGACGGTCCGCGCCGAGCTTTCTTCCGAGCTTGGCTTCAGCCGTGCCGATCGTACCCGTAACATTGGTCGAATCGCTTTTGTTGCATCAGAGCTCACCCGTTCTGGTGCAGCTGTTATTGCGGCTCCAATCGCACCATTCGAGGATGCTCGTCAACACGCTAAGGAGTTGGTCGAGAAATACGGTGACTTCTACCTCGTCCACGTCGCCACCTCATTAGAACATGCTGAGAAGACCGACAAGCGCGGTATCTATGCCAAGGCTCGTGCTGGTGAGATCAAGGGTTTCACTGGTGTTGATGATCCTTATGAAACTCCAGCCAAGGCTTCTTTGACTGTTGATATTGAGAAAACCAGTGTTAGAAGTGCGGTCCACCAGATCGTTCTTATGCTTGAGAGTGAGGGTCTTTTGGATCGTTTGTAAATAGGACATGCATCATGCATTCATGGATATGGGCGCTGGGTTAATATACAGGGGCGTAGTGATTTTTTTAAATTTAAAGAGATCTTGATAGGATCAAAAGTTAGACAGCATTTTATTTTCCAGCCTCTTTTCGATTTGCAGTATGATTCGGTGCCATTCGTTCCAATCTCGCAATATTCTTCTCCATGTATCACAAAGCGCAATGCAGCACCAGTGAAGCTTATAAAACCTCTCATATCCTCATTTATCTCCTGTCACGTTTACATTTGAACCAATCTCTATTTTGTGACATGTGAGTCATCTTATCTAACTTTGGTCCTTCTTGCTCGCTCTTGATCTTCAGCGGATTTTTACCAAAAGTCGAGCAATGTTTACCAAGACCTATTTCTTGTTTTTAGTACTCACTTTTAACAGTCTTACAGCATGCACCATTTGAGAATCTAACTATTTACCAAATGTCCCTTAGATTTTCTTCAATTAATTTACTTTTAAACGAAATATATGTGACTAGGAAAGTCAGAATACCTAGATACCCTTTCTTTTATACCTAGATTCAGGGGCAGGAAGGGCTTGGACGTTTATGCAACTCTGTATATTTAGACATGATGGTGTTGTTATGCTATTGATGGACTGGAGTGACAGATGTAGAACGTTTTCGGGGAGTTTATGTGTATTGGTTTCGAACTTTTTCTTGGGATTGGGGATGATTATATTTGGGGAATTGGTTTCGGGGGTGAGAGGTTGTTTGTTGTCGATTGAGGATTTGCTGCCGATTCCTGGAGACCGTTTTGGGAGGAAGGGGGTGATTTGGGTTTTGGTATCTGCGCGGTGCTTTTTAAAGTTGGGTCGTTGTTGATATTCTTACTGAGGAGGGGTTTCTATGGAAACTTCTGTGAGGTACACAGTACATCCACTCAGTTTAGCGATGCATTCATCTTGGCTTCAGATGGATGTGCGTGGGGGTGCTTTTATGTGGTATGTTCCTATTGAATAGGAAGGGATAGTTTCAGTTGGACGGTGAAGGCTGATGAGAGAGGGAGTGATGGATTTGATGAAAATGATCGTAGATGGAGACTTTTTGGCTAGGAGAAAGAATGTTTCTGCAAGAGCTCTTGAAGGTTGTACACCCGAAAAACCTTTGTTATTGTTGTTTTCATGGGAGTTTTCGAACACGGCTGCGATTTGCAACGGCGCTTAAAGTTGAAACTTCCAGGTGACATCTACGCGTGAGACAAGCCACTTCTCTAAATTTGTACTCGCTCAAATGAAATCTACTCGAAACTGTCTGTAGATTCCCGTTAAAGTTAGTAGAAGTTACTATATCATTTTGGCCAATAAGATCTTCGTCCACGACTTACGAGGGTCTTAATGGGAAATTCCTAGAGGGAAAAACAGGTTAGGCGCACCAGAAGAGTCGAGACACCCAACATTTCGCAATACAACTACATTTTGAGGAAGAGGTAGAAGAAGAAGGTGTTCTTGTGGCTATCTATCATGATCTAGATCTGGGTGGGAACACATTATTCTTTTCTACGAGAAATGAGAGATGAATTGTTGGTAATCTAAGAGCATAGAACTTGTTGAGTGGTTAAGGTAAAGAAGGCAACCGAGAGTTGTTGTCGAAAGTAGGGTTGTCACCGAAATTATTTTCTCGCTTACTGAAAACCACTTCTATAAATTAATGATTTTGTTACTCACTAACATTTCTTTTTCCATGGTCGGACGTTTTGTTTAGATCTAGACCCGACGCGTACTTCGCTTTGTTGAAGTCATGGCCCTTGAAGTGTCGACAACTAATGGAGTTCCTAATTAAGATGTGAACACTTGCGGGCACAAGGGCTTTTGTTAAGTGGATTCCTGAGTTTTTGGAATTCTTTTGAGGAAACAAAGGCGATGTGTTGAGGTATATACTGGGTTTTACGAGGCAACCTTTTTTTTTTAAATCAAAGCGAGTTTAGGTAGTTTAGGTACATATACGGTTGGAGTATAGAATTGTTAAGAGCTTGAGATTAAAATCCGGGCAGAGCATTCTAAGGATGGCATTTAATTCGGTTATTTCTTACTATTAGACAAGGCTGCTAAGCTAAGATTTAGTGTCACGGCAACCGCGAATCTAAGGAATAAGAGAGAAGAGAGATATAAATGAAAGCTGAATCTAGTACTTCTTAGTTTCCGAAAATAACACCACGTGGAAAAGCTCGAGCCATTTTAGATTGACATATCCAAAAGTCGATCTCGAGAGATACGGACAAAGTTTAATAATAATAAGATACAGTGAGTTCAAAGAGCAACTAATTTAATTAGGAGGTTAACTATGGAAAGCGGAAAAACGAGGGTTGAGCTTGCTGCCGATTTATTGTTGACTGCCGATTTCAAATAATGTCATTTTCATACTTAACGCTCATTAAAATACCAGATGGGTTTATAAATTAATTATATACTGCTACCAGCTCTGCCATTATCAACAGGCAGCTTGAGTACTACCTAAAACTAACCTACCAAAACCATGGATCTTTGGTAGTTCAAATTGTTGGAAGCAAACATCGAGGGGATGATTATTACTCTTATAAACCATAGCTTCATCGTATTTTCTATCGTCTTTCAGGATATTCCGCTCTAGTTTAGAGAAACCGAACTGAACATCTTTCTGATGTGGATATCTAATTTATACATACTCCTGCAGAAGTAGTTTTTTTGCTCTATTCATCTCCAGCTAAAGTGGGTTGGCTTAAATTCTACATCTTTTACTTTAGCATGTGGTTAATGACGGATTTTCAACATTATATCATAAATATCTGTTGATCTTGTCGTATTGTGTCTTGTTGAATAAAGACTTGGGTGTTTTTCTGTTTTTTCTCAATTATAACTTATAGGAGTTTTGTGAGCTTCACATTCTGTCCTCGTAGTTTAACCTATTTATTATAAAATTATTCTACTCTGACATAATAGATCCTTCCAAGCCATATGTCGCAAAATGATGGAATTTGAAAGTCGCCACTCTCCGCCTTGAGCACCATGTTTCGCTCCAAGATGTAACTTCCCAAACTATGAGATGACCCTTGTCTGTGTTTATGAGCTATTGAAAATACGAGTTTTGAAATGACACACTTTCAATCGCGTTTGGGTTCAAATGTTCCATCCACACTTATCAAAAATTGCTGTCTTGATAGAATGGTGATATTTGTTCCACTCCCACCTTATGCCAAATTTTGATGGGCTTACACGCATGGCTTTTGATGTCTTTTTACTCCAACCCGTAATATCGTGTTGTCGGTGGAATAGGACAAAGGCAGGCTGGACGGCTGTACAAGGTTAACATTTACACAAGTGATAGTCTGAAAAAGTGTTGAGCTTGCCCTATAAACGAAGATAGGTTTCGTGAAACTTTTGAGAGAGGAAACTGTTCGACTTTCGACAAGGTTAAAGTCCAATCTTCATCTTGCGTTCTGAAAAGACTGGTGTAAAAGTCATTGCGGTCTTAATGATGAGAGTCGACACTGGAATGGTGTTGTGTAGACTTCTTCCAATTACTACTCTTGGGAACCTGCCCAGGACAGAGGTAGTTTTACCTTGTTCTTTTTCCAAATTGCAGTGCTGGTGTAAGCAAATGAAATGTAGTTAGCGATTAAGCATCAGCCAACATTCATCAACCCTTCGTTATGTTTAGTGATAGCCCCATGCAACAATTAGGATTTGCCCCGCAACCCTTTTTTCACCACGGCCCTTACGAACGAGACATTCAGATTGCTTACTTGATGAATGTCACTACTCATTAGTCAAATTTAATTTCAGAGCGTCCATCACGTACAAGCTGCATGTTGTGTAACTCTCATGCCAAAATATTGGAGAGAATCGGGGCGAATGGCGCCTCTTTTCGGTCCTATCCGATCCATAGCAGATGCTTCGAGAGTAAGGCTGAAGTAGTTCTTGGACACAGCATAAGAACAATTGAAAAACCCAAGCCACCCGACTTGCTGATGGTCATACGGCTTCGAGTAGTACCGTACCCTGTTCTTGTCAGGGGTTAAGCGAATTATGCGAAGTTGCTTGCAACCACCAGTAAACACTTCAGGATAAATCAAAGACCTTTTCCTTTTAGTATCAATGTTCGAATTATGATAAAACCCATGTGAGAGTCGTAAGTACAATCAAATGTTACTTTATGAGTTTAGGGATCGTGGAACGGTGCGGGAATAATCAATAGGTCGGGAAGTTTCCTCAACTAAGACTGAGCGAGGCTAGATTTATTAAAAATTGCTCACACCAATCATCGGCGGCATGGGGGACAGAGTAATCTCCAAGCCTTGGTCATGTATGGAAAGAACCCAATTGGCGAGTTCGTATAATCATCACTTGTTGTGATCTATTGCCTATGTTGAGCAATTGGCTTCCTCGGACTTTCCGAGTCTATTGAACAAAGAAAAAGAGTAATATTTGTACGTAAAAATCATCGCATATGGCAGGTGTAAAAGAGAGGCTCATTACACAGCATTTGACCAACAAAGTTGGCTTTTTCGTTTCCATACAAGCCTCGTGAAGTCAGATGTTGCTCTGGTGAACATTGCCTCCGTCACTTCGACAATGCAATGTAAATTAAATTGACTGTGCCAGCTTACTGCATAATTGAGTTTGAGGTAACATGAGTTAGACGTTATGGGCGTTGTATCAATATGGAGATCGGAACAACCCGTTCGTTGGGTTGGTATGATTACTCAATTACACCGACAGTATGTATCCTACAAGATTCTCAAACTATTGAACACCATGAGGAAAAGTGTATAAGTAAGAGAGACTCTCCCACTTCTACCAGATCCTCACCCAGCTACTCATCTGCAGCTTCAAAAGTTTTGCTACAAATCGACTCACTCTTCTCAGCTAGATTAAGGAAACCAACTCAAACCATCAACATGAAGACCTCCGCTATCTTTCTTGCTGTCGCGTCGGTCATTGCCGGTGTCATCGCAGCACCACAACCGGCCCCAGCACCCCCTGCACTTGCTGCAAATGAAATCCAGGCCACTCTTCGAACCGACGGCAACACGACTTATACTGCTAGCTCTGACTTCTCAGTACTTGCTGTGAGAACATCCAGACAATGCAGTGCCAGAAACTTCGGTGGCACATGCTACAGATTCACTTTTGATTCTGGTGTTTGTTGTAAGTTACTCTATTATGACCCAGTTAACTCCTCCACCTCTTTGAGGCCGAAATACAGTTTTGAAGATAAACAAATTGAGCTAATTCTACTCCTATTCTAGGGAGCTACTCTGATTTCGGCAGCACCGTGTACAACGCCCTAAATGACAAAACAAGCTCTATCGACAATTTTGGCGCAACATGCACTTTCTATCAGTAAGTATTCCCAAGCATACATTTCACAATAGCCTCTCAAAAGCCAAAATCGCTTCTCTCAACACTCTTGTGGTTTACTGCTAACGTTGTTGTTATCATAGGAATACGAATTGCGGAGGCAGAAGCTACAGAACTCCTTACAACGCTGATCTTGCTGGAGAGTTCAATGACATTATCAGCTCCTTCAGATGCTAGACTAGCGATCACTGAACGAAGCTCATGTTGAGACCTTCAACTCAAAACATGCGTCGAATAAGAGTTTTCCTTTGATGGTATAGGAAGTGAGTTTGATTACGCCAAAAGGCAAAACGGTCGTTATTAACGAAATGGAATTTAGGATGTTTAGCAGTAGCCTATATTAACGACTTTTGCAAAAGCTTGGGAATTGACATTGTTTACCCAGAATTTGAACTGGTGATTTTCAAGTATTCTTCTATGGCCTATTAAATTCCCACGTTCAGCCTCTCTTCTGCTCAGAATGCTGTTGCTGCTCAAAAATGGGTTTGATACCAGAATGGTGGCATACTTTGAGCGCGCAACCTCGAGATGAATTGTATCCTCGCCAGAGCCAGGCTCGCAAGGGTATCGTAGGAAACGCAGGATTATCCATGTTCTTATGGTGGTCAAAAGTTCGATTGTTCCCACGAGTCTTTATTACATGTCTAGTACTGTCATTCCACCTCTTCTTCAGCTCCAACATCCACCAAGTCCCTGAATCTCTCCCTACTCAACCCATCTCTTAGCGAAATAGTAGTCGAACTGGAGCTAGCAATATTTTCTGTCGCTTTACCCGCCCTTGGAAATGCCATAATTTCATCCAAGTCAAGCGCTAGTAGGTTGCAGTAACGATCTAGATCTAAATCATTAGGTCCTTCGCCCCACGGCTAATACAATTCTAGTCAGCATCAAGTCATAACAGCTGAAAGTTGCCAAGATAAACAAGGGGAGAGGAAGTCCTACATTCTCAATCTCCAAGCCTACTTCCGCTAATGCAAAGAGCGCATATGCAGTAACCCCCGTAATAGCCACACTCCACCACTTCAGCTCCGCCCAAAGCTGGCCAGGTAACGTGAGGATAAAAATCCACACGATTCTCGAGATGGCGATATTGTATCCTAAAGGGATGGGGGTGCGGAGAAGACGTTCGCAAGCGGAGAGGATAGATGTTAGAGTGTCAATATGAGTTAAGAGATGGGTGAGAACTTGGGTGTCAACTTGGGGGTGACTAAGAGTACGGTAGGACTCGACTGCGGTGGACAGGTGGAGGGTCAAGGTGAGGGGGTGGTTGGTTGCAGCTAGGTTGTACTGTGGGGAATTTTATTAGCTTTGGGTTTGGAAAGCTTGAAATTAAGGGAGAGGTTAGTACATTTGGTACGCGGCTTACGCCAAGTTTCAAATCGTGGCATTCGTACCATTCTCTCTCCCCTCGCAAATGATGCTTTAGAGCCACAGCAAAAGTGTGTACGCATCTTATCACTTCTTCCTTCCTCATTACTATCTCCCCACTCTCGGGTGCCAAGGGGATGTCAGGGACATGAAGCCAGAGTGTACGTGCAAAGGAGCGCGAAACGGCAGAGACGTGATCCCATTGTGTTCGGCCATCCCACCAGCGGTTGTAGGATGATTGCATACGAAACGTTATCGCCAATCCAACAACAAATCTATTCCGTCTGTTCAGTTTACCATTGCGTAAAAATCCACGGTGGATTTGCTTACCCAAAGACCGGAAAGAGAATTGGCGAATGTAGCATATGCTCATCACCCTTGGACTGTAATCCCAGGCAAATCAATGCTGCAAATATCCCAGAGACGATTATCTATCTCCATAAAACAATCAGATCATAACAATCAATAACATTGATGAAGACATCACATGCTGGAAGGTCGTCATGAAGAGAGAGAGAGCAGTGCATACCTGCGGCAAAATCCTCCAGAGCGCTCCTCCTTCCCATCTCAAAGAATATGGAATCCATCTAGTTCTCTTTCTCTGTTCCCTTTGCCCAGCATGCCACTCTTTCAGGCTTCGGTACGGATGATGGTGGTGATTCCTCATCTTCTTTTTCTCTTGCCACCTCTTTTCTCTCCCGTTGAAAGATGTGGCGTAAAACAGATTTGGAGCAAAATTCAATTTCAATTGCTTCGGCTCAACCGCTCACCTACATCTCGTCCCTTCTTATACATACTATTGATATCCATAAATCGACTTATCTGCGACCCCGGCGTGTGCTCGGAGCAAAGCGGAGGCTAGCCATGTGAAAAACACGTGTAGAAAGCCAAAAATGAAGATCATGGTCTGATTCCAGGGGAAAATGAGCTGTTGGTGGAATTTAGAGACCGAACATAGGGGAGGGTGTATGTGTGTGATATATATGCAACTTCGGGTCTGGACTGTATTATTGTAAGAATTGTTCATGTTCTCCGTCAACGTTATTGTTTCTACTTGTTTTGAATCTGTTTCAAAATGCATGACATGGAGTCGAACTTATACCCTTAGCTTTCTGGGCTGTTTTCTCAATTATGTTAACTCAATGCCTCAGGGCTTCTTTGATCATCGATTTTCGGTATGTTTTGCCAGTAATTTTAGTGAGAGGAGAGGTAATGACGGGAAAAGGCAGGATGCGTGCTCTCGCTGAAAGTGGCCGTGCCCAACTAACCAGGGCCAGGCATTTTTCGGACTAAAACCCATCATCTCGGACTCCGGAGCTCTTGTCGGAGATTTTCTAAATTCCCTCCAAATAATAAAACATGATCGATTTATATGATCCCGCCTCGCGATATTCTTCACCATTGGTTATTGAATTCTCAACCTATTCATAAATGGCTGGTTCAACCCCCTTTGTCGCTGTGGCCGGTGCAACAGGCCATCTGGGCTCTCTTATCGTTCTCAACCTTTGTAAGAAGGATGTAGCAGTGAAAGCACTCATTCGTCCAGGGACTTCAGGCTCACGTACCCAACACCTTCGAGAAGCTGGCTGTCAGATCACCGAAGTGGACATGACCGATGTCCCAACATTGACAGAAGCCCTCACTGGCGCAACCACCGTGGTATCTGCACTCCAAGGCTTGAAGGGCGTCATCATAGACGCACAAGGAGCTCTCCTCGAGGCCGCTATGGCTGCAAAAGTACGACGATTCATTCCTTCGGATTTCTCTTTGGACTTCACCAAGACAACTCCCGGTACCAATCGAAACCTGGATCTCCGGCGCGAATTTCACGCAAAGCTTGATGCATCTGGTATCGAATGGACGAGTGTGCTGAATGGTTGTTTTATGGAAGTAGTTACAACACGTCAGATGCCTTTGATCAACGACGCCTTTCATTTAATCACGCACTTCGGCAGTGTAGATCAGAAAATGGATGTCACCACGGTACCGGATGTAGCTGCTTATACTGCTGCTGTTGCGGCAGACCCACACCCGAAGCCCAAGTTCCTACGTATCGCAGGTGATGTTTTCACTGCAAAGGAAATGGCCGTTGTTATGACGAAATTGCGAGGGAAACAGTTTACCACGCAATGGGTTGGCAGTGCGGGATTTCTCTCGATATTGATTGGTGTCTTGAAATTGTTTATAGGAGGTGTAGAGGACAAGTTGTTTCCCCCTTGGCAAGGAATGCAGTATATGCTTAATATGATAAGCGGGGAAGGAAAATTGAACCCTCTGGATAACGATAGATATCCCGAACTAAAGTGGACGTCGGTGGAGCAAGCTATAAGGGAAGCAGATGCGGCTAAGGCGAAGGAGAAGTCGACGTAGGAGTTGGTAAGACACGTATTGAAATTGAATCAGCGAGGTTACTGTAAAAGGGATACCGCAAAGACGGTTTTGCTGAACATCACATACATATCATACAACACATATACACTCTCCAAAGCGATCAGGACCGATATAATAGCTTTTTGATCTACGCCCATGTACCAATGCTATCAAACATAGTCTTCATGACAGCTCCAATAGTCCAATGGCATTAGCCCTCTTAGCACTGTACTGCAACGCTCCACTTGGCGTACCCCATCAGGGAGCCTCCGCCGTGAGACTTTGGTGCATGGTAACTTGTCGTGAAAACGAGTTGATATCCCTTTCATCCTTTAACGCGCTAGCAACGACATATAGATGACCTGTTTTGGGGAGTACGGATCAGGATAGGAACTAGTGCAGGCAGTGAGGGTCTTCATGAAAACCGTCTAAACAGCACTCTAGACTTCAACCGAGTTTATATAATCACACGAAATACATGGATGACAAGATGGCTGGCGCTTCTCCAGGTAGACGCTGCTACCATGCCTTTGGATATCGTCCCTGAAAGACTATCCCATCAAGTGCAGGAAACACCACCCCGAAATGACATAATGGGAGAAAGATTTTAGGCGGTCGTACTCCACAACCTAAAATAGACAACGCTGCCTAAAATCTGCCTATCTTTGAGACACGTGATCTCGCGAATATGTTTAGCTCGTCGCGCCGCAACGCACGTGCATCAGTTCAAATACAACGTCGCGTCTCTCTCGCAATAATTAGATAGCTCAAGCAAACAACATGGCGACTAGAAAAAGTTCCCGACTTCAGAATGTATCTGCTCAGAACCCTGTCGTTGAGGAGCCAAATATGAACGCTGTAGCGAAGAAAAGAAAGCTGAGTGCTCTAGCATCAAAAGAGGAACCGAGGCCAAAAGAGAGTAAAAAAGGGGCAAAAATGGTCAAGTCCAAGACCCTCCAAGCAGAAACAACGCTACCAGAAGCTCAATTGGTCAACTTGTCTGGAAACCAGTTGTTCTCCTTACCAGTCGAGGTGTTGAATATGACATTGGACAATGTACGTTAACGAATCTCCTCTCCCAAGCTTGGCTAGGTAAGATACTGATTTCGCCTGCCATCTCAAAGGTTAAAGACATCCCAACTATAAGTGCACTTGGGAGAACATGCAAGAACATGTATACACTCATGATGCCCCGTCTGTACGGGCGTGTTATGGTCTCCGCCCCATATCACGCTCACATCGCCAAGGTCATCCGTACCCTTGAACCCCATCTCACCATCGCCCAAAAGAAGCAGCTGAAGAAAGAAGGGAAATACAAAGGTCAGCAGGAGAAATATCCAAAGGGACTGAATGAGACGGCGATACCGATTTGTGCAAGTTATGTGAAAGAGCTTCTTGTGGGATATTCGGACCCTGGAAAGAAACATCGCTATATTGTAGAAAGATATATTGAGGAGGCTCTGAAAAACATGCGAAATCTGGAAATTGTGGAGGGATTTCTTTATACCGAGTAAGTTGACTTCCCATATTGCGGTCGTAATCGCCGTACAGTGTCTAGAGTTTATTAATGTTTTCGTAGATCAATCGGGAAAAGCATTGCAGCATTGAAGAGCTTGAAAGCACTGTCTTTGAATTCAAGCAGAAGTGAAGGTGAAACATTGAAGCCCTTGTTCGCGATCAAGAATGTACGACATCTGAACCTCCGATCCTATTCCAACTTCGGCCAAAATAGCCTTGGCATGCTCACGAGCAAAATTCTCCAAAATTCATCGGACACCCTTGAAGGCTTGGTAATGGAGTCTGGTAATTTATTCGAACAATGGGACGACAAGTTCAATGATGTTGACAGCCATTATCTCAAAAATCTGAAAAGTTTGTCTATACAAGGTATCGAGGTTGATGAGAGAGTTCTTCAGGCTCTAGAAAGAGGTATCGACTTCATACGCTTACGCGAACTCGAAATTGTTCATTTTGACGACACCGAATCCCTACTTTTTCAGCATCTGACAAACTTGACCACACTAGCGAACAGCAAAAACATCGGCATAGGTCTGCGTACCCTGCACCTAAGGATGTCTGACCAGAGCTATGGACGCACACCAGAACAAAAGGCTCTCGGTTTCCGAACCAAGTGCGACTTCGTACGATCATTCAATACACTCACCAGCTTAGAGTTATCGGATTACGGAGTTTACCCGTCTTCTCATCCGATCAATCCGGGTCTTGCACGTCCTCTTTTAGAAGGCATTCTCAAACACAAGCATCTCCGAACTCTGAAGATCCCATATGCAGGAAGTTCTAGTGGCTTCTCAATTCCATATTTGTCCGGCGCCGAAGTTGGCGCTCTCATCGATGGCCTGCCTGAATTAAGAGAACTAAACATCGCTCCGGTGGAAGCGCAGATTGTACTACCCCGCTTTTAATCCCTCTATACTTACTAACTGAACTACAGGATGAAATCAGTGCCGCCCTTTCCAAAGGAAAGAACCTTGAAACCATCACTCTCTTCCCCCACGAATCATGGGGCAGATATCCCATGCCGGATAATCTCGGCGTGAACATAATCAAGAGTATCTTGAAAGCGTTCCTGAACCGCTCTGCCACTTATTCCAACGAAAGGTTTGATTGGGATCGGCACTGTCGGTTGAGAAGCGTATCGCTCGGTTGGATAGCCTGGGACATTGCATCCGAGTTTGAGAAGAAGAGAGGCGGGAAGAAAGTCGAGACGGTGAGTGTTGGGGAGGGCGCAGATAAAAGGGTAGTGTATTATCGGGATGCTAATATCAGAGGAGGTAAGAACCATGATATGTATGCTCCAAGGACTGATTGGGTTGATAAGGTTGCGCGGGAGATGAGATGGGGTTGAGAAGAATGAATGGTGTAGATCGCGAGCCCACGGATGTGAGCCTGAATATATTTCGAAAATCAAGCAGTTCTTTCACATAC